AAGACTTGAGGACGGTCGGCAAAAAAAAAAAAAAAAAAAAAAAAAAGTGAGCGAGAAGCGAATGACTGCGTAGCTAGGGAGTGGGCAGCTTTGTAACGAAAGGAAGGAAATATGGAACAGGATCTGCCTTGGGAAAAGGATAGCGTCTGGAATAAAGGAAAAAGATATAAAAAGATGAAAATGAGAAGCTGTAAAGAAGAAGACAGGTCAGGCCAGTTCATGCAGGTGTCGTTCACTTATTGGCTTCCCGTCTGAAAATAACGGCGGCTGCTGCCGAGAACGGTATAGCCTGGTTTATTAGAGCATATCATTATCACGTCTATAAAAACAAATACTCATTCAACAGCAGATTAAAACTTAATAGGATGGAATAGATTATAAGTTAGACACATGTATTATACGTAGTGTCATCTTTTATGCCAGCTTATATACAGGATATATGGTATATTCACAAATCACGTCCTCCGGTAAACGCCCACCCCCCAGCACGCTCGCAGTATAAATAACCCCCAGGCCATGCCAATGCTGTCCCAGATGACATTTAACTTGCTGCCTTTTACTTCGCGCCAGCCCACGGGCACCTCGGCAACGGGGATGCCCGCGAATTCCGCCAACATGAGCATCTCGACATCGAAGATCCAGCCTTCGGAGTGCATGTAGGGGACGATGTATGGCAGCGAGGCGCGCGAAAACAGCTTGAAGCCGCATTGAGTATCTTTCACCTTGGCCGTGGCTGGCGGCGTCAAGAGCCAGAGGATCAAGTGGAAAGAATGCATCAGGAAGTTGCGGAGTTTGGAGCGCTTTGTAACCAGTCAGTCAGTCAGTTTGTTGTCTTTTTTTTTGTTGCGTAGCAAAGAAGACAGAAGGGAAAAATTACCTTCACTACAGCTTCGCTTCCAACCATGTGCGCCCGCGAGCCAACAGCAACCGCTCGCCCCTCAGAATCCTCCACCTGTTGGCAAGCCGTCACCAACTTTCCAAGATCTGTGAATTTGCTGGCCCCATCAGCGTCCGCGAAAACGACATACTGGCCCCTCGCGTGGCGCATTCCGTGTGTGACTGCTCCGCCTTTGCCTCTATTCTGAGTTAGGGTGACAATCCGGATGCTACCAGGCGGAATATGGATTTTGTCATTCGTATGGGATTCAGGGCGTAGAGACAACTGATGATCGCGTGCAAAGTCAAATGCTATTTCTTCCGTTCTGTCGGTAGAGCCGTCTGAAACAATCAGAATCTCCCAGCCCTTCGAGGGGCCGCTTATGTCATTACTTTTATTGATAGATCCATTAGACGCGTGGTTGCGTTGGCGAATATCATTGTCGTTGTCATTATCCTTCGTCTTCTTGTTTTTCTTCTTCGTTTTTCCATGTTCCTGTTCCTCCGTCTGATCGGCCATGGTGCCATACGCATGTTCTAAATAGTCGACCGTCTCCTCCAGCATGACGACCAAGCGTTCCTCCTCATTGTACGCGGGGACGACGACAGACATAAACAGCTCGGGTTTCTCGATGGTGGCCACGCCATGCTTGCTGCTCGATGGTTGTTGCCAGGTATCCTGCCAGCAGGGCAGTTGTTGCGGTCGAGTAGGCTTGCCATCTTCCGCGAGGGTGCGATAGGTTTTCTCCTCGGGGAATGGTTGTCGAGGTCTGAATGCAACCGCAAAGAGGAGAACGTACACCTAGAATTCAATGTGAGCCCCCCTGGTCGGTAGAGTACTGCGCGAGACTTACGAGAACGGCCAGCCCAATGGCACAGGCAGCAAGTGACAGCAAAAACACAGAGGGCGGGACAGTGCTCAGCACCCTGGCGCACTCGGTGCAGACCTCGCTGATATACTCAGACATAACTGCCGGTTTCTTCCTGTCCCAGGATAAGCTCCGGTCCCTCAGGAAGTGCAAGGAGACGGAGAGAGCGATTGGCGGTTCTCCATGCAAAGAGAGCCGTTCGTGACCAAGTGTGATGAGCAAGACAAGTGGGAGAATACCATGATAGAATCAAGAACAGCGAGAGAGAGAGAGAGAGAGAGAGAGCTTATTCTGCCACTTGGCAGGAGGCCGAAATGCGTAATCCAATTGGCCCATGCGCAAGCCTCAGGCCTTAAGCTGCGGTACTAGTCCGTGTGCGGTTAGCGCGAACACGCCAGCGTCCACACGAACTCCAGATTCTCTGTCCAATCAGAGCAGACGGTTCCTCCACGGATATCGACTACGACTACGGCCTCAAGGGATACAAAACAGAACAGAACAGAACAGAACAAAACATCGTATTTCTTCATTGAACTCGTTGCTATTGGATGTACTTTCGACCGCCCATAATGATAACAAGAACTTGTTGGTGGTAAAAAAACAATAAAAGGAAAAGAAGAAAAAAAAAAAGCCCCCCGAAATGCTGACATAACAACAATTTCGACTCAAGCACCCTCCATCGAAGTATCCGCGTCATGCTGCCCACTCAATCCTCTGCGCAAAACCTGGTGCTGTCCAGACAGCACAGCGAGATCGTTTGCAAAAGCGGTTGCGGAAAACGTACGGCTCTCAGCGTTGTAGTCAAGCCAACGGTTGAACTGTTTTCAAAAGGTGGTTAGAAGAAATTCCTCAGCAGGACATTTTGTTTTCAGGGAAATCAAAGGCTCACTAACCTTGGCAAGACGAGCTCCTAGCCAGAGACAGCGCCTTGTCCGCGGAACAGCCACGGACGGGAGCTCGATAGACCGCTCATCATCCTCGGCAATCTCGCTGAAAAAGCCCGGTGGGTGGTAGAGCCGACTCCAACAGAGACCGTGCATCAAAAAGTCTTCCGGTAATTGCCATGAGACATCTGCTTCGTGCGCGGGGAATTCTTCTTCGTTTTCGACGATTTCAGACATGTCAGTATCCGGTCTGATAAGTGCATTCAGAAACGTGGCCAGTCGTGCCCAGGGCACGTCTGCTTGGATGTAGGACATGCTTCCTGGAACCATGGCTGCGCACCACAGAAACGCTAAAGAAACATGGACGCATGGTAGTGTATTATTGTCACCCAATCGCTCCAAGATGATGTCTAGAGTGGTAAATGCAAAATGGGATGCAAAGGATGCTGCTTGCCTGCTATTGCTAATCGTTTGATCATGAGTAGTTCGGCATGCAATATCAGTCTGAATACAGGCGGTATTCTCCTGCCAATATTTATATGCCTTATCCAGCATCTCTGATCGTTGGCTTAGTCCATTGAACATGGAGGGGATGATTGCATCGTCATGGCCAAAGTCGAAGATAGCAGCATAATTAGCAGCCACGATATAAACGCCCTGTTCCCGGAACAGAGGACCAATAATCCCTGCATGTTTATCAAGCTGATCTAAGAACTGTTCAGCGGGCGTTATAAAAGTAGAAACATCATGTCTCGTGAACAGAGCCGCATGCGCCTCGACAAAGAGGGTCAGAACTCGAGGATAATATTTGGAATACTTATTCGCGGCTCTCGCGGGGTCTAATAGAGGATTAAAGAGGAGCAAGATGCTGTCGCGCGCATTCGTAAAGGACTGCACGCTTATTAAGGCTTTTGAATAGTAGAAGAGCTGCTGCAGTTGATTTGGGCGTGCGAGCACAGCAAGATGATGTTGAATACGCCCTACATCTGGGTTGAGATCTGCCGCTTTGGTATACCAATATCTTGCAACTCCTGTATAAATCTCCCGGTCATGCATATCCACCTCTTCAATGGCCATCCGGTAGCGAGCGAGGTCACCTAGGCACTCGATCCAAGTCTCTTCAAAGGCTGGGACGCTTTCCAAAAGTAGCGTGATCATTGCATATGCCATGTAGATAAATGTAAGCATATGCTCGAGGGAGAAGGGCAGCCTTTTTCGTAGCAGCTCCAGGAACGAATGTATGCCATAGCGCCACATTCGGGCAGGCATAGTATAGGTTCTTGCCAATTCTTTTAAGGTCTCACTCGCCACTGGATGGTTTGAGGCAAGGAAAAAGTCATGGTGTTCATGGAGTAGTGTCCTATGCAGTGCAATAATTGCCTGCCACTGCAAATCAGTAAGCTCTTCTGGTTTCTCGTTCTGTTGCTTCACAATCTCGATGCACTTTTTTTCCACCATCACTAGACCGGCATAGATGGCCCGGACCTCGTTGATCAGCTGGTCTTCGGTGATGGGATGAGTCTCTGGCTGCAGGAAGATGCCGCTTGGTTGGGCGGTAGGTGGATGGACATCTCTCATTGTTGAGGAATGAGCATATTCAACGCTTTGTCGCTGCACGTTGCTTGGCTTGGCAGTGATGTTGTCGTTCCCAGGAGGCGATGAATCGAATTCGTGGCCCCGCGAACTCCTCTGTGCGGCGTTGCTGGATATCTCATATTCTTGAGAAGCTCGGTTGCGGAGGCGGAGTTCCTTGAAACCTGGAGAGTTTGCACTGGCAACAAAGCCGGGGGGGTGTTTCTCATGATCTGTGCTGCGGTAAAAGTCCTTTGCATTGGTGATCCTGAGAGCATGCAACGTTTCTCCAGAGGGCCTGGTGGCGATGTCAGTGGCCAAGAATCCAGGCAGGAAGGCGCGGAGACTTACATCCTGTCGCTTATTTCGCGCGTAGACATGCGGCATCAACCAGGCGCGCGTCTACAATGGCCGGGAGGGGGGGGAGGGGAAGGATTGCGTGATTAGGTGATCCTGATGGCGTACAAACAATAATGACTGAGAGGACGGCAGCAAGTGCGCATAGTTATCAGGCCGGGGAGTCAGCGCGAATCACGAGGAGTCATCAGAATGCGATGGTTTTCATCCAATGATGAACAAGGGCGCGCAGTGGCGGTTATGTATGGAGGAAGGGCCGGAGAAGCCGACGGGCTGTGGGTGGCAATGGATTGATTGATGGGTAGCCAGGCCTCAAAGCTGCGCGTCTGGCTCTGATATAGAAGATGCGGCTCAAAATCCCGCGCTCGCGGTTCGCAATGCATGCAAGGCAACTAGCTATGTAGCAGGTATCGTTATTGCGCCCGGGCTTATCTAACTACTACGGACTCCTAGCTATGTGGAATCCCACTCATTCCGGCATATTTTAGCCTGCTCAGCCTATTTGCCGCTTTGCAAGGCTGGCAAAGAAACCTGGCTGTATGCGAAAATATGACCTTGATTTCAAATGCATCTGGCAAGTCGGTGGCGGATTATCCGGCGGCGAGATGAGACGGAGTAGAGAGAAGAAGTCGGATAGTCCGGCTCTCCTCTGCATTCATCATTGAGAGGCCTCAAAGAACATTCTCTACAGAAAGCAAGACTGCGCAACTCCACGCAACGCGGGGTTAAAAGAGCGGTCACAAACGATGCTGATTGACGAGTCAGCTTTCGCCTTTTTCTCTTTGTTTTTCCCACCCCCTCCGTTGTTTCTGGCATCGTGCTGACCGCAGACAGTGCAAAGAAACAAAAACACAGTGGATGTCTTGAGCCAAAAATGGACGTTGATTCAGCTTTCTAGACCCACTTGACTCTGTGTCGTGTTCGAAGATCGCGTCGGTGAGTTTTTGAGTTCCGCACTCACGATATGAGCATGCAATCTACCGATCAAGCATAATTATCTGCTGATGAGCATATATCTTGCTAGCGAATCACGTCCGACATTAGAAACAAAACTGCTACGAAGAAACACCTAATGGCCGCCCTAGCAGCTAGTTCTAGCTTAACATTGGTTCTAGCCTGGCTCCAGAAAACCCCGGCAAAAGCGAACCCGAAACTTGACGTGATGGCGATTTTATTTTATTTTATTTTATTACTTTTTTTTGCCCGGGTTTGTTCCTTTTCAGGGTATGCATGCGGTATAACTAAGTTATGTACTAACTGCATGACAAAGACTTGCTTGGATTGACTACGTCGTACTCTCCTGGGTTACCGGTCCTAATTGGTTTCACGTAGAACTTGTGAGGCTGATTTGAGTTGCCTTACTCAATCGGCAGTGATCAGGCCATGGGGCTTTGTTGCCTCGTTGCAATTTCCGGCCCCTAGGCCCATGTTTACCCTTCTCATGTGCTTGTTTGCCTTAATCAGGTGTAACCAAGCAACCGTAACCACAAGCCTAGGTCCTTCTGAGACATGTGGTGTAAAACAAGGGTCAAATTTGGGCATGGCTTGTAATTTGGAGGTGTCAAAATCATGCAAGGCAGTGCGTTTGCTTATGATGCGCTCAGTCTACTGTAAGAAACGTGGCAGCATCGAAAAGGTTAGGCCTTCTGTAGCCAAGCACTTGCTACCTCATCGGCGTTGAGTCTTTCATGTATTGTTTATCAATCTTTCTACTTTGGTAGATTTTACGTCTACTATTTCATTAGCGGATCAGAACGGTAGCCTACGATTTGCACGTATTGATTTTTATCAAGGCACCCTGGTCTGTTGAATGATCTAAATATAGCACTATGCCTAATCTTGTCTATTGCTGCCTTGGATGTTTAGTGTGCCCTGACGAATGCCTAGAACCTTGGAAATCCAAATCAATATTCAGATATGCTGTAGTCCGATAACCTCCATGTGCTATTGGCACCGCATGAATTGCCCATATAGCTAGGTAGCAAGGTATACACTATACTCGACTTCTCTTCTGCAGCGACCTGTCATTGCTTGACTTGAGCCGTGATCAGTACCGGTGCTTCCGTCAGCAATAGATTAATCTATTACACGCAGTTCGCTCGTCGCTATTCATTCGTTTACTATATAGTTAGTAAACAAATTTCCTCCCACCGGGCCGGCGGAGACGACAGCGAAATCGCAAATCCGATAGATATCTAGGTATCCCGCGTACTCTGATTAGATTATACGCCTGCTTGGTTGGCCAAATGCGTCTGGTGGCCCGACTCGGGGCCATCAATAACGGGCGATCAGGCACTGAACTCGACATTGCAAAATCCCCATGTATGAAAGTGCTGCTGGATGTCATGCATACCTCTTTGGATTCAAGGACTTAGAATTTATACAAATGTTCGGTATTCAGGTGCTGGATATTTTTTCTAACCTTCTTCATGGTACCCATCCTGACGTCATCTAACCTATTGATTCTCCCTAGATGGACGAGTCGCGCAAGCTTTCCTAGGATAAAAGGCTGGGCCCAGTATTATTGAAAAAGTCTCCTGTTTTCCTGAAAGGGCCAGTTTTTATACCGAGGTAGTATGGTTGAACTTGACAAAACTGGAAAGGGCAAGCTTGGAGCTGTTTCGGCTGAATGGATCGCAGCTGTAATGCCAACAGCAAAAGATGGATCTAAGATATAACACCATGCACAGTGTCTCCACGTCCAAAGCTCGCTGAGATGAGAGATTAAGAATGATGCACGCATTCTACAATGTGAAAGTAGTGTGAATGTGAAATGGAACTCATCGAAGTCACCGAGATATATCGATATTAGGCTTAGCGCCGCGCGTCATGTGCTAGTGGGGACGCTAATGACGGAGACTCCCGTACTAAACTTCATTCAGGCACAACTACATCATTGCCCCGCAGCGAGAGCTTCACACGACACCAAAGACCAGTATCGAAAAGAAAAAAGAAGAGAGAGGGCGAAAGGAAGATGTCACAACCAGCAACGAAGAGTCCCGGCTCTTATAAAGAAGTGCGATTCTCACAACCTCTTGTCCCTGTTCGCCGTGCACGATCCATTGCCTCCAGCACCCCGTTATTAGACCCAGCCCATCAGGCCGTCCGCGCAGCCCAAAAGGCATTGAAGGAGAAGACATATAGCGAATATGCCGTTTATATTAACCAATCTCGGTCCTTGTTGGAGAGCCAGCGGCTGAATTTTGAGCGGGAACGTCTAGTATTTGCAGAAGAACGAAAATTATGGGACATGGAACGGGCAATGCTCAAAGCCCGCATTGCCGAGTTAGAATCCGCGGTGCGCAACGTCAATACTCAATCGCAGAAAAGCCTTTTCAGCCCAGACTATAGCTTGCAAAGAAAATCGGCGGGTTCTAGTGTATATCAACCGATGGACCAAAAACAAGAGCAACATCATGTCTGGGAAGGGCCCATACCGGGATCTCGACGGCCAACTCGAGTGTTTCCCGCTGAAGATGACGCGGATGGAAAAGCAACCCTCTACATAGCTCCTACGGAAGGAAATGACTTTGGCCTTCGCACCTCTCTCGACGACGCTCTCTCACCCCAGCTATTCGACCGATCAGAAGAAATCAGCATGCCGGTTCCGATCGAGAAAGTTGATAGCCGACTGGACGGAATCACTCTCAAATCGACGGCGTTGCCCCTGGATATTGTTGCCAAGGTCATGACGCCGCCGACCTCTCTCTCCCCGACGTCGTCTCCGCCCAAGGATGAGTCTGATTCGTCAAGACCAGCGACGTCCGATGCGAAATCGCACTCGCCCCTCAAATTGAAGCTAGAGGACCTTGGACCGCCTCATGAAAATCTGATACGGGATGCAGGCCATACGCCCATGGCCATACTTGGCACAGAATCTCCGAACGAAGCAGAGGGGTCGGAAGAAGAGACTCCACTGGCCCCTGTGACGACAAAACAGCCAGTGGAGAATGGAGACTCATACTTCCCAGTCATTGTCGATGACGATCCTGCTCTAAAGGGACCTCTCACATTACTGAACAGCGAAAGTTCAGACACTAGTTTCCTCTCGCAGCTGGACCAGAAGCTCCTCGATGAAGCCAAGAAAGCGATCTCGGGACGAGGACGGTCTGCTAGCGAAGTAGGAGACCAGCAAGAAGATGACGATACTGCCGAGGGCGCGGGAGATGAGCGAGATCCCGAGTTAAAATTGAAGGCTTCTACCAATTTTGGCACTGCTTTTGGACAATGCTAATATACTTGCAGCAACTGCACTTTATTTTTCTTGCTTTTATGCATTACACATATGATACCTGATTGATACGAAAATGATGATCCATTTTGGCCTTGATTTGATGCTGTTTGCTTTTATTACTCTACTGAATCTTCTCTATGAGGGAACCAAAAGCAGGTCGATCTTTTCTCTTTTCTCTTTTCTCTTTTTCTCTCTTTCTGGTATAGAATCTAGAAAGGGCCGCATAATTACAGCGAGCGAGCATACCCCCATACGTACCATTACTTGTACATGCTTCCGATGTACTAACATGGAGTTAGTTGGATATTGGATATGTTTCATGTGTCTTGTTTGGATGAATCACGCATTGCTTATTATTTCTAGTCATTATTACTAGTCTGCATGCAGAGTCTGAGGAAACATACCTACTCCCTTTACTTTTCACGATGCCAGACGACCTCGCTATAACATACTATATTCGAAATTTACCAGGCAGGTTGCAGCGTACCTGCATGAAGAGCCCAATATATATTATATCCAATTATATGAAATTATACGCTATTAGAAAAGGCAATAATAAACAGCCGCATCGTGCAACAGGTAAAACCGACTATCTGTTTTTCCCTGCGTTAGTTAGGGTTTCGTCCATATTAGGCAACCCCCTTACTTGTGTACATCTGATGTCTCTAATAAACAAATTATAATACTTCCCACCTTGACTAATTGGATTTCTTCAATTAATTTTCTTTGATGCACTATGCACTGTACGATATGACATAAAGCTGGGGGTGATGGCTACTTTTGAACTTTATGCTGTGGCACCAAGCATGAATCTGCATGATGCTGATATTGTATTGTCATGGCCAAGCCATTTCACTCGATGCAGACACGCAAAGCAATTGCATCCTAGATTGAGTGAGTATCACGATCGACTTCGCATCAAGTTGGCGCCTTGCATGGATTTCTGATATCCAAACACCGACAGCGATGTTGCTGGTTTGTTGTCAGAAACGTCCCGTGGGTTTCCGTTTTCGGCGATAATCAAAACAACATGCACGCTTCAACTAGGGGATGGAAGGTAGTAGACTCAGATCATGACATGTCTAGCTGTTGAGGACATAAAAGGGCGTAAGTCAGTTCTCTGTTTTCCTTCTTGTTTTTCTTTCTGTCAATCAATTAATCAAGCAGCCTTCTCAATCTCCAACTGAACAGTCATTCTTTCATTGCCTACATTCACTCGTTCATTGCCCTATACTTGTCTTACAGATCCCACGTTTCCAACGAAAACAAAAAATATATCACGAAAAATGAAGTACACCACCGCTCTGACGTTTGTACTTGCCTGCAGCCCTGCAGCCATCTTGGCTGCTCCAGTGGTGCAGGATTCTTCATCGGCGTTGACCAGACGTCAAGAGGGCGCGGCTCCAGCTGCTGGTCCCGGACCTGGTAGTGCTACTGGAGGCTCTGCTTCTCAGGGTCTGAGCGGACAGTCGAGTGGCAGTGATGGCGTTCTCGGCCACGTTGAGACGCTGGTCAAGGAGGTGCTTGGCAGCGTAAGTCTATTCACGTTCACTAGGTATACCAAATTGATTTGCTGATTATGGCACTAGCTCCGCAAGCGTGGCCTTGTTGAGGAAGTAGGTCAAGCTACTGAGATGGTTGTTGGTAGCGTAAGTCTCTCATATCTCTCTCTGTACGTCTCCCGAAACGTGAACTGACCCAGGGCTTTGTGTCAAACAGACCGACAAGCTGGTCAATGGCCAGAATTCAGGAAGCCAAAGCTCCTACAACACCGAATCATCCGACCCGGATGCGCTTCCGAAGGGAGCTCCTGAGGACAAGGATGGACAACAAGCACCTCAGCAATCCCCAGCTCCTGCGCCAGCTCCTGCTCCTGCTCCTGCTCCTGCTCCTGCTCCTGCTCCTGCTCCAGCACCGGCAGCAGCTCCAGCAGCACAGCCTGAATCCGGCAGTGGCAGCAAAGGCAAAGGCTCAGGATCCATGCTCTCCAGTCTCTTAGGCGGCCGCTCTGACACCGACGACAAATCACCCATCAACACCTCCGGCGCAGCCACTCCCGTCACTGGTGGCGATGCTCTCCCAGCCTCGAACCCCGTCGAGAACAACAGCGCCGCAAAGGAATCCTCTCCTGCCACTGCTTCTGCTCCTGAGGGCAATGGCTCCAAGTCCGGAGTGCTCCATCTCTCTCCCGAGGAGCTCGAGGCTCTGGCCGCATTGCTTGCAGCCCAGAACCAGCAGGGTCAACTAGGCGGAGATGAAAAGTCCAAGAAACCTAAGATCCCTGGTACTGACTAGATGGGCAGAGGTCAGATCAGATCGTGTAACTTGACGTAATGACTGATTGTTTCTTATAAAGCTTTCTTACTTTCTTGTTCTACCTTTTTTTTTTTCTTTTCTCTTTCCACATTTTCATGACGTTCAAGGGGTATTTCGATACCATGCATACCTGTCTTTGATTCCACTTCGGCTTCTTCTTGATTGTTTTAGACTGGATATTTTTACTTTTCATGTTAACATAGTTAACAACATTACCGAATAAACTAGGGCTTTCACCTCTCTCCAGAACTTCTCGTCGTCGATTATACATCCGTTTAAATGTATATTGATTGGTTCGTCATTTCATTCTGTTAATCTGACCGACGATTCCTATCTGAAGAGAGAAAAAGCAAACAACATCAAGACATCTAAACCCCCATGGTGAAATCATGTTCTATGCCCGGAGTAACACTGGAAATGAATTTCAAAAACACAACCAAATATTGATCAACCCGGATTGCTGACTGGAATTCCATATCTTCCTCCGATTGATTGCCGTCGTGTTGTAGAACCTCCCACTCATCACTCATCGTATTATTATTGCCGTTGTTGTTACTATTATTATTATTATTCCTACTTGCGTCGGTTTGTTGAGCTTTCCGTTGCTGTCGCTCGGCCAGAGATAGGTTTGCGGTATCGTCTACCAACCCTTCAAGACCACTGTCGACTTTGATATGTGAAGCTTCCTCTGCGGAGCGAGCCTTCTTAAGTTTCTGTCGTCGCAGTTTGAGTGCTGCGTCTGCCCGGTCGAGTAATATTTTCATGACCGAGGCGTGTTGGCATGGATGGACGGTTGCCATGGGCACGCTTGTGTCGAACCACGGAAAGTCTTCAAGTGTGACCGTTTTGTCCTTGTAATCGCCGACAATATCTTCCATCATGAGATGCGGTGGCAGTGGTTCGGAGGGAGAGAGGTAGCCGGATAGATATAGTCGTGGTGTGCGGTAGTAGTTGGCATATGTGATATAGAGATTGTATGTTCGGAGGGGACTATACCCAAAAGTTAAACAAGGGAGTACTACAAGAAAGAGAGAGAGAGATTCACTTACGCTGTGGTTCCCGAATTCCCCGCTGGATCTCGAATAATAGCCTCCTCATCGTCGTCATCATCTTCCATATCCGGAATTTCATCTTCGTCTTCTCCCTGTTCACTGACATTACCAGCTTCATCAACGGTGCGTACATCTTTCCTCTTCGCCTCCTGCGTATCGGCATAATCCCTTCTACCGCCCGTCTGTAGCCATCCATCGTCATCAGCGTCGCCGGCCGCTCCCGCTCGAAGCATATCTTTAATGATAACATCCTCCTGTAAATCGCCGGCGAAATTATCATTCAGTCGACGATGGCAAGGGACTCCGCGAGTCACTAAATACTGTTTCCCCGGTGGCAGGAAGGGGACGCGCTGTGCCGGCGTCGATGCATCTGCCCATTGCCACGATGGGAACTTGAAGACTAGATAGTCGCCGGCGGCGACAAACTCCTCGGGCGTGATTTTGCCTGTTTCGCGAAATGTGGATGTGTGTGTTACTGGAGTTATCCAGTCCCGCCACGTTGACCATGTCTGATGGATGAGGTTCTTGGACATCCTGAGAGAGCTATCGTCGATGCGGGGTTGGTGCGGTATTGAGCGTCTATTGAAGATCTGTCTGGGAGTATTTTCGGTTATGAATTTCGCTTGTGTACCTTGAGAATAGAGATGATAGGTTTGATGGACGAGAACTGGAAATTAAACGAAATATAAAGGATCAAAAGGCAGCAGAGTTGAACGTGGTTCGCTCGCGTGAGGGGTTGGATGCTGATGCCTGAAGACTCGGGCACTACGTATGTCACCGGACTAGCACCGATGCGGAAGTCACATGTATATTACATATCACGTTTCACGTTTCATTCGCTCAGGGACAAGGTAGTTCATCACGTTTGATTCGATTTTTGTATAAGACATTTCTAATTGTGTACGCTCTTACACTCAGCCAGATATCGCCACCAGCTTTGATTTGTCCGCAGTGTGGTGGCTATGCACAAAGCCACCAAAGTAGGTGCAACTATCAGATTAGTTGCCTTTCAGGCTATACTCTCCTGTGTAAGTTCTTGATCGTGTGGCGCACGAGCGTAGCCGATTATCGGAGCTTCGTCATGTACCAGAAATATGACTGGGGAATATATATCAGACGGAAACTCGTGTAGATGTCTTGGTTCATGGGTGAAAACATTCCGAAGTGTTTTGAAACACGTTCCATTGATGTGTCCGCCCCTCGTAGACAGTACTACATGTCAAATATGCGACATAAGCCCGTCAGGCACAGTGCATTTGAGATGTAAATGTCGCTGTTCCGTAGAGTTTCCCTGCTCATTACCCCCCAGACAAACAGATGCCTGAGCTGTCCCCAATTTGAGAGAGGATATCTCTGGTCAAGTCTGCAAATCACGGCCTTGTAACTATCCTGGGCTTCTTCCGAGAACACTGGATTGTAAACTCCGACTTAAGACAAGCTCGACCTCATTCATTCACCTTCTTGGGTCTGCCTCTGCCGGAGTTCCTTCTCAACCTCCTCCACAAGTAATGGTATGCGCTTGCCTGCCCAGGCTTCCTTCTCTGAATTTGCGAACCCCTCGATACTGTTCATGGCAACCACCAAAAAGCCCAGCTCCTCGCGGTCCACATCGAATACCTCCCACCATTCTTCCTCTGGTAGCTTTACGCCGACTTCTCGAGCAGCAATGTATATAGCGGCAACAGCCAAGGCATTCGGTTGATGTGTCACGTAAAGGAGCTGTGGCGATAGGAGGGACGCGTTAAGATGCTCAAAGACTCGTTTGCCGAGAGCGCTCGATGCCGAATTCATGGTTTGCAAATAGGTAAGGGCAATTGTATGAGGAATCACAACGTGTGTGTTGAAACCCAGTGCGCGCAGAATTATCGTTTCGGTTTTAAGAAGCACTAAGCGCTGAGCTTGGTAACCTCCCTCGGATAGGTAATATGTCTCTGGGTTGGGTTTGTCGGAGGCACCAGAAGAATTCACAAACCACAAAGGTGACGCTTCTTTCGATAGCAAGTAGGTGTATGTATTGAGGACTGAGCGAGGCGACGTAGGGTGAAAAGACAGCTTAGCGATCAGGTAAATGGAGGCTGCAGATACGTCCTGATGTCAAACAGAGAGACCTTAGTATTATCCTTTCTGAATTTGGTATCCGCCAGGAAATCTCACCTTTGCCGAGTGAATGGCAAAGCTCCCCCCGTCAGCGCCAATCCAAAAGCGCGTAAAAATCACAATGGCTTGAGCAATCACATCTTGGGGCAGGCGCAGCAGAACACCAGCGGCCTGTGTTAGCAGGGCACCTGCAAACCGAATCGAAGATTCTAAATCCGGCGGAATGCCATCAAGCGAAGACGAGGAGCTCGACAGCTGAGCCGGTGTAGCCAGGGCATTGGAGAGGCTCTCTAAGGCGTGGGTTGAAGGCATGGTTTGTGGTAGTTGTTTAAAGATGCGAAAGAAAACAGGTGCGGATAATTCATGCGGAAAGAACCGATCGTCACGTCACGTCCAGGGTCTTTCGACCTCATCAGACACACCGAGCCTCAATGTCCTTGGGACAAAGAATATGTATCCCACCGAGCGGTTTTCTGAGAGAGTGTTTTTAGCGTTGCAAAAGGCGGTCGAGAGTTTCTCCAAGAATGTTTCCACACATTTGTGGCGGTGCGTGTATCGCCAACATGAAATGAACACGCACCACTCAGCCGAGCCCCGATCCTTTCCCCGGTATATATGCGAAAGAGTCAGAACTTTGCCTGATGTCCAAGTTTCTCATATGATTGGCCTTGCAGTTGGTCTGTTTGAAGGCTGATGTGGCTTGGCTTTCAAAACCGCTTCCGCTTGCTTACAAGAAGGAGAAATATAACTGCGATATCTTCATATCTGGCTTATTTTTTAAAGTGACAAGTTGTCGAATCAATATATTTTTTGACAGTTTCAGCAAGTTTCTCTCGATCAGGACATATCACCGTCTAGCATGCCACAGTTGGCCAATACACCAGAGTCTCTGTTGCCTCGATCTGACTCACGAAACCCAGCGTCAACATGCCGAGGTATTAATGTTAACGGCAAGCCATGCCGTCGCACATTGGCAGCGTCTGCTCGGTCTGCAGCAGCCCTAGGCGGAGTGGTTGCAGTGCTCAATGGCCAGAGTCATCAAACTGTTGACCCGACTGCTTTCTACTGCTGGCAACATAAAAATCAAGCTTCACATTTCATCGACAAACCGTCCCAGGCAAGGCAAGCACAACTCATTGCTCTTGGTAATAGAACCAGCATTGATAGCTTGGTAGAGCGATTAGGCATATTGGAGGTCAATGATGACCAGGAAAAACAACGCAAACATACTCAGCCTAGCATCAAGAAGGATAAAAACCATTATAATGGATCAAATCGCAATTCGGAAAGGAAAACTCAAACTAAGGAAAGTCCATTCTGCTGCTTCAAAGTAGTGGATGACGTTGAGAGCCTACCAACAGCACGGCGAGTTACGAGCCCAAACCACGAAAGCTCACACAAGAGGTCAACAGTCCCTCGGCCTTCGCCTTCTGCGACACCCCAACGGCCTGTCTTTATTCGGGATCCCCGATCAAGCGAATCGCCTATTGTCCAACGTCGATCGGCTCCGGTAACTCCAGAGCGTTGGCACAACACTCCGCAACAGACACCGTTATCGGGTAGAGAGCAGTACTTAAAAACACCAACACGCCCATCACCATCAGCTACATCTTACTCACACACATCGGAGACACCTCCATTGCTGTCACTGATACCGCAGCATCTAAGCCCTCAGACAACGGCGCTTTTGTTGACAGAATTGGCAAAGCCAATCTCAGATGCAGATGAAGATGGCTATATTTACATCTTCTGGGTGACGCCTCAAGGACCTAATACGACCGAATCACCACCGGGAGATATTGCCTTGAATCTCTTGCCGCCTCCAGGCCGACCAAATCATTTTCGGCGAACGAGTGATGCTCTGCGCGCTGCACAGACTATTGATCCTCGCTCAAAAGGATCGGCGGGTCATCCAGGAACTATTCGCCTGAAGATTGGGCGCACAAGCAATGTCCATCGTCGCTTAAACGAGTGGTCTAAACAATGTTCGCATAATCTCACGTTGATCCGATATTATCCCTATACAGCTTCATCCCCATCGCCGTCTCCGGCCAGAAGGCCTGGCAGTGAGACTTCTCAGGGACATGGTCGACGTGTACCTCATGTCCATCGTGTGGAAAGGCTGATTCACATCGAGCTTGCCGATCAGCGAGTCAAAGGCGAAGGTCCATGTCCCCACTGTGGTAAGGAGCACAGGGAATGGTTTGAGCTCGATGCTACTAAAGAGGCCTTGAGGCGTGTGAACGACTGTGTTCGACGTTGGGTCTCATGGGGGGAGCAGCACACATGACATAGATTATACTTAGAGTAATAAACAATACAAAAGCCAATGGTTCAATGGTACATAAGTCGATTGTGCAAGACCTAACTATAGATTCTATATTGAGCCCTTTATTTCTATTGGTTGAGCAGTCGGCACTAAACCCCTTAAATACCTAGTCATGTGTAAGCTAGCCTATTCAGGCATGGTATATACATGTGAGCACTCAGCAGGGGCACGTCAACTGTAGTACAAGCAACTAATTGATGGTTAATTCAATGGTCCATCATATGACAGATTGAATATACTTTACTGGAGGGAACTTTTTTTTTCCCCTTCAATTCTTTGCGCGGTTTGAGCCTGAACCAGATTGCGAATATGTCTACAGCAACGCCACAACGTGATTACATCTTCGCGGCCAGGTCAATCCTGAGAAACGTGCTGCACTCGACTTTGCATCGAATTAAAATGATCATGAATCATATACTGCCTCCAGAAATTCAACTGAATTTAAAGCAAACTCTGACTGCGTTCGGGACTTCACACCCCCTACTTGCTACGCTACTGTTGTCGCAAGCAGTGTTTTCAGCCATCCCGCTTATCTTATTTGTCTGTCTTACAATTGGCATTTTTACCTTCACTTTGGCGTTCACGCTTATACTGGGATTCCTAGGCGCATTGATGGTCACCCTCTTCTGTATGGGACTGGGGTCAATAATACTTATTCCGACTTTGTTTCTCGCCGCTTTTCTGGCAGGAGGAGTCTGGTTCTGGGGGTGCGGAGTATACTACATCGTCCAATGGGTTGGAACCGGCGACACAGCATTGCTTACTAGGCTCAGCATATTACTCGCGCCTCAGAAGACGTGGGCAAAGCAACACAGCGAGCAGCAACAAGAGCAAGAGCAGCCTATGGGGGCCGAAGATGATAACAACGGGTCTACGGGCCAAGCAAATCAGGAAGAACCGCATGAGTTATGACTAAGTGTACTGGATTGTTGTATAGTTAGTTAACTGCACCCACTGCCCAGGGATGGTTAGGAGCCTAACCCCGGTGATACACTGGGTAGATTATCTCCTATATAGGAGCTTCCAGTTCAACGAAGGAGCGCTACCTTCAAAAATTCTCCACTAGACTTTTACCCTCTTCGTCGGTTCTTAACAAGATTGAACAACATAGCGTACGGGCAAAGCAAGCTTGAGCTTCGCTTACATAATCTTATAGGTGTCCTCTTGCAAGCCTCCCGATGGCGCGTGCTGATTGGCGGCTGCACCGGAGCGGCTCCGCGGGGAGCGCTGGATGAGGCATAGCGCAGGCCCGGGGCGAACTGGCCAGCAAGCACACTTTCGTCCAAATCTCCTGGCGTTAATCTATCCTCTTCCTCAGAACCCTCCTCTCTCCCTCCTTTCATATCATATCGCTTGCGTTCTTCTCTTCTCCCTGGTTGATACCAGCTCTCGCTCCTTCTGCTGGGATTGAACCACAGCTTTTCCTTCCATAATTGTTTAATTTTTCTGTTGGTTGCTTTGAGAGCAGTTTGTCGCCATGAGCGGACGTGAGTTCCCAACATCATGCCTCAGCACGCGACCAGATCAATTACGTCGTGCGCCTCGATTTCCTCGCTGACACGCTGCAGTACGCTTTCTTGATTTAATCAAGCCCTTCACGCCCCTCCTCCCGGAGGTGGCCGCGCCCGAAACCAACAAGGTGCCTTTCAACCAGAAGCTCATGTGGACTGGGGTATGACTAATTTCTTGTCTCACTCATTATTCTCCAGCTGGTCGCAATGGGTTACTGACACATATTGGCGCTTAGTTGACCTTGTTGATCTTCTTGGTCATGAGCCAGATGCCTTTGTATGGTATCGTGTCCTCCGACACTTCTGATCCTCTCTACTGGCTCCGTATGATGCTGGCCAGTAACCGTGGTACGTTGATGGAGCTGGGTATCACACCCATTATCTCCTCCGGAATGGTCTTCCAGGTATGTTTATATGCTATTTGTTCCAATTGACATCTTTTTGGGTCAATTTAACTAATCACTTTCGAACTAGCTCCTGGCCGGAACTCACCTCATCGATGTCAACCTCGACCTCAAGACCGACCGGGAATTGTACCAGACTGCCCAGAAACTCTTTGCCATCATTTTGTCCTTCGGCCAGGCCTGTGTCTACGTGCTCACTGGTCTCTATGGCCAACCCAGTGATCTCGGTGCTGGCATCTGCGTTCTTTTGATCGTCCAATTGGTGGTGGCCGGTCTCGTTGTTATTCTTCTCGACGAACTACTCCAGAAGGGTTACGGTCTTGGAAGCGGTATCTCACTCTTCATTGCCACCAACATCTGCGAGTCCATTGTCTGGAAGGCCTTCTCTCCCACCACCATCAACACCGGTCGTGGCCCTGAATTTGAGGGTGCCATCATTGCCCTCTTCCACTTGCTCTTGACCTGGCCCGACAAGCAGCGTGCCTTGCAAGAAGCATTCTACCGTCAGAACCTTCCTAATGTCATGAACCTTTTGGCCACCCTTCTGGTTTTCGCTGCCGTTATCTACCTTCAGGGTTTCCGCGTCGAAATCCCCGTCAAGTCATCTCGCCAGCGTGGTATGCGCGGATCTTACCCCATTCGTTTGTTCTACACATCCAACATGCCCATCATGCTTCAATCCGCTCTGTGCTCCAATGTCTTCCTGGTGAGCCAGATGCTCTACTCCCGTTTCTCTGACAACCTCTTGGTTCGTCTTTTGGGAGTCTGGGAGCCTCGTGAGGGATCTGCTCAGCTCTATGCTGCCTCTGGTATTGCCTACTATATGTCTCCTCCTCTCAACTTTAAGGAGGCTCTCTTGGACCCTGTCCACACTGCCATCTATGTGACTTTCATGCTTGTTGCTTGCGCTCTCTTCTCCAAGACATGGATTGAGGTTTCTGGCTCCGCTCCCCGTGATGTTGCCAAGCAGCTCAAGGACCAGGGTCTAGTCATGGCTGGCCACCGCGAACAGAGCATGTACAAGGAGCTCAAGCGTGTTATCCCTACTGCTGCTGCTTTTGGTGGTGCTTGCATTGGTGCGTTGTCTGTGGCGTCCGATCTCCTTGGAGCCTTGGGTAGCGGTACCGGAATCTTGCTTGCTGTCACGTAAGTTTTGATTGTTAAATTTCCATCATGATATAAAGCATCCAGAATATTTTTTTTTGACTAATTATTGTCTAGTATCATCTATGGCTACTTCGAAATCGCTGCCCGAGAAAGTGACTTCGGCGCAGGCCTCCGAGGTCTTGTCCCTGGCAACTAAGACAGGACAATGAAAATCACAATCACCCTTGCTTATTAGATGACTTCACGGGACCAAAAGAAAAGGTTGTTTTGATTTTCCTTCCCTATATGCCATATTTTCTACTTTTGTGTTACACTTAGGCTTTTTCTTTTTTTTATATCTTGTTCCATTATTTACTATACTACACGGAGGAAATCATGGCAGAACGGGCATGCTTTCTCTTAGCCTGCTTGGGTTGTGTTTATGACTTTCTTACATTACTTGGTTGATTGAAAACATACAAAGGTTCACCAAAAACCAACTCATCCTTTTTTTTTTACCTGGATCACTGTATTCTTTCGTGCATGTGGGAAAGCTTCTTCTTTTGGGCATGTGTGTTTTGGGGTTGTAGGCTGTACAGTACATATATATATGGATACGCTCAATTCTCACCTAACTAGTTAGGTAGAGAGGGTGAAATAAGAAAAAGATGAATTAAACATTTGAGAAATTGATGATAGATATTATGTATAACCGTCTAAGTAGCAAAGATGAAAAACTTTTTGTCTTTTAGAAACACCTCAAGTCCGATAGTCACCGTTTATAGTGACATACTCATGACTGAAATCGCAGAACCAATACACTGCCTCTTCACCACCTAGTCCCTGATCTCCCTTTGCGCCACCGCCCAGATCCACGACAATTTCCAAATCCTCATTTTGCAAAATCGCGCTTGCGCGCTCCTCATCCACAGTTTCGGGCTCGCCATTAACGAGAAGCTTCAAGACGGGCGATCCGTCGACGGGTCGGAAGCTCACGCTCGTTCGTTCGGGGACTACAGCACCATCGCTAACACCATCGGCATACCCAACGGCGCACAGAATACGTCCCCAGTTTGCGTCTCGTCCGTAGAGAGCCGTCTTGACGAGCGGGGAGCGTGCGATGGTGGACGCAATGCGGCGAGCGGAGTCGTAGCACGGGGAATTCTGGACGCGGACGGTTACGAATTTGGTTGCGCCCTCGCCGTCGCGGACTACGAGTTGCGAGAGGGATTGCGCGAATGAAGTTAGCACGTTTTGGAGGGCTTCGTAATCAGGTGATGGTGAGGTAGTGACAAGGTTACCGCCTGCGGCACCGTTGGCAAGCAACGCGATGGTGTCGTTGGTGCTCGTGTCACCATCAACGGAGATGGAATTGAAAGAGCGTGAGACTGCGTGGAGGAGAAGTGGCTTCATTGCTGCGGCGTCAATGGGAGCATCGGTGCATAGGACACCGAGAAGAGTAGCCATGTTTGGATGAATCATGCCAGCGCCCTTGGTCATGCCAGCAAGACTGTAGGTGACCCCGGGAGAGGAAGGGAGAGTGAATGTCTGGGAAATGAGTTTTGGGAATGTGTCTGTCGTGCAGATTGCTCGAGCAGTGGCGAGCCAGGCATTGTGTGTGTTGGCAAGGTTAGAGTGAGCAGTGGGGATCTTGTCCAGGATCTTGGAGATGGGGAGTCTTTTCACTTGATTTAGCACTACTGCAATTGAAAATGGAGCGCTTGAGCAACTAACCTTTGTCCAATAACACCGGTACTCATCACGAGAGTACTTGGATCCGAAATGCCATTACATTCATCTACTTTGGCGCCCATATTCTGCGCATCCTCCAGTCCACCCTTTCCCGTAACAGCATTGGCGCATCCACTGTTGATGACAACGGAGCGCACCCCCTTTCCATTCCGCTGATTCAAAGTGGATTTGCTAACTTGCACGGGTGCTGCTTGGAACTTGTTTGTCGTAAACACTGCTGCCGCAGCACAGGGTTCGTCGGACGATATCAAGGCTAAGTCAGGGTATTTTGTGTTTGATGCCTTGACGCCGACATGGGTACCAGATACACGAAACCCCTTGGGATATGTACCGGAAGACGGAATGTGTTTCCGCTTAGGCTCCGGAATCGTGGTGTCATTGAGGATATTATATAGGCGGACCTGACCTCGCCGAGTTGCTGTGCCGATGAATGAGTATGTCACAGGCCCCAATGGACTGGCAGCCTTTGAGAAAGCAATCATTCTGTTGCTGTTTTGACTAGAAATTAAAGGTGCTGGAGCCGTGAACTTCGTTGTTTTTCATTCAATCAATGGATGTTATGTCTCCAGCCGCTCAATTCTCAGGATGAGTCACCGGCATATATCTAACTTTGTTGGATAAAGAGTGGATAACACTGGTCGAAGATGTCAAATGAGGCCAAGACACGAGATTTTGGAATTCAATTTGAGAAGAAGCACTCTCGATTGCACGAATATAGGAATCAATTTATGAAATTGAGCGATTTAACACTGCGTTTGCTCCAGTCGAACGAGATTCTTCAAGGCATGCATGCGATTGCTCGGAAATTCGCGCGTATAGTTTGAACACTCGACTTCTAGACCAATAGCCACGCCGTATGCCTTGGAGGGCTCCAAGCAAGTATGCAGTCTAGTCAATATCGGTATTTTTATTTTTTGAGTTATCAAAACGATACTTGAAGCCTGAGGTTGTGCAGGCAAACACTAACACCAAACGGGTAAGGCCTGTGCGTGTGAGCCAACCCAACTTAGGCTTAGCTAGGCGGCGTACTTCCTGCCCTCTCGTTGGCCGATCTGCCCATCCCTTGCAGCTGCCCTTTCTCTGACAGCTAAGCAAGTCTGTTTCGATTCAAGGGGACTCTGACTGAATTATGGTATGCTGTGCTCTAGATCCAAGGACCTGTCTTTTCATTTGCCCGTTTCCAAATGTTAACTCACACTGAACAATGAAGCGCAAAGCAGCAGATTCTCCGAATGAGAATCACGACGACGACGACGACAACTGGCCAACAGCATCAACACCGAAACGACAAAAGACGGGCCCTGGGCCGAGTGCGGCGTTGGCAGTAAATGGTAATGCATTGAATGGCGACGTCACACCCTCGAAGCGCGCGCGCTTCACCCCAAAAAAGGTCTCGGATCGAGCTGACGCGCTGAATCCCTCCGGACTTAAGACGCCCACGCATAGGTCCAAAGCCAAATCGTTATTTACCACACCTAAAAAGGATACGCCATCGAGAGTGAGGAATGCTGATCGGTCAGCTAAGAAAAAGAGTGCTAGGATACTGTTGGAGCAAGATGATGAAGATACTTGGGATGGCGCGGGCAAGCTCGCAGAGGAAATCTTGGACGAGGAAGATGGCGGCGAGAATACGACTCACAGTGACGTGAGAGAGAATGGCGTATTTGAAACGACGGAGAAGGACGGTGAGCCTACTACAGCAGCTGCCGAACCTCCTGTGAAGCGCAGAGCTGGTCGGCCTAAAGGAGCTAAGAACAAACGATCTCCGACTCCAGAGGGCGATATACCTCCTCATGAACGCTACTTCTTTCAAAACCGACCCGGTCCACCCAAGACGTCTAACAATACCCTGAGCAAAGTCTCATTGTTAGCGCACGACGAATATTTCGAGTTGCTAGGCCGTTATGAGGATCCGCTACGGGAGGAGAAAGAACTCTTATTGACTATACATCAACGGTCATTTGTTCAATGGAATTTTGAACTCTGTGAGCGTTTCAATATTTGCTTGTACGGATATGGGTCGAAGCGAGGATTGGTGCAGAAATTTGCGGATTGGCTATACGCGCGATCTGAATCTCCGCGTCCAGTAATAGTAGTAGTCAATGGCTATGCTTCGAATACAACCGTCCGCGGTATACTTAATGCCATTGCTACAGCTGTGCGTGGGGAGGACGTCCCCTCCAAAATTGGTGCTACGCCGAGTGAGGCACTTGAGTTTTTGCAGTCAGCTTTGCAAGTACGTGAAAGGCCAGTCACCGTGCTGATCAATTCAATTGACGCACCGCCCTTGCGAAGAACTGTATATCAAGCGCAACTTGCACGTCTGGCCGCTCTTCCCAATGTTAATCTTTTGGCTACTGTCGATACACCGACTTTCTTGACCATGTGGGATATGAGCCTGCGGGATCAATTCAACTTCGCATTCCACGATTGCACTACCTTTGCACCTTTCGACGGTGAAATGAATGTTGTGGATGAAGTGAATAACTTGCTGGGTAAAAAGGGGCGGCGCGTGGGTGGCAGAGAAGGCGTGGCATTCGTGCTAAAGAGTCTGCCGGAAAATGCCCGGAATCTTTATCGATTACTTCTGACAGAGCTCTTGACGCTCCAATTCGGCGACGAAAACGGCGGTGGTGTCAGCGATGAAGAAGATGATCAAGACCGGGGTCCCGCACAAACACTCCAAAACGCTGGACGGCCGCGCGAAGAACCAGGTATAGAGTTCAGAACACTGTATCAAAAGGCTGCCGAAGAGTTCATTGCATCGTCAGAGATGATGTTCCGCACTCTGCTGAAAGAATTTCACGATCACCAAATGGTTACGTCACGTATGGACGCGACTGGCACGGAGACATTGGGTATTCCCTTGTCTCGCGAGGAAATGGAAGGGGTTCTGGAGGATTTGGTGTTGAGTTAGTAGAGAAGATCCTTGTCCTTTTTACGCCGTGCCTATATTTAGAAGACCCATTCTACCATAACATCACGATACCATTTAATATTTACAGTTGTAACATTGCATTGTCAAGCAAATAAGAACCAGTCTTTGTAAGAAACATCAACCGCGACACTTTCATTATCATTATTATCATTATATAAATATAATTCAACTATAATCTGCAAAATTGGCAAACGCGGCCAATGCCATTGTCGTGCCAAAGCTGATTTTGAATGGCACATTCTTCCTCGTGGCCTGGTGTATATCGACCTTTTTTGCGTATTTCTGCAAGGTGTTCATGGGAATGAGGGTATATCCTTTCGATGCGGCCCACTAATGAGACGAAGAGGGTGTTAGCATGATGACGGAAAGAAAGAGAAAGGTAAGGCGACAGACCTCAACAAGAACAATTCCAACCCCTAGCACAAAGACAAGCGCCTTGGAAAACACCCGCAACCCCAGCCCCGTAGCCAAGCCCAGGACACTCCCCAAACTAATCTGACGCATGTACCGCGCGTTCAAAAGCCCCGTGCTAGATTGTTGCTGCGCATATGATGTCTTGCCTTGCTTTGCGGCTGCTTCAGAGCCTGCCAGCGACCAGCCTGACTCTGGTGCTGCATGTGGATTGTAGTATGGAGCGTTGTACTGGCATTGGAGCGGTGCAGAGCGGAAGGGGGACGAGGGATGAAGCATGGAAAGACCTATGCCGGCGCCGAGGATGGTGCATGCTGGCCGGAGGGGGAATGCAAAGTGGAAGATAGAGGCCATTTGTACTTGAATTTGATTCGGTGAAGCTATGTGGATTGCTGTGAAGCAAGTTGAAGCTTGAAGATGGTTTAACTTACAGTAACTGTAGCTATGCTGGGGGGGTCTGACGTCAGTTGCGTCCTCAGGTGTCGAGACTCCGGGAAGGATTGCTGTCTAGCCCGTTGCGGCTAGACTGACAGCTTGGCATGCATGAGGGGGTTCCTGGCTGGGATCGAAATTGTGAATGTGCGAAATGTTTCTGTATCTCACATTATCCCGGCTGATGCCGAAATGGCTGGCTGTTGCTCTCTCGGGCTGGTGGCAGCTGAGCTGCCTGAGGCGCCGAAGAGCAAATCGGCCGGCGCTGATTGGAGGCGCTCGCCGCGGTTCCTGCGAATCGCCCTTTTCCCTCGGAGAAGTCGGGGCCAATCAGTATCAGAACGAGGGTCTCAGGGAGTGGTTGCTGGTAACCGTAGTTGGTAGTTCACTTACCATGGGTTCTGGCCACTCTGTTTGTTGGCTTTGCCGAATATCTAGCGGTTACTTGCACCCGGCAGAAACGTGACTCACGAGCTACATGCTCTCTCCGGTGTCGCAGGTCCGCTCTTCCCCTCGTTCAAACCATTTTATTCTCCTCAACTTCACGTCCAACCCAACCTCATATACCCTCTCCCGAGTCCAGTCGTCTACATACAGCCCACAAGCGCAATGGCGTCCGAGCAGTCAACAAGCGGCGTTGCCACCAATGGCGCTCCCGATTTCACCGTCAAGGCCGGCCTGGCTCAGATGTTGAAGGGCGGTGTTATCATGGACGTGGTGAATGCTGAGCAGGTGAGTAACTTTTTCCCCTTCCCTCAACAATAAAAAGAGACAATCCCTAATCAATGTTTTTGTCCAATATACAGGCCCGCATTGCCGAAGAGGCCGGTGCTGCCGCCGTCATGGCCCTTGAACGAGTCCCCGCCGACATTCGCGCTCAAGGCGGCGTTGCTCGCATGTCTGATCCGTCAATGATCAAGGAAATCATGGAAGCAGTTACAATTCCTGTCATGGCCAAAGCTCGCATTGGACACTTTGTTGAATGCCAGGTCAGAAAACCTCCAAACTTTAACCCCGCCATTTCTCATTCTCCCTTCCCCGCGCCCATACAGACATACATAGGCCCACGAAACTAACGATGAAACCATAGATCCTCGAATCAATTGGTGTCGACTACATCGATGAATCAGAAGTCCTCACTCCAGCAGACGACAAATACCACGTCGAGAAATCCACTTTCAAGGTTCCCTTTGTCTGCGGCTGCCGCAACCTGGGCGAAGCTCTGCGCCGCATCTCCGAAGGCGCAGCCATGATTCGCACAAAGGGTGAAGCCGGCACAGGAGATGTCGTCGAAGCCGTCAAACATATGCGCACAGTAAATGCCGAGGTTGCGCGTGCACGCGGTATCCTGCTGGGCTCGTCGTCTCCGCAAGACGCAGAAATTGTGCTGCGCGCCTATGCCCGAGAACTCGAGGTTCCATATGAACTGCTCCGCGAGACGGCGGAGAAGGGTCGCTTGCCTGTAGTCAATTTCGCGGCAGGTGGTGTTGCTACCCCAGCTGATGCGGCCCTCATGATGCAACTCGGTTGCGACGGTGTGTTTGTCGGATCAGGTATTTTCAAGTCTGGAGATGCCCGCAAGCGTGCCAAGGCTATTGTTCAGGCTGTTACGCATTATAAGGATGCTACCGTTCTGGCTCAGGTTAGCGAGGGTCTGGGCGAGGCTATGGTCGGTATAAACGTGTCTCAGATGGCTGATAATGATAAGTTGGCCAAGAGGGGGTGGTAGATTATTCTCTCTACCCTTTTATGTTCAACTCAACATATTTGAACGCACATAACGTTTCTTCTGTCCTTCTTTATCCTCCGGCGTTTTAGTGGTATATTAAAAATCATTTTGTATTGAGGCGACGCTTTATTTCTTTTTCTTTCTTCTTTTCTCCATACATCCATGTGTTGATTTCAGCAATTTATCAACTTAGACCACATAGATGAACATAACGAACATATGAAAATGGGTTTTCTTATTGGTCAATATGTAAATTCTATAGCTCGACTTTTGAGAGTTGGTTTTTTTTTTTTATTTTCCGTCCGCAATCTGGATACCGCGAGAAGATCCATCTCCCAAGATATTCTTTTTTTCCTAAAATAAGCATCAACATCCACAGCAGTGAGTGCCCCCAATACAGCTACGTATTTACGTAGTAGTAAGCTCAAGTATATGCAAAGCCCGCACCACGACAGCTAACCCAATAAGAACGAACAATCTCCTGCGTGGCCGATCCTCCTCTCGCCCCAATCACCATTGCCAAAAACCTCTCCTTATCCTTTGACAAGCCCCCAGGTGAGGAAATCTGCTCCTTTGGACCGGAAAGCGATGCTAGCGAAGCAGTCAAATAAGGACGCGCTTCGCCCTGGAACTTAAACACGATTTTCTTGAGCACTTCGCAAAGGTGGTTGATGTCCGATCTTGCGCAGGAGCCGCTCAACTGCGTCATTAGCACATGGCAGAGACTCGGCAGATATTCATGGATGATGGCACGAGACACGTTCGTGACTGTATGATTTGTTGTCGTCCCGTTAGGCAGTGTGAGGACGCTGACCCAAAACTGGGCCGCTGAGCGCAACGGTAGTGGTTCGCGGCCGCCAAGTGCGCTGCTCACGAAATTAAGAATCGTCTGTAATACCGGTGCTGCTTCTTCCGTGGGCCGGTTCGATGACCGCGGAGTTGATGTCAATGTGAAGAGGATTTGGTGGTACTTGGGTAGTGAGCGAGTCAAGAATGCAATTCCGCTATTCGAGACTTCGGGGTCGTGGTTTTCCGGGTTTTGCATCATGACTGAAAATGCCCAGTATACGTGGATGAATAGGAGTGCAGCTTCCTCGTGGACCTTTCCTGGGTTTCTTTGGTGGGAAGCGAGAAACGATGATGCTGTGCTCATCATCACGTCTGCGGCTCCAGCACTTCCAAGTGGAATCGCTGTGAGAAAATGGGCTATAATTGCTGGTCTGAATACGAATGGACCCGTAGTCTCCGTGAAGCCGGCTTTTAGTACTTCGCAGATACCCTCGATGATTGTGTGGTCTAGGGGGAACCCATTCAGGTAAACCAATAGACATTGACTCAGTTGTTCTTGGATAGGATGTCCGCTCCAAAATGAATTATCGTCAGAAGATGTTCCCTCACGTTCAAGATCAATTACCTGTTCAGTATCGCTTCGAAGTCCCCGTCCAATGCCTGCAATGCATTTGAGGGCTAGATGACCCCGAGAGTGAGCGGAATCGAGATCCCCCCTTTGCGCATCATCTCGTGCAGATGCCGACTGCGAGAAGAATGGCCCTAATAGCTCTTCTATGTAGGGTGCTTTTGCCGCGTCAGATGGGAGAGCCTGAACAACGGCAGCAATTCCTTCTACAACACGTTCTAAGCTCTGCACAGTCACGGCTTTGCTTTGCTGGAACTCGCTGCAGATCTTTAGAAATACAGGAAGCTCAGTAACTAGTGCTTGTCGGCATGATTTGCTAAGGAATCCAATTGATCGTGATGCTGTATTGGTGCACGATCCAACATTCAATGACGAGAACAAGAATGTGAGCACTTGGGGCAGAAGACTCGGGTTCCGTTCAAAGTAGCTTTGATATTTCCCAAGCATGTCCACCAATGTCTGTCGGGTCTTGATGGGTAATTGATCGCTGTTTAAACAGATCTCCGTGAATCTATTTAGAATGAATATAGCATTTAAGTGGGCGAGAGCATCGTCGTTATCGTCAACTGCCTCGGAGAGTTGGGCTAGGCAGAAGGAAGCGGATTCAAATTCATCCCAGGCTCTCATTTCCAAAGCAGAGACAGCCTTTTGCCGGAATAACTCTATCAGTTCTGTGCCCAGAGTTGGATATACGGAGAGTAGGAAATCTTCAGTGTCGCGCCTGAAATTGGAGAACTCGCTTCTTTCGTCAGCGTCCCACTGGACAAATTCTTCGTGTGCAGGCCATTTAAGGCGCCTGTAAACATTGACCACAGCACCTGCAAGGCTCTGACGAGCCTCTTGAAGTCCATGCTCTAGACCGTCTTGCAAATCGTCTGCAGTCTCAGTCCACCATTCTAGGAGACGAGGGGATATTATGTCATCGACTCCTGGGTAACCCGGTCCTTGGAATAGCATATCGAGATATCTTAACAGTACTGCATGACTCGGGCCAAGGCTGCCGCTGACAAGCTCCGCCTTTTTCGAGGAGGTATATGCGTCAATGAGTTCCCAGAATGCCATGGCGTCATCGTCATAATCGCCCTCTTGCAGACGCTGTGCTAGTTTGGCTCCCTGGTCGCTCTCTATATAACTCAGAATATATTCGCGGTGTGGTTGTTTCAATAGGCGGTTTTCATTCCTGAGCATATCCGACAGGACATCTGTTGCATTACGGGAGAGCGTTGGGATGCTGATGCACTGGATGAGACGATCTACTGTGCTTTGCATGTGATCTGACTCGGAGCGATTCCGAAAGTAAATAGAAGTTCGGACCTTGAGCCATGCCTGTATCGAGATAATAAGCAAAGAGATAACACGATGTGCAAGTGCATTAGCGATTAGTTTACTTACGCGACAAGAATCCAATGCATCAGATCCAGCCTTTGTATCAGATATGTCGCCACCAACTGAGAGTTGGTTTAGCAAGACTCCCAGGACATAGTCACATAAGCAGAAAGCATCGCTTATACTGTCTGTCACAGGATGGTCGCCGCTTTTGATAGCCAATTAGTATTGCATAGGATATAAAGATTGTCTGGCAACTGACCTCTCTCGAACCAAGCTGCTGTTTTTCACGGCTTCCTCGGCTACCGTGACTGAAAATGAAAGCAATCCTGTGATCTGAACCTCATTTAGGGCCGGCAATACTGTCCCCTCAAAGTCGATTCCAGAGTACGCTTCTCGGCCATTGCTGTGAAAGGAAGCTGCGATGTCTCGAAGAGGGCGAGACCATGATTCGTCATTAAAGAATACAGCAACCAAAACAGAGGCAAGTTTCCTGATGACATGCGGCCTTTCTTGCGCGTCAACAAGGGCGACAAAGCGGCTTATAAGATGGGCTTTCAGTTGTTGAACTGATTCATCGGAAAGGTCAGACCTGCACAAGAACATCAGTTTTACTGTGCGAGCCACTAAATACCAAGATCGCCACTGCGCGGCTCACCAGCTCTGATTTATCTTCACAATAAATGTCAACGCGCCGAAAAACCTGGTGTCTGGATCAGCATTGTCCAAGAGTCCTCGAGCCACCTCCCATCCCTGCGGCAGCCGCTGGATTTGCTGTAGACTTTCCTGTATCAATTGCAAGTCTCCGGGAGAGATTCCATGTGGCCTGTTCAATTGCACAACCAGCTATCGAAGAGTCAGCCAGATGCTTGTGTCAAGCTCCATATAAAACACGACTCACATTCTGTGCCTGCTGGAGGAGTTCTTGGGGACTTTGAGCGTGGTCCAGGGCTGCGGCTTGGCCCGCCGCATCCATGCTTGGATAGGTTGGGACGACAGCGATTCACAGTCCTGGCGGATTTCTGGTGTTGACTGAAGACCTGCAGTAGAAATGGCGATTTTGATAGCGCTAACGGGATCAGGCAAGGCGGGGTATTCTCATTTTTTTTGTCGCAACTGTCAAGACTTCGCATATCCAGTCACTTTATAGTTGCCATAACGGCAGATGCTGGACTATTGCGTTGTTTCCCCCTTTTCGCTCGTATTTGAAGGAGTAAACGCAGGGAGACAACCGACCAAACGCAGAGAGTGGGTGGGATTCCTCGCGCTAGAGCAACAAACAACCGGCAGTATTCACGAGGAGTCCACGACGACACAGGGCTTCCTACGAAAGACAATGGCCGTGATGGAGGATATGTGAATAGTCCAGGTGCAAGTCAATGGGCTTCTCTAGCGTCTTATAGGAGGTGTGTTGGGCTCTACGCCTCGGACAGATATATGTTGGGACTATAGTTTGTGTTATTGTACCAGGTTGCCAACTAACTACACATCTATTCTGTACGACTTAATTGATATAAGTATTGACTAGAAATGATTCGAGCCTTCCATAGAGAGAGAAAAAAAAAAAAAAAAAAAAAAAAAAGTGGAAAAAAGGAAAAAAAGAATAAGCCGACTTCATATTAATTCGTGTGAGGTTGTAGTGCTAAAGCACGGCGCGGCAAGAGGCGGCCAGTGACGCTTCAGTTGAGCAATAGACAGACACCCCACCAGCCAGCTTGCCTCCCCCCTCTTCTTATCGCGCTCTCTCCCAAGCAAATAAATGCCTCTTCAGCTCTTCTGTCGCCTGCAGCCCCGTGCACTCTCCTCGCCTCTGCGATTCCTCGCGCCAAACAGAGTTCCCTTTCTCCGGACTTTCGCAGCCACTGCCATTCGCCGCTCCGTCGAAATGGAAACAGTAAACACGTCAGAGCGCCTAGCGAAGCTGAGGGAGTTGATGCGAAAGCATAACTTGGATGTCTATAGTGCGTTCTCCCTGTCTAGAAATGGCATTGTATGTTTCTTTTTTTACTAATTCGTCTTGCTGCAATGCAGTTGTGCCCTCCGAGGATAGCCACCAGTCCGAGTACATCGCCCATTGCGACGCGCGCCGAGGTAATCACAGTCCCGAATAAGACCTTTCTTTTTGGATATAATGGCTCACCAGCAGTTTCAACCCTGCTTTAGCTTTCATCTCTGGCTTCTCCGGCTCTGCAGGAACTGCAGTTATATCGACCACTGCCGCTGCTCTTTCTACCGATGGACGCTATTTCAACCAAGCTGCCAAGCAGCTCGATGACAACTGGACACTCTTGAAGATGGGCTTAGAAGGTGTTTTGACATGGCAAGAATGGTAATTGGCTGTCTCCCTTCCTACAGTGCGTGGTGTGACACAATCTTATGCGGATACAGGACTGCGGAGCAAGCCGAGGGAGGAAAAATAGTCGGAGTAGACCCGGCTGTTATTACTGCTGGTAAGCTTGGATGAAGAGCTCTCAAATATTCTTGGAAAAGGCACGCGTCTGATTGCTGTTCTCTAGCTAGTGCAAGAAAACTTTCTGGCGCTCTAGAAAAAAACGGCTCAAAGCTTGTGGGAGTTGATCAAAATTTGGTGGATCTAGTCTGGGGAGACGAGCGTCCCTCGAAACCAAAGGAAGCGGTCAAGGTCCATCCTGCAGAGTACGCAGGAAAGTCTTTCCAGGACAAAATCGCAGAGCTGCGAAAGGAACTCAAGGCCAAAAAGCGAGCTGGTTTCATTGTGTGTATGTGACTGGTCTTTTGAAGATTTTTTTCCGGTGTGTATCATGCTAATCCTAGCTGCAGCTGTCCTTGATGAGATTGCATGGCTTTTCAACCTTCGAGGAAACGAGTATGTCCACCTCCGAACCCGAGTTGTCTGCTCTAGCGGCTGATTACGTGAAGCATCCCTTACAACCCTGTCTTTTTCTCATACGCAGTGGTTACTCCGGACACGGTGGATCTATACGTTGATGAGGAGAAGTTGACACCTGAGGTTAAAGCCCACCTTGGCTCAGATGTGGTCATCAAACCATATGATGCCATATTTGCGGATGCAAAGGCACTCGCTTCAAAAGCCCCTGTCACTGAAAGTGGCAACCCCATGAAATACCTAACCTCTAATAAAGCGTCATGGGCTCTGAGCCTGAGCCTGGGAGGCGAGAAGAAGGTGGATGAGACTCGTAGCCCCATCACCGATGCCAAGGCCATTAAGAATGAGGTTGAGCTCAAGGGCATGAGAGACTGCCATATTCGCGATGGCGCAGCACTGACCGAATATTTCGCGTGGTTAGAAAATGAACTGATCAACAAGAAGTCCACTCTCGATGAAGTGGACGGTGCAGATAAGCTTGAACAGATTCGCTCCAAGCACGAGAAATTCGTTGGACTTTCGTTCGACACTATCTCTTCAACTGGCGCAAATGCCGCTGTCATCCACTACAAGCCCGAAAAGGGTTATTGCTCGACTATAGATCCTAAGGCAGTTTATTTGTGTGATTCTGGTGCGCAGTATCTGGACGGTACGACGGATACCACGCGGACGTTCCACTTTGGCACCCCCACTGAATTGGAAAAGAAAACGTTCACTCTCGTCCTCAAGGGTCTCATTGAGCTTGATACGGCTGTGTTCCCCAAGGGCACGACCGGCTTTGCTCTCGATTCACTCGCACGTCAACACTTATGGCGACACGGCCTAGACTATCTTCATGGGACCGGCCACGGTGTGGGTGCCTACTTGGTAAGTCTAACATATGTAGTTCGTTACAACTCGAGATATTGACCTTAGAGATAGAATGTCCACGAAGGTCCTATTGGTGTAGGCACACGCATCCAATATTCCGAAGTACCTCTGTCCCCTGGTAACGTCATTTCGGATGGTAAGAATATTCTCTCTAGATCTTCTCTTTGAATGGGGTATTAACATACTATTAAGAACCCGGATACTATGAGGACGGAAAATTTGGCATTCGTATCGAAAGTAAGGCTTCCCTCCCCCCCTTTTGTTTAGACATATAGCGTCAAAATGGACTTGATGTACTCACAAATCCCCGCAGATATCATCATGGCACGCGAGGTTGAAACGCCTTATAAGTTTGGAGACAAGCCCTGGCTAGGATTCGAGCATGTCACCATGACCCCGATCGGGCAGAACCTCATTGAAACATCTCTTCTGACAGAATCGGAGAGACAGTGGGTGAACAACTACCATGCGGAGGTGTGGGAAAAGACGAGTGGGTTCTTCAAGCAAGATGAGCTGACCTTGAATTGGCTGAAGAAAGAAACTCAGCCATTGAAGTAGTCCTGTACAATTAACCAACGCATAAAGAAATGGCGGTAAATAATATATTCTGAATAGAACATCATTATGTTTTTTTGAGGTTCATGATAGAGAGTGTACGAGCCAAGAAATAAATAGCGGGCAAGCTCGTGTGGAGTCTTCCCGCAATGACCGCCGTGGCCCTTGAAAGTCGAGCCGTCACGCTGACCTGGACATCCTTGTTGTTTAACGGTGCCATTACTTTATACCCTAAATCAAGCGTTCTCTTCGTCCCTATCGAGATTTGACATCAGCACTACTCTTAGGAATATGACCGTTGTTTGGAGCATTCACCCCTAATCGGCCGCCGTCGCAAAAGAAGCCGCATTGCATTCCCATCGCCATCCATCCGCGCCCGCCTGTCGAGTTGCAACAGTCGAATGAAACTATAGAGGAAAGATACTTACGTCCGCCAGGTGGCAGAAACTGGTATGAGTGGTCGAAGCCCTTACGCAAACGGATACGGATATCCCTCCGACTCGGGACGCTCAGAAGGCGGAGGAGGTTATGGCAGTTCCAGCAGTCTCGGCGTGAACGGATACGGGGTAGCAAATAATGGAGGCGGAGGTGGAAATCGAGATCGAGAGCGACGTCCTGGTGGATATGGTGGATTTTACGATGAATCGCAGCGTCCCACGACATCGTCCTCGACTGCATCCTACCACGGTCGAGACCGAGATCGAGACTACGAGCGTGGCCGAGGGACCCGTGAGCGGCCTTCAGCGGCTTCCTCGTCATCACGATCGCGCCCGGGAGATGTGAATTCTGGCAATAGATGGCGGCAGGGAAGGGATGATACTGACTACACGAGGATCGCGCAAACAAATCGCTCAGATGGTGTGGCCGCCGCCGGAGGACGCGGACCTCAAACAATCGAAGGTGAGGAGATAGACCAAGCATTCCTGTTATCCCTATCTAACCCGGGACTTGAATTTTAGAGGTGCTTCAAGCTATTCAACGGGGCTGGGGCTTCATGGCAACAGAGGACTGCACACCGGTACAGGTAGCATTACAATTGATGGACAACAGCACTCTAGGCAAGGCAGATCGCGAACCCGAATTCCTACAAACACAAAAACAGATCCAGAAGACACTGAAGAGCATTGTCAATGAACATCACCAGGGATTCAATAGCTCCATCGGTACCTATCACAAAATACAGTCCAGTATCCATAGCTCTCAAAACCGTGTCCGCACACTGAGGCATTCACTTGAAGAGACTAAAGCTGGTCTGCTCACGACGAAACCAGAGCTACAAGGTCTGGCCACATCGTCCCAAGACTACGATGATATCCTGCAGCTCTTCAATCATATTCATGAGATACAATTGCTTCCAGAAAAGCTAGAACAAAGGATATCAGACAAGCGCTTTCTGGCGGCTGTGGATATCCTCCACGAGGGCCTTCGACTAATGCGTCGATCCGAGTTTGAGAACATCGGGGCTCTCACCGACCTTCGATCATACTTCTCCAATCAAGAAACATCTTTAACGGAGATTTTGATCGAAGAGCTACATGATCATCTATATCTCAAATCGCCTTACTGCCAAGATCGTTGGAAGTCGCCAGCCACTGAAGGTGAAGGGGCTAGTCTAGGCTCATCGACTGGAGGATCATGGGATAGGCCCGTATATGGCTTCCTTGCAAAGCTTGACGCGTCAGTTCCTATGGTTGAGGATTCTTCCCGCAATCCTGAAGCGGATACCTTTTATTACATTAACCTGATCATTGAAGCTCTGAATCGCATGGGCAATCTGGATGTCGCTGTAGACAGAATCGAGCAGAGATTGCCAGTGGAATTGTTCTCCGTCGTAGATAAAACAAGCGCGGAAGTGGACGCTCGCCATCCGAATCTATCGCGGGGCCTTTTGTCCAAGGACAATAAAACTGGGTTGCCGACGGAGATCAACGACCAGCGGGGCCCTGTACTGACGGAATTTCTCTTGAATCTATATGCCAAATTCGAGGCCATTGCTGAAGGCCATCGCGTCGTTCATGATGTGATAGTCGGCATTGTTGAGCGTGAAGCGGGGCTTAGAAGCACCATAGCAGATGGATTCAAGGAGTTGTGGAAACTCTATCAGAGTGAAGTACGCCGTGCAATAATGTCAAGACTGTTTTATTATACTAACACTGCTCTTCAAGATCCGATCTCTTCTACATGACTACCTTGCCACAGACGGCGATGATTCCTATCGAACGGTTCCGCGACAAGCGGATATGAGACGAAATTTCTCTTTGAATCAGAGAGATAGGACCAGGGTAATATACACCTTGAAGAATGAAACGAGAAGCGAAACGAGACTGGCTAACCGGAAATAGAAAATGTTCAAAATGTCGGATGTGGACCAAAAGTCGAGTGATATGAAAACTGAAAGAGACGAGCTGGATGAAATTTTGCGGTCTTCCGTTCCTGGTCTTGTAACCAAGACAGCTGAGAGAACCGCTACTGATGGTGGATCGAAAACGAAGCAAGGAAATTCAGGCACTGGCCATAAGCTTCTCATCCAGCCGAGTGTCTTCAATATGGGGCTTCTTCTTCCTCCTTCTCTCTCCTTCATTCAACGAATCAAAGACATTGTACCGGCCGATTCAGAAATAGTCATGAGTACTCTGACTTACTTCCTGGACGACTTTTTGGTCAATGTTTTCCAGCCACAATTAGAAGAAGCGGTCACTGATCTCTGCGCATTGTCTTTTATTGCTCCAGATGCCTTTGCGGAGGATCCCAACTGGGTTGCGGTGTCTCCAAAGCCAATATTTAAGGTAAGGCTTTTTCTGAATGGTTGTTTCTCCATATTGTGTGATTACTTTTCTCTAATATTCATTCATATTTCAGGGCACCGTCAACTTTATGTCTTTGGTTAAAGCGTTTAGTAAAATGCTTGACAGTATTCCCCACGACCAAATGTTCACTCAAATGGTGCTCAGTCAGATCGTTACCTACTACGATAAATGCTGTGGCTGGTACAAGGGTATGTTTGTATTTGCCATCTTGTGATGTAGCGTGTACTGATAACGCTTAGCCATGATTACACGACTGTCATCTCAAGCCAATGGAGGCACTCGACTGAAAATGCCTGCCTCGTTTGCCGATGCGGGTGAAATCCATGAAACCGTTAGAAAGCTGCTTCTAGGGAACGGCGACAGGAAATCGCTCATTGACAAGGTCGGTGCTCGCACTGGGATTTTGGGGTTATGTTAGACTGACATTAGTATCACCAGGAAACTGAATTGCTACTACAAGAAACAAGCGCAACACCGTTGGATGAATACGACCTGATATCCGACCCCAAGAATGTGGTAACACTGTCTCTACTACATAACAGCTTGGTAAGTAATGTCCTATGTGAACAAATATTTTCAGATAGACAACAATTATTAAGTATTCTCACTTATAGCAATGGCTTGTTAGCCATCTCTCAAAACTCCGGTACATCACCAATAGCACAGTCGACTCGAGCCGAAACGACTCAAAGCGGATGACGCATGCTCGCCGATGGACTCTGATCAGCAATATGAAGGGACGGCGGGACAGCGTCAGCCAGCCAGTGTATCTACCAATGAATAACGAAACCGTCGTCATCTTCGACAACACGCTCAACTCTATACGCAATCTTGCAAACAGCGCTCTCCTCGCTTTGCATATCGACGTTAGATGTAGGGTGATACATGTTTTAACCAAGGCAATGGCCGGGCCAGAAGGCCCGCAAATACTGGAAGCGACGCCTACGACTCCAGCTCCGAGTTCGAATACTAATTGGCATTTGATTCTTCCAAACTCGCCCTCGGCTGCGTCTCCGCAGGTCTTAGAACTGAACAACGAACTCATTGCAATCGATACCAGTCTCTCTTCGTACCTGGCGCCAAGCGAAGGGCAGTTCATTACATCAGGGCTAGCACGGTTCATCGACCAGACATTCATCTTCTGCACTCAGTACATTGGGGCGATGAATCACAACGGTGCACAGCGACTGCAACTCGACGTGCTTGTCCTGCAGCAAAACCTCAAGAACATCATTGTTCACAATGGCGACGACCAAGAGCCATCCGAAGTCGTTGCTCTTCCACGCAGCGCCAAATTCTTGGACTGGTTTATGGAAGGCCCACAGAAGGCATTGGACCACGCGAATGAAGAGAAAGAACTGTTTGCATCGCAGGGCGACAAGGCTCTCGCGGCCGGCAACGGCGAGCCGTTCACATATGAGGAATTGCGAGTGCTTATTGAGCTCTGTTTCTCAGAGATCATGCGCGGACCACGGGGGGAGCAGAACCGCGAGGATTTCATGGCTGCCAAACGAAACAATGGCGATGCCATGCTGCGATTGAGCGAGGTGATGTGGGATAGTAAGTAAAATCGCCCGATTCATTGATTGCATCGCATTGAGTGTGGTCTTTGGTTATTCGTGTTTCCTTTCTTTTTTTTCCCATAGTCTGCAATGCAATCATGTACATACGTATCAGATCGGCTACAGCCGCAAATGTCCATCCCTGCTAGCATAGTCCCTGACTATGTCCAACTGAGCTGCCAAGCGAAGCCAAGTGAGCCATATCCTTTCCACGTGATGGTCTAGACCGGCGCCCTTGGGATTTCTACTTTGAAGACTGGAAGAAACAAACGAGTCATATACAATGCATAGCTGACCTGACTGAATGCTACACAAATCCAATAGTGCTGGTAATGTCCCGAGGCCATCTGCCCGCCAAAAACGCCACCGTGCCAAAACACGAGCTGTGCTAGATGTATTTGCCCTGTACGGTAATTTACAGCAAAGACCACGTTACGTGAAGCCCAATTCCGGCCAGTAAGACGCTAGTGTTGGCCCATTGCATGCTAAAAATAGGGGCTATCCAAGCGGACGACGCCGTCTTCGGTATGGTATTTGCAGTACGGTATGGTATTGTTAATTTTGCGTTTCTGCGTCTTTTTGCTCAGGGACCTCGCACGAATTATCCAATCTGCACCGAAATCACGCAGCTAAATGGTGAAAGGCGTCTTGCTTCCTGCGCGGAGTATTAGTATTAATTACAAAGTAGTTAACTCATGCGAGCATTATTATATTATCCAGTGTAACACGTCGAAAGGTGTCTAGACCGCAGCACCAGATGACGTTTCATATTATTTTCCACGCGGCCTCTCTCTCCTCGGGTTCTCTTTTTCTTTTCCTTTTTTTTTTTTTTTCCCTCCTTTCCAAGTTTCTATTCCAAAAGACAACTTCAGTTTACTAAACACTGGACAATTGCACGTCTACTTCCACATCCGGAGTGCCTGTGCTCTTCTTTCCGTCTTTTTGCCTAAAGACTGCCACTCGTTTTGTTCCCGCTTTCGTCTTGTCGTAATTAACGCTCATTTGCTCCTTCCGCGGCTTTGCCCCCTTCCCCCTAGCCCGAGCCCGCTCTCTCACCTCACTCCCGCGCAATCATCGCCGTGTCCCTTTCTTCTCCCTCTTTCTAACCTCGAGTTCTCTCCTTCACCCATCGCCCCCTCTTCCGCCCATATTCAGCCCCTCGCGGAATGACCTTTATTGCTCGTACAGGTGCTCTCTTCAATGCATCTGTCGGTGGCCTTGTCAACATGATGCCAGCTCGAACGGGTTACCGTTCCTTCCTCTCGCTTACTGTCTTTTGCGTGCTATTTGTTTTCGCCTTTGCCGAGTTTGAATTTAAAGACGGGCCACCGGACGGCCGCATCGCTTGGGAGTTTCAGGGCCTCAGGGACGATGAGCTACGGTCGCAGGAGTCTAACCAACACTCTTTTGCAGTACGCTGTGTTTACCCCATATAAGCCAAGTACTATGAGGCTAACGGTTGGGGCCATTTACAGGATCTGAAATTGAATTTTAAAACACCGCAGGAAAGGTATCTTGAAGAGGCCAAAACGGTGACCACCAGGTCAGTTTGATCCGAAAAGGGGGGGGGGGGTGGATATAGTCGAGAGAGGAAGAATTGCCCCTAACATGTAACAACAGCGTATTCAAAAATTTCAAGTCTACTTTCAAGAGACTCAAGGTTCCCAATCCGCCATACCAGAACCCGCACATTTACGACGACCCTCGCGCCTCCGTCCATTCCAGCGAAACCGCGAAAGCGGCTAAGATCTATCGCCCTTATCCCGACTATAATAGTGAGGAATGGAAACGCACTCATCGAGGTGCCTTTGTCCCTTGTATGGGTCCGCGAGGCAAGAAACTTGACGAGAGTTTGGATGATAGTGTCGGCGTTTACGTCGGTATTCCAGAAGGTAATCCATCAAATTCTATCATTGCTATGCGGCTCGGCTCACTAAGTGTTTTACGGCAGGCTTTCCGGAGCCCACCTTTGGTTCTTACGATGTGATTGGTGTCGACGGACAGCTCTCCTACGACCGATACACCAGATACGCCGCGTACGGATACGGAGAAAATGAAGCCACGACCGATTGGATTCGCCCTGCCAAAGTAGAGTGGGATTCCGTCAATTGGGGTCAACTGCAACAGGAATGTGTTGAGGCAAATGCTGGTCGATACAATCTCACATCGAGCAACGACAAGAGCGGATTGACTTCTTGGTTCAAGCGTCGGTCCCGACCGGCAAATCTCATCAACCCCGATGCTAAGCCAGACAAGCGCACCGCCATCTTGATTCGCAGTTACACCGACAAGGAATATTCGGAAAATGACAAGCAAGTCATTCGTTCTATGGTTCAGGAGTGGTCCCTTCAGTCTGGTGGCGAATACGAGGTCTTCTTGCTCGTTCACGTCAAAGATGACAGCATCCCTATTCAGGAAGCAGAGGCTTATGACCGAGTGCTTCAAGACAACATTCCTCCTGAATTCTGGAATATGACAATCTTGTGGAATGTTCCTATGGTTGGTGAGCGGTATAACAAGCTCGATCCCGCAGTATTAAAGTATGTTCCCCTTCTCATTTGATGGGAGTTAGGTGTTGCTAACACTTCCAGCGTTCACCAATCCCAATGGCTTCCTATTCAACATTTCGTCCTAGAGTATCCTGAATTTGACTTTGTGTGGAATTGGGAAATCGATACTCGCTATACTGGTCATTTGTACGAGTTCAGTGAAGCAATCGCCAGCTTTGGTCGTAAACAACCCCGTCGTGGTCTCTGGGAACGCAGCGAGCGCTTCTACCTCCCCGCTATTCACGGCGGATTTGACACTGATTTCCGAGAGATGGTAGCGGAGAAAGGCGGATCTGGCGTCTGGGGTCGTCTGGGTTATGAGATGCAAGCAGATAAACTGCCTACGCCTAAGGGTCCATCTCCCCCTGTGCTACTACCAGAGGACGACAACTACGAATGGGGTGTTGGCGAGGACGCCGATTTCATTGGATTCCTGCCCGTTTTTAATCCTTACCGCACTAATTGGGTGCTTCGAGACGATGTGTTCGGATATCTTGGTACGGAAACACCGCGACGAGCAACCATCATCACGCATTCCCGTGTCTCAAGAAGATTGGTTCTCGCCATGGATGACGAAAACATGAACGGTCGCCACGTTGGCTCCGAGATGAACCCTCAAACCGTGGGTTTGCTGCATGGTTACAAGGTCACGTACGCGCCGCATCCAATTTGGTCGGATAAGCCACTTGCTCCTCGTCGTATGGATCGATGGTTCAACTCGGGCGTTAATGGAAGGTCGGGAAGTTCAATGGACAGCCCATTCTCATGGGGTCGTGAGCAACGATTCAAGGACTTGTCGTGGTACTACCGTTGCAACATCCCCGGTCGGTTGTACTGGAACTTACTTGGATGGGAGAAGGATACAACAGGAGGACCGGACGTGAGTGTTTTACCTCAACCTTTTTTTTCCTTGGTCATAATGCTAATAAAATATATAGTATGAAAAGCGCTATGGTCGCGTGGTGTTGCCGTCAATGTTCTTTCATCCGATCAAGGATGTGAGCCCCGATTCCGATAGCATGAACTATGATCTTCCAATTTAACGACTTACGTGGTGTGGTGTGATTCTGTTTTCTCCAACTTCATTACTTCTTATATTTCTCCGTTTTTTTTTCCTCGACCTTCCATCTACCGAGAGCCTACAACCGCATTTAGCATTATACATATCCGTCGAGCGGGCTGTTCTTCACATAATCTTCATCTTTTTTTCTTCCTCTTCTCTGTGTGTGTTTTAACTCAATATGGGGTTGGTGTTCCAGTGCTTTTCACTCCTTTGTGGAGTCGCCTCATCAGGCGTCTTTTGTTTTCAAGGTGTTTTCAGGATTTCATGTATCATACCATTCTGTTATTCTTGTGACATAGATTATAGAAACTTAGCTACCGGTCTTTGTGTGTGCAAAATTCTTGTTCACGTGTTTGATGTATGCCATTTACCTGATTTCAAAACCATGTCTCGATACGAGGATTTAATTCTTATTTTAACTACATTGAAAAGGTACGAAATTTATTATTCTGCTCATGGTTTCATTTGACTTCATAACTAATAGATCGGACAAAAGCAGATCAGGTGTACATAAGATTTTCTCTTCTCTAACATCAGTTGGCTGCCTATGATGTGGCCCATTCAGCTGCAGCAGTCACATTCTCGGCATAGATCAAATGCCATACAGTAATGATGTCTCCGTCATCACAAATATCGTCCTTGGAATTGCAGACGGTGTAGACATTTGACGAGTCGACGTTGGACATAGCTTCGCCGTCATCTATGAACAATCAGTCCGTCTCTTTTTCTATTTCTGTCTCTCGAGAAGAAGGGAAGGGACAGGGACATACCTGGGTCACCGAAGAGCACAACCTTGTCAATCCACGCAGCGGTGGTGGCATCAAGCTCCGAAATGGCATTGTGCACGATTTGGCAGCCTTGGGAATATCCACCGACAATTAGCTTGGTGTCTGGGCAGGAGGAGTATGCTTCTGAGATTAGGGAGGCCCTATAATACGATTAGCATAGGTTTTATTTCTTTCCTTGTTGTTCTCATAGGACAAGGCGGGGGACCATACATATTGTCAGATCCATCCGGATCCCCTCCTTCAAGATAACCCTCTACCGAAGCCGAATAATTATTAACCCCCTGAATAGTCAACCCATCCGTGCCCACGATGTCCTGCAACGCCCAGACCAACGGCGGTCCAACCAGGACGCCCATATTGCCCGGCTCAGCGGTTCCGCGCGCAAAGATAAGCGTGTATTCATCGCATGACGAGCCGTCAATCAGCTGGTTCTCCGTTGTGTTTGCGCCGGTCAGGTCTGCGAGCACGCTGTCGAGGTCGGTGATGACGCTTGTTGCGTCGACCAGAGGCTCGTCGATGGCGGGCAAGTATTTGAGGAGGTCGGCTAGGAATTCGTTTAGGAGTGTTTCCTTGCGCTTGATCTTTGAAAGGGACGATGCGGATGTCCCGGTAAGGGCAATGCCGGATGATAAGAATATAGCGAGAAGGGTGGTTGAATGCATGTTGATTTATATCTCGTTGGATGATTCTGATCTTCCCTGTTTCAAGTTCGAGGAAATTGCCGTTCTTTATATACATCCTCGAGTACCTGAATCTGCCTAGGTATCTAGCATACCTAGGTAGCAAGCAGGCCTGCCGAATCTACTCAATCATTCACATGCATGCATACGTAGCAGTACACATACGCTAGGTAGCTAGCTGCTAACAAGCCTTTTAAGGCACCCATATACATTGGATAGACACAGTCCCGAGTTGACAGATACAAGCGCCTAGGGAGGAGAGAGAATTAGTCCCGGTTTCATTGGTGCATAGTCATACGTACTCACGTAGTAGGCACGCAGCGAGAGGCACTGCTAATACCTAATAGGCACTTCTGCCGTTTAACCGATCAACAAGAAGATACGCCCATGATCAGAAATGTACAATAGCATTGTGGACAGTGTCGCAGCAGATTGCTACTAGCCTATTACATATCAGAGTATCTAGCTAGGTGCGGGCCCGGTACATATAGTACTATTATAGCAGCCAACAAGCAATAGAAAATGAATTAACCGCCGGAAGACGTGCATGAGAAGATCGACGAATGTGACATACGAATTCATCACGCGCAGCAATATTGCTTTGTCTCATGTCGTGTCAGGTTGTTGTCGGGCATTTCCTAATCCGGAGCTAACGAGCCCTAACCCATCAATCTGTCGGTCGATGTAACTCCGGAACATTGACGGGTCTGTTCACTGGTTTTCCAAACTGGAATGCTTGTATGGGCTATGTACCAGTCGGGCATGTAGGTATATATATAGAATTGCGTGCTATTCCCCGGGCTATTACCTAGTTACCTAGCTAGCGCTGTCGATTGCTTGTTGAGTCCTTCGGCCTTGCAGAGAGCGCTGCTGGACGCATGTCTTCCACTTGTTCCGTGTGTACCTAGGTACGTGCCTGGCGATCTGCTGTTTCTTGATATTTTCTAGATCCAAGGTGCCTATTAACTCCTCATTAGTAAACTTCCAAGTAACAGATACAACGGTGAAAGGATCATCAATGTTGGCAACTCTAGACACTAGGGTCTCCGGCAAATACAAGGCTAAATAACCCTAAATAGGCTCCCCCGCATGGAGTATACGTACGGTCCTTACGACATCTTATGTTGGTCTTGTTTAACAACGTAGTTGACTGGCTAATTGAGTGAACACGTGAGTACCAAGACCGTACTAAAGTAACAACCCCTGCTTTGTCCTTCCCCAGGAATAAATAGAATAGCCTGTGGGTACGGATGCAACTTGCGGGGAATCTATTGTGTATATGCTTACTTGAGCCGTTTAACTCCCTAATCTGCATACCAGCCTCGTACCTAAGTATAGTTGTCACCTTTTTCATCTTGAGGTATGCATGCCATGTATGGCTTGAGAACTTATCAGCACTCTAACCGGTTACCTGGTTACCTAGGGATGTGCTAAATCACATGTACCTGAAGAAAGTCTGGTGGAGAGTTGAGTCCTTCTTCGTAGATTCCATTCAATGTAACATCATCCACTTCAGATGAGTCACAAGGAGCGACATCTAGCCACGGCTAAACGGTGAAACTCTTATCTATGCATGTATGTATATTGCACATGTCAAGCAGTTAGACAGATCCTGAATATCATGCTCACAGACGCCGAGGTTCGTTTTCTATTCTCCCCAACTAATTCTAGAATTGCTACCAGCTACGTATATTGTGGCTCAACGCCTCAGAAATTAATTTGGTAGACGGCCGAGGTTTTCCCGTTTGATAGTTGCGAAAATTGACAGTGAGGCAGCGAGATATGGATATTGATGTAATTTATTCTGTATTCACTTATTTGATGGTAAAATTATTAGATCATTACGACGAAAGTAAACTAATATATGTCTATTTTATGTACAAACAAGGCTTTAATATTCCCAAAGTTAATCCTCCTCAGTCCCCGCCGACAAAATGTGCTCTCGAGTAATAGAACTCTGCTCACACATACTCCTGAAGATACCATCTGCATCAAACAATTCCAACGGAGAAGCGACCTCAGCTACTCTTCCATGGTCCATGACACAGATACGATCATAGCCGATAATCGTCTTCAGCCTGTGCGCAATACACAACAAAGTTCGGCCCTTGAATCCATCTGACATCGCTTTTTGGATCTTGAGATCCGTCTCAAAGTCAATCGAGCTGGTGGCTTCGTCGCAGATGGTGATTTTACTGTTGCGGACGAGGGCGCGCGCTAACGCTAGCAATTGGCGCTGACCGAGGGAGAAGTTGTTGCCGCCTTCGTCGACTAATGAATCTAGCGTGAGTTGAGTGGTGTTTTGATTGCCGGTTTCTTTGTTACTGTCACTGTTGTCGTCGACGAGATGTGCTTGCTTGAGAGCAGACCAGAGCTCTAGGTCTGTGCGAGTGTTGAAGGGATCGAGGTTCGATCGGACCGTGCCCGCGAAAAGGGTCGGGTCTTGTGGAATGATGGACATGTTGGATCGCAAATCATTTAACCCTATGGTGCTGATGTCTATGCCGTCTAGAGTAATACTGCCCACCGAGAGCTCGACCATTCGGTAGAGTGCCATGATAATGGTGGATTTGCCCGCACCAGTGCGGCCAACGATTCCGATTCGTTCACCAGGCTGGATATGCAAATTGAATTGTTGCAATGCATATGGCAAGCCCGGGCGATATCTGAGATGCGCATTCTGAAAAATGACCTCTCCCTTGCTGGGCCATTCCTTCGGAGTGTCGATAGTATGAGCAGGAGCTTCCTGCTCGATATCTCTTCCATAATAGTCAATTCTCTCAACCGAGTTCATGTTGTTATTGACATCAGCTGCCTGTCGCACCGTCATCTGAAGCATCTGGACACTGGATAGGAGGTATGACAAGACAAGACCACTAATACTGGGAGAAACGTTGAACCGCGAGGTCACTACCAGGATCTCGGTAACAAATACCAGAATGACACCAAGGGCATCAATTCGAACACCAAGCCAACGCTGATTGCCAAATGTTAAAAAGTATGCGCTGTCCGTGTCATCGATAGCATTGTTGATAGACTCAATGAACGAATCCGCCCGTCCATACGCCCGAATCGTTGCTATGCCATAAATGGCTTCGTTGAAACGTGCAAAAAGACGCCCTCGGAGGCGAGACTCGTGCTTCTGAATTTGATTTCCCGATGAGCTATAAAACATAGCGAGTCCTATATAAATCACGACCAAGGGCCCAAGAGCAGCCGCGAAGTAGTAGTAATAAGCAATAATGAGAATGAAGATACCGATAATCTGAGCCATTGTCATAGTGGCAAGTCGCATCGAGTCAGTCATATTATTATCCAAGGTATCGACGTCCTTGGAGAACCGGTTCATGATTCGGCCAAGAGGTGTAGTATCAAAGAAGGATATTGGTGCACGCAGAACTCGACGAATGGCGAATTTCAGCAGGAGTCTACTTGCTCGAGTGCCTGTGTAGGAGAGTGCTGTCGAATAGAAGAAGAGTAGTATGGCTTGGCCAATACCGAGGCCGACGTAAACACCAACCTATGATCATAGTCAGTCTTATTTTTTTTCCCTTCTAGAACTAGGCTCAAACTCACGTAGTCTGCAGTAGAGTAGCCGAACTTGTCGGATGTCCACCAAGACAGCCACAAGTTAGTAACTATACTGCCACCCTGCGACAAAATCAATAACAGCACGATAAGTGGAAGAAAGAGCACGGAGCCTGCGACAGCATAGTATCTTAGATATATGTTGCCAGATGCCCCCGTCCCGTCCGATTCCTCTTGTATCAGATCATTCTGTGGCCGTTGTTGTTTCGCAATAGATGCAACTTTTTGGACACTTTCCTCCTTCGCAGCTGGGGCTTCAGCTTCTTCTTCTTCTTCTTCTTCCTCCTCTTCCTGCTGGTCTTTATTCACCGTTGCCATCATCTCTTTGAATCTGTCATTGTTCGCAACAAGATTTTCAAACGTGTCATTTGCGGCTACCAATCCGTCTTCCATCATAATAATTCTGTCGCAATTGTGAAGAACATGAAGCTGATGAGTAGCGAGAACTCGAGCTTTATCCTTGAGCAATCCGCACAGAGCGTTGTCCATGATATTCCGGCCAACATGCGCATCGACAGCTGAAAGGGGGTCGTCCAGGAGAATTATATCGGCGTCGGAATAGATAGCCCGAGCCAAACTGATACGTGCCTTTTGTCCTCCCGAAACGTTGATACCTCGCTCACCAATCTGAGTGTAGCGACCATTAGGAAGAACTTCTAGGTCATGGCGGAGAGAGCAGGCATCAACCACCCTTTTAAACTTTTCCTCGTCGAGCTCCTGACCGAAAAGGATGTTTTCTTCTACGGTGGCATTCTGAATCCATGCATTCTGAGGACAATATGCTTTCGATCCGCCAACAGAGGCCTCTCCATTCACCTTTCGCATGTCGCCAGCTAGGGCTGCCAGGAAAGACGTTTTGCCGGAACCTACACCTCCTACAACACCTAGAAACTCGCCATGTGCAACTTGGATGTTTAGGTCGCGAATCTTGAAAGGCGTGCCTTCATTGGACTGCTGTTTGGGATCGTCTGTCGAGGTTACCTCACTGGAGTTTTCGCTTGTTTCCAAGGCCTTGGTATCTGTTTTCTCTTTCTCCTTCTCCTTCTTTTTATCCTTCTTTGCCTCCTTTTTCTCATTCATGCCCTTTTTCTTTGTCTCTTTTGTGTTTTTGGCAGCTCCCGGGGTATCTGTATTGGCTTCAACGGCGCTCTCCCATATGAACTCTGCATCTACTAGGGACAGAGCATTTGTTTCATTGAAGGCAACTGTCGGTTGCATATCGGGCTGTGCGTCTTCAGCGAGTAAAAATTCCTCGATTCTGTCTATAGCCGAAGAAGCATCCGAAACCAATGCTAGAACCATAGGCAGCAACATAACTGGAAGCCGAAGACCATTGAAGAGGGAGAGCGAGGAGAACACAGACGCAGGTTCCAGCGCATGGTGTGTGTAGGAAAATGTGATGAAAGCCAACATGGATGCGAACATGGGAATGGAGGTACCGATTGCGGTCATGAGATTTCTGATCATGAACATGACGCGCACGCCACGAATCTCGTCACTTCGAATTTTCGAGATACGATCCAAAAAGTCCGACTCCCAGGCGTAATATTTGACAAAGCGGATGGATTGAAGAACTTCCTGCGTCAGACTGACTCTCTGATCAGTGAGTTTGTTGATTCTGAAGCGAGTCTTGAACATGATCCGCACACCGAACGCCATGAGAGGGGTTGACAGCAAGAAAAGAACAATACCGGGTACGGCACTGTATGTTAGATTGACCAGAAGGAGGGCTATTGTGATCAGAACGGTAATAGGGATACACCAGGCGAAGTGAAACCAGCCGCAACACTTGTCAATACGGTTCGTATCGGTTGACATGAGGTTGATAATTCGGCCGTTGCTCCAACCTTGCGTGCTCGAATTAGCCTCCTCCTCCCCCAACTGTTCGGCATACCAGGCTTTTTCTTCCTCACTGCCGGGAGCGATGTCCGCAGGAGGTGTTTTGGGCGGTTTCCAGCCAGATTTCGCACGTCCAGAGATGGTCATGGCCTTGGCGAAGATGAGTGAAATAAGGGCAGCTCGAATTTGACCACCGACAACCATTCCTCGGTAAAAAAATTGATTGTTGCCCATACTAACCAGGATTTGCATGGCGGATAAGCCAAAAACCCAGCCGAGACCTGTACCTATATCAGGGGCTGGTGTTCCCGCAGCATGTGCTTCATATGCCTCTGTCGCATAAGCAATGAGATATTTTAAGAGGAATGGTAATATCATCTGCGTCACTCCACCCACGAGACAGCTTATACCGCCCAGGACGATTTCGAAGCGGAAAGTATCCCAAATCGCCGCAAGAAGGGCACGTTTAGAGCCTGCTTTGACCCTCTTTTGGAAATTCTGGTTCAAAGCTGGAGTTATGACGGCAATGGAGCGTTTTGGATTTACTCGAGGAAGATCTAGTTCTTCCAGTGGCCGCTGGTAACCAACCTGTAGTGATATGTCAGTAAATATCAAGTAAAATCCCCCAACCACCCCAAAAAGGAAGAGGATAGCATACAAACATGACATGATTCATCCACCACCAAGTAATAATGCTCAGGAGATTAGCGCCATGCTCTGGCGATTCCGCTCTCTCATCGGGAATCGGAGGTGGCCGACTGCGCTTGAGGGGATTGAGGCGTGAAAGCCATGATCGAGACTTTTTGGGGAGAGGGATGTCGCCCTCTTCTTTGGCGTCAGGCATCTGTTGATCCAACGCCAATCTCTCTCTCTCAGTCTGTCTATCTCTCTCTGCCCCTTTTCTTTTAGAGGAAATTGATATCTCGCTTGTTTGTATTAGACAATGAGGGTATCCATCTATTGATAAGATTTTGAATTAGAGAGTGACTGATCGGTGAGTGATAACTAGGCAGATTAGTTAATTAAACCAGCTATCAACTGTCCTGACGCCCTAGAATGCCGGGGACAAAATAGATGAATGCAACTCCGACAGTCAGCTAGACCGATAGATTAGGTATCAAAAGACTCCCCAAGCTCGTTGTGTGTATTCGATAGACTGTGCTTTTGATGAGAATCGTGGGAGTTCAAGACATGAAGGGAAAATCCAGGAGGAATAAAAAAAAGAGCGACGGGGCAAAAAAAGAATCAACTAGATAAGTCTAACGAACGAATCAAATCTCCCCGAGTTTTATGTATGTTATGTAGTACTCAGCATAAAATCCGCTACCTCCGCAGTGTGCTCGTAAACTTCCGTATATATTAAACGGAGTTAGAGGCAGCAGTGAATTCCGTCCGAGATAAATGCTTTGGTTCGGCGTAAAACAAATACGAGGAATCCGATTCGACACCGGAAAAGGCTTGCATTACTCAGGGAGGAAAGGTATAAATCTTATATTATGCGCCTCGGACGGGAGACGTGTCGCGCCCGACGCGGAGGATCGCTCGAGTTAGGCGGCAGCAGAAGAAAGTAAGAAAGAAAGAAAGAAAGATCAACGTATGACTCACGCTGGGTTTGCAATCCCTCCACAGCACGGAGTACAGCGTGGTTACTTGTTTGCGAGCAGGTGGAAGTCCGAATTCATTAACTTATGCGGCCTGGACATACCGCCTTCGGGACTTATGATTTTGCCGGCATAACAGCCGCGGGCGGTGTGCACTACAACTTGCTCTGCACATGTTCTGTACTCAGCGACGGCGCTTGAAAAACTTCCAGCGACCTCTCAAATTCATCCCAGGCTCCCTGCGACAGAATCGGCGCATCCACATATTCTCCTGCCCCTGTACCATCCAGCATCCCCTCCAAACGTGGCAAAACCGCGTTCAGCGCCCGCGATTCACGATCAAACTGCATTTCGCGCGTTAGCCCTACGTGCTGCACATACCAGCCCGAGTCTTGCATGATAACACCGGCTTCGTAGAGCGTCAATAAATCGCTGTCTATGCCCGCGTCGAGAGCCGCCTCGTAGGCCGTGCGGTGCCCGATTGCTTCGACGAGTGATTGGCAGCGGGGGAGGATGGCGTTATTAAATCCGACACTGCGGTGGCCCCCACTGGTGCTCATTGTTTGAGCCGCCGCCATACGACATTCGTCGAATAGACCTTGTTCATGCTGGGCCAAAAGACTCGATGGATCACGAGCTTCGGGCAGTTTGTATCGTCCTAGGAGTAGCTCGGCGGCAAGTCCTGGATCTATATCAGCAGATGACCCCATCTTCTTTCACTCCGAAGCATCTTAATCCATACTTATGCATAGCGCCGTGACATCTCCCTCGGCAATAGAAATACCCCGGACCTCGAGCTGATTCTCAATTATATGATTGTGCTTGAACAAGCCTTGGGCTCCGCACCGTTCCGCAAGGTTGAAGAGTGTGGTTTGGGTGGCAGAGTTGAGGACAGCCTTGAGCGTAGTGGCAATGCCATGGCGCACCGGCGTTTCCAGGTCCGGATGCATGAATCTTTGAACGCTGCACCGGGCATATGCTTCGAACACGGCGATTTGAGCGAGACCGTGCAAGATAGGCCGCTGCTGCGTCCGAAATGAGATAATAGGCGTCGGTTTGCCATCGAAACCTTGCACTTGTCGTCGAATGCTGTATTTTCCTGCCACGTAAACTGCACGCTTGATTGCGGGAATCAGAATCATTGATAGAGCCAGGGTACCGACAGTCACGCGTGAGATCACAGATAGGAAATTGAAGCGCATGTTTATGGGCCTTTCGGTTGAGCCGAGTAATGCTGCGGCTGGTAGTCGGACATGATTGAAGGACGTGATCGAGTGGTCGATAGGCTTTGACCCAGCTCGGTTGGGCAGTTTTCTTTTATACCCTGTCAACTGTGTGTGATGTATGTATGTTTGGTTAAAGAACTACATACTTGGATGTAATTCCATCACACATCTTTTGACCATCGTTCAGCCAGACTATGAACGGCCTCACACCGCGATCTTCGCCGGCAATAATTAATCGTGCCATAACTACGGCGACACGGGGAAAGCCACTCACTGGAGTGGAGGGAGGCATGAATCTAGAATGTGAGGAGCATTCAGTCAGAAGACCTCAAAATCTACCATGATTAAGAAGACTTACTTTGCTGAGTGTGGACTCGGTGAATGAAGATCAAACTCTCCGTTAGGAAGCAAAGTAGCCGTGGTCTCCAGATTCATTGCATCAAGACCGTGGCCGAGCTCGGTGAGCATGAATTGAGCACTTTATATGAGAGTTTTATTTAGCGCCCACTATTTCCGGGCTCCTCGGCGGTGCTGCATATTTTTGAAACTTACGAAACATCAAACTTCATGATGCGATCCATCAGCTCCTGCAGATCCGGCCTGTCGGCAGCATATGATCCAATTGTCCCTGCGGCGAGATTGTATTGAATCGTGACGAGAACAAACGTCGAGGACGCGATTCCGTGTATCAGGTCAAGATGATATTCCCAGAACTTGGGTGTGAGTTGTATCACATCCTCAACCGTCATTCCTTTCATGTCCCTCGGAATTACTATGTTGATACACAGTAATATCCCTTTCTTTGAGAAAACTCACCATATTCCCGCGCAGAGACACGAGCGCGCTCATATGCTAGACGTATCGCTTCATCTTCAGTTAAGGTATTAGACTGTATTTTGAACAGCTTATTCCGAGCCAGGCGGAGCGATGGAGTTGACATGATGAATAATACCGATGGGGGAAATCCAAGGACAAATCCGACTATGACAGGAATCCATGAGTGCGGTGCCCTTATTTACATAACTAAACCCACCATTTTTTGACCTCTCAGATGCCGCGCAAGCACGAGCAACAAGAGTACGAATCTAATGGGATGACATGACGACCAAGGCTCCACGGCCAATTTTCGAATACTCGGAGTTTGAAACACCGCCAGGCTTCTATCGTTAGAACTAGCGGTCAAGACCTAAAAAAGCAAATCGAATAGCAGCGTTCAACCTTATCAACAGTTCAAGTGTGACTGGCTGGCTGGGCAGAGCCAGCCTGGTGCGACCTCAGACATCCAAAGAAAAAAAAAAAAAAAAAAAAAAAAAAAAAAAGAGGTTGTCTGTTCACCATTAGATCTTGAATTGCTGCTTAACTTTAATATGAAATCTTGATTTCTGGCATGTGCTACGTATTCATATTACCATCCGGATCTACCACTAGTACGGCGTATAGGTAAGTCATTGGAGGATCGGATGATAATACCCCCCTCGACTTGCATATACGGGTTCGGAGATTCGTAATGCGTATCCTGCAGCTAGCGGTATGCATAATGCATTGAAAGACGTGTTTCGAAGTTTATTTTCTTCGAAAAGATAATGAGAAGGTACTAGAGAGAACAATTGACTGACGGCACGGAGTTCAAAGTAGCAATAGATCGCATTGCGCGGTCCATATATCTATTTCTATATTAGTAACTGACTGCTCAAGTGCTAGTTGCTAGTGGGAAGAAGAGGGCTACTAACTAACTAGTTAACTAGCTAGTTATGCATAACTAACGGAGTACATGTAGTTAGTTAACTAACTGGTTAGCAAACTATGGCCCATGGGATTTGTTATTGGCAGATTGAGGCCTAATCAATATTAGGGTATTTCCATTTTCTACGAGGAGATTGATAATTCTTGACTCGTAGTGCTCTTATCAAATCTTACACCAAACTGCAGTACCTTCGCACGTACCTAAATATGCTCACAGCATGGCATATTCGCTCTCGCCCATGTCAGAAAGTAACTAATTGCAATGACATGTGATGGTGAATTGCTAGCAGTCAGCGTAGATTCCTAAGAAACTAGTCTAATTCCCCGTAGTTAGCCTTCGTTGACTACAACATAATATACGGTAATAAAATGAATGGGCAAAGTGGAACAAATCGAACAAATAGCTGGACTCATCTCAATTATACCACCAACACAAACGAGTAACAAATCGCAATAGTAATACGTAGTATAGTAATGAAGATAACGATATAAAAACAGAATTAGTCATGCACCCAGTTTCGCCTGGCCCTTTCCCGATAGTAGTAACAAAGAAACTTAACAATCAGTTAAAGCATGTAATAAAAAGAAATGTAACACGACAATCGATTTACAACTATGCCAGTGCATGAAGGAATGTCGAAGTACCTGCCCCAGAGTACTAATTCAACGCAGTATAGCCGAGTCCTCGGTTTAGAGAAAAATAGAACTGTCAGAGGCTCGCCACAAGGCGATCAATCGGCAACGAAACTGAGGGGAGAATTATAAAATCGCAAAGCGTCAGAGGTCATTTATCATTGATATTGCGCAAAGAGAAAGAGGGAGAAGGAAATTCTCCTAGGAGCTCTGAGTATGGTCAGTGTCCAGTTGACCCCCTAGGTCCTTCTCGTCGTCATAATCGTCGAATTCGAGATTCGCATCTCGACAGCGTTGAATCCACTTCAGTGCAATATTGCCTCGACGGCTTGCCTCTGCCTTCCATTTCTCGTTTTGTGTACTGATCTCAGTTATGGCTTGTTGCGTTGTGAGATTGGTGTGTTCCCAACGCGTGCTCATCTGCTTTTTCTCCTCGTGCAACTGAGAAATATATTCTATAGCGCGTGATAATATGGCCCCTTTATTCTTGTCGCAATTAGGCACTAGCTGAGCAATCTGGTTGATACCTTCATTAATAGTCTCACGACGGCGGCGCTCAACTGCACAGATCGATTAGAAACTCTTACGGTCAATGTAATCAGAAGAGCGAACGGACCTTCTTTGTGATTGTTCTTGCGCAGAGCATGCCACTCTGGCGAGCCAACGGTGGGCTTCGTGGTCATGCTCTGGGCTTCACGAGCCGCGTAAACAGCAGCAGCCGTTGATTCATGTGGCGTAGCATGAGAAGGAAGCCCTCCAGTGGCATGGGTGAGCTGGTCGCTAAATGGCAGGCCATGCGTAATCTGACCGTCGAAGCCTGTATCCGGGCCGGGCTGGTACTTATTTTGTGGGTTGGCAGCAAGCGCAGCTTTCGCATTCGCGGTAAGTGTATTATCGTCTGTCATACCATTTGACTGTGCCACATGGGTGAGGAGCTGTTCATCGATGTTCAGATCGGACGCTGTGGTGTCATAGTGGCTTAGAGAATGAGTGAAAGCCTGTGCATCATTAGGTCCAGTCAGGCCAGGGACGCTGCCATTGCTGCCACTGTGGGAGGTCGCCAAGCGCTGAGCATCGGATCCGGCGCCGTCATCTTCGCGCTTCCGTTTGTTGCCATTAGTATCGGACATGATGCTGAAGAAAGGTGGCTCGTGTGTTCAATCTAGATAGATCCATGAGTAAGCTGCACGCGACGAAAGCGATTTGGCCGTGGAGGACAAACCAAGGTGATTGGTCGAGTTGCTTCGCGTCTTGGGAATTGCAGAGTTTGCTTGAAAGCAGTTTGGTTTAGCTAGATGTCACATTGATTCGTAAGCACGAAAGTGAATAAATGAATAAAGATAAATGCGCTTGATGCGAGCCTAGCAATTTACTGCGGGGTTCCAAGGTAGGCCAGGACGCGTCGGTAAACAGGCATGCAGACAACGAGTGGCAACAGGAACGATGAGAATTTCGCAATCGAACTCTTTGAATATCAGAAAGACAACGCAAGGATTTCTTTTAATGCTTGGTGTTTCCCTCTCACATGACATCAGAGAGCTCGATTGCTTTATCATACAATGCTCATGGGTCTGCTACGGCCCTATGCGACCGTGCAACAGACGCGACCGAAAGCAAAACATCGTCGCGGACCATGAGCGATGACCTGGCAGCCGTGTCCATGGCTCCGTAGACGACGTCTGTTGCGTAGATAGCTGGTGGAGCAGCGAGGGGGAGTCTGGCAGAAGGGGGAGGGGAGAGGGACTTCACACGCGTACCTTGGAAGGAATCGTTGTTGTCTCGATATCACCTGACAGGAAGTCACGGGAAATCAGGTGAGTATGGGCCGGATATCTCGAAACCGAATTGGGTAAATTCGAGAAATAAGTTCACGGAGTGGTTAAAAAAGCGCGGAGAAAGGTGTTTGAAGACCGTCGCAAATGCAGGATCTTAGAAAATAGCGAAAAATGATCAATAAATCGGTATGGGACAATGGAGGCCTCGAAGACTGAGAAATCGCGAAGTCAAGTCAGTAGGAAGAGAGGGCGGGCTGTTCACGTGGTCGCGGAAGACACAGGCAGAAACCGGCTGCGGCGCGCCACACAGACCAGACGCGCCGAAAGGGTGCCCGGCATCACCTGACCCGGGTCTCTCCGGCCAATAGGCTGACGCTGACTGTCTTCCGTCGCTCTGCACAACCACACCACTTTTTCTATTTTTTTCCCCTCTCGTTATATTTTATATTATTTACTTATTAACTTCTTCCCCCCTCCAATTTTCTAATTATTCAAGTGTGTGTATCGACGATGGTTCTGATCATGTGTGACGATCCCGTGGCTCAGCGGCCACAATGAGGAAACAGACGTTGATTGGCCTGAGGCGGCAATGAAGCCCACACGTGCCGGCCCTAGCCCTCTAAGGTAGCATCTGGACATCTGGACATCTGGAGAATCCTTGTTGTGCAGGCCCAGATGCAGGCAGATGACTGTTTGACCCAGATATGTGAGGACTGTTGTTTTGTCTTTGAGCTTCGTGTTGCTATCGTTCGCGTTTAGAAAACAAGCAATTTCTCTGTACATACTGCGTAGTCGGTGGTGTTCGTCTGGACAAGACTGGTATAGCCTCAATTTTTGAGGTCTCAACTCGACTGCAGATATCGGGTGTACCCCACAGCCATTAATTATGCCGGTGCATCCCTTGGATGTCTGGTTAGTAATGGGTTGGAGGTGATGGTCGATAAGTGAATGTCACATGTGAGCTGATATACACTAACTATGTACATTTCTAAACGACTGAAGACGTGTGTGTGTGTGTGTGTGTGTGTGTGTGTGTGTATCACTCGCCAGTCAGGGCCGTGTATCAACTGTGTCGATTCTTAGCCCTGGCGAGACGTGATGGGTGACATACTCAAGCATTTGAGAGATAGATCGACGTGTGAAGCTAGTTTATTCTAATATGTAGTAGGCAACTGATAAGCAGGCATCTCTTCGCTTTTAACCACTAGTTTTGCTTGCTTTAGTCAGAATCTTCAATGGTCCAGCTGGACGCAACACAGTCACATGAGCCCCATCACACATGACTCATGCCAAGAAGTTCATCGTTTGGGCAATTGCATATCGAATTTCCTAATACGGCAATCACTACTCGACTCACTTGTTCACCTATGCGAAAAGAAAGTGTCGAGTGTCACCCCAGACCCTGGCTTGTTCTACACCAGCGGTAAGCAAGTCAGGGTCAAGAAAAGATAGACAAATGCGAATGAAATATCTTCTTTTCTTTATATAGCTATTAAAAAATCAGTCACTTTCGTCTTCATCAGTCTTTTTCGTGACGAATGTCATTTCTGGCTCTGATGCCGTATCAGCAAAGCAAATTCCTTCCTCCCTAGCCCCCTTGATACCCCAGCAATGGATTTTGATATCCAGTGATGACGACGAAGTTGTACTATCCCCTGACGTTTCTTTGGCTTCTGAGTGGCCCTTATGTGTCTGTGTGATTGCAACAATAGTGCTCGTTCCGGCATATGTTGCTGTAGGTATAATGCTCCCGGCCCCTCCGTCCTCAACGCCAGTGCGATTAGCGAAGACTAAAACGACCTTTGTTTCTGTCGGAGTACAGAAGCCATCTAACTGTCTATTGCCATAGTCTATTCTCTTCTCAAGTAGAGGCCAGAATCTCTTTAGCCAGTAGTTAAACGTGTCCATATCAGGTAAACGCTCATGCGTTGCCATGATAGTAGTTGGGTCGGTTACAAGCCAAGCAGCGGACACAATAACTAGATGTGACTGGGAGTCCAGCACTCTATTGGCAAATTCCCATGCAGTAAACGGTGCCTCAAACTTATACGGATTAATATCCATACAGATTCCAAATGTAGTTGGGATATGCACGGTTTTCTCAGAGGCAGGTCCACTTGCTGCGTGAAATTCCAGGGATTTAAAACTCCATTCTGCTTCCCCTTCAGAGGCCCATGATTCGTCCGTGTAGTATAAGAACCGCTTTCGATAATTATGCACAATCTGGCCTGCTTCATCCACAACAAGCATGGAATTATATAGCTTCACCGAGCTTGCGGCAGAGTCTCCATCCGATGTTGTTGACGGGCCTACATGCTGAACTTCAGGGTACCCTACGCAGACCTTACATTTGAGACGCTGTGCTGTTCTTCGTGCCCACTGCGAAGATGGGCCTTGACCTTGCACCTCTAGATAAGGTCTGATCGCCTGGAGAGACGCGAAATTGTAACCTGTGTAACTCACCAGTCGTATCAGCGTTGTTATTCTTCTTTTCCTTTTGACTCTCTCAAACATAAAGGTTCCTTACCAGAAAACGCCATTTCTGGCAGTACAAGAATGTCAGGCCGCAGTTCATCGATTCCTAGCTCTTCAGAAGCATCTTGATTGCCCGCCTCCAACTTCAGCAATCGATCTGCTCGCCTGATATTTTGCTCGACATCGCCTAGTTGTGGCGCAAACTGCAGTGTGGCGATCCTCATTCCTTTCGTGAGATTATTATGACTATTACCAAGATAGCTGAGCTGTCTCAATTTGCATTCGAATAACGTTTTGGTAGATGCTGTTGATGGCAGCGGTGATGGTAAATTGAATGTTCGAGCAGATCTGTGTGGCCGTAGCAGAGCTTGTCCAGCGCTCTTATATCCTCTGAACGATCTCAAGGATATCTGATTTGTAGAATATTGGTGACCAGTAATCCTAACACGTATTATAGAACGGCAAAGCTGCATTGACGCGCGCTGAAATAGATCTAATTAACGCCGCTTTGAAATCTGGATGGTTGCAAACGCTGTTCCTTGGCAGACTTAATTCCTTTCCCCCCCTTCTTTCTTTTTTTTTTTCTTTTTCAATCAGTCAGAGAGATTCGCCAATTGTAAAGCATTGCGATTCCGTCCGTACTGCACTTCAATATGGCATATACACCTGTTAGTAGAATTGAAAGCGAAAATTGACATTGTCTTGATATGATGGCTTGGAGCAATGCCAATAAGCGTGGGGCTGGTCATGTGATGAATTGTTTTCCACGAAGGGTAATAAGCTTTATTCCCAATCAATCTACATTCGTGCGGTAATGAACTAGATTATTTGTTAAAATACATATACAACCCAAAGAATAGTTAGTTGTATGCTATTTATATTGTTAATTGCAATGGAATCATAGCTGACAGACCAAGAGGGCACACATACACAAAACAAAAACAAACGCAAGCAAATCCAATAACTCCATTACTATCAAGAACATATAACTCTCCATCCATAGACATATATATGTACAGAAAAGAAAAATATCAATGACTGTGCCGCTCAGTGGCACATGAAATCGGTAAGACAGAAAGAAAGTTTGCCTCAAGAGTCCGAGCTCAAGTCGAATTTAATTTTGTCCGATTTTTTAGTTAACTTGTCTTTATCTGGTGTCAGTTGAAGTGGCTTATATGCTAGGCCCTTTCCTCCGGTGAACCTTAGACGTTGCTCGGTGCGAGATAGAGTACGACCGAGACCAAGCGGCGTTTCAGGCGCCAGTGCAAGATCGTAACCATTGATACAGGCATGAGGTGATGATGATGACTCTGATGATGATAACGTACGAGATCCAGAATCAAGACTCCTTCCAAAATATGTAGAAGAACGGAGGGGGTCCACGTAAGAATAATCGGAAGCTTTGCCGAGGAGCTTCGGACCACTTTTCAATTGTTCTGCCGCGATACGGGCAGCCGAGAGGAGCATTTCATCCTCGTCAATTTGTGATCTTCTAGATGACACAGTTTCATCTTGGACAGGCTCCTTGACCTGGGTCAGTTGCTTGACTTTCTCGAGGATTGGAAGCGTCGGAAGTGGCGCGATGGATGCTAGAGCAAGTGATTGTTTCTTTTGCTTCCCAGGCGGAGGCTTCGATTTTGATTTGACAACCTTCTCACGTCTTACTTTCGGCTTGTCGACAGGCACTGTTTTTTTTTCACGAGGTTGTGTTATTTCCTCTTTTTCAGCTTCCAGTGGCCGCTTCCTATTGACTTGAGATGTTCGATTATCTATTGCTGATTGCCTCAAAGTTTCAATCCACGACTTGCGAAAATCTGAGTCATCAATTGAGCTTTCCGGCCTGGGTAAAGGTTCAGTGACCGGTAAGACGCTATCTGCACGTGAGTCATCAACTAGGGGTTGGTCTTGCTGCAACTCAACAGCAGATTCCACGCTCGTGAATTCCTGATTGGAATTCGTTACCAAATTGGCATTCGAGGCAGAAGAAGGCAGTGACTGTGATGTCATCTGCGTTTTTGAAGAGACTTTGTCTTCCGTTTCGACATGGGAAGTTGTTTGCTCTATTTGCTGTTTCTGCCGCGAAAATAAGCCATTAGGCGCGGGAGTACTAAGCGTCACGGGTGAATTTTGAGATGGCAGTGACTTGGAGAAGATCGAGTCTGATGCTACTTCTGATATCGTCGGAGAAACTTTGATGTTTGACGTTTGAAAGGAGAAGGGTGATGACGGTAATACGGGTGCCGGTTTTACATCATTGGTGGCTGCTAAAAGATCAGGGGCTTTGGAAGCTGGATCTGAAATCTGAGGATTTGGTTGCCATGAGAAGAGCGGCTTTGAAGTTTCAGCATATGTGCTGAACGGAGGGGCTTCCGGTGTAGAGTTTTGAGCAGGAAAGAGCGGCGTTGTTACCGGGGAGGTTGAGAATGAGGACTGCGGCTTCAATTCCACAGTGGTTGTCGAGAGATCGGGTGTCTTGAAAATGTTGGCTGAGGTCCGAGAAGAGGAAGCCCATGAGGACGTTGGCTTGGGTTGTTCAACAGGTGCAGTCGCCGTTAATGTAGTCGGATTTATAGATGAACTTTGAGTTGAGGCTGCACATGAGAATTGTGGCTGTGACGTGTTGGCGGATATCGTTCCTTGAGAAGGAGCCGATGTTGAAGCAGATATTTGAGAAAATGGTGACTGCGAGGGGCCCGAGGCCGATGTATGGGTCGATGCACTAAACAAGGAATTGGTCGCAAGAAGAGGTTTGGCGGGGGTATCCGAAGAGGGTATATTGACGAATGGACTTGTTTGAACTGTTCCAACGGACACAGCAGGTGGTTGGAATAACCCAAAAGGCTTGTCAGATGTCACCAATGCAGCAGGCTCTCCAGTCGCAGGTTGCAGTAAGGGCTCTGAGTGATCCTGAAACAAGCCTGTTCCTGCATGCGGAGGCTGGTCGTTTTGGCTGACAAAAAGCTCGTTGTCATCTTCATCTATTGGGGTCCCATAACCATCGGCAGGTAATAATGAAGTATCGATCATACCACGAGTAGCCGCCTGCGCGATATTCAGTCCAAGAATGATGGCAGCAAGTGTTCTACCACCACGTTTTACCTCGACATATTTCTCGGAAAAGGAATGGCGCGAAGAGGGTGCGAAATCTATTATGTACCGCATTAGATAAATAAAAGGTCAAACGGAGTGGCCGAACGTACCGACGATATCGATGCTGCTTGTCCCCCAGTTGAGATACAGTGATCCGTCAGTTCTCTCCATCAGTTGAAGCCCTTGCTCTTCGCAAAACTTCTCTGCCTGAGACTCATCATCGAAATAGAGTGCACGAGTAAGCTCATCTAACGTCCAATCTTCGTTCTTATGTTGCTGAGAGATGGGGACACGACAATAAGCCTTCCAGATTGTGCGAATGGCAGTCTGTCTAACATTATTAAAGTATATCTCCGCGACACAACCCATCAAATATGACACCGATGGAGAATCCACGAGACCGAAAAATCTGTCATAGAATCCCTGAGAGATTGCATTTGGCCGTGTTGTGTCCAGAACAATCTGATATTCCCAGTAGTTATTTGCAGCAGCTAGTAGCTCCAAAGCAACCTGGACTTTAGGGCTTTGAAGAATCTCTTGCGGCCATTTTTGCACACGATCTTCGATGTCTGGGCGCTGGTCGTGAATGGCCAAGACAATGTAATATGCACGAAATTCCGGCTCATTAAGAAAATCAATGCGCTCCCTGTTATCATCATAATAGTGCATCAACGATAGCATTGTGTTGTTGAGCTGTTCTCGTTCTTGATGATGGTCGAATTGTTCTTCATTGTCGGGGGAGGAAAGCAGATGTAGCGAAATGATGTGAAAACGGGCTATCCGTTCCAGACATTTTACCGCTATTTTTATATCCTCTACTTTTGTGAGTTGTTGGACAGAAAAATCGTTTCTTATAGACCGTGTCCGATCCCACACAAATTTATGTATTAGGCCGAGGGGGTCAGGACCGCTGACAACATGCCGAATAAGGTAATTCATGGATTGAAGCAGAGTGTTCGGTGTGCGAATATCAGATGGTAGCTGTTCATCATAGCCTGCTGCAGACCGCCTAAATCTTTTCAGCATTTTGAGTTCTCGGACTTCAAGTGAGTTGGTGGTCGGATCGAGACTCTGTGCATAAGATCGAAACGTTAGCGGGATGAAACCGAAAATCATCGCATACTGGCTGCTATACCTTTTCGCTTTTATCAACCATCTTTTGAACAATCCTCTCCACCCGCTCAAATTCTGGACACATAGTGGTACACGTTCCAACTGGCGTTATCGCTTTGTTTAGTAGAGTTGGTTGATTAGGATCGGCCATTTGACCTTGTTTAATGGCCTTTTCTCGTTGCCTGACCCGATCAAGTTTCAACTATGGAAAAGCACCTATTAGTCATCGCCGCGGTAACTAGTCGTAGCTGGTTATCGTACCTTCTCATAGCGTTCTTGGTAATCGACAGTTTTCGTGCCACCGGTGGGATTCAGCTCAACTATTTGTTCATTGGGGGAGCGTCCTTGGGAAATAGCCTTACGGCGAGGCTCCCTCTTTGGCTGATTAACATTTCCCTTCGGTTGGTGTGCGATAGAAGGTGTTCCGAACCCATTCGAGGTCATACTTCCTGGATTGAACGACGGCTTCCCGAATACGGAAGAGCTTTGCGACCCGTCAACAGGTGACGAGGCTGTAGGGCCAAAGCCCCCCAAAGCATCATTTTTAATCGCAGCGAAGGGTGAACTTGAAGCGGGAATATTGGCTGGTGATTCCTTTTCAATTTGAGCTCCATTAACGCTGGTTGTAGGTCGGCCAAGTTGGGCATGGCCTCTTCCACGGCCTCGAGCTGCGCCTCGGTTTGACTGGATTCTAAATCCAGTCGCGCCATGTCCTCGAGGCCGTCCACCGCGTCCGGAAGTTAGTGCATCTTTGTGGCCTCCACGGGTTGCGCCCAAAACGCTCCCTAGTTTAGGCATGGGTCGGGTTTGTTCATCGAAGGGTCTGCGGGAAGAAATTCAACGACGATAGATCCGCAGCTCTCTGGATAACCACGATGAGCAAAGGGATAAATATCGCCTCTGATTTATCTTCTGGCACTTTCGAAAAAGAAATAGGTCGCAACGAATAGGTCCCTGCTCTGGGCGCTGTCGTTAGAGTGAGCAGGGCCTCTTGGTTGAATGGGTTGATGAGTTTGCTGAGCTGCGAAACCGCGCCGCCGACTTCATTGCGTCGGCGCACGGACCACCGCATCGATAATACCGTTTTTGTTGATAGGGTTCTTTTAACTCTTGAGTGATTCCCACCCAGTTCTCATCTTTATCTGCTGCGAATTCATTCTTCTAATCTAACTATTTGCAATATTGATTATTAGTAGCAAAATGCCACGGTCTGCCCTCTGCCGTAGGCAACCTACCTGGCGGCCCTTCGTCATTGAAGAATCTAGCGCCGTTCTATGCGATGGCCTACGACACTCCCCAATCCTTGAAATCCTTCCTGGCGAACTTTGAGACTCGCAAGCTCGGTGGCAAACTGTAGTTTGCGTGTCTGGTCCCAATCATCACGGTAGCATAAAATACCGAATAACATACCAGCGACAAATGTGTCACCGGCGCCTATTGGACTGCACACGTCACTTTTGGTGTGTGGCTTGAATAAGGATGATGGACTTACTCCACAACCTCTGCGTTTGGAATCGCCAGTGCAGGCATCGATATACAGGCGTTCTCAGGCCGTGTCAGCAATGCAGCGCCTTTGTCGCCCCATGTACAGCATAAGTATTTCCTATATGGAACGTATTAGGAAATGTTCTCAGAAACCAGACGTCAATGTCTACCATACGCTTTTGGTAAAACAGTAATCTGTGCTTCTAGACATTTCTCCATGGATGAATAGCCAAATGCTTGGGCCCAGCTTTTGGCATAAAAGACAAAGTCTGCCTCAGCAGCAAGATTTTCCAGTCCAAGACGATGCGGGTTCTCAAGTTCAACACTGATTAATGCCGACGGCTTTATCTGCCGTATGTATAAAATGCACTGCAGGGTGACTTCTGGAACCCTTCCCTATTGCGAGCTCTAAGAGACGTGAGATGGGCATAATCGGAGAGAAGACATACCTCAAAATGAAAGCAGGTATCTTCTATTGACCCAAGCTTTTCCACTGAAGACTTGAACTCGTCGAAGGTCATCTCCGGCAGTTCGTTGTAGTTGACAATGGTCCTGCTTCCCGTTTCGCGGCTCTTGAATACGTAACAAGAAGCCGGATCAACTAGGTGTTGACGGTAGATACAACAAGAACAGTTCACATCGGATCCGAGAGTTTGTGTGATGAATCTCGTGCTCATCGATTCGCGCTCTGGAAGTACGCATATGAGATCCAGTGACAGCTTAGATTGAGTAAGATCTACAAGCTGCTGCATAACCTCAAGGGAATTAGGGCAATTTCCTCCGCGGCGGCGACTCATGCTCGAGGCGCGAAGCTTTTCATCTTCTTCAGGGTAGTGATCCACACTACGTTGAAATCAGCATTATTCTGTAGATATAGGTAGTAGTGTTGGATTCGGTCAGCATGCCTGAGAATAGTGTCCACATAACAGACGCCAACCATAACCAAGCGCATTTTGGTGAATAACTGGATAATGATCTTGACTGGACAGCCTAGCAAGCCCTTCACGAATGATCGCCTGCCTGTCAGCTTTCTCTGTCAGGAGCGCTTTGGAGAGCACGCTGCCAATCAGTGCGTGTTCAAAGTTGGTTACTAAGCCGTCGCAGCCTCAGGAAAGGAAATCTCGGAACCGGGGTCTTATCTCCGAGCCGCTTGCCCCGTTTTGGCTCCTTCTCGCTGCGTCGGTCAGTCACGGCTGCCTGCGCCAGTCGGAGAAATTTACGCTATCATCAGCTTTCCCTGAGAAATTCCCTGCTCATCTCTTCCTTACCATCGCCAGGCATTGCATTGGAGTATACTCTTCTCAACAGGTATACTCTGATTGCGACAAAAAATGATCGATGACAATCCGCAGGCCGTCATAGGTAACGACCGTGGTTCTTTGGGCGCTTCCTTCTACACCGCCGCGCATCCGCTTGATGCCCCAAGCTCACGACAGCCATTCTGTGGCAGCATTGAAGGATGGGGTCCTCTCAGTCCAGACAGATTTGATCTGACTCCATGCTTTCTCGACGTCCCGGTCGCAGTTACTGCTGCGTGGGGCGTCCTCTTGGGTGCTGCGGCATTGTGGCTCTTGTTGAAAAGGCGTGGACCACAACAGGTCCCGAAGAATTGGCATTTCTATGCTAAACTGGTAGGTTCCATTTCCAACCATGATCTATGGCAAACAGCTAGTCTAACGAGGGTGTGTCCGTTAGGTTGTCCTGGCGCTTCTGATCGTAACAACAGCCGTGCAAGCATGCATCCAATTGATAGCCGACCCTCAACTTTACATTGCTGATTTTCGATTTTGGGCCAATATTTCAACTCTAGCTTCGCTTGCCGTGATTTTTGCTGTTCAATATTTCGAACACTGGCGAAGCAGACAACCCAATGGTGTCGTTCTTTTCTATTGGGTATTCTTTGTCATCGCGTATAGCGTCAAATTGCGATCGCTCGTTGCCCGCACAGTATTTCGCGATGACCTCCCTTACTTCATCGTGTTCACTATCAGTTTAGGCCTCGCCGTTGTTGAATTCGTCCTTGAGTACTTCGTCCCAAAGAAGCAGAGTGCATACGATGCTCTGGGCACTGAAGACGAATGTCCCTTCGAATATGCGGATATCTTCTCCGTCCTGACTTTCAGCTGGATGACACCGATGATGAAGTATGGTTATAGGAATTTTTTGACTCAAGATGATATGTGGAATCTGCGAGATCAAGACACCACAAAAACAACGGGCAGCTTACTAGAGCATGCATGGGAACTAGAGCTTAACAAGAAGACTCCTTCTTTATGGATTGCCCTCTTCCGGGCCTTTGGGGGTCCGTATTTTTGGGGTGCCGCCATTAAATGCGGTAGCGATGTTCTTGCCTTTGTACAGCCGCAATTACTGCGCCTCTTAATTGCCTTCATTGACTCCTATCGGGGAGACCAGCCACAGCCGGTGGCTAGAGGCGTTGCTATCGCATTAACCATGTTTGCTGTATCAGTGGCCCAGACAGCATGCCTTCATCAATATTTCCAACGAGCCTTTGAGACTGGCATGCGCGTCAAGTCATCTCTCACGGCTGTTATCTATTCCAAAGCTCTTAGGTTATCAAACGAGGGCCGTGCGTCTAAGACGACCGGTGATATCGTTAACCACATGGCGATTGACCAGCAGCGATTGGTGGATTTAACTCAGTTTGGTACACAGCTCTGGTCTGCTCCTTTACAGATTACTCTGTGTATGGTCTCGCTCTACCAGCTCGTAGGTAATAGTATGTGGGCTGGTATAGGAGTCATGATTCTCATGGTACCCGTTAACGGTATTATTGCCCGAATGATGAAGAAGCTCCAGATTGTCCAGATGAAGAATAAAGATTCTAGGACACGTCTCATGACTGAGATCTTGAACAACATCAAAAGTATCAAGTTGTATGCTTGGAACAAGGCTTTCATGGGAAAATTGAGTCATATCCGTAATGACCTTGAGTTGAACACTCTTCGGAAAATCGGTGCAACCCAAGCTGTGGCGAATTTCACTTGGTCGTCTACCCCTTTCTTAGTTTCTTGTACAACCTTTGCGGTGTTTGTTCTCATTGACAGCCGCCCTTTAACCACTGATCTTGTATTCCCGGCACTGACTTTATTCAATTTGTTGACTTTCCCACTTTCCATTCTGCCTATGGTCATAACCTCAATCATCGAGGCATCCGTCGCCGTGAAACGTCTTACAGACTATCTTACCTCCGACGAACTACAGTCTGACGCTGTTATCTCCCGGGAGCCAGTTGTTCATAATGGTGACGAGTCTGTTCGCATTCAAGATGCAACTTTTACTTGGAACAAATATCAATCGAACAATGTCTTGGAGAACATCAATTTGAGTGCCCGCAAAGGCGAATTAACTTGTATTGTTGGTCGCGTGGGTTCAGGAAAGTCGTCCCTACTCCAAGCTATTCTCGGAGATCTCTGGAAAAGTCAAGGGGAGGTCGTTGTCCGTGGCCGAATCGCATACGTCGCGCAGCAAGCCTGGGTCATGAACGCTAGCGTCAGAGAAAATATTGTCTTTGGTCACCGCTGGGACCCTGAATTTTATGAATTAACAGTGGAAGCTTGTGCGTTGGTTGACGACTTCAAGACACTCCCAGATGGTGATCAAACAGAGGTTGGAGAGCGTGGTATATCGCTCTCTGGAGGGCAAAAGGCTCGGTTAACCTTAGCCCGAGCTGTTTATGCACGCGCTGACATTTACCTTTTCGATGATGTCCTGTCCGCTGTGGACTCTCATGTGGGCCGACACTTGATCAACAGGGTACTGGGACCCAATGGGGTACTAAACAGCAAAACGCGTATTCTCGCCACAAACGCGATTGCCGTGTTACGAGAGGCCGACTTTATCGGACTACTTCGAGATCGCACTTTCCTTGAGAAGGGAACGTATGAGCAGCTACTAGCCATGAAAGGGGAAGTGGCGAATTTAATACGCACAGCATCAGCCGAAGATGACGAAGATGACTCCCAAGCTAGCAAGGGCGATAATAAGAGCCCTATAAGCTTTGATTCGACAACTGTCGACGAGTCTGACCTTTCTGAAATCGAGGAATCTGACGATGCCGTTGCTGCGCTTATGCCTATTAAACCTGGCGGTGGCAGAAGATCCAGCATGGCTACTTTGCGACGTGCTAGCACTGCAAGTTGGCATGGCCCGCGTAGAGAGGGCGCGGATGAAGAGAATGGCCTGAGAACGAAGCAGACGAAGGAAAAGGCCGAGCAAGGTAAAGTGAAATGGAGTGTTTATGGCGAATACGCGAAAGAAAGTAATCTATATGCAGTCAGCATCTATCTCATCTTTCTTCTGGCCTCCCAGACGGCTCAAGTCGCAGGGGGCTTTTGGCTCAAACGATGGTCTGAAGTCAATGAAATCAGCGGTCGGAATCCAAATGTTGGAAAATATGTTGGAATTTATTTCGCTTTTGGATTAGGATCATCTGCTCTTGTGGTTTGTCAAACCTTCATTCTTTGGATTTTCTGCTCTATAGAGGTTTGTCGTCCGTTCCAAAATTGGCCATACACCATCCCTAATATACTCAATAGGCATCCCGTAAATTCCACGAGCGTATGGCGTATGCTATTTTCCGGTCACCAATGAGCTTCTTCGAGACTACCCCTTCCGGACGAGTTCTGAACCGATTCTCAAGTGACATCTATCGCGTTGACGAGGTACTCGCGCGTACTTTCAATATGGTAAGGTATTCCGAATCTATCAAAATCGGCACCACTGACTATTGTTAGTTATTCGTCAATACTGCCCGTGCTATTTTTACTATGGCTGTTATCACACTATCGACTCCCGCTTTTTTGCTTATCATCGTTCCTCTGGGATTTGTATACATGTCTTATCAAAAGTACTACTTGAGAACTTCTCGAGAGCTCAAGAGACTGGACAGTGTCAGTCGAAGCCCAATATACGCCCATTTCCAAGAATCCCTAGGTGGCGTGTCGACTATTCGCGCATATAAACAGACAAAGAGGTTTGCCATGGAAAATGAATGGCGCATGGATGCCAATAACCGAGCTTTCTTCCCATCTATAAGCTCCAATAGGTGGCTTGCTGTTCGGTTAGAATTCATAGGATCCATTGTTATTCTAACCGCCGCTGGACTGTCTATTGTTTCCGTTGCTACTGGCACTGGCTTGAGCGCTGGCATGGTGGGCTTGGCGATGTCCTATGCACTACAGATCACTCAATCCCTTAACTGGATTGTCAGGCAGACAGTAGAAGTTGAGACGAATATTGTTTCTGTTGAACGGGTGCTGGAGTATGCCAACTTGCCCAGTGAGGCACCCGACGTAATATTCAAGAACAGGCCTACCATCGGCTGGCCAGCACACGGTGGTGTCTCATTCCAGAACTACAGCACTCGTTACCGTCCTGAGCTTGATCTTGTTCTAAAGAATATCAATCTTGATATCAAGCCTCGGGAGAAGATAGGTGTTGTAGGTCGTACGGGTGCTGGCAAGAGCTCCCTGACTTTGGCCTTATTCCGCATCATTGAGCCGTCAGAAGGTAACATTAGGTGAGTACCAATATCATTTGAGATCTTTGCTATATTTACAGCGACACTGACTAGCTTAAGTATCGACGACCTGAATATAAATACCATTGGTCTCTCTGATCTTCGTGGTCGCCTTGCAATCATTCCCCAAGACCCAGCCATGTTCGAAGGAACCGTCCGAGATAACTTGGACCCTCGCCATGTCCATGACGATACTGAGTTGTGGAGCGTTCTTAGCCATGCACGCCTGAAGGAACACGTTGCCAGTATGGAAGGCCAACTAGATGCCACAATCAGTGAAGGAGGTTCGTTCAAGAAATCATTTGCGGGGGGGAAGCAAAGAATATGGCTAACTCCTGTGCTCACAGGATCGAATCTTAGTCAGGGCCAGCGACAACTCGTTTCTTTGGCTCGAGCATTACTAACACCAAGTAATATTCTGGTTCTAGATGAAGCAACTGTATGTTTACTAACTTACTTCTAAATGAGAAATGCACTACTAACATGAAGCTCACAGGCCGCGGTTGATGTTGAAACTGATGCCCTTCTCCAACAAACCCTCCGCAGCAGTATCTTCAAAGATCGCACTATCATCACTATTGCGCATCGGATTAATACTATCATTGACTCCGATCGCATAGTGGTCTTGGATCGTGGTACGATAGCGGAATTTGATACTCCCGCAGAGCTTATCCGAAAGGGTGGCAAATTCTACGATCTTGTCAAGGAGGCAGATCTCTTGGATAGCGATGCTGTGGCGAGCATCATGGAAGCAAAATAGTGTCATAGCATCACTCGGGGAACAGGGTCGCACAAATGGTCCCATGCAAGCCGCTTTGGTAAGCTGGAACGGATCGGCAATGTCCAGTCCCTCATTCTTTTTCGCTTTCCTACACCGGAATTGATCAACGGGCTGGGGGTGTCCTTGTAAGAACTACTCTTACTACAAAATACACCAAGTCACTACGGGCAGATCTTGACGTTACCGCATAGTATGGAGTGCTATGCGTGGCAAAATTTCCTCCATGCTCTTATTGTGCTATATGAAACCAACATTCTTCTCGGAAATGAATTCCGGCGTCTTGGCTAGCTTCATTCCAAGGGCCTAGACACTTTTCGTTGTCTGTGCGCGTGAAACAGGACCAATGCCCCGGATGAACCGAACAATCCCAGTTGCTGGTTTTTATTGCCTTTCTTGGCTGTTTGTCACTTGCTTTTTTTAGTTGTCTAGACCTCCTTTCGAGCTTTGGATGCCGGGAATGCCGGGATTCAGGCCGAAACCACAAGGAACAGGGGGCGAAGATTATTTTGTATACAACCTGTATTTATTACTTCAACGCCAAATTGTTTTTTTCTTTTTCTTTTCTTGTTTTTTTTCACCTGCGCAAATTTGGATCTCGGTGAAATAATAGAAGCCTACCATTGGAATTACTCGTGTCTTTGACATCATCCGTCACACCCCAATAAATATCCATGCTATAGTTTCCAGTGCTAAGATCGAGCTAGGCAAGTTAACTATCAGTCTCGTGATGCAGTTGCGAGGGTCAACACTACCAGTGTTCCTCCCATGGCAATCCTTGACAGGACGCACGCAGCGTTGTTCTGCATGAATGACTTTATCGGAAAAAAACCTTTCCATTCAATGGCCAAGATTTAGGTACATAATTGACAACAACACAAGACAGGGATAATCAGGTTTTGAATTGGCACGTCGAGGATCAATTGAAGAAGTTCGACGTCAGAGGCTAGACTATAGGTTTGTGTCAACCGGTTCTAAAGGGTCTAGCTACAGATTTAAATTAAGTAACTTGCGCTTGACATCAAATCGAGAGCGTTTTGCTTTTTCCTTCTCCCCAACCTTCCCCTCAGTTGCAGCACCGTTATCCTTGCTAGCGTCTGCATTCGGTTCGGTTTCTGCTTTCAAATCCCGAACGAGCGCTTCACTTCGAGAACGAACTTGGAAATCCATGAGCTGTTCAGGATACACCGCATATGAATATATGAGGAGATCTTCAACATGTTAGTACGGAGTAATCCGTACCTACGTGGTCAGTTCCTACTTATTAACATTAACACTTAGTTATATTGACTGGGATTATGAAATTTGTTGGCGTCCCCTTCGTATTTTCTTAGTCAGATTCCAGACCGACTCTTAACCGAGACGGAAGTTAGGACCATATCTGGATCTTGCATATATGCCGCACGCAGAGCAATGCAATTTGTATACCTAGGTATACACGGAGCCACAGACATTATTGCTGTTATTTCTTAATCATAGTCACGGGGAAGGTCCAGGCGATGAGGTTAAGCACGTAGATAGTGTACGTAAAAGCTAAAATGGGTAAGCCATCCCTTGCTTGCTGGATTCGACTCGAACAACCCCTCCTAAGCCAATTTGAGGACCACCACAAACTATGTACCTCCATGTACCTTACTACGTAGCACGTACCACGTAGCGTGCCATCCGTGATTACACAACCACCCAAGCCGATCAGTACTGAATAGTAATACCATGCTTTAGCGTTTTACTGGAATCAAAGAGAACATGCGGTCATTGCCCATTATTGATTTCTTTCTTTCGGGTTTTATGAATTTCCATCGGGTATATGGTAGTACAGAGTACTTCGTACAATGCCTGGAGTGCACAAACTGCCAAGTCATTTCTTTTTTTAGTCCTATGCGGATCTCGCGGAGCAGCATGGAGGCCATGCGAAAGAAACAGAAAAATAAAATAAAAGCATTAGTTTATACGCTAGGAGCGAACCAAATCAAGATTACAAGAACCTAAATATGCAGCCACTCTGCTCAGCTTGAGAAGTAGAATCTCAATCCGTCCAGGTTGATGCGTGTCCTTCCGCGGGAAGCCTAAGCCCCCTAAATGCGAATCGTTGGCCGCCACAAAGCGTTCCCTAGAGCTTACTGGGCTACCGGGTCCATCCCTGTTACACATTACATTAGTTCCGACCCATACTAGGATCAATCTGGACTCTGCAGGGTCCGGACAAGGATCGCTTAGGACTCGATCAACATGTCGTGTCCCGTCGCACGGAGCCTACGGATAGAGTGTGCATTGTTGAAACCCACTTTTACTCAACGTTTCCCAGAGAAGCGAGATTAAGATGGCAGGGCTTTGATCCTTAGTGCATGACCTAGCAATAGGTAAATACATAATGCGCTATATGCTCAGGTGCATTTACAGAAATAAGAACATCGACAAGTATAAGCATGTCGGCCACTAAACGTAAATTCCGCTCGTTTCGTCATTAGGGAGTTATACATGGTCAGATTAGAATAAACCTCCGTTGTCCCCACAGCCTCGGAAGCCCAAGTTTATGGTTTCAATGTTAGAGGTTCTCGTTTTCGTCTCTTTTCTTTTCATAGTTTCTCGGCAGTAGTGTTAGTTTGGTTGGCCGTCACACTTTAGTTTGTGAACCGGTGAACAGCAAGCTGCATATACTAGATTGGTTTGCAAATACACGCTAGTCGCCTGCAAAGTCGGCTGATATGCATGTACATCTAAATGGTCACGAAATCCGCAAAGATAGCCTTCAAACTCAAAGCTACACTATCGAGCAAATAGCGCTGCTGCATGCTATGTAATACTACCTTAAAGATTCGAGGTTCCTAACTCGCTTTATGGAAGCAAAATCCGGTTCAATCAGCAATTACACAGACTATGCACGTAACATGGAGTTACCTTGTTAGCTATGACATCAACGGTTACATGGATCTTATTTAGGCGCATGTCAGCTATGGGAAGAGCCTGTATGTATGCTTGCCAATTCAATGTAAAGGAGGGATGATCAATAGTTGTGAAGATGCATTTCTTTGTGAATAACATCAGATACGTATACGCATCCCTTAGACTGGATTTGCTTCACTCCAAGGCCAAGTTAGCGGGGAACACGAATTTGGCTTGCATTTATATGTTCATGACTTATTTGAGGAAAAGCCATATTTTCACAAGGGAACGTCTTGATAAACCTAGTGCTGGCATGTTTTACTGCCCAGGATTAGGTAAGACTCCCATAGTGCCATCCTTGGACTGTGCAGTTGTGCACACCAACTGTTGATTCACACATGCGAGGTTGGTCTGTCGGTGTAACACTCTCCTTCCTATTTAGGCTAGCTCCCGCTTTGACTTCGGCGCGGGGAACGGCTCGACGGGAATCTCCGAAACCGTAAAACTTTCAATCCACACTCCGCCCGAACTTGATAGTTACTATTAATTTACGAGACGTATATAGCCTACTACCGAGTTTGGAAGAAACGAAAAGCTCAATTCGTTACTTCAGGTAGACCTTCGTACTCCACAATGTAAAAATCTGATGCTAACTCTTTTCTTTTTCTGCCTTCAATCTCCTACTCTTGGGCAATTGAACGATTGTTTTAAATTATACAGAACCCAGTCTCATCCGTAACGTGGCAATTTTTATGACTACACAGCGTCAAGTAACTATTAAATATTTGCCATGACTAAAAACGAGGAGAATCTCGTTTGTTGTGCATACTTCGTATAAGCCACATTCACTGCCGCGCTACGGAGTACCGCGATGCTAGGGTTATCTGGGCTCGCTCGCTCCTTGCTAAATTATGCAATAAGCACCATATTTGATGCTTTTCTCAGGTTGCTACGGCTAAATTCAGACAAAGCTGAATTCAACTCTGAAAACTCAATCTACTTTAGGTGACCGTAGAAAGCAGTAGTATCCGTTTCCTTCCGTCTACTCCGTACCTCGTAGCGTCAAACCATGCTCAAACTTTAACTGTCAGTTTTGCTTGGACCCGGTGGGTTGGTTATTATGATGGGGCATCCGCTGGGTACGAAGCTAGATAGCCGCACTTCCTCTAATCGCGTTTGAGAACAGGCTTGATGACTGGGTACCGGGCAATTAACGCCAATTACACATCCAGATAGTATTTCAATTTGATTTAGTCCTACAGCCAAACCCAGGAACCAAAAAATGAGACTGCCAATATCGTGGCGCTTCTTTTTATCTAGATTTAGTTCAAACTCTGTCCTGAAGGGGTAGTCTTGGCTTCCGGTTGATATTCTTTCTCTCAATATGTTGCCGTAGGCATAGGTTGCAATTTGGATATTAATCTACAAAGGATATATTATTTAGAGATTTGCTGTCTACCATACGTAAGAGCTTTACAGATATTTCCTCTTCCCAAGGCATTTTCACGACCTTGATAAGAAGTATTCATGAATTAGAAGCGTAACAAATTAAGGTAAAACTTGCTATCTTATCGACAGCCTAATCGTGAAGTATATAGAATAGACAGACCATCGCACCAAATGGAACACCAAAAGTGAAAATGCAAGGTTATTCACGATCAAATGCCAGTGTTTCTACAATGATGTAAGTGTGCCACACTACCCCAACTATCCAAGCTGTCTATGCGCTAAATAGATACTAGTACACAGTGATTTCTGGTAAACTGTTTGTGTGCCCAAAGTACTGCTTAGAGCCAACAATCAAGATCGTGAATTCCAATGTAATGATTCTGAACATGGGCCCTTATTTGTCTTACCTCGTTGTGTTTCTCTCAGTGCTTTCAACCTCTATGTAGTGGTAGCAATAGCAATTTTTACAACTAGCTCAACTCGGTTTATTCTAGCAAGATATCTCACACCGGGAAAGAAAGCCGAGACGCGACGTAAACACCAAGGGCCGAGACCTGCCAAAGAATCATTTCAGCCTCACTTTGAGCGCTGATCTACATATTAGATGGCAGATGGCAGATGGCAGATGGCAGGTGCTGTCGTGGCATGGTCATACTGACTCAGAAATTCTCTTTTCTTTTCCAGTTATCTGAGCGCACGGAGTGCTTCGTACTACCAACCCCGTATTGATCGGGCTCGGACCTCTCTGGCCCACTTCAATCCCAGGGTCTCCCCGTATTAACCTCCGTAGCTGAAAATAGTCATGTATGTTTTGATTAGAAGGCCTCTATCCACAAAATAAATTGATGGGAGTTAATGGGGATGGTACAATACTAAAATTGAAGCCTGTCACGGGGTATAGGCAGACGGTTGAAATCTGCTTTGCTAGTATAGGACGATGTACTCTGTACAAGCCCAGGTCTTGAGGCGTCTTGGCGTTGCCTCGGCCCAGTGGAAGTTCCTGCGGTGTACTACATACATATTTTGGTAGATCCAGACTGTCCTCAACGTCTGTGCTTTTTTAACTGAGTTGTCCCCAGCATCTGATGCCAGGCTTCCTTGCCCTCAATGAATAATATACATCCTCTCTACTACGTTGCTCTTCTAAGATAGGATCATGCTAGAATGATGAGTCCTAATTGGACGCAGGCATCAAGAACCAATACGTACCTAGATATTCAATTCATACAAGGTAATCACTGTACTTGGCGAGGCAAAGGCACAAAGATGTGTACTTCTACCCGAGTCACAGTGCAATGCATATAAGCTATTATAGACAGCAGGAAGTCAACTTATGCAAAGCTGCGTTGAGTGTATTTGTATGGCAACATCCGTGTGACGGCGGTGTTGATACCTACCTAGACCAGGCACAAACCCCGGCAAAGTTATCATGGTGATCTGGAATAATTATTGGGGCAAAATTCTAGTTTCAGCTGCCAATCACTCTTGTTTGTCCGCAGTGGTCTATTTTAATTTCCATTGTAACTAGTGGCTATCTATGTACGTACTATATCATATATGGCACTTCTTCAAGCCTGCGCCCCTCATGGTCAATAAGTCGAATTCGTAGCCTAAGCGAAGGCAAGCCCTTGGCGGGGTCCTGGCTTACTATCCACACTCTGTATGAAGATGTAAATGCAAGTATCGGTCAAAAACTTCTTTGGCTAGCCACCTACACTCTAACTGCCCAGCAATAAGGTACCGATTGACGTGGTCTTTGACGATGGTGGCGCTCGGCGTGGCTTGGCTTCCTCGGCATCTGAAGCCAGCTACTGATTCATTTCTCAGAATCTTATGCGCTAGCTAGCGATGAGATGGAGCGATAATAATCTAATGTCAGTGCATTGCAGGGCTAGCTCCAACTTGCCAACAGCCCGCTCGCTCTAGAGACCAGCCACATGCAATCATTGATCAAGCATGACGACGACTCTAGCCCCTTGATCTATCCCGCTTGTTTATTTGAAAGCATTTGGAGGAATGAGGAAAGTGGAGAAAAGAAAAAACAATAATACAGGAAACATACAACATATAAGATCGTCATATGAGCAATGTACTCCGTGCCTGGCCCTGCGAACAAGCTTTCCTAAACAGGAAATATTCACCCGCTCTGCACCACCGCGCATAAGCCATAAGGTGTCCCCCGTATCAGGCAGTACTAATGATCAAGTAGTAATTGATCTGAAGTAAAGCATCTTGATTCTCAAGTGACTGTGCGCTTGTTGACCAAAAGTGGACTAGCGTCATCCTCCACGCCGTAACGCACATCATCAGCCACCGAGTTTCTCGTCAGCCGATCTTCCCACAACTCCGCAATATCGGCAGTCCACATGGTTGAAACGAGTCTAGCTAACTAAGCAATGCTCGCCAGATATGAGTGAATATTTCCTGCATATGACTTGTGTATTCTCGTCATCAACTGCAGAATAGCCGCTGGCAAAGTGACCGCTGAACGGTGCATCGGCCATCCCACTCACTGGGGACGCTTACTAGGGCCGCAGTAGGGCCCCTACGAGTACGTAGTAGACTACGCACTCACAGGCCTCTCCCTCGGTCACCCTTTGCTCAATCCGCACTCACAAGTCTTTTAGGCTTTAGCAGAAGCCACGGACCTCAGAAAATCTAGCCAATGGCAGCGGTTGGCCTACATATGACTCAGGAGCTTACGCCGGTTGCAGATTTTTAGGCCACTGGTGGGCTAGTATTCGCGTTTACTATTTAGCTGCTTGTCATTACCTTCAGCCAATAACAACTGCCGGGGAATGGTCATGAATCTCCGCCAGATCGGACTAGGGAGTAGAATGAAACCTTCTCCGTTCCCTTCCAGACGATGCTCTAACTTGGTTTATGGGCGCGTCTGTCTGGTGAGTCCATATATTATGTATGCTCTATAGAATAGGTGGTCCATACACTAATTCTTACACTGGGGAGCCAACTTTCAGCCTCGTCAAAGGCGGCCCGCGACAGACGTAAGAATGGTAAATAGTAAACCCAAGACGAGTTCACAGTCGCAGACATGCCTACAAGCAAACTTGGGACCACGGCGTAGCGGAAGTCCGTTGGCTGTGGCGAATGCATACGGCCGCCACTAGCTTTATTTTTTTTGACTACGGACGTCGCTTGGAATTAACAGGGATGATCCCAGTAACTTAGGTGCAACCTCAATGCTGATGTCTTACGACAACGGTGCGTAGGAGTGCTTGATTTGAGAAAGACTATACTCACAATTTTTTTTATTAAGATCGAGCACTAGCCAGATCGCGGTCTAAAATTCTCAAACAGATATGTAAACGCCTCTCTATAAAACTTGGCTCCGACTGGCTAAAATCTGTAGGACTCAACCTTACCGTACTCCTGGGAAGGGGAAAAAAAATAGGGGGTTGTGGGGAGAGGAAAATAGTCAGAGAGAAAAAGAAAAGAAGACTTCGACCACGCCATATTAAGTCACGCTACAAGGATCTACAGGGTGGAGGGTTTCTATAGTATGCTTCAAATATTGCAGGAGCCACTTTCCAGACAACACTTGCAAGTAGTCTATAAAGGGTAGGAGACTGCGATCTTATCGACTATCCGAAAAATGCCTTGAGATCGGATGAATTGATGCATACCTCGCAGGACGCCATAAGCCATAGCGTTGTACGTGAAAGGCGGAAGCATATCGCTCAGGCCTTTGACTTGCCGTTCCTATTAACTATGATTTACCCAAATGCCCGCTGATACACTAGACGGACCCAGGTGAAACAGCCATGTAATTGAAAATGCCTGCGAAATGGGGCTTGAGTTAGGACTATTCTAACGATAGAAGCATGTGCATACTTAGTACGTAGGATTGTCACGCTGCTGATATCCCTCGCTTCATCGTCGCATGTAAGTCTGAGGAGATGCTAGTGCTGCACTTGGTAGTCCACTCTCTTCCGGCGACTCGAGCTGCAGCTAGCATTTTTACTTTGGTGGATCGACCTCTTACAATGACCTGCTTCCTTCTCCACGTAACTCTGTTTGTCTTGGTACATACATAGTGGTGGCTTCTGGCGCAAGTTCCATGTACCTCTCGCTAACTTGAGATTTTACTAGTGAATGCTGGGCTCATCACGGAAATCTTTCAATTTGTTCCGCCGAAGCTAAAAGGGCCCGGACACGACATATCCGCACCAATACACCCCAAAGCACCGCTTGTCTGGACTGAACATTTTGAAGAGACTAGTTCTCTAGTGTTCCTTGAGCCTGGGTGTGGTTCTCCACCGTCTATCTTAGATGTAAGACGGTAACTTATCGCTTAACCTAGCTACCTGCGCCATGGGTCCTAAGCAGATCAACAGGCCGTAGTTCATAAGATATAAAGGGCACATCAATGCCATGCCATTTCACCTTCAACTTTCTCACATGTTCAATGTGTTTGACAGTCACTTGGTGATCTTCTGATTTCGTTCGCTTAGCCTGTGGCTTTCTGTTGCTCATACACAACGCTCGTCTGTCGTTCCCCTTTGTCGTCGCCTTAATCATTTGAGAAGTCGTGATTTCTCATTGGGCTTTGCTTGTTCTCGATTACTATTGCATTCTGCTCTCACCCTGAAAATTTGTTCTCTGGGTGGTCATCGTGGTTATTACCTTTTCGAGCGTATCATACATATTTGTAAGGCATCTCTGCTTCTAATTTTCCTGCTTGAGATGACTGATTTGCTTATTCAACTTCTACAAAACAAAATAGGCGGCATTGCCTTTCCCAGCAAGATCATCGTCACTGGGCACACTCTTCCGAACCGACCACGCTCCGGCGTTTATACAGGAGGCTTCTTCTTGTACTTTTATAAGTGCTTGCGCCAGAAATATTGGAAGTGCTATCGATATATGCAACATGGTTGTAAGAGCATCTCCATCAAGCGGTCACGTCAAGGCCGGGGCACGTCTTCCTTCTGAAGACTATAGCCCATTCGAGACACCTGAACCCGTTCGTATGCGCATTCCCCTCGAATTAACACATACTAATTGAATATAGGATGTAATTTTCACAGGACCTATTCCCCAATACTGGGCCATGGTATACTTAGACAGGTCGGGAAATGTTAGAGAGGCATCTAACCTTCGTACGACCGTCTTTAGTGCCCAGGCAAAGGAAGAATTTCTAGCTGCAAAGAATAACTTTGTTCTGCAGAATCAGCAGAATTCTCTGCTTTCTCCGCATACTGCCTACAGTCCGCGCCCTAGCTCTAGTCCTAGGGGACACTCCAGGCGTGCAGGCCAACCGAAGAGACGGCGAACTGCATTTCGCGCAGAGCCTCTTGCCGTTTCCTACATAGACTCCGATAACGAGGAAGATGCCATGATAACCCTTAAGATCGGTGACAGACAAAAAGTGACTGCATACTATGAGAGTGCCTTCAGGCGATTGCAGCAACTCAACTGCCGTATGCTGGCCAAGAACTTCATTAAACTCATTGAGCCTCGCAAGCAGGTCAAACATCCTTACAATGGCGGGAAGCCACGCGCAGGTGCTCCTCCTGGTGAGAAAGGAGATCCCGAAAAAACCAAACCTGACTGGTGGCCTCGTGATGTTATACACAGAGAGCCTGACCACCTTAAGAAAGATTGTAAGATAACGCTCGTTATGCTGTGACTGAAATACTGACAGATATAACAGTCCGACTAAAGCTTCTCGTCCATATCGTCCAATGCCTTCTACCTATGGGAATTACCGCAGACAAACTTCAGGAGACTGCGAACGACGTCAGACGACATATCAAGCCTCCTGAGAGAGCCACGATCCTAGACGAAGTGTTCCGAGTCCGAAGACTCGAAGAGCGGTATGAGAGGGATGAAGTTGGTAAGTCTCAATAACTCAAGGTATTCCCTACTTCCAAGGTTAACGGTGCCGACTTGAATTAGATGAAACCGCCCGTATCTCTGTCACGGATCATGAAGGAGCCAAAAGAAGAGAGCCAGAATCTGATGATGAACAAGTGTCCGGTGTACTCACTCCACCTGAATCTTCTGATGAGCCTCTGCCTGACGACCCGCAAAGTCCTAGCGAAATGGCTGCTGGTATGCCCCAACATGGCCTGCAACTGGACAACACAGCACCCGGTTATCAAATGGCCCCTGACCTGAGCTTCACGAGCCAGGGACAACCAACGCCAGACTTTCGATCGTCACAGCCCGAGATGATCCGCCGAAGCTTATCTACTACGCATATAACCGGAGCAATCCTCACCCCCACCCACAATCAGTTCATGGATCATTCACAGTTCACAACTTCCACCCCAGCTGAGCAAATGCAGGCCATCAGCCAAACCTCAGCTCACGCACAAGCAGAAGCATCGATATCTTTTGCTGATTGGTCTCCCGCTTTTCAACAAAACATGTTTTCACCTGTCGACTTTCATGGGGCTAGCCGTCAAGTGACATCTCAGATTGCTTATCCGGCATACACGACATACCCTTCGCCTCATGCCCAAGAAATGTCGCCTACGTACACAGCCGGACCTTACACGACCTAGTGAAGTTGATATGATGAACATGGGCAACCTGCCTTTCCGGACTGGTTCATTGAGCCACCCTCATGTTTTGCACCGCCCCGATGGTGGTGCCGGCCCAAGTATGTAAAGGGGTTCATCATTTTTCGGTATGGATGATGCCTCACATTTAATAACGAAGCTACGAACTAAATGGATTGCTTATTTTGAAAGAAAATGCTGAGTGGCTTTCTGATTTCAAGAACCTCGACATATTAGTCGTGCATTTCAGTGCGACTTAGACGGCCCTAATCCCCCCTCCTTTTCATCTCATCTCATCTCTATTTTCGTTGCTCGGCTCTAGGAGGCAGAATATGGTTTATTCGTCACACAAATGCAGACAAAGTGATGCAACCTGATTCTGTTCTCTTTCGCCGAATCTTTCGGATGTTTATACGAGGATATAAAGTCTCAAGTCGTATTCCACTTCTCTGTTTCTTGTCTATAACGATTACCTGTTTCACCTACAGGTTTTTGGCTTTTGCCTCGCTTTGCTTTTTGCTATTTTGCTTTGCTGATTTGTTTCCATCGTGGTGCAACATTATTCCCTTCAGGAAATATTGAGATAATCGAAAGATAAAGGGGTAAAAGAACTGGTTTTAACAGTACAGACTAAGTCAATGACGAGGTATATGACAGATAATGAGCAATGATAAACAAATTCTTTATTTCTGACTCAAAAGCGTTGAAATAGTAACCTTCTGGTGTGAATATTCATTCACTGTGATGATTCATATTGATAACACCAAACAAAAGAGGAAATAAGCCAACGGACGAGGGTGATTGGCCTGTACCTAGGCACCTTGATGCGCGATGGCCCACCATAAAACCTGGGGTAATTTCCCCGCAAATTCCCTTCTTCAGTCTTCCATCCGACATTCCGTTGGAAATAACATCGGTGCCCCGCCTGTTGCAGGATCTCTGTGCTACCCATCGATCAGCATGTTTCATCAATGGCAGCAGCATGATCCTGAGCACCGCCCTCGTGTCGCGAGGACTCGGACAGGGTGTCTGACTTGTCGGTAAGATTTGCCCATCATCACTCGCCGCATGATGTAATGGACTTGGTGAGAACCTGAAAATGAAAAAATAAAGGAATATAAGAACATTAATAGAACGAATATCTCAATAGACGGAGAAAAGTCCGTTGTAACGAGGTCCATCCTAGATGTGGACATTGTACTCGACTTCGCCTCGCATGTTCATGGCCACCGGATTCCTCTTTCACTGTCCCGGGGATAGAAACCTCAAAATCCAAGCCAGCGTACTTGAATAATCGTGGAAAACGACAAAGGCAACGCTCACGATCGCAATCGCCGCCGCAAAAACAACAGCCGCTGCAACAGTCACAGCAGTTGTCAGAACTACCACCACCGCAGCAACAATCTCTTCCAGAAGCAGACTTCAATGAAATATTCAATTATGCGAGCTTTCTCTGGGACAATGATTCTTCTACACTGCCATTTCCTACAGCCTCGTCTCCCCTTGATGTCCTGAATTCTTTGCGTGAACAGCCGCATATACCAATACTCCCAGCGCGGTCCGAGACGGGCCGAAGAACGGTCCAAACATCATGTAAAACACCACGTTCTCCAGGTGATAGATGGCTTAGTGGCGATGCAAGTTTATCACCTGAAGGTTCCAGTGTCAACATCAGCGAAACTGATTTATCTGAATTATTTGCCCACTCTAATGCACCACCGATCCTAGCCCCAGTTGAGACGAGTTTTAGATGGTCCCGAATGAGAAAAATGCTTGTTTACATGTGCCAAAAGTCTGATATGGTTAAGAATGCAGTCATGGCTTTTGCTGCTCTGCAGCTAGACTCGCCAGGATCAAGAAGGCGGACTATATACGCACAATACTATGCTTTTTCCAGGGATATGCTCACAAAACTGCTCGCAAAGGTTACCAAGGATCAGAATCTTCTTACCGTTGAACTCAATCATATTCTAGCTACTATCTTTTTGTTGACATATATCGACCTTCTGGACGATGATGTTTATAAGGCACATGGCAATCTGCGGGACGCTTTTCAGGTAATTCAACATGTTCGAAGTGAAGGTCTTAGTATCACTGGTCCGTATCACCATTTTGATTGTTTCATTTGAATGACTTGCTTATTGGCCCTGTTTATAAACAGAGAAGTGTCTATTATCATGGTTGCGACTACTTGATGGCCGTGCCGTGAGTGCTGGAGGCGAGGGTCTCTTTCTAAATGAGGATAGTAATTTACTACTAGACATGGAATCTCCTCCCGAAACACTTAGCGGTGGCCTCGAAGATGCAGAAACTGTTTTGGAAGATGTGCTTTCACGCCCGGCCTATTCATTCTTTCAAAAAGTGCAATCCTTCATGGGCCGCATCTCAAGAATTGACCCCTGGCACCGCTCTCGCGGCACTGTAGAAGATGAGACCGAGGTTATGATAATTGCCCAGAAAATTAGCAAAGACATCAAGGCGCTTTGGCTTCAGCGACCACCCCTCATGGATCATGCCATTGCATGCAAATTAGTGCCACCGTTCCTTTCCCCTTCGTTGGCAAATAACTTGACGAGGATGTTGATGGTCTGCTATGCCAATTACCACGCATGTTTTGTGCATTTGCATCGCGTGGCGTATAAGAGTAAGCAAGAGTTTCTATACTTCATTCTACCTGGCTAACCCCTACATTAATATCATAGACCTTCCACGTACACCTGAATTAGATGTCGCGCTGTGCGCCATCCAGGAGGTCACAGAAAACATAATCCGCACTCCGCTAGGTACCTCAAACTCAGTTGAGACCCTATGCGATTTCAGCCCTGGCTCTCCCTTGCCAATCAATATGCTCTGGCCTCTGTTGATGCTAGGCGTGGAATCAGATGATACACATCAACGAGCATGGGTCATCGCAGCAATGAAGCGCATGGAAAGCATTGTATCGAATGCCGGGATCACAGCAGACGTTTTGGAAGAAGTGATAAGGAGGCAGGATGAAACTGGTCAGAGAGTCGATATAAGACAGGTTATGCATGATACCTTCACTAGAGTTTTTGCCATTGTCTGATTGAGCTACTTCCGTCATGTATGATTCAGATCATCAATCTGTGTAAAACTTTCTCCAGTAGTATTCCCCTGTTTGCGTTGACGAGATCGGATCAATGCCGACTCTAAAATGGAAGTGTAACGGTCATATTCTAGACATGAGCCACCTTATCGTTTAGGGGGTTTTCAATTCATATTTGGCAAAGGGAGCAACATATTTGTTCTCTTTTCACTCTAGATCAGCCAGCATTGTTGATATCGGCCTAAATCTAACGATGCGGAAGAAATTATTGGTATTTCGTTTATTAATCAATCTGGAAATCGAGTATACGAGACGAGAGAGTATTTTTGTCAGACATCGAGACATATTTATCAGCAAGAAGGAAACTCCGTATCCCCCTGGAGTTCACGCTCCCAGCTTAACCTGGTTCAGCTCAGACGAAACAGTCTATTAACTGGGAAATCCAGCAAAAGCACTTAGAAATTTTGATCAACATTAGACTGGACGGAATCGTCATCGTTGGAACTAATGGTGAAGGTGCAACACTGACACCTCACGGAAAGTCTATACTTATTAGCCATCCACGATCTGTTGTGCACAAACTGGGATGATCAGAGCTCGCCATAACTTGTGGCACATTTGGCGGTTGCACACAAGTAATCATCCAGGATGTAAAGCTTACTTCTGAAGCTAAAGCCGATTTTGCTTCGGTTTTCGCGCTTGATCAAGACGCCATAATCGGTTTCTTCGAGGAGGTTGCTTCCGCCTCACCAATATGATTGTAATCTACAACTTTCCGGGCGTCGTGAGCTATCTGAATGTGAGCTCGGAAATGTTGCAGATCCTCGGTGAGCATCTAAACATTGTAGCCGTCAAGCTTACTTGTGGCACAATCGCGTCAGTTGCGAGGAACTGCAGCTAAATTTGGCCCTGGATTGGGCATTGGAAGAAGCGGATAGACCGGAAAGCTTCAATTTGTCGCTCCTGCTGGTCAGAGTGACTGGTTGGTTCCCTCCTTGAGCGTAGGGGCCACTGGCTGTGTTTCTGGTATAGCAGATCTGTACGCAATGGTCAGTATCCCGGGCTACCAGGGACTATAAAAGAAATATTAGATAGAAATGCATGGGACCATTAACATCTGTCGCCGACAAGCTGACTGAAGCCGAGGAGCTCCAAATCAAGCTCGTCAGGGTCGAACGGGACTTTGGAAAGGGAGGAATCAATGGTACAAACTAGGCTGTCGATAGATTCCTCGGATACCCAGAAGACAGTACTTGGTGCCGACGACCATAGCCTAAGTTCCTGGATAATGAATAGAGAAAATGGGTCACATCTACTGTGAAGCCACTTAAGGCGATTGAGATTGGCCTCGTCAAGAGGGGAAATGTATGAGAAGTTTTGCAATCTCTTTGAGCCAGTTATAGTTTGGTGTTCATGACCCGGGCAATCTTCGCAAACATATTCAGGCCACAAATGCGATGCTGCCTTAGTTCGTAATTCAGAGTAGGCAGAAAAGAAGAATCCCTTATGAGTCATAAATTATTAGCTAAAGAGGAACAAGCTAAGCCTCACATCACTCATCATGACTCAGCGCAGTTTCAGGTTCTTCACTAAGACCTCACTGACTGTACGGATGGGCTCTTCGAAGATTAAAACAAATGGCAAAGAAGAAGTAAGACAAGAGGAAGATACAGAAACGGACCTTGTTGTTCGTCGCAAAATTCTTATCGGTTATCGGAGAGGGGCGCATCACGATAACATAAATAGACCGCCGGTCCGCCACTCTTTATCATCAGTCAACCTTGACGACGCGCACAATGGCGAGCAACGGATCGCAAGCCGAGGACTTTCTGAAAGGACCTCTATACAGTAAGTACTACTCAATAAGCCCCTACTAGGAGGATCTGGACTAATACCGGGCGGCACTGCTAGTATATGACCTTCCATCGAAGCTCCTGTCAAATCTAACGCCCAAATCCTACGCCCAAGTCATCGCCCCTTCAACCATAGATGTAGTAACTCCTATCGCCACCGAATCTCCTGAAAGGGACATTAACACGATCCCTACTTCAAACTCATGTACACTTTGTCAAATATCTTTTCCGAGCGTGCAAGAGCGTCGTGACCACGCACGATCGGACCATCATCGATACAACGTCAAGGCACAACTGCGCGGCAATCGAGTGTTGACCGAATCTGAATTTACGAAGGCAATTGGAGATATAGATGAGTCGATATCGGGTTCTGAGAGCTCCGAGTCGGATGAAGATGAATTCGAACCCCATCCATCGGACTCAAACTTGGTTGCTCTGTTAAAAAAGCAGGCAAGAATTTCACAAGAAGCGGAAAGGGAAGCCCCGCGGGAGAAGAGCGCCTTCAGCAGACAGCCCATGATATGGTTTTCTAGCCCCGATCTTCCTCCCAATACAGCTGTTGGCGTATACAAAGCGCTCTTTTCCAATGAGGAACAGGACGAGCCGGAGCATATTGTGGACTCTTTGCGGAGGAAACAACTTGAGCCAATCAGGCGAGTGAATAATGCAGAAAATGTTGCTGCTACACATAACGGTCCACATATTTTCATGTGTATGATAGGTGGCGGCCACTTCGCCGCAATGGTTATTGCACTCGCTCCTGAGATACAAAAGCGACACGGCGGCATCGAGGAACGGCAGGCCAGAGTCCTCGCACACAAGACATTCCATCGCTACACGACACGCAGGAAGCAAGGTGGCTCGCAGTCAGCCAACGATTCAGCCAAGGGTGCTGCGCATTCAGCTGGTTCAAGTCTGCGAAGATATAATGAAGCTGCACTGGAAAATGATATTCGCACTCTCCTAAAGGAATGGAGATCTATGATTGACACGGCGCAACTTATTTTTGTTCGTGCTACAGGGAACACCAATCGAAGGACCTTGTTTGGTTCGTACGAAGGACAAGTACTCCGAAATAACGACATCAGGCTGAGAAACTTTCCATTCAGCACTCGTCGCGCAACTCAGGCCGAATTGATGAGGTGCTTTAAGGAGCTTACCAAAGCGAAAGTCAGTCAGATTGACGAAGCTGCGTTGGCAGCTGCGCAAAATAAGCAACGTGAGGCGAGTGCAAAAGCTTCCAAGCCTAGTGCGCAGCCAAAGACACCAAAACTGTCGGAAGAAGAAGAAGCTGCAATGTTGCATACCTCACAGATCCAGGCTCTCATTCGCCGCTCCAAGGCTCCAGCTCTCTTATCGTATATTTCAAACAATGCCGTCCCTCCGTCATTCAAGTTCTTTCCCACAGACGCACCTCAGAACTATCACGCACCTACTCCGCTCCATCTTGCCGCCAATTCAGATTCCCCTGCACTTGTGACATCTCTTTTGACAAAAGCTAAATTCGATCCGACTGTAAAGAACGGCGAAGGGAAAACACCGTTTGATCTTGCTGGAGACCGTGCTACTCGCGATGCGTTCCGGGTTGCTAGGCATGAGATGGGTGAATCAGCTTGGGATTGGGAAGCGGCGCACGTGCCCTCGCCTGTATCTCGAGCTGAGGTTAGTCAGCGTCAAGAACAGCAGAAAGAAGAAGCCGCAAAAGAAGAAGCTAGTCGTCGTAAAGCCGAGATAGAACGATTGAAGGCGGAAGAGACTGCCAGTGCTGCAGCACTTGACAAGCGGAAGAATGCCGGCGGTAAAAAGCTGTCCTCGGTGGACAAGACGGCCGCAGAAAAGAGAGAAGATGAAATGCGTGGAATGACCCCTGAAATGAGAATGAGACTAGAAAGGGAGCGCCGTGCTCGGGCTGCTGAGGAGAGGATTCGTCGGATGCAGAGGGGTTGAATATGTCTTTAGCTATTCTGGCTCCTTTCGCAGACTCTGGTCCTAGCAGTCTAGTGCTGGGTGGACATTAGCATGTGCCATGGATCGCCAGATGAGCATGAGCTGGGCATAGGAATAGGCACAGAGAGAGAGAGAGAGAGAGAGAGAGAGAGAGAGGTTAACATTGCGGCGTAGATTGTCAAGTAGGCCTGCCGAGTTAATCGCTGCGTTGGGTAGCCCACACCTGCCTCGTCTACCACTGTGCTCCTTCCCCGGTGACAACCCAAAAATGTTATATAACATTCTGCCAAGTTCCGCAATCGCCTCTTTTTTCCTCCGTATGCAACTTCTGTAACCTCTCCCACTCTGGAGAGATGGATATCCTTCAGTGTGTAGGAAAGCTGTGCCGGTGGGATCCGATAACGAAGCAGGTCTCAGAACCCCGGCCTATCTCGGCCTATCGCCCGTTTCTCGTTGGTCGAGATCGGAAGACATGGTGAGAATCTGCTGTCTGTTTCTGTCTATGTCGCTAACCTCGGAACGTGACTGGCAATGCTCTCAGCCATTATGTGCTTGACGATGCCTGCGTGTCTAGCCTACACCTCCGGATTTATACCGTAGTTTACGACTTTGACAATCCCCTGGAGGTTGCCCCTTTGGTTTACGCCCAAGATATGTCTACCAACGGGGCTTTCTGGAATGGGCAGCGGATTGACCGGAGAAACGGCGGTGCAGTTCTTCTCAGTGATGGCGATATTCTCCGGTTATCCTCCAACAGTTTCCTCGAGTTCAGATCCGAATACCAATCTGAGAAGCCACTAACGTCTGTTCAAAAAGAGGAAGCAAAGGTTGTACTCTCGCAATGTTTGTCTTATTATACTAACGACAGGCAGGATTTTGCTGACGAGTATTTGATTACGGATCGGATACTAGGCGAAGGTAGTTTCGGACGGGTTCACATGGCCGTCAGTCTCAACAGCACCAGTCAGGTCGCCTGTAAGGTTGTAACTCTTCGTGCGGTTAAGACGACTAGGAAAAGCGCAGATACAAATATGTTTGAGTTACAGAAACGAGAAATGTTCATTCTCCAGAAGCTATGTCACGTACGATGACCCGTTTCATAAATACGAACCTAATAGCTAACTTGATTACATTAGCCCAATATCATTGGCGTTGAAAAAGTAATCCTAACGGAAAATTCTCTGTTGGTCAATTGCTTCCGTAGTTATGTTTATTTTGCTGACATGAACAGGTTTATTTTCGAAGAGCTTATCACTGCTGGGGACCTATTCACTTTTATCGCGAGCAAGGGTGACAATATAACGGATTTTGACGCAGCTTGTATTATACGGCAGATTCTGATTGCCCTGAATTATTTGCATGACAAAAACATTGCCCACCGTGACCTCAAGCCAGAGAATATCCTCATGACATCTCATGGAGTTCACTGTCGAGTCGTACTTGCAGACTTTGGCTGTGCACAAATTATGTCTTCTGGGATGGAGCGGATGTCCACAGTTGTCGGGACATGGGACTACACTGCTCCGTGAGTTGCTTTTAGATTGGCATCACTACTCTACCCCAAAACTTGAATTGACTATTAGATAGGGAAGTATACAAAGAAATGAACCTAAGAGGTTATACGAAATCTGTCGATCTCTGGTCAGTCGGCTGCATCACAGTAGTTTTGCTGATTGGGACACCCCCCTTCCCGTTTTCGGCTTCAGGAACCCCGGATGATGGCGAGCCCGGGGATCTGAAAGAAGTATTCATGAACATTAGGTGGGATGAGGCAAGCACTTGGGCACAAAGCTTTGTTCTCTCTTTGCTAGTCCTCGATGAAAGGAAGAGGTTGACCGTACGCGAGGCCCTGCAGCATTCCTGGTTCACGAACGCACAATACAAATCGAAGTTGAAACAGAATTACGAGAGAGCTGTCCGTGACTGGCGCCCACGGGTAACTAGACCACTTCATAAGGATGAGAATTTCCTGCAGGCTGATGCTCGTTTGGTGGACTCCACAAAAGGTGTTGAGCAAACTTTGTCAAAATTGAAGCTTCCAGGCAGCAGAGTGTATAAAACTACCTGCGAAAAGGATACTGGGGATAGGGATAATAGCAAGTTCTTTGACGCGAAAATTTTGAGTCATGAACAGGCTGTTATGGGGGACTTTGGAGTCATTGATGCCCCAGGATCGCACAGCACCCGTCGCTCTTTTAGTCCACGAGCATGGAGCACACAATTTACTGAAAGGCAACACTTGTTTTCCTCTAATATTCTCAACGTGAACCAAAAACCTCGCGCATGGCCACCAGAAAATGCCTGGGAACAAGCCCAAAGACCGTGGTTATCTACTTCAAAGAATGTAAATGGCGACGGTAACATCCCTACAGACATAACGTTATTGATCTCGAATCCTGTGGTGGGGATAAAAAGACCTTTAGACGAGACGGTCTCCCAACCACAAGAAGAAGGAGAAGTCTACGAAGAAATTGAGAACAAGATTACTGGCAAGAAACAGCGAGTCTTATATCGAGAAAGGTAGAGGTACTCGGACCTTGAGTCTGATCTCTAATGGATGTAAAATGGCAAATTTGTGAAATTACACGGCATCTCCTGCGATTTACCAATTACTCGTGCTACCTAAGTAGCTGATGCGATTCATCATCTTTCCTTTTGATTTTTATGATGTATTATTAACACCCAATAATGATATTGATAATATAATTTGCATTGTAATGCCAACAAACAATAGTCAATAATTACCAACTCTGGATATTGTGCATTTGCTTGGGTTGACTATGAAATGCTGCTTGAAGGATTTTTACGTTGCAAAGCATGTTTCTTCCTAGCTCGTCTACTTCTACGGAGGTAAATTGACATGTACTACGTAGTTTTAGCGATTTCCTACTAAATCGGTCATGTTATGCTGTCAAAGTGGTTCTTAGTCGTGCAGGGAAGGTTGAAAAGAGTCTCGATTTAGATAGCCGAGTCATATGTGTGGCCTTCATACATTATTCAGATGCTGGTGCAGATCCTTCAATAATGACAAAGTTATCAAATCCTATCTACTCTCCTCGATGGCCATCTTAGATACTTTTACCAGAAGACAACCAAAGCCTACATGACAAGAACCTAGGATGAGATGTCGTGCTCGTAACTAGCTTGCAAAGATCGGATTTGCATGCTGATCATTTACTTCAGTAACGTAGAATTGAATTAGTTTGTTATTGTAGCAACGCAGCAAGGAGGCTTTTGTGTATTGAGATGCATCGCCTTGCATTGCATCGGGCACGTACCTGGCAATGACCTGCATGAACCGAGCGTGTCCTTTTCTTGCTCGGGCATATGCGGTACCTGCATTTAGCTATGGGGTGCATATCTGCATATCCCATATGTATACGCACTTTTTTTTTTTTTTTTTTTTTTTGACAGGGTTATCGATAATATATCTAGCCTTCCTATTAGGGGGTGATAATAGGGCTATCTATGATAGGGTTAGGGCTTTACCTACCACTCCGACTACTGACAGTCAGCATAATCGATGCAATCAATATGTACGTGTATTTTTATTGGTTGTTTTTTTTTGACAAAGAATCTCTGTAGTCAGGATCTAGACTGGCAGTTCATATTTATTATTCTATCTGACCTCGTGGACAGATAGTCTGCCCCCATTGAAGGGCAGGAAGGTTAGGGCTAACAGGTAATTTTTACCAAACACAGAAAGAGAGACCAAGACCAAGAGCACAAGTAAATGGCTATTTTCCTGTTCATAGACCTATTACATCTTTGCTTTGATAGGTGTTGATGCGCAAGTAACTAACCGCTAACCAGCCACCGGAAAGATCGTATCCCTTGTTTTGTGCATGTACTTACCTCGCTATGGATTTCTAGCCACGGACACATATGCGCACGAATACTACCCAAGCAAAGCATCACGTTGAACCGGGTGTTCGCACGATTAGCAACTTTCCAGTAATCCCTTGCTCGACACTTGCTGGTCTGCTCTCGATGCCAAATATTTCAAGGATTCTAGATTAAAACACTCGATTGAGGAGTTGATAAGGCCTGTACTATCTCAAGGGGTTTGGGTATCTAAGCAGTAATTGACGTCCGAGATGCTACCAGGAGTGCTTAAAGCTAAAGATGCAGAAATTAACCCGAATCTACGTGTGTACTGCATGTACTTATTTCCCGATTCGTGCCACTCTTCGATCCAGCTGCATCGTGCCAGTAGACAAAATGTTTCGATGCAGCTGGTTTCATGATCCCTTGCGCCTCCCCTCCTCCCTTTTATTGGTGCGCGAAGGGATGGGGGGTCTTGACTGTCGCTATGGGAGATTCTATCTATCGGAGGGTTTTGCCTCGAGGGCGTTTGCAGTGCAGTGCAGAGCATTGCATTACATTACATTATCCGTACATACAGGATGCATTCTGCGCTGTACACATGTTTGTTCCTTTGACAACGGCCACCTTCTGGTATGCGTGCTATATCAACAAAGTGGTAAAATAATTTGATAGTATATTACCAGCCACCATAGGTTATGTTAACTATAATATTCAGCCATCGCTTTCAAGGAGAGCGGAAATCATGCAATATCCATATATCGATATCAATTTCCCGAAATGGAAAAAACCCTCCTTGATCGCACGATGGAACCCTAAGTAGTCAATCAGTCACCGAAGCTAATTCAAGATTAACTCCGTTCCATATAGCAGCTATCTAGGGCTATAATGGATTAGCTAGTTAGCTAGCATCTATAGATGACATCATTTACTAGGGTAGAAGAACTATTAATCGTTCCTTGAATCCTGTTGCTCGCTTCTGTGCCTGCCGAGGCTTTTCTACCCAAGGCATAGAAAGAAGCCGATGGATATAGTACTGGCTTGAAGGGAGGAAAGGAACGTTGAATTATTGACTGGCCACCAAACTAATGTGCCAAACCCCTCGCTGAATGTAACTATTCCTACGACAAAGGTGAGTCTGCATGCAAGTGTATGGACATAGTTGCGTAGAGATCTCTTGAGACGGACACACCGAGGCCAAATCATCCGACTGACGTCGACAGAGTCAGACGTGATAGATACTATATGACTTCATTGCATTGCACTATCGGATCAAGAGAAAGCCTAGATTAGCCGATAAGATAAAGTCATTCCTCGAGACCCCGTCCGTCCGCGATGAACTGGTGCCTGACTAGAGACGCTTATGATGTCAGCGGTTGCTGCTCTCGGTCGATAGATTGTACTCTCGACTGACTCCGGAGATGTTTCAGGTATAAAGAGGGAAAATAATCACGCCGCCAGAGGAGTATGTGTCAGCAGCTTTGAATGAGAGCAAGGCACGTGCAACCAAGGAAGGTTGGAATCAAAGTCAAGAAAACAGCTGATACAACGCAGGCCTAAAGCGCCGTCAAGTTTCCACGGTCAAGTAGAATTCCTTCCGCATCCGGTTATATTGGCTGGCTGCCTGCGTGCCTGGGCGTTCAGGCTAAACTATGATTGAGCGGATGTGATTGGCCAACGCGCCCTACAGCAGGAGCGCGTCGCCTCCAAACGCGGGACTAAGCGGAAGACGCGCGTTTTCTCTCTTTTTGACGGACGTAACCGAGCAGTTAACACCATAGCAGCAGCATGATAGTAGAAAATCTTGGTCTGAACTCATGATCACGAGGGGACACCGTAATTAGCCCGTCTTTCTTCAGGTGATCGACTCTCAGACGCAAGGCGGCATGCACCCTCTGATAGGAAAATAGGAAATTTGATTGTCCCACGCCCCTAGGAGAAATTCATTGTCTGCAGGAATGAAGGAACTAACTACTCCGTACTATAGCTCGCAGACGGAACGAGGAGATGTCTAGATAGGAACAATAGGATAGTTGCTAGGGGAAACCGGAGAATATACCATAGCTCCCGTCCTTGCAGAAGCACGATGGACTAGCCATCCTTGCGTTTGAAGCTACAGCGCCTGCTCGTGGGATCACTGCTACGATTGACCAGCCAAGTAGGACGTAGTATGCGGATGCTGATAGCCTCCTAATCGGTGGAAGGGTCGACCCTTCAGGCGATCCCCTCGCCCACTCGGTTCTCGTGGACGGCGGTGGTCGTAGCCGGCGCTCTTGGACGATATGATATCACACTGCACGGTGTATGGATGATGCAGTGTGAGATGTGAGATATACAATGTTCACACAAAGGACCAGTGACCAGTAACTCTCCGAGCGTTTGATCAGAGAACAGAGGGATGCGCAGCAAAACGTGAGTAGGACAGAAGCAGTAAAGCAAGAGGGTGCGCTCCTTCCGCGCGCGCGCGCCCCACCGCCCACTGTCCACAGGGCAGGTGCCACCGCAGGCAGGCCGGCCGGTCAAGAAGGTACTTCTTTCCCTTTGCTCCCGGGCCCGGGCCTCCCTCTTTCCCACCCGAAAAAAAACTTGCCCTTCCTCGTCCTTTCTCTCTCGCCCACACTTTGTCGCTCACCACGCAACCACCTCGTCGCATTCTGTCGCAAACACGCTTCGCACGATCGCTCGCTCTTCGTCCGCCGATTCTCCCGCTATTTTTATCGATTTTGTCTGCTTTCGACTGCGCCATCTCCCACGGCGCATCCGGCTAGCCCGCTCCCAGCCTCCGTCTCTCAACAGTCGCTGGGTTGCGCCGCTTGCTGGAAACCTTTTCCCTCCGTCTATACTGAACATACAAACCCTTTCGCTCGCGATTCAATACATATATTTACAACCATCAACATGTTGATGCAATCTGCGCTTTCCTGCGACAGCAGGAAATTCCTGGCCCAGCCGTACTATCGCGGCCTGTCGCCCACTCCTCCACCGTCGAGCGACAGCCTCAGCGGCAGTTTGATGGGCGTCAGTCGCAAGCTGCAGACCTTACTCAACGTTTCACCCGGCCCGTCATCGACCCCACTTCCTCCTCGTTCTATGCGCCTAGCGAGTCCTTTCCACCTCGAGATTAACCAGCCCACCAAGACCAACGCTCGGTCGCGCAAACCTGCCAGTAGCTCAGCTACTCCCAAGCCCTCTATACCTAAGACAAGGCCAAGGACGCCTTCCACACCACCGCGCACTCGCAGTAAGCGCAGTCGCAGTGTATACGAAAATGACCAAAGCGAAATGCGCAATGGATATGCAACTCCCAAACGCCGCCGACGTCTTCCTTACCACATACCTCTAGGGCTAGGCATTGCCGACTTTGAAGCTTTGGACGAATACACCTGTACCTCACCAATGTGCATACCTCAACAACAACAACAACAACAAATACATGTCGATTCTGACCCGCAAATGGAGGCGCTTCGTCAGATAGTCCTTCCATCGATCGAAGTTGAGGATACAGACAAGGCTGACTGGACAGCTGAAGAAGATGAGAAATTGGTCGATATGGTCTTGGAGAAATTCAAGTTATCAAAGCGCGATTGGGAAGAATGCGCGCGTCGCATTGGCAAAGACAATGCTAGTGTTGGCAGACGTTGGCAAGCGCTTCTTGGGGAAGGCAACATTGGCCTTCGTCGCGGCTCTGGACCGTTTATACGCGGCCGGCTAGACGGCTGCTTTGATGAACAGCCTTGAAGAACAAACAACAAACTCAACATTCTTGACTTTTGGTGTTGATGTTACTATCTTTAAAAGACAACCCCCACAAATTACTCAGTATCAGTCTATCTAGGCTTGGTCATCACAGGCCAAGCATGATTCTGATTTTCCAACCATTGCCACCATCTATTTTAGTACTATCATCAAGCATTATATGGAGTTCGACGTCAATGTCAAGTGACGGACTTTGTTTATGGAAGATACCCAGGGAAGGTGTTAGGAAGAGGGACTTTATTCTTGTTTCTGGTTGCATCGATTCTTATATTCTCTATATTTTTTTCGTATATTCTCTTTCTTTCTCGCTCTTTTATCTTATTTAATTTCAGGCTGGATTTTCAATTTCCGATTTGTCAGATTACCAACATCTGTCCTTCGTTGTAACGAGATTGTTCTATTATTCATTGCATATTATTTTATTTTAACATATTGTACTTGCCTTTCCAGTCAGTCGTACCTATTTGATCCAGACTTTCCTCCGTGATTACCACACGGCCCGTCGCCGAGCGAGCCGTTCCGTCCCAAGCTTTCTTTGACTGCTCAATCCCATTCGTCTCAGATAAAGAAAATTACATAGGAAGAAAATAAAAGAACAGATAAATAGAAAGAAACCCATTGCAGTCCTGCATATCCATGTAGCACTGTTTATTAACAAGATCGTATACAATGCAAGTCCATCCGTCGGCAATCTCAGGCACGGATCCACGTGTCATGGTAAACTAACATCCCAGCGTAACTTTAACTATGCATTCAATTTGATTATACTTTGGCAACAGCGTGGTGTGTGTGTGTGTGTGTGTGTGTGTGTGTCAGATTCAGCATCGCCGTCAAGCTAATTCGTAATTAACGTTTACTAGCTTCGTGAAGGCATGGCACTTGAACTCGGGCAAATGTCAGAAAGACAGTCAGTGCTCAATCATAACTTGTGGTTTGGCGAGAGTACAATAAGATTAAGAAAAGGTCCTAGGTACGTAGTATGGAGAAGAGGGGGTACACATATGAAACAAAAACGGTAGCATACTCTCTCTACTGTATATTATTAGTGGACGACTGGATGTGTTCGGAGATTAAGTAGATATTGGAGTATGGATAGACTGTTGGCCAAGCATTAACAGCCTAGTTTATAGATAGGCTACGTAATGAACAATTGGTAGGATGCCGATAAGCAAACGCGATGGGTATGTTTCAAAAACCATGTACACAATGCAGAGGGGAAGGAAGAAGAATGGACTGTTCAGCGCCATGATGCCAGTAGGTATGACAAAGAGAAGAAAGGATAACTTAGAGCTTTTGTCCGAATTATATATACTTCAAGGAGCGTACCATGTATTAGAACCTGGTAAGATAGAATCAGTCAGTATTTCGCAATATAAAGATGACGATATCGAAATGAGAAAAAAGAAAAAGGGGGGGGGGGAATAGTACCGTATCTCATAACTTCCCGCTCGAGTCATATATCGCACCCACTTGACGCTGCTGTAGTTGTTTTTCTCAAACACCTTGAGATATCTAACAAGCAGGCCACTACTCGTGAACATCAACAGATTAAACGAGAGGCTCAGCGGCGGCCGGCTCCATGCCTTTTGATGCGTCATGCTTGTCAACGTGGCCTCTGCCGTGAGAACAAACTCACTCTGACCAGTGAAGCGCGCAATCCTCCAGACAATATTGTTCTGCTCCGGTTCATATTTCGCTTTGCCCTGCGTCGTGCGCTCGGTGATCTTGGCCGTGTTGAGCGGCGTAGGAATGCGGATGACAACATTACTAGCAAACAGTTTCGGTCCGTAGTTGGCCTTGATAGCAACACTGTACTCGACCTTGGTTGTGCCTATCTCTCGCACAATCGGGTGCACTTTGAATGGCAAGTTGATATTTTCAGTGGCACGGTAGCGCATTAGCTCAAATTCCCCGTCCGGTGGCACAAAGGAAATAGTGCGGTCGGCGTCGAACCGACCTAGCTTCACACATTGGTGGAACTGACAATCCTCTAACGTGACGGAACCTGCAGCTGCACGAGTTGCCTTTGTCCGACCATCACGATTGCCTGCAGGCACCGTGTCGCCCCCGTCGAGCAATAATCTGTCATTCAGCCCAAACTTGCACTCGGGAGTGCCTGTGAGATATGCCCTCATTACGATTTGACCGTGGACATCGGCGCGCAGGACCGTTCCAGTGGCCGACATGAGTAGGTTGACGTCCTCGATCACGTCGACGAAGGCCTCGTTCTTTCGGTATTTGATATCTGCTCGTCGCCATGAAAGAGCACCTGTGGCTTGCATTGTGATTCTGCTGGAGTCAGAAGCCGAGTTCGCAATGGATGACCGAACGCCTTCTGTCGTGATGTACATCTTCAAGGTATCGAGTTCTGTATTTTGCGGATAACCAAAATCGATGATCTCTGGATAATAAGCTGTTAGCATTTTTTCTTTCTTAATATAGACAAAGATAGTTCAAAAAACCAACCATCTAATAGCTCATACACCAACACAAAATTATTCTTAACCGCCTCCTCATCGAACTTCCCAAAATACCCCCTTCCCATCTGTATGAAGCGATACAGAAACTCAAAGACGAGCGCGGCATTGGCATTACTCTTGGTCACCACGACCAAGTATATATTCTCGTGTTTCACATGGCTGAAGGTGGTCGAGCCGAGCGTCAAAATGGGCGAGCGCACCTGCGGATTCGAAATGACTTGGATGCGGAAGATGTCAGCGAGGCGGGGACGGCAGTCGTTGCGGAAGGCGCGGAAGATGAGGTTTTCGCCCTTTTGGTTGAAGATGAGGATGCCGGAGATCATTGTGTGGTATTATCGTCGTTGTCTTTATCGTTCCCTCTAAGTGCGCATTGTTTTGTTTCGACGGCGTCGGTCATTGACTTGAGATTGCTCCTCCGTTATTTAAGCATGGATGCGGTGCGGAGCGGAGCTGGCGGTGATTGGCCCCTGAGCTCCCTTACCACCACTCTTTATACATCGCAGAAACTGGATCGTTTGAGTTATTGATATTATCTTACATGTGGCAGGGACTGAGTCTCATAGCCTACCGGCTAAAATAATATACAACAATTTGCCACTGGAAGGGGGGAAAAAAACATTACAAGACGTTTAACGAAGAAGTACAAGGGAAATGAAAAGAACACAAAGTACACCGCGTCCTGTAGAAAGAAACACTTTCAGATGGCAACATTAACAATAAAAATTAGACGACTATCAGTCCATAAAGCCATCTCTGGTATCACAAAAGAGGGGATATAGCAAAAAGCCTGGTATCATGGTAGTAGAATTCGTTGATCGACCAACCAAAAAACGAACGCTCAAAGGGACAAGAAGAAGATTATTAGTGCAACTCATTCTGATCAAGCAGACGGTCACTCGGGCGCCAATAGAGGATGCCTGTCATGTCATCATCGAACATGAGCCTCTGCCGGTGCAGTAGGAGTCTCAGAGTCAAAACCAGTATCCGGTCTTGTCCCGGGTACTGAAGCGTCTTCAGGGTTGACGAGACCGACTTTAGGATCCGGAATTTGGATATCCAATGTCATATATGCTGTTCGTCGAAGACTCCAGATCCGAACCCCATCTTTAGACCCAACTTCGCGATTCCATTTCTCCAGCCAATCTTCTACTCGATGTAAATGGCTCTTGATTCCGGCAAAGCCCATCTCATCCCACAACCACCCAGTCACCAAGCCCATGGCCGCATCAAACCAGTTGCGTAATGAAAAAGGGTCGAATGCTTTGACCAGCTCTCCATTGACCTTGGCTATGATACGACGGAACTCTTGTTCAGGTAGCAACGGATCTAAGATCTCGGGATATAAGTTTGAAAATGTAGGGGCAAGATCTCCTTTAACCATCCAGTCGCGACGAATACGGATAATCCGGGTGCTTGTAAATTCTTCTGATTGCAAGGGTACATGCGGATTCATGTGTGGATAACACGGATGCGCGGGGCCCCAAGCCAGCTCTTCACCACCATCTGCTTCTCCGCTATTAATATTATTGCCTCCATTAGACGGATACGACGCATATGTTGAAGCCCGTAAGGAATTGTTCGACTGTGCGTGGCGAGGAGGATGTATTATGCCGTCATCGGGCCGAATGTGACCGGTGATATTGTTGTTTTCGGCTGGCATATCGGAATGTTCCGCAGATTCGATGGGTTGGCTGCGCCGACGACTGCTCGGCAGCGCGATGCTCGTGCGGCCACTCTCTGCTCCTCCCGCACTGTACTCAACAGCAAGGCTGGTTGTAGACGAGAGGCCGTTGCGGTGATGTTCCGGGAGTGAAAGAAGCGGGTACGCGTCACGGTCAGATGCTATGAGACCGATGTCTTCGTCACCGCGAATCGAAACGACGGCAGTCCGAGGAACGTGGTTTATAGGATTCCACAGACGAAAGCTAGACGGAGACCGGTTTACTGCCTTGCCGGAGTTGCTGTTGTGACGATTCGAGAGCGGGAATCCCTGATGGCGGCGGGCATGGGTGTTTGCAGGACGAAGAGTAGCAGGTTGCGTGGTATGGTAATTATCCAGCGGGATATCCTGAGAACCCGGCACCGTGAAGTTCTGATAGTCGTTCTTCGCCGCCAGCGGTGATAAGTTGCTATAAAACTGGTGGCGGGCTGGAGAAGCCGTGGTTGTTGAAAATTGGACAAGACCGGGACACTCTGGCTCGGTGAGGAATTATGCGACAACAGCCTTACGGATCCAACGAGAGCGGTAGACGGCCTGAAGTCGAAATTAAACCGGTCTGGAGTAGTAGGTGGTGGAGGTGGAGCGAAGGATCGAAGAGACTCAGAGAGAAGTGCGGAAAAAGACTCGGCGAGGTGAAAAGGGGAACTTTGGGGATTCTGCGGCGGCCGCGCTTTTGCCCCCATGCCGCGGCACAGCAGAATGAAGAATTAAAAGAAAATAGAAAATACAGAGAACGGTGAGAGTATGGAATTGGGAGAGCACACCAAGAGATATGACTTATGTATTCCAACATAGAGAACCACCGTCTGCAATTAATACAAAAGGACCAATCTCAAACGCGACCAAAACACAGAGATCGGGCAGCCACAGACTGATACAAGGAGCAAGGGACGAACTTTATTTCTTTTTCTTTTCTCTACAAACATCAAATAGCGTGTGAAGCAAGGGGTCAGATCTGAGAAGACTTGAAGAAGTTTACCAGGCATTATGTATCAATTCATTGTCAGTTCTGTCTTGTTATGCCAATAGCTGTCGGCCATGGAACACTCTTGCGGTTGTTTTGGCTGAATATGAAAACTCTGCCGCATAACCACGATAGCCTTGGACTTCTTAAGAAGCTCCGTTGTCGTTAGATCATCAGAAGAAAGAAGCTCGTTAACTATATCCTCTCATGATTTTTGCATCGCGCTCATCAACTGAGCCAATCACGTGCTATATTATGCTCTGTGGAGCTTCACCGCCTCGGCATAATGCGGCAGAAATCGTCAACAGCAACAGTCAGTTCTATAATCAATAATTTGCCTCCATGCGTTTAAATACCGCAAAGTTCCTTTTTGCATCTACCACATGCAAACGCTAGGCTCTTTCACAATGCCGCTAATAACTATGGTCGCTATGGGCCCAACCAAACCGAAATGCTAGCAGGAAAAGCAAACACCATTTGTTGCACATCCATAGAAGAACCCGCACAGATATTCCTTACTTATCTTGTCCGAACCAGGGGTGTTCAGGCGCTTTCCTCGCGGTGATCCTTCTCTCCAGGTCTAAGTCTGTCATCTGGCTGACCGATTCCTTCAGCTCTGGCTGCACAAAATCCCACGACGTGAAAGGTTGTCTAAGATCCCCCGGGGTGAAGCTGCCGGCGAGTTCAAGCAGGCGGAAGAAAAATTTATTTTCCTTCCCTATATGCGTCAGAAACCGATTCAGGCTATTTTCGTCTGCGAAATAGGAGATGTCGGCGGAGAATCGGGCGCCACGACTTTTCAGCTGCGAGCTGCTCTTTACCGACGTGAAAGACCATTATATTGTGCATGACATATAACTATCATCTAGGGAGCGTTATTAATCAATTATCAGCATGGAGTTGATCACGACAGGCATACCACAATTCCAAAAGAGAATATATCTGAGGACTGGTTCTGTTGGGATCGACACCAACTTTCAGGCTTCTCCAGATCGAATTGCCGCACAGAGCGCCTTGTAGCCACATCCCACGCGGCAAATCGACCGAATCGTCGAGGTCTGCGATTTGAACATCTTGAATGTTCAGACCGTCAGGATCTTCCGCGTAGTTTATAAGAATGTTATCAGTCTTGATGTCTATCAACGGTCAGTATTAGGACAAGGGCAGTATTTCTAGCGGTCGAACCTCCCGTTATGGACAATGTCCTGATCATGCAGATCAGCTAAACCGCGTAAGGCACTTCTAAGAATGTTCTTCTTCGTCCCTTCAGGTAGGCTTTTCGAACTCAAGCTAAGCATGTCTTCCTCCAAGAACGGATAGATAAACAACTCACGCGCCTGAACGGTATCGACGACCGTTCGCACATTTGGAGAAGAGGACACTTTCTTCTGTAGATTCCGATTGTACTCAAACTCGCCTGGAATGACATTCTTGATAACGTTGTTCTTGTCCTCGGCGCTTTCCCCGCCTGTTAACACTTATGTCCAAAGCGGCCAAGGCTAATTTCGCCTACCTTGGAAGTAAACGCGTAGGAAGGTTGAGCCAAATTTCCGCTCCAGGAGAACATCACTCACATCATAAAGACGCTTAGAATCGCTTCGCAGGAGTGTTCCGGGGCCGAGCGGCTCTTGAAGAGGTTGCGTTGTGGTGGTGGAGAGATGTTTGATGAATGATGATGGCCGCAAGGGTATGCGAATAGGCAACTCGCGAGGCAGCCGAAAACAAGCTAGCATCTTAGATCTTCACCTAGATAGTAGCTAAATCGGATTACAACCAAGGAAATAAAATAATAAGATGGGCGCTGCTGCAATGGTGTTGGCATCCAATCTGACCAATGAGACCCCTGGTTCAGGGCAATTCCTCTTTTGGTCAGGCTCACGGCATCATGTGACTGCGACGGCATCTTCATTTGGTAGGTACAACTCGCAATTTCCACCGATGCTTCTTCATCCGCCGCACAGAAATTTTGAACACTTCTTATTTCCCATGGCAACCCGGAGAAGATGTCTCGACGAGACTCCACTTCTTCTAGTGAGACACCGCAATTCACGTTTGTGACCGAGAACAGCAAACCGGAAGCGCGGAGCCATGCTATGCGAGAACACTGGAAACAGCGGCGTAGACGCAAACAAGAATCCAAATCTCATCCTAAACAATCACCTCAGGCACTCCTTCCACGCTCTGAGCTGAAATATGATTCTGGCAATTCTCAAGATAACATCAAGGGCCTATCTATCCAGTGGGAACACGACAGTTCGGATGACAATGGAGGGAAGGATGCCCATATTGCAAAACAGATTCTAAGCGGAGTCAATCGTGCTCTTTCTACTTCAATGACTGATCCTTTTCAAACATGCCCGATTCGTCTAACGAGTCAACATCAGAAGCTATTGCATCATTGTAGGTTTGAGCGGCAAAACAATAATCAACGAATGACTACGAAAAATCGGCTTACTAGATCCTAGGGATTAGCACACACGCAGCTATGATGTATGAAGATTTGGATGCTACTGAGTTCAACCCAATGAAGGACGTATGGTTTCCCCTGGATCTTTCAAATGCTTCGTCTTTCAATTGTATTATGGCACACTCGGCCGCCCACCTAGCTCACCTCTATGCCGGTACATCTCCTCGGCGGGGCACAAAGTCCTTTGATGCTCTAAAATATAAAGCAGAGGCAGTAAGGATACTGTATTCCTGGGTTGCGGACCCTAAGAAGGGGCTCAGTGACGAGGCCTTCGCCGCTGTTATTCGGCTTCTCACATTTGAGGTAGGTATCTCCGAAGCCCATGACACAACTTACTGGGCTTGCCCAGCTCTGAATTATCTAACCATAATGCACTTAAGAGGTACTGGGGTACTGTTGCAGAATGGAAGATCCACCGCAGCGGGCTACAGCGAATGATTGAGGCTAAAGGCGGCATTGACAAGTTACATAGCAACTGGCGCCTAGAACTTGTTGTCTATCTGTTAGCTATAACACTCTCTAGCAGTAAGAAAATATGGGACAGCACGGCTAATCGTAATTATAGTGTCTCCTTAATGTCACAGCCGTCATGGCTGGAGTCCTCAAACAATCTTGAGGAAATATCTCGGCCTCCCTCGCAATCCCCCATAGCTCACCCGACCATTCTCTCCCTAGATGTACAGAAGGTTCGTTGCATTTGGCTCATATCTTTTATTCAAGATATGCGAACCTTCATGGGATCTCTGTACGGAGTCGTGCTGTCAGCCTTTCCATCTCTTTATACTGCCGTTACGCTCCTGCATTACAATTTTCAGTTATCAATTGAAGCTTCCCCTTTTTCTTCTCTTGGCTCATATGCGGTCGATTTGGAAAACGAAATGCTGGCATGTTTGTTTTCTATCGGGGTTATGTTGCAGGAGTCGATGTCTCCTTCATACGATGATAACCCTGAAATACCTGCATCGAATACATTATCTGTGCTGGATGAGATCCTGAGGGCCAGTGAAGATGAATGGAGCCAATCCGTTTCCAGCTTGAAAGCTATCTTACATCAAGGTCTGATGAGATTGTATAGCGGAGGGGATTCCAAAGTCAATTATGTCTCAGAACTAGTTAAGGTCCTCGGCACCCTGAGTTTGGAGGCACGGCGAGGTGTTGAGAAATGTCTCCTAAATTTGTTCTACTCCTTGACGAAAAAAAGGAATGTGGTCTTGATTGATGATGGGTGGACGCCCGACTCACTGTTATCATCGATACACGGGCATTGAGGATACAAATACCGGTCCTGAGTGGCTTCAACCCACTCATCCTCGTTGAAAGCACCTATTGTATTTGCATAACCCCCTGCTGTACATTCAGCCTCACGAGATATAGGCACTTTGGGGGGTTCAATCATTAATGTAAATAAGTAAATATCCTATAACAATCGATTTTAAGCATATTCTCACTGCTAGAGAAAATTGCAGCATTACATCAACCCGCCGTAGGTACCACCCTCTTCCTCCATAGCCTTATCCTCGTCATAGTAATTCTTGAGTCTCTCCTCATCCTTCTTCAAACTCTTCTTATAACCCTCTAACTTGTCCTCATGAGTAGACCACCCGTTATCTTTTTTGCCACCCTGCTGTGTGCCATCATCCTGATTCTGATCGTCGTGATAATGATGGTGTTCGAAGAGTCTCTTCGTGAAGGGCTCTTTGTGTTCCCCAGTAGATTTTTGGAATTCTAGAAACAATCCCGCACATCCACATCAGCACACCGATAACAGGCAGATTTGGTAGCGAAACAGACCTTCAGACATGTTGATTGAGCGTGACTCTGACTTGTGCAGAGAGTACCAGAGAGTCAAAATGTAGTGTGAATTGATTTGGATGGATTATCGATATCGAGGAGGGGCCTAGAGCTATATACTGGATTATATCGGATATCTGGTAGATGTAGGTTCCATTCAAGCATTCATTGGCCGGCAGTATGAGTGGTGACGTTATGGGGGGAAGTTGACCAATATTTCCTGTTTGGGAAGATTTACTTCGTCGAGTAACACCTTCTCGCGCAGATTTATCGTCTGTGGGAGGACGATATTGAAAATTTATCGGGAAAATTCCATGTAGCCCCTATAAATTAGAGCGCTTGTGTAACTATAATTTTCCTCAAGTTCTGTTGAACATTGCCTAGGTATTCGTAGTCGTGGCGGAGAATACAATAGCGTTATATTTTAGGGCTAGGGCTCGGATCGTCACTTTACATACTCTCTTGGATGTTACTACGCCTGTGCTGTCTAGAGCTCTTTCTTACACTCCACTCAATCTACCTACAAGACGAATTTCTTATTACTCATAACACGATCTTAGGGTATCTAGTAGATTGCTGATCGCATCCTTTTTACACAATCCGGTCGCTTGCCTCGTTGAACACTTTGTCTGTTGCTTGACTGATATGAAACATGAAGTCGAAATATCATAGCAGACGCAGTCATGTGAGGGAAGCTCAAAGCAGGGGTTGAAAATTGGCATAAAAAATGTGATTAGAATGGGAAAAGATCTCTCTTTTTTCTTTTCATTTTCATCCTTTCTCCCTTCCTCCCCCCGCCTATCTTTTCGACAGACACTTGTGACAAGAGATATCCAGAAATAAAAACTGGGTCGAAACCAAACATGAACAAAACACGTGAATCTGACATATTGCCCAACGACCTCATTGACTAGTTGGTTCTCAAGAACGTCTCAGCGAAGAGATCCGAAGTATATCCAATGTCCACGATGTAACCGAGACTGTCACTATCTCGATCGAATGCCCAAGTGTATCATTGGTCTGGCTCAGATTTTGGCTGGATAATTGCAACTAGGCTATCTTTGTTTGTCAAGGGGCCAACGTCGTTTCCTTCATTTCTGATGGGGCTATCGCGTGCGGACGTCAACCACTGACTCTCATTGTGCTTTGTCTGAGAAAATCCCAAATCCTCCTCACGCTTAAACTGCCCTTCGTCGCTATTGGCTGATATTTAATTCACATCTCCTTGAAGGGAATAGCCAGCTTTCTAAAAGACGATTCGCTCTCTGTAATTGTTTCCAGGACATCCTTAAGTATATCCCGTTTCTCCTTGGATAATACACCACGATGAACCGCAGACATATAATCCCGTTTCAGTGAAATAATGACTTTTTCTATTTGAGAAAGAAGTGCTTCCTCCAATGACTGGCACATTTCATTGAGGGCCTTTCTAACTGCGTCGACGCTTTGATGAAACATTGTGTCCCGGGCTTGGTGCACGAAGGTAGACATGGCCTCTTTCATTCGCATGAAGCTTCCAATGCTTATCAGAGCTGTTAAAAAGCAATCGAATACATTCAATATCGCCGGGGCCCTACCACTCTCTTCAACACAGACTTCATACACAGGACTTAATGTCTCTGCAATGACTGGTTCAAACATTCGACTTGTGTCTTTTGATTTCTCTCTAACCTCCAAGATCTGCCGGCTGAAAATGTCGTTCAAAATCTGTTGGTAAAGAGGGATTTGTTGAGAAAGCATATGAGAACTTTCCAACGGGCCAGTCTCCTGGCTGATTTTGACACTGACGTTGTTATGGAACGATTCCAACAAGCTTGCGCTCTCCTTTGCGGCACGTTTTAGGACATCATGGAGACCTCGAGAAAACACCTTCTCCCAATTAGGCGCAACAGCTTTAATAACAGGCTCAATTAGTTCGGCATTCCAGTTATGGCCGTCTTGACCATTTGAATAGACCCCGTTTCGGCGGCACAACGCTTTGTACGTTGCCCACTTGAGTCCTCCGGCAGGGCGATCTAAATCGTTGGTCGGCGCACCCCAGCTACGCACGGTCTTGTTTGCTTGCTTCCTTGTAATATTGATTGCCTTATCTAAAAGACGATGACAGTTATTAGCGGTTTATGCGTATATAGTCTTCTGGGTTGTTAGCTTATTGTTACGTACCGCAGACCTGACTAATGTCGCCTTCGATTTCTTTAACTATATGCTGGCAAGTGCTTTTGAGGTATTTTTCCAATTCCTATAATAAATTATCCAATATTAGCACAACTCAAAAAGACATGGAAAGTGTGCAGGCTCAGCAGTAAAAGGCTCGTTGGTTACAAAAGTCATTCAGACTTACTTTGTCAAACGCTTTATATTCATCCTCAACAATTGCGGCCCTAGCAATTTTCTGCTCAGCAGTAACCTGAATGCCCTCAGGAGACAATATCAGTCGGAGGGAGTTAAAAAATTGATCCACACCGTTCAAGAAACGTTGGCAATTCCTTTTCCTACTTGCTTCAGTCAATCTTTTGCAGTGAGCTTGTAACTGAGGAATTTCTGTTTCTTCGATGGTCTGAAATCCCGGCACATGTGCCTCCTTTTGGAAGCGCCCTTGAAGCTTCTGATAAGCTCTAGAAGAGACACAAAACACTGGCAGTGCTTTAGCGACTTCATCATAATCACGAACATCAATCTCGGGGTTGAAGTTTGAAGCATCGACTTCTTCAGCAAGTTCGTGGTCCAATTCCTCGATACCAGCTGCAAAGTCTTGCTGGATTGGCTCTCTGGAATATTCATTCCTAGCTGAAATAGCCATAGCACTCATTTCAGCCTTAGTGTTTGTTTCCTTTTCTTTGATCTTTGAAATCTCCTTCCGGGAAAGTTTCATTTCGGCATCAATTTTTTGGCGATGAAGACGACTCTCCCTCTTATTCGCCTTTAACTCTGTAAGCTTTTCCTCGACTACTTCTAACGTTAGAGGCTGTCCCGAATCATCACCTTCTTCGTCGTCAAGTTCACTTTCACTGCCGGTATCTGCATGGTCACCTTCGGAATCAGAGATTGAGGGTCTGTGCTTCTTCTGGGGTGAGCCTGATGCATTGCTGTTTCTATTTCGTCTCCTTTTTCTGCAAGGCAATTTGTTCCCTGGGGCGAAGACTTTGTTGCCATTCTCGATAGTTTCCTTGAATCCCTCCCAAGCCTCAATCTGTTCGTCGATATGGTCCAAAGTCGCGATATATTCTGCTTTTGTCTCCTTGAGCATGTCTAGTTGTTCTTCGCATCGCTGCTTCATCGTGCTATACTCTTTAGATCTCATCCAAAGGGCACTCATCTGCGCCTCGAGATCCAAAGACTCCTGGCATTCCAAAATGCTAATGTCGTCAGTCTTACTGCATATGGAACTGACAGAGTCGAGTTTCCCGTCCATTTTCAGCTGCCGCTTAAACGTGTCACCCAGTAGAGATTTTGCTGCTTTATCATCTACGGCTCGTGTGATTGGAGCAACTATCCACAAGCCCGTGCATTGCTTCATATAGCCTTCAGCAACGGCGGCACGAGCCGCATTAGAGTCATGCACGCCAGGCAAGTCGACAATAACCGCCCCGGTCGACAGACAGGCAGCCTTCACATAGATACGAACAACCTTGATAAGAGGCCAGACTTCTAACTCTTTCTTTCCGGCTGTCTTTTCTTTGCTGTCAACATAAGACTGGAGCTTTTGGTAAAGTTGTGCAGGGTCAAATTCAAATATCTCCTTCTTCCCACCGAGCAGCTCTTGAACTTTGGAGTGTTCTAATAACCGGGTGACAGAGCTCTTCTGCAACATATCCTTCGTATATTCAGGATATACAGCTTTTATCTTAGCATATGCAATGCTAGCTTCCGTTTCTTGTCGCCATGCTTCGGTCGTGACATTTCCATGAGCATCCAGTAAATCTGGAGTTCTTTCTCCCAATCTTTCTCACTAATGAACTCAACCTCTGCTCGGTATGAGACTTTGTCATGATTGTAAGATATTTCGGTGACCACTGCCGTACACGCCCGCATAGAGTTAGTTGGCACCAATCGCTCTTCGTCGAGCATCGCATGGATGACGGATGATTTGCCACCACCAATATTACCGACAACACCGACAATTGTTTTCGGTGGTAAAGTTTGCTTTTGTAAATTTTCTATGCTGTTTAGCCAATCGACAGCGTCTATATCAGGTGATAGATGACGCAGTGGCTTCTTTAACTGCTCAAGCAGGTTGACGCCGAGGTCAACTGAGGCTTCAAGGATCTCCGGGGTGCAATCACTGAAGATTTTTTGTAGACTTAATTCTGGGAAAGCATTTGTCTCTGAATTATTGGTGTAATCGACGGTTATCTGAGTCGGTTGGTGATAGGGAGGTGTAGAGGTCGGAGTGTATTGCAACTCCTTGCCATCATTGACCCAGTAAGCAATCGTATAATGACTCAAGTTCCTCCACTCGTTGCACGCATCCATGAACGCAACTTCACAAGTTGGCAATTTTTAGTCAAGCGTTTAGACAGAAGAAGAAGGGAATTGCTTGACTGCATCAATCTTACCTGCGTCAGGCTCTTCAACGTAAATAGAGTGTGAAAATTTCCTCCGGAAAAGCCATGCATAAAATCCAGCAGTCTCAATGTATCGTCGGAGCTCTTTTCCAACAGTTTCAGTCTCACTCTATGTGTGTTCATAAGCAGAATTGCTCTCTTTTGATAGATTTGGTAAGATTCAGTGGTCAAAGCGTGCCACTCCCGTAGTATGTGCACCTGCTCAGCTGCTAGGTTCTGAGTCAAAATATGTTTTCTCGGAATCTCATTGAACAAGGTCATGCTGTATAGCTTACCAGCTAACAAGATATCTTGTGGCCAATGGGATTTCCAAAAAAAGACACAATTTCTCGTGTACGAAATTGATCATCGTAGCCATCCCTAGGAATTCTTGAGGGGCGATTTGTGCGGTATCAGGATCGGATTGCGGGCTCCCTTCAGATAAACTCATCTGATCGACCAAATTTATCACTTTTTCTTTATCAGCTGTCTGTATAAATGTCTGGGAATGGCTACTCGCATCAAAAATCCGTGAGCCAAGGGATATGCCATCATTTATCGAGCGAAATTCATTGAAGTCCCTGTTAAGAGAGGGAACATTTAGCTCGCAAAAGGCTTCGATCACAATTATGTTGTCACCAAAGAAGTTTAATTCAGAGATTGTTTTTGTTAATTCGATGGCAGAGCCATAAAAACGGAAAGAAACGTTCTGTGGAAGCGGAACGCTATCATGGTATGCCTCCTGAATTGTCTGAAGTGAGGTTTGCTGCTTGATGTAAGTGCTTGGAAGCCTTGTCATTCTTGTGGCACTCGCCCCAGATTGTTCAGTCCACATGGTGTCCTTTTTGATGTCTGCATGTTGTGAAGTTTTGTCGCCATACAGAATTCCAACTAGATACTCATTGGAGCCATGGCAATCGGCCCATCCCTTTCTCTCTGCTGCCACTTTCTGACGAAAGTAGAAACTGCTTTACTCTGACTTAGACAAAAAAGTTCTTGACGTAACAGTGAGTCTCGTATAACTGACCTGTCGTCCATGTTGCACTCTCATATAGCACAAACGATCTTGGTGTCCAGTCTAGGAATTGAAGAGATGCATAGCCTGGAGTGGCAAGGAGTTGACTTTTGGTAGCTAAGCAGAAGTAAGAGACCTGAATTATTAAACAAGAAAGTCGACTCTTGTAGAACACCTTGCTCTGTTCTCATTCTCAGAAAGTTGAGAGAGTGAACGAGGGGTAGGCGACTTCCTGATCAGTCTAGCTATATGTGCGCTAATCCTACCTTGGTAAGAAGCTCTGGTGAATGCCCTTATCGGCACGTGACTTGTAATTTACCCGAATTGGCCTGTAATTAAATCGCGTCACGGAACGGCACGCAGACACGCCGCGAAGGATCGCGACGCCGACGTGCGCCTGGCTAGGTCCACCCTATGTAGGGCACACTGAGCAAAAGTCATTGAAGGATCGGTCACTCACAAACATATCTGCTTCATCCTCACCGAAGAGTGGCTGAACCGTCTCTTCACATATACACGATGGACCGATATCGAGATGTCGCTGAGGATCCACAGTCAGATCCAGTACACCACCATGCCTTCACTCAGGATATACCTTCCTCCCCTCCCTCTATAGTCTCTGAAGCTGGGACTCGACGGAAGCCCAAGCGACCCCCTCCAGTAACACCTCGCTCGTTCAAAAGGTTTTTCACTCCTCGGTCAGCCCTCAACGCCACAATTGGGAGTGTGCATGCCAGTCGACAAGCACTGAAAGAGCTCAGCACAACGTCTGTCAATAGACGCGGACCGGCGTTCACCAAAGCTAGGGCTTCGGATGTCTCGAATACTATCAGCCGTGGGATACTGAAAAGCCCCTTCACAGAGATAACGAAGACACCGAGCAGAAAGCGGAAGCTATCATTCTCTTCATCTGGCTCTCCACCGCAATCTTCGCCTATCCGAAAAGTGCGTCTTGCCACAGCCATCCAAGACGATCGTCTTGTTGAGAAAACCGTCAATGAGATTGAGTTAAATTTACCAATTGAAACGGCACTTTCACCCCGAAAGTTGATTCAAAAGCAACTATTTACTGTCAAACCGGCAATCGAACCTGTTCGGAGATCGAGAGCGCTTGCAACATCGGGAGAATACTGTCTACGTAGCGTTTCCGGGCGTATGAACCGGCTCACTATGAGGTACAATTATGGAAGTGGTAAGGTATCCGGGCTTTCGAATACTTTTATACTCTCTAACATTGGTACTTTTGCTAGACTGGAGAGATCAAACGTCGGATTTCTATTCTCGACCGAGCGACGTTCATCAGAATATCAGCGTCTTCGAAAATCGGCTTTCGCTTCCGTTTTGTATTGCACCCTGCAAAAGTAGGTTATCTAGGACAGTTCTCTTGTTGACCATGTTACTTATCTCTATTTTTTTTTAAAAAACAAAAGCAAATTCGCTCGTGGCCATCGGAGACGAAGAAGGAGGGATCCGCCTTTTGGATTCAGCGAAAGAAGATAAGATTGGATTCTCGGAAGCACATATTGCACTTCGTGCACATGGCAACTCGATAATGAACCTCGAATTTTCCTCCGATGACATGCTTCTTGCAACTGCCGCTGGCGATCAAACAACGTTGATTATAGATATGAACACTCAGAAAGCCATTCATTGTTTGTCCAACCACACTTCGTCAGTGAAACACGTCCAGTTTCAGCCAGCATCAAATAATAAGATGCTTGCAACATGCAGTCGTGATGGCACGGTCAACATTTGGGACTTGAGGTGTAAAGGCCATGAAAATCCTTCTTTGCAAATTCATTGCGCTCTGGATTCGGATTCAGAGGATAACTCCTCCGCGTCTTGCTCCAAAGTTAATTATCCTCAGCCTGTGAGGACTATCCAGGATGCTCATGCTTCCATGACCAGGAGCTCTAAACTGGCGGCAGTTTATAAGCAGGATAGCCATTTTAGTAGAGAGAATGTCACAGTTACCTCTCTTTCTTTCTTACCAGCAGGCCGTGAAAATCTGTTCGTGACAGCGTCTGAGGCTAACGCTTGCGTCAGACTGTGGGACATGCGCACGTCTTACAATATTCGCCGAGGATTACCTGCCCCGTTGTCTACAACTCGTGAGCCGGACAGCCACGTCAATCATAGGTCCTATGGTGTTACATCTTTAGTGCTGAGCGGAGATGGTTCCAGGTTATATACACTTTGCCGAGACCTGGCAGTATATGCTTATTCGACCTCTCATTTGGTTCTCGGTAGTTCTCCGGATTTGGTCCTGAATAACAATCGGCCTCGACGTACTGGTGGTCCTGATAAAGAAGGCCTGGGACCTTTGTACTGTTTTCGCCACCCTCGGTTGCAGGTATCATCGTTTTATGTCAAGGCAGCGCTTCGACCAGCGAAAGACGACAAGGGGGAAATGCTTGCCATTGGGAGCAGCGATCACTGCGCCATTCTTTTCCCGACGGATGAAAGGTTTCTGTCATCATCTCAGCCCACACAGCAAACTGATTTGCTGCCTAATACCCGGCCTCCTCTAGTACGTCCTGGTCTACGGCGTACCAACTCTGAGATGTCGTTTACCAGTAGGCCGGAAAGTGCGATTCCGACCTATCGCTCGGGGACTCCTCTTGTCGGTGGCCACACGAAGGAGGTTTCGGCTGTGGCATGGACCTATGACGGCGAATTGGTCACAGTTAGTGATGATTACAGCGCTAGATGCTGGCGCGAAGGACCAGATGCGCGCGACTTACGTACTGGAGGTGAAACAGATGGTCGACGCTGGGGCTGTGGATGGGCCGAGACTACGGACTCTTACGATGACGAAGAAGAATAAATGAATTTACCAAGCCACCCTCATAAAAAGCGGACATGCGATACTTATTATACTTTATACCCGGTATACCCCTATTTTACATTGGGGTTTTATGCCCCCAACCCTGCGTGATAGTGTTTTGTTACAGCATGGCGAAGGCGTCTTTTCTTTTGGGATATCTTGACTCGCTTACTTGATTCAGTACTTGTGCTAGCTTTTTGTGGTTCCCTATACGATATGCATGACAGTCATAGCTCTGTTACGGTTGTGTAAACCTTTCTTGTTGCTATATCTGTTGTTATCTGTTTTTGGCGTGCCATGTTTCTAGTTGTTTTGCGTCTGCATAAAAGTAGCGTTACCTTGCATAATACAGGAAAATGCATACAGCATACCTTCACTATATTCGACTAAGTAGGTACACAAACATCCATAGATATATCGAAAGCGGTGTTTCACACTGCAGGAGTATATCTAGGTAAATTTTCCAGGACACCCTGCTACCTTGTAGTTGACTTGGCAACAATCTTTGGATGGAAGGATCCATGGATATACATCGATATAAATGCAAGTCAAAACCGTGGTATTATTTTTTCTGTATAATTAGATACACTCTAAAAGCCTGGCAGTAACTTCTTTTCCCATTACCTATTTTTTTCTAAGAAATCTTGCATCTTTCTCAATGACCATGCCCATCATCCTCTGCTGGCTGTTCAGGGTCTAACTTGATCATGGTATCGATACGCATAATAGCGATACAGGCTTCGACAGCACTCTTCAATTGCTTCACCTTACTCATGCTGGGTTCAAGCACACCGGCCTTCACAGAGTCCATGACTCGTCCCTTGGTTAGGTCGAGTCCGTAGTTGCGGTATGTCTTCTTCTTTGCAATAGCCTTTTCCTCTTCATTGGCATCGCCTTCTTGGAGTCGCTGGGAAATGGCGTGGCGAACTCGGAGTTGGGCAACGAGTTCCGACGCATCCTTCGCAGCGTTGACAGCTAGCGTCTTGGGGATGACGAGGAGGGATTGCGCAAACTCTCCAATAGCGAGTTGTTCTCGGGAGCTCTGTTTAAATTAGTTAGAGGGATGACCTAAGATTTAGTATCCGTATATTGATCAACATACCACAGTGACAGCAAATTCCTCAAGGTAGATATGTAGTGCAGTTTCTACCGCACCGCCTCCAGGAACAACGCTTCCACTTTCCAAGGTACGCTTGACGGCGGACAAAGAGTCGTGAACGGATCGTTCCATCTCATCTAGTTGAAAATCGTTCGGGCCGCGTAGAATGATTGATGCAGACGAATGGGCTTTCGTGCCCTTGACAAGGATGCATTCATCATCGGAGATGCGCTCCTGTACGACCTCCTCAGCGTAGCCAAGGTATGAGGTCTCAAATTTCTCATCGCCGTTCAAATCTGAAAGTGTGCTGATAAGTGTGGCTCCGGTAGCCTTGGCAATCCTCCTCAAGTCCTCCTTCTTGCAACGTCGTACAGCCATGGCACCTTTCTCAACGAATGTTTTTAAGACCATATCATCAATGCCCTTAGTTGTAAGCACAACATTCGCACCAGCCTTGAGAATCATCTCTACTCGCTCCAGTACAATTCCGGACTCCCGCTCTCTGATCTTTTCTAGTTGTTGGGGATCGTCAACAGTGATCTGAACACCCAGTTTCATCCTCTCTTTCTGGAGGTTCATATCGAGGCAAGCAATCTTGGCGTCTGTTATACGTGTCCTCATGGCCTGAGATGCAACGGTGCAGTTAAGAGCGTATCCCTTAACTAGCAAAGATTCCGTTGCGCTCTTTCCGTGAGCCTTCAGGACGTTCACGGCCTTGACTGGATATTTAACCTCATTCCTTTGATTCGTGGATTTAACGAGAAGCATGGCGTCGACAACCATGTTGGCGAAAAACTCGGTATCGGCACCGATAATCTTGCTAGACATCGATGTCCTGGCAATATTCAATAGGCTGTCCTTTCCCAAGCTCTCAACCTTTGTGCTGATGTTTTCATTCATGTATTTAACCGCCTCCCTTAAAGCCAATCGGTAACCCGTGATGATCGTGGTAGGGTGAATTCGGTTTTTCATAAGCTCATTTGCTCTTCGCAGAAGTTCCGAGGCAATCAAGACCACAGAGGTAGTGCCATCACCGACCTAGGATGCACCACGTATCAGCTAAGTACTAGCGAAATAGAAATGCGCGGGGCATTTTACCTCCTTGTCCTGCTGCTGAGCCAAATCAACCAGAATCTTACCCGCGGGGTGTTCAATATCCAGAAGACTCAAGATCGTAGCCCCATCGTTTGTGACTGTGACATCCTGGGAATAGTCAGTGTGGTCCATCTCAGGGGGTGCAACAGAATATGCGGGCCTACCCCGATATCATCCACCATCATCTTATCCAACCCAGAAGGGCCGAACGAGCTCTTGACAACATTTGCAATAGCTTGTGTTGCGAGCACTATTCGACATCCATTAGAAGTGCAAGCAACCGAAATGAACCCAGTCTCCCACTCACCGTTCTGGTCTCGTATATCGGCACCGCTAATTTTCTGACCGCCGAGAACTGTGTGAAGTTGTTAGTCAGTCACACACGATAATGAGTCAACAAAATGGCCTGAATGTATGACTCACAAAGGGTGCCCGCATTACGTGGCTGCTCGAAAATTCCCGCCATTGTATGGATTTAAATAATGCAAGACGAAAACCTCGATGTTCAACAGCTTCTTCGACAGTGAAGCTTTCCGAGCATTTCGTTCTGGTTGGTAGTGGGACGTTTGGGCCCGTGCACTCACTCTGCGGTAGAATTATTCTGCCGGGCGAAGGCGGTCTTATCATCCCACTTAAACGAGGGGGAAAAAGGAAAAGATTCATACATTTCGGTCCCCGCGAATTGGCGCTGCATAACGAGCGCTTTATTCGACTCGAGACGCCAGAAACGAGTTAGCAACTGCCCGTCACTCTTCAGGAACTCCCTCGTGCACGCGATCAATATGGCGAGCCAGAACGACGAGTCCGCAGCGCAAACCCTGCCTGACCGTACCCAGAACCCCGCCGAAGATAAGGGCGAAGTCTCGAAGAATGCTGCGAAAAAGGCTGCTAAGGCCGCCAAGTTAGCAGCAGGAAAGGCGGAGAAAGCAAACAAGGGGATCGGAAAGACAGAAGCCAAACAGTCTTCTTCAAAATCCTCTAAGAAGAAGATCGATGGCGCGGCTCAAATCGGTATCGATGTCGCGAAAGAAGATGACTTCCCCACCTGGTATCAGCAAGTCCTGACAAAGGGTGAGATGCTGGACTATTATGATGTCTCTGGTTGCTTCATTTTGAAGGTACAATAGTTTCCCCTCCCTTATCAGACGTATGCATCCACTGACTGACACTTGGATAGCCCTCTTCATACTTCGTATGGGAAACCATTCAAAACTGGTTCAACGATAAAATCAAGAAGATGGGTGTCAGGAATTGTTCCTTCCCCTTATTCGTCTCTGAAGATGTCCTACAGAGAGAGAAGGACCATATTGAGGGCTTTGCTGCTGAAGTTGCCTGGGTTACACATGCGTATGTAGCTATCCCCTTTACTTTCCAAAGAGCGCACAATTGAAGACTGACAGAATACTCGTAGAGGATCCACTCCCCTGGAGCGAAAGATAGCTATTCGTCCTACATCTGAAACCGTCATGTATCCCTATTATTCCAAATGGATTCGAAGCCACCGTGACCTTCCCCTGAGACTGAACCAATGGAACTCGGTTGTGCGCTGGGAATTCAAGCACCCTCAGCCCTTTTTGAGAACTCGAGAGTTCTTGTGGCAAGAGGGACATACTGCGCATCTAACGGAGGAGGGTGCTGCAGAGGAGGTATTGCAGATTCTGGATCACTACCGTCATGTTTATGAGGACCTCCTTGCCGTCCCCGTTGTGCCTGGTAAGAAGACAGAGAAGGAAAAGTTCGCCGGTGGCTACTATACTACCACTGTTGAGGGCTATATTCCTGCTACAGGTCGTGGTATTCAGGGTGGCACATCTCACTGCTTAGGACAGAACTTCAGTAAGATGTTCAACATAACCGTTGAAGACCCCAACGCCAAGGACGACGAGCCCAAGACTCCACTCTACGTGTGGCAGAATTCATGGGGTCTGTCCACAAGAACTATCGGTGTTATGGTGATGATTCATAGTGATAACCGTGGTCTCGTCCTTCCTCCACGCGTTGCAGAGGTTCAAACTGTCATCGTCCCCGTTGGCATTACCAAGAACACCACGGACGAGGAACGTGCCAATCTGTACAAAGAAATCGATGGATTGGTTTCCAAGCTCACTGCTATCGGCATCCGAGCCGAAAGTGATCTGCGAGAAGGATATTCTCCAGGCTGGAAATTCAACGACCACGAACTTCGCGGCGTTCCTCTTCGTCTCGAATTCGGACCTGGCGAATCCAAGGGTGGCTTTGTCACTGCTGCCCGTCGTGATGTACCCGGCAAAGACAGCAAGACCCAGATTACCCTCGACACACTTACCACAGCTGTGCCCGAAATTTTGGACTCCATCCACAACGACCTTTTCAAGCGCGCAGACGAGCAATTCCGAGCACACCGCAAACAAATCACGAACTGGGAGGAATTCACCCCGCTGCTCAACGAGAAGAACGTCTTGCTTATCCCTCACTGTCTGACGGAAGAATGTGAGGACCAAATCAAGGATCTCAGTGCGCGAAAGGCCGAGGAAGACCTCGATGTTCCCCAGGATGCGCGAGCACCTAGTATGGGCGCGAAATCGCTCTGCATTCCTTTCGAGCAACCCGAGGGTATTGAGCATGGTGTGACGAAGTGCTTGAACCCTCATTGTACCAAATTGGCTGAGAAATGGTGCATGTTTGGACGTGAGTCTGCCCCTCCATTACATACTTTCTTATAGACTAACTTACTCGTTCCAGGCTCCTATTAAGAGAAAAACAAGAGGGGAAAAAAGCAAAGCGGGCCATTCAGAAATTCCATCATCGAATCTATCTCCTTAGCATTGGAAGTGTACTAGGGCATAAAAAGGCCCGGCTAGATCGTCTCATAGAGGAAGACAGACAACATACATAAAAGCCAAACATATCAACCTCAGTCTTATTAAGTAGTCACGATCGATAAGGACTGGGTTGGAATGGAAATGATAGCGATGATTAATTTGTTACCTCTTTTTATGTCCTTTCTTTTACCCACGTATCCAGGTATAGACTATAAGTTCTGAAAAAAAAATCACTGGGGTCCAAAATGGTGGGATTATATTATATTACATTTATATACATCGCCGTGCATGAATAGGGTGAAGAGATATTACCTCGGTATGAAATAAATTGTTTTGGTATCAAACAAGAACAAGGACTTTCCAACAATGCAATCAGATATATAGAAAAGGGAATATCAGTTGGTGATACATATACTTCAAATAAACAAATTATAAAGAATGGGGGTTCGTAGTCTTTTCTCAAGCTGTGTAAGCAAACAAAGAAACCAACAAAAAAAATGCAAATCCTAGCCACCAATGCAAATGAATCGTGTATTAACAATATCGAGAGAGATAGATATATATATCGGGAAATGACGAGTGAGTCAACTTGATGACTTTGCGCCAAGGAGAATTGACAAAAGTGTTGATATGGATGGGAAAGTGCCGAGTCACAAAAGACCGCTGCATGTTTCACACAGTACGTGGGTTTTGGAAGGTAGGGTTTTCAGGCATTAGATTCACTTTCTCCCCCTGTTGCATGAATTCGTCATAATTGTATGTTGGTGATATTACACAGATCAGCCTTATCTTCGCACATAACTGGGATAGATGGGTGGCGTAGCAGCATCGTTAGAGACGAAATCGTTGATATGCGGAGACGGAGGGACGGGGTCTGATTTGCGTTTGAAATGTGATTTATACCGGGGTTGCGGGGGGGTTTTGGCGGAAGGGAAGAGACTAAAGTTCGAACAAGAGGTAGAGTGGGAGTGAGAAATGGATGGTTGTTGAGTGTAGTATTCAGGTTGGTATTGAGAGTGAGCGTGAGGTTGTGTGGTTGTAAATGATGTTGAAGGAGTGGGAGGCTCTCCATATGTGTGTCGCCGTCTTCTAGGTATGACTGTTGGCTGCACCTCTCTGGGAAAAGGCCTTTTTGTCGCAGTTTGATATTTATCAGTTTCAGTGTTCTGGTGATCATGATATGTTGGTGAGCTGTTTGAAGAGTTATTCAGAGGTGGACTTTTGTTTCCGGGTCCCATATTCGATCGTCTGCGCATCAGTCTAGACAACGGACTCTCTTTTTCCGGAGGAAGTGGTTTAACCCTTGACGGCCCAGGTGGCGGTAAGAGGATATTGTCATCAAGTGAGTTGTCTGAAGCTGGGGGTGTGAATGGGAGTTCATCTGTCGGAAAGGGGACACTGCGAAAAGCGTCATGAGAGTTGATTTCACGGATGATTACTTCTTGCAGCGACTCAAATGTGGGGTATTGGGGGCTGTATTTGTGATTCGAGATGTATGCTTGCTTAAGTATCCTCATGATTTCGTCAACATCCAGGCCAGGGGACGGTTGCGGCGTGAAGTGATTTGGGGTGACGGTCAGGAGGGGGGTGTGCACAATCTCATCGATACTGGCGTTCTTTGAGACAGCCTGATTGTTGCTGGGAGCTGGAGGTTGGATGGCGCAATGCTCTATCCTAATACTCGGTTTCTTCATGGAAGTGATACTCGTGTTGATACTGAGATCACGCACGTTCTTTTTTCCGCTTGCTCGAGAATTCGTAGATGTGGACCTCGAGCTCGAAGAAGCCTCAGCTTTCACCTTCTCACTAGAAGCTGGTGAATTATCTTTAGTTGTCTCTGCTTCTCCGGATCCCCCAAGTACTCCCGAAGAAGTTGGAGGTCGTGGAAAACTGGCGAGATCCGGCGTTTTGATTTCTGAGAGACCAAGGTCTGGCGCAGAAGCTTGAGGTCTCAAGCTCAACCGATTATTGTCCACTGTCAGCGATGGTGAGGAGGCCCTGTTTTCGTGGTGAGCTTTGGGCACATCCGCTGGAGGGTAACTTGTCCGTGGATCACGATGAGGTTTAGGTCGCAGGCTCCTTCTTTCCTCACGGTGGTGAGACCTCACACTTAGACCGCTGGACCGAGGGCCTCTGTAAATCGGGTTGCTCTTCGATCTTGAGATATTCCTGTCGGCCACATCTTCTTGATACGAGGAGGATATCAGATGGGAAAACCGAGGGTCTACCCGTGGAAGGTATTGCGCAATAATATTTCGATCCGCAATATCTTCGTTATACGGAGTTATCGGGGACATGGACCTAGTCGTCATTTGGTAGCGATGTCTTGAAAATACGGCTTCGACGACATCCACATGTCTGTTTCTCTGTTTCGCCTGGTCGCTAGACCCAGCGTATCGGAACTGACGGAGGGACGCAAGCGTTCGCGAGTAGAAGGTCTCATGTAACTGCTCGAATTGCTTTTCGATCCCCTCGTAATGCCGATTCACATCTTTCGTTGACGGAATGTCGTAGAGCGACGCAGGCGACGCGGGCTCGCCATTGGATATGTTTGGGAATTGGCTGGCGTATTGCTGGCTGCTAACACCGTGAAGGTCTACCACAGACCGGGGAGAAGTCGGTTGGAAAAGCTTCTTCAGGTTTGCCATGGCTGCATGTACTCTTTGAACTTCATGCGGCAGTTTCCCGGAGGACAAGGCCAACTGGGGTGCCACAGCCCAGCATATGAATGAATAAAAGAGAGAGAAGGAAAGTTGAACAGAAAAATCGGGCTATACAATAGGTGATCAAGCATGGGCAGACACACAATACGAAGCAATTCAATGAAGGAAGAACAAAGCTGAGGAGAATATGTACGGAGCACGGAGGAAGTCACGTTTGGTGTGTGATTGATTTTGTCCAAGCTTGATCGTATTTACTAGGAAAGCTGTATGGACGGAGTAATAATACAGAGATATAAGACTCATTAAAGGTATCGATACAAGAGTGGGGGCCTGAGGGTATCTCAGATTGGCTATAGTCGCCCACGGCAGTGGAAACGGTGGGGCGTGGCGCTAGCGCCCCCACTACGGTAATACGTATCGTAAATATACATGAAGTACGGTACGTATTCATGCTTTCCTCTGGATGTTATAGTATACAGAATATACACATGGATGCCCTCAGTCAATGGCTATACTAGTCCGAAGCCAACCCCATCTGTGGCTTTGCCGTCTCTTATTTTCTCTTCCGGTTCTCATTTGTCTGTTCATGTTACGTATCCGATGATGAGCATGCTCTTGAAAAGTTGAAACCCCACGAGGCGGTGTTAACCTCAAACCCGGAAACATAACTAACTACCCCTGACGTCGTTGATTCATGCCGCCTGCTTATCCCACTCCGCTTACTCCGTAGAGAGCAGGCTAGCGAACTACTGGCGCAAACTATAGAATATCAATATGCAGTTAGGGGCGATTCGCCTGTATATCAAATAAAATCATGTTCTTTGTTCTCGCCCTTCGGTGCAGGGCAAGCGACATATCACTGTCTGCCAGTACGTATCAGGCAGGCACTCCGTGGAGTTTGTACCGGCCAGAACGATGTATATATAATTTTTTTTTTTTTTTTTTTTTTAATTTTAGACAAGCTAGCCTCCCTGCCAATGGGAAACCACGAAGCGCGCGGATCATCGCCCACTCCGGACTAGTGCCAATAGCAGCGGGATCGTGTTCCTGGCTAATGTGGTGGGCCGGTCACTGTGCGGATTGGCTGCAGTTTCAGCCGTCCTAACGGTATACAATCCGTATTTCAGCATCGTATTGCCATAATACCAGAATACTATTATGGGCTTGCCAGTTCGATGATCGGTTGTTTGCCTTGCCGATAAATATAAGCAGTGAGCTAGTTATATAGTAGTTATAAACAACTGTCTTATGGCTCTGCTTCTGTGCCCCGGCTTCATGATAGGGGCAAAAGCGGCAGTTGAAGCTGTCATAGGGAAAGGCTCGGGACAACCCGCCGTATTACGTACCACTCCGTGCTAGTTAGTATAGACTAGAGTCTATGCTCTATACACATTTCACATAACTATATTTTCTCTGGCTCCTTATTACGCCACTTGCTCATTATGCTCCCTCCATATAATCGCTTATTGCTTTGTGTACCTACCATGATCGTGGGTCTCTCTAAAGAGAGGCTATTCGCAGTTAGCTGAATTGATCCAATGATAACCGGTACAAACTGTTGGTCAGTGCTAATCTCAACGTTTACTAGCTTAGTATAACTAGAAAACAAAGATTGCTGCTCAATGCTTTGATTAGATTGGCAATTAATACGGAGTATATCGAGATTCTTTAAATTAAGCAAACAGATAACTTAGATATTTACTAGTCTTAATACATATTTTAAGACGGGGCATGTTGAATCTGCACGGTGAAATTTTTTTGGGAAACTATGTGTATAGTATGCCCTACTCTTTAAAGAATAATAACGTGTTTAGAACAAAGCGTCACGACGAGCATCAGATCAGATAGAGGTATCATTTAGGTATTCTAACGTAGTCACTAAAGCACACCAGAGACACAGTTCATATCGATACACTAGACCGTGCTAGTCACTTGAAGAATATAGCTTCTCATGTCTTCATGTCAACGTCTGCGTCTATTTTTGTAGCCTCCAAGGATTGCTTCACGAAACGCTCGCCAGACTCTCTGACAGCGGCAGCAAGCACAGATCGAGCAGCGCGCGCAGCATCAATAGCACCGTCAATAAGTATATCATGCCCCGGCATCTTCTTCTCTGGTGTTTCCGTAGAGGCAACATCTGACGTATCACCTTTTAACCATATTTCTGTAATCTCGTCGCGGCCCGGCAAGTACCCAACAACACAAGCAGCAATGATGTTCCGATGTTCTGACGGGTCTGGGTCCAAGAGTAGCCTCGGAGGCGGGCGACTATCTTTCTGACTATCATCTTGATTACCACTGTTTCCCATCTCATCCTCGGCAGCAACCAAGGCAGCAACGCCGCCAGACACTAGATCCAGACAATCAATTCTAGCATCAGCAATAGCCGCCGCCGCAGCCGTGATACAACCCGCAAGTACATTCATCATGCCCCAAGAGGCATCCGACGAAGCAGATGCATTCCCCCACCACCGATCATCTTCGGCTTCGAGAACAGTGATTGTCACATCCAAAGCACTTTTGGGCCAGCGCTCGGCTATGATGGCGCCTCGAATGGCTGTTTCGAGATGGACGCCAAGATCGCGTTCGCTAGCGTCTCGAATATGTCCTTTTCGTCGTCGATGTGCGAATGGTGCATATTTGACATGGGTCGTTAAAAGGAGATTCGGAGAATAATTCGCCGAGCGTGGCAGGGGCCTGGGACCATGGACTGCGCATGCGATCTTTAAGGATGTGGCGGGTGCTATCAACGATTTGGGTGCAGCCGTTGCTCGTGTGGTAGGCTCGATTTCAAGGTATGAGGAACCGCTTGCTGAAGGAATGAGACCCGTTTTCAAAACTAAATGAGTTATTGTCAGTATGAGAACCATCTGAATAGGCTTCGGTTTCGTCGGCTTACATATCTTTCGCAGATCTGTAGGCTTCCTCGTCCGCTGCGGTCTCTCTGCTCCCTCGCCTGCTGCGGAGCGCAGCAATGAAGCATATACGGGCGCTCTGGTGCCGCTCGGGGGACCATTATTTCTTCTCCTGTCAGCCATGATCCAGACCAATGCAGATATCTGAAGACAAAGTGGCAATTCGTAGCAATTTCATGAGTTGAAATCCCTTGCCATGAAATGTCAAGCAACCGCAAAAAGTTCCAATTCTGAAGCATGTTTGCTCTGTTTGCTCCAAGGTGGGGCGGGCTTAGCTCCTTCTTTTTCTTCCGCCAGCAACTTTTTTCTTCTCGCACAACTTCATCCGTCATCTTTTCTTTTCAACTGTTGCATCAACTGGCTGCAATTGAAATGCCATTTGGACAGTATGACGACCATTCTATCACTACTACTAACTTGTTGTAAGTTGTTTCCTACGCGCATCGAGCTTGTTTGCAGGAGGAAATTTATAACCAAAACTCTGTTCGGCGATGTCCATGAGCCATGAACAACATGCACTACCATCTGAAGCTATTCATCTCTACGTCTTATGCTATCTTCATATTCTTCTCGAGGACTATTACTGACAAATCCTTGTAGAAGCAGATTATGCATTTTTTTTTGCGGTATCATGGCGATTTTTAGTGCATGGTAAGTTTACTTTTTTTCCCCTAGTTTCTATACCACCACGTGTGCCTTTATGATGAAACAAATTTATCAGTTCTGCTTCTGCAAAATCATTGAAGAAAAACCAATACCATACCAAAAACCTATCTGATATCACACATTTACAAAATGCTTTTTTCACTCATTCAAACATGGAAGAAGACACGAGTGCTAACGTGGATTTGGCACAGATCAATGAATTAAGTCTTCAGTCTACCCGGAAAACATTTCAGTAAGTTGTATGTAAGACGAATTCTCCCAGCTAGCCTCTTCTGCCCCATCATCCAGAAGTTCATGATGACAACTAGTCAATCCATTCAACGATTTTTCCCCTTGAGGGAAAAGACCGCCCTTCGAGCTCGCTTTCGTGGAGTTCCCAGCAAAAAAAGGAGTCGTTTTTATATCCTTCTTTTCTCTTCTCCCTCTTTCTTCCAGGACTGATATTCGACACCTCCCTCATACCGGACTTGACTTCGAAAGAATTCAGGGGATGACAGGTTGTGGAGTTCCGTCGTATTCTATCCATACATGGGAGTTCGTAGTGGTTTAGAGAGAGTTGTGGGTATTCACACCAACTTCTTACTTTTGTTGCAACCTTCATTTCAGCGAGCTTGACTCTGTGTCGATTTTTCTGTTTTGGATCGCATGTACTCGTTTTGGGTGCTGTGTTTCTGGGATGGAGTCGGCAGGGGATGGGATGAGTTAACCGGCTTTGCTGATTGATCTATCTATCTTTTTATCCGATAGATTGTGTTTTCACTCATCTCGAGCTTGACTATTCTCGAAACATTGGCTAACGTTTCCGAAACATTCAGGTATATTCGTAGTAACTAGATCTGATATATAAATGCAACACCATATTATTTTATTATGCTAATACTTTCTATCCTTTTCGGTAATGAACAAGAAGAAGAAAAAATTATAGTCATCGAACGTAAAATAAGAATAGTGTTTTCTTTTTCGTATCCTGCAATGAACGAATGAAAGCATGCATTGTCATGTCTATGCCGTAGTCACGTCGTAGCACAATCATCTAGATCATGTGGTATATAGCAATCAGATTCAAGAATCCTGTTCTTCTTGAGTTGTCGGAGTACTTGTCCCCCTTGATCTGGACATGCTGTAGGGAGCCTAAAAACAAGTCAGACCAAGCAAGACTTGATGTTTAAAATACCAGAGAGAGAGAGACTCACCAAAACCTTCTTTGCATTGCAAATCCTCCATGCCATGTTTCGCACATTGCCGTCTGCGCGGACAACTTCTGGGGCGAGCTCAACGCCGAACCTGGTTGATTCAAAAGAATCAGATTAGCTAAAGCAATCCAAAAAAAAAAAAAAAGAGAGAGAGAAAGAGAAGTATGTCAGAAAAATCTCACATCTGATGAACAGCAAAAACCACCCGCTTCGCATACTTCCCGTCGCGATCGACCAGACTGCCAAAATGCTCATCGTACGTTTCAGGCGCAATCTCAGGATCGCGATCGAAGCAGTTGCGGGCAACAGGTAAGAGGGCCTGTTCAATGGCAGACTGTATCAGGGCATCGCTATTAGCGCTGGTTTTATCGACATCGACGACTTCTTCTTCATCAAAACGACCGATTCGGATCTCAAAGGGCCGCGATATGGCCATGACATTGTGCTTGCCATTGTGGTGATAGCGAAACTCAAAGACGCCTTGGGTCCAGAATAGTTTGTCGCCTGAAAAAACCATTTCGCCAGACGCCAGATCCCGGTTCACGCCGTCGCTGCGCCGGGAGGCGGAGATGACAATGTCACTGCTTACAAGGCCCTTTTCGCATGTGAGGCTGTCGTAGGATCCTTCGTTGGTGGCGATCCATCTTCCCTGAGATGAAATGCGTGTGACTTCTCGGCGGGTGTTGTCGGTGACCATGTACAGGCCAATCCAGTCCTTCTTGCTGTGGTTCAGGGACGCAGTCCATTTGACTTTGATTGGGGCGCCATATTCAAAGATCAGGTTTTTGAGATCACCTCGTCGTTCCGGCGGTGCTCTGGCATGAGCTCCCTCTTTACCGCTACTACGCTCCACCTGTGCCGAGGGCGAGGACTCGGTGCCTTCGATTTCCAGCGAGTAGTCCTCTAGATCATAGCCGGCTGCAACTTCATCGTCCAGGCGGGAAATGGTGATTCGCGCGGGATACTGACGGAACAGGGACTTGGCGTCTTTCATAAAAGTGTTCACACCAGTGGCTAATTTTGGTCTCGCAGAGTCTAGGAGTTCCTCAACAAATTCAAATGACTCGTCCATCATACGGTCAACGCTGCCTCCTAATTGCTGTAGTGGAGGAGGTAGAGATCGTTTTAAACTCTTTACCAGGCCTGCATCCTGTCGCAAGCTTCTCCCGTACAGCTTCTGCATATGAGGTCGCTCCACCATTTGAATGAATGCAAGTGTCAGGACATGACTCAGCAGCGCGAGAAAGATAATGGCACCCTTGCTAGTGATCAAAGCAGCACCCCATAAGCCAGCAAGCCCGAGGACACGCTCGGGATTGTTAAGGAAGCGGTAGATACCACTGTAGGTCAATTTGGATTTGGCATCAAAGAAGAAATCTCCAAAGAACCATCCGAATTCGCCTAGGGAATCGTATATGCTCACCGAGGTCCACACTTGCAATACGATTAAGCTTATGCCTAGTGTGTGTTTGAGCAACGCCAGGCCATGGTTCCAATCCGAAGGGACGCTGTACATTTTCCAAGTGGCGGCAATGAAGCTGGCATAACACATGGTCATGCTGAGATGATAAGAGCCTTTCCACTGGCGCCATGCCTCATCTGTATTCTCGCCATACTTGACAAAATGGCGGGTCCAAGACTTAAATTTTGACTGTCGATGAAGGATGTATCCCATGCCTATAGAATACCAGCACCTCCATAGCGCAGCGTTGGCCACGAATAGATATTGATAAGTGGGAGTAGATGGGGTAAGAGATGTTATGGCTAAAACAAGCAACTGGACAAGGATGACGGAGGAGTCTGTTACTCTGTGGAAATCCAGATTATGTAGTCCGAGCAGATTATGTACTGATGAAGGTTGTTGCGTTGCGGCTTTGTCGTCAATTCCGATGGAAGCTGGAGCAGGGAACGAGTCGCTTATTGGGGAAGTCTGCGAGTTGAGAGCAATGCTGCTGTTGTCTAGTTGAACTGAACGCTTACGGGGTGCTGGCGGATTATAGATGCGGTCGATGTGTGGATTCTCCACAAAGACCAGAAAGGCGAACTGAGCTGCATGGGCGACGATTGAGATGAAAAGCACTTTATAGCTGGCGGCCATCAACGAGATTCCATAATAACCAGCATATCCTACAGAATACATGGGGTGTGGAGCCATTTCGAAGACGCCATCGAAAGTGAGTTCTTGGTCAATGAGAAAGAAGAAATCACCCCAGTACCAAGCGAAATCCTTGACGACCCGATGGGCATCAAGCTTGACCCAGAGGTTGAAGAGAACCAAAACCCAGCCTGCCGCCCACCGGAGGCCGGTCATCAGCGCGGTCTCGTTTTCTGGGCGGGTGCCACAAGCAATAGCGAAGAGGCAGTACGATGTGAAATCACACATCAGAATAACATCGACAACGCGACGGAAGACGAGCCAAGTGTTGTATTCTAGTGGAGCATTATCGAAAGAGTAATCTTTGGGAATCATGGTCTCCATGTCCCTTTTTAGGAGCTCATAAAGTCTCGGGTGGGGGTTCTTGCCCGTCGACGGGTTCACAAAAATCTGGGACTTGGTAGCCCATCTGACCAGAGTATTATGGTGCGACTGGTTATGGAGTAGCCAACCAATCCCACCATTATAAGAGGTCCTCCAGAACATGTATATCGCGGCGAAGACGGGGATTCTAACCTCTGGCGCCAGGAAGGCAAAAATCAACAGGTGCGAAGCGAGGATGGCAAGCACGACCACATCGGACAGATTCTTTGGCTGGGTTGGAGACAGCAGCTGCGAGACCATGTCGTGTGTCAGAGGGACAGTAAAGACTGCAAAAGACATTGTGAGCAGATGGTATGATAGGTCGACGTATTGCAACGAGGAGCCATTGACCACCTACCGGTTCCATCGGGTGTCCTCCCAAACGTCTTCTTATCGTCGTCGCTTTTCTTGACGTCGGCCGTCACGCCGTAGCCTGCGGAGGCCAGCGCTTGGTCGACAGCGTGCACGTCGATGGGCTGCGACGGCCGCACACGCTCACGCAGGCCCTCATCGTTCTGCCGCTGGGCGCCTGTTGCACTGAGAGAATCCATCGATCGATTCCTCAGGCCGGATTGGGTGAGTTGAGGTTGGTTGTCTACGGAGGGTCAGGGCATTGGCAGAGAGGGAAAAAGCGTGCGAAGTTGAGTGATTTGCTTGTGATTCGCACGGACCACAGCTTCCTGGTAATTGTGTCATTGTACCGCCGATACAGCCCGCATACTGACTTTTGGCGTCTTTTGCGCCGAGTTTTGCCCCAACGGTTACCGAGTGCGTAATCTATTACCGTCAAATTACGCCCAGTCGCGTGCCCGCATTATGCACAGTATGTATACTCTTTCGCATTGCGCGGTTATGTTGGAAATGCATGAATTGGCTGCAGATTTCTGGATGCAAATACTGATGCTAAATGCCAAGGTAAATAGAAACTACATACGTACTGAATATTATGTCAGCTAGTAGCTGGTGCAGTGATTGGTCCGTTCTCTTTTTGGCTGTCGCCACCCCGCTCTGCGCTCTCGGATTTCTAAGCATCAAGAAGTTCGTTCCCTTCTCCAACTGTTCCTGACCGGATGCTGTCTTTCTCCCTGGTTGATATACAGGAATACTGCCTTACAGACTGTATACAAGTATATAGAGAGAGAGAGCAGCCATGGTCCCGGCTCTGACAGATCCTACCGCGGCATACCTGGCCGCGCCTACAAAAGCTCCCAATCTGGTTGCTCCGGAACCCGGTATGTTTTGGCTGCGATGCCCTGTGGAATCAACTCTGCTGACCTATATATGCTAGAACACTGCCCCGGACCCGAATCAGAGCAAGCAGGCCAGGGCGATGCGTGCGCCGGGTGCCCCAACCAGACCATCTGCGCCTCGGCGCCCAAGGGACCAGATCCAGATATCCCGCTCATCACTGCCCGTCTCTCGCAAGTAAAACACAAAATCCTCGTTCTGTCCGGGAAGGGAGGGGTCGGCAAGTCGACATTCTCAACGCTACTCGCCCACGCTTTTGCGTCAAACCCCGAATCGACCGTGTATGTGTGCGACACCGATATCAGCGGGCCCTCGGTGCCCAAGATGATGGGCGTAGAAGCCGAGACTATCCACGTTAGCAATGCGGGTTGGAGCCCTGTGTGGGTGACGGACAACCTGGGCGCAATGAGTATCCAGTTCATGCTACCGAACCGAGACGACGCGGTTATCTGGCGAGGCCCCAAGAAGAACGGGCTTATCAAGCAGTTCTTGAAAGATGTCGAATGGGGCGAGGCCGACTATTTGATTGTGGACACTCCTCCGGGCACGTCCGATGAGCACTTGTCGGTCAATTCACTCCTCAAGGAGTCCGGGGTGGATGGCGCAGTGGTCGTGACAACGCCGCAAGAAGTGTCATTGCTGGACGTGAGGAAAGAAATCGATTTCTGCAAAAAGGCTGGAATACGAGTTCTCGGTTTGGTGGAGAATATGTCGGGATTCGTTTGCAGCAACTGCAAGACCACATCGCATATTTTCCGACCAACGACGGGTGGAGGCCGACGGTTGGCTAGGAAGATGGGGATCCCCTTTTTGGGCTCTGTGCCTCTAGACCCTCGAGTGGGTATGGCATGCGATTATGGAGAGAGCTTTCTGGAAAGTTACCCTGACAGTCCCGCATCCAAGGCAATTCAGGGTGTTGTTCGGGCAGTCAGCGAACAGATTGGGGAAGATCCGGAAAAGGTCTTACCGTCGGAACTTTGAAAGTGAAACTGGATTTCCCTCTGCGTGCAACTTTCTCTGCATTGGTGTAACTGGTCGTGATTTGCATTGAGTTTGTGTGGTTTGATATGTTAATGCTTTACGGGCGTTTTGGTTTTGATTGCATTTTGGCGCGAAAAACGTGGTATCTCTTTGGAAAGGACCGGAAATCGTTTTACTTGCACATATTTTTTATTCAATTAGGTGGTTTGCATGAAGATATTATACCCTGATGCAACTGCTGTTCTGGGCAGTGTAAGAAGAGGTGATGGTGAAACCGACAGAGTCTGACATAGAAGATTTCTTGTATGACCTCGTCTAGACATTAATGAAAGACCGATACCTTTTATCATCTCGGCACTCTGTATCATTCCGAAGAGCATTTCTCGTGTGATGAAGGCGTAGAAATCAATGGATATCCCGGCTTTTTAGGGCTGTTCGGGATATTCCGTCCAGGACAAGCCACAGTAGATTCCAAGTCAGGAAATCCTTGCCAGTCCTCACAATCCATCTATCCCAGCCCAACGCATAAAATGCACACACAAGCGCCAGGCTCTGTTTCAGAAAGATGGCGCGGCCTCGCACTGGCTGAAGCGTCTGGTTTCAGGGCCCGCCGCTAAGTCAGCCTCTGTGTTTCAGCACCACCACTGAGAAGCCTCAGCGCGCAATGCTTCAACGTGGGCTTAGTTTCGTGTCTCTCAAGCCGTCAATTATTGCTTCAACTTACTTGTATCGAGTGGGAAAGGGAGGTCCGCAGTGGAACCCGTGTACGTGTAGGCAGGGGGCCGCGTCATGGACGAGTTTGACGTCTCTGTGTGGTTCTTGGGGATGAAAAAGGAAGAAAATGCACTTCCTGCAGCCAATTATACGAGGGCCACATAGATCTATGCTTTGCTTTATGCACGGTGTAGTACGTGCCCAGACCCAATTAGGGCCAGACTCACCGTCCAACTGCCCCAGCATCAAACCATCTCTGGCGCCAGACACGTTTGACTCTTATTATTGTCTGTCTAGAACCTTGGAACCTCATGTACAAGTCGCAAGGGCCTGTTCGTTCCTTTAAGATAGCCCTTCTTTCTTCCTCTAGTTGCTCACGTCTTTCTCTTCTCTTTGGAGCACTTGGAAATAATCTCTTCTTCTTTTCTGGTCATTAACTGACCTTGACGATCCAGGTCTGGACTTGGATCTGATATCAGACTTCGTCTAAGCTCACTTTGCCTCATTTAGATCCGATACAACGGCCAGGGCCGTCATCTGCTTTCTTTCTTCTTCTTTGAGAACTTCTTTCTTTCTTTCTTTCTTCTCGTGAGCCTCCACTTCCATCAGTTGGACATCCATTCTTTCAAAGAGCTCCAAACAATGGCATTCTTGTCTATTTTCTACACAATACTCCTAATCACAACTGCCGTTCTCAGCGCGCCAGCGACCCTACCGGCAGCAAAACTCAAAGGCAGGTCCTTTGAGGTACAACGTGTTCGACGCGCTGGCTACGTGCCTCATGGCCCCGCAGCGCTTCGAAAAGCATACCGCAAGTTCAATATCACTGCTACGCACCTTGGTCTCGAGGCTCTCGACTTTGAGCCTATCAAACTCACTAGCAATGCTTTGGGTACGCAAAGTGCAGCCGCAAAAAATTCAACTGAAAACGGGACTGTGGCCGCTGTTGCGACGAGTGGGGATACCGAATTTGTGGCCGCTGTGAGCATTGGAGGGCAGACTTTGATGTTGGACTTTGATACCGGGTCTTCTGATCTGTAAGAACTGCTGATAGCCAGTGAAATGTAGAGAGAAGGGGCGGGAAACTAATATACAAATATATTCTAGCTGGGTGTTCAACACGCAGCTACCTGCAAAGGCTCAAAACGGTCACACCATCTACGACCCATCCAAGTCGACAACATTCCAGGAAATGGATGGCGCAACATTCGATATTAGCTATGGAGATGGATCTGGAGCAGCTGGCAACGTTGGCACTGATGTCGTCAACATCGGAGGCGCATCAGTCAACAAGCAAGCCGTCGAGCTCGCGACTGAGGTTTCCTCGGCATTCGTCCAAGACACTGCTTCTAACGGTCTAGTTGGCCTTGCATTTTCCACATTGAACACAGTGCAACCGACGCAGCAACAGACTTTCTTCGAAAACATAGCCAGCCAACTTGACGAACCGGTCCTAGCGGCCTCACTCAAATCCGATAGCAGCTCTGGGAGTTACCAATTTGGCACAATCGACACTGCCAAGTTCACGGGCGAACTGGCTAATATCAGCGTGGACAACTCGAATGGGTTCTGGCAATTCGATTCGGCTGCATTCAAGATTGGGGACGGAGACATGCAAGCGATTACCCAGTCCCCGACTGCTATCGCTGACACCGGCACCACGCTGATGTTGGTGAGCCCTGAAGTTGCAGCGGCGTATTACGAGCAGGTGCAAGGTGCCCAGGATTCGGAGAGCGTAGGAGGCTACATTTACCCATGTAGTTCTGAATTGCCAACCCTTTCCATTGCGGTGGGCAATAGCAATCTTGCAACGGTACCGACGTCTGTTCTCAATTATTCCACAATAGGAATGGACAGGTCGACTGGAGAGGAATGTGAGTTGCTTCCCTTGTGTCTTTGGCATGAGATCTCGGTCGTGCTGACTCCAGATCGACAGATTGCTACGGCGGCGTCCAGTCCAACTCGGGCAGCGAATTCCAGATTTTCGGCGATGTCTTCTTGAAGTCGATGTATGTTGTATTCGACCAACGAGGTCCTTCTCTGGGCCTGGCCACTCCGGCCTAGGAATAGCTGCTATGGGCTCGGCAAAAGATGCAAACGTTGAATCAAATGGCTTGTATCCATCTCAATGGCGAGACCAATCTGTGAATATGAGTTATGTATGCTGTGGAAGTCACAAGGCGTAGACACCTTATCGTGGCCTGAGGCACACGCCCATTCAATTCCCGCGCGAGAAAAATAAAAAAGGGGCACGGCCAGCGCGTTCATGTAGTTGTCAATCGTGCACTCCAGGATTCCTATTAAACCAGTTTCTAAGTTCTACGAGGTCATATTGGGCCTCAAAAGGTTGCCCACGGTGCAGGCCTTCGCACGACCCCAATTTTTTCTGCGGGCCGCAGCAGCCCCGCGTCTGAATTTCATTCAACGCCAATTTTCTTCCTCCTCTTCATCATTATTGCATTTGCCTCGCCGGTCAGCAGCAACAAGACGCAAACCAGCACACTGCAGGACATCGCCGTTGATTCACGCCAGCTGCCGCACCATGGCTACTGCCTCTGCCCCCGAGAGCTCTCTGCTCTCTCTGCTCTACCGCTCCTACCCCGCCGCCATCTCCCCCGATGCCACGGAGCTCGACCTTGCCCAGGCGACGCCCAAGATCTTCGCGCATTATACCTACACTGACGAAGACGCGGCCTCTGTCAAGCAATGGCTGGCCACAATAGGCGCATTGACCGCTGCGTACGCCAAGAACGATACGCAGGTCATCGAAACCATTCTCAAAGAGCTCAACGCACATCTGGAAACACGGACGACACTGCTAGGCGCCAAACCTTCTGTTGCCGATATTGCGGGTTACGCCGTCCTTGCTCCTGTCGTCGAGAAATGGACTGCCGAAGAACGCACCGGCGAAAAGGGATATCACTATATCGTGCGACATGTGGACTTCGTGCAGAACGGATCGCTGTTTGCGCTGCGAATCCCCGATGAGGAGAAGGTCGCGATAGATCTAGACGATATTCGTTTCTTCCCCAAAGCAGTTGATCCCAAGGAGGAGAAGGAACGCAAGAAGAAGGAGAAAGCCGAGGCTCAGTTGGCTGCCCAGGAGAAGACAACCGTGGTGGCTGGACGAACCAAGGAAGCAGTGCACCAGGCTCCCGAAAGTACAGAAGCAAGCCCCGCTGTTTCGAATCGAGATAAGGAGAAGAAGGAGAAGAAAGAGAAAAAGAAAGAGAAGCAGCCAAAAGCCCCTGCTCCCCCCGCAGCACCTCCGTCACCATCCCTCATTGACCTCCGCGTTGGCCACATTCTCCGCGCTATTAACCATCCGAACGCCGACTCTCTGTATGTCTCGACCATCGACTGTGGTGATGCCCCAGGCAGCGATAACACCTCTGTCGACGAGGCTACAGGCAAGACTGTTCGAACAGTCTGCTCTGGATTGAACGGTCTTGTGCCACTGGAGGAGATGCAAGGCCGCAAGGTAGTAGTGGTGTGCAACTTGAAGCCTGTCACCATGCGCGGCATCAAATCAGCTGCAATGGTTCTCGCTGCATCGCCCAAGGTAGCCGAGGGCGAAGATTCACATGCCGGCCCCGTTGAGCTGGTCAACCCACCGGCCGATGCTCCTGCTGGTGAACGTGTGTTCTTCGAGGGATGGAGCACCAGCGAGCCGGAGAAGCAACTCAACCCCAAAAAGAAGATCTGGGAGACCTTCCAGCCTGGATTTACTACTACGGATAATTTGGAGGTTGGCTTTGATAGCACACAGGTTCCTTCAATCCAGAGTGCAGGGACAGCTGCTACTGGAAGTACTCTAGGCAAATTGGTTGCTAAGTCTGGCGGTGTATGTACGGTCAAGAGCCTTAAGGGAGCCACCGTCCGATGATTGATTGAATGTGCTTCCTTTCCAGTTTCTATGTTGCATGAAAAATCCCAAATTACAAGCCGGAATAACAATCCTAGTTATTTATTCCTGTCGTAGATATACAAAACTCATTTGATCACCTGTAGGACATACCGTATATGATTATTCCTATATGAAACAGGCGAATATAAGATTGCATGCGGGCTTAATTCTGCGGCGGGACGTGACTGGCCGAAAATCTTCCTACGGCCGCGTTGGCATTCCCGCCTTAGGCCTAGCCCAGGCTTGCCGCTTGGGCCTTCAGCCTTGCTTGCCTCAGGCCGGCGTTAACCTGATGCAGACGAAAGCTTCAAACAAGAAAGACACATCTCCCCTCTGCCACCACCACCACCACCACCGCAATTACTCAGAGTCTACACACTGCCACAGGCCAACTCAACGCATACCATAAAGACTGATACATCCGGTAGTCTGGCGAATCGACGCTGCACGTGCCAATTGGTCTCGACTCAGTTTTTGCTAGTGTCCACCTGTCATCGGACTGGAGAGGGTTGGGGCAAAAAAGGGGGATCTTCGAGCACGACGATTTTCACTGGCAATTCTTTATTCGGCCTTGTACGACGTCTAATTGCATCATATCCAATTCACTTATGCTGGCGGCGCTGGAGCGATGAACAGGCAGTTCGCCTATCCCAAGGGCTACAGTGCCTATCCACGAGGAGGAGGCGGGACCTTCTCGATATCACCGCATAAGTATGTTTCACGAGGCATTTGCATTATAATTATGTATCAGATCTGACTGCTGGAATTCAATTCAGATTCCAACCTCGCTCACAGCCCGCCTTGCGCCGGAGAAGACAGCTTTTCGTCAAATTATCAGCCCTCGCTGGCCTTTCGCTACTTCTTTTGTTTCTCTTGGTTCCCTCATGGCGCGCTCTTATTCTACCTTCCATATCGGTCGGTCTATTTTCTTCCTCTCACGACGACCTTTCCCTAGAGACCGTTCGCTACTATGACCTTTCCGACACACAAGGTACAGCCATGGGATGGCATCGGGAAGAGCGGGTTCTCATGTGCACTCCGCTGCGTGACGCCGCCGCCCATCTGCCCATGTTCTTCTCGCATTTGCGCAATTTGACTTATCCGCACCATCTAATCGACCTAGCGTTCCTGGTGTCCGATTCGAAAGACGATACCCTCGAGTCACTTTCAGCGCGGCTTACGGAATTGCAGAATGATCCGGACCCCAAGATGCCCTTTGGCGAGATCTCGGTTATTGAGAAGGACTTCGGCCAGCAGGTCAACCAGGATGTGGAGAGTCGTCATGGTTTCGCGGCGCAGGCTGGTAGGCGGAAGCTGATGGCCCAGGCGCGGAATTGGCTTCTCAGTGCGACATTGCGGCCAACTCATAGCTGGGTTTATTGGCGGGATGCTGATGTTGAGACGGCTCCGTTTACTATCTTGGAGGATTTGATGCGTCACAATAAAGATGTCATTGTTCCGAGTATGTATCCTCAACACGCCCCCGTTCTCTCTTTCTCAATGTTACAAAAATGTATCCTAACAAATTGGTTTCAAGATGTCTGGCGACCACTCCCCGACTGGCTCGGCGGAGAGCAGCCATATGATCTGAATTCGTGGCAGGAATCTGAGACCGCACTTGCATTGGCAGACACCCTAGACGAGGACGCTGTCATTGTTGAGGGGTATGCAGAATATGCCACCTGGAGACCGCACCTGGCGTATCTCAGAGACCCGTACGGCGACCCTGACATGGAACTAGAAATTGACGGCGTGGGGGGTGTCAGTATTCTGGCCAAAGCCAAGGTGTTCCGGTCAGGCGTTCATTTCCCTGCTTTCAGTTTTGAGAAACATGCAGAAACCGAGGGATTTGGAAAGGTTAGACCCTGCACACACACGTAGAAAAATGATTTCTTGGCTCTGGCTGATACAAGATAATAGATGGCCAAACGCATGAAATTTTCTGTCGTCGGGCTTCCGCATTACACAATATGGCACTTGTACGAGCCTAGCGTTGACGATCTTCGACACATGGAAGAAATGGAAATCGAACGACAGCAACGCGAGGAGAAAGAAAAGGAGGAAAAAGCGGAAGCAGAACGCCAACAGAAGATGAAACAGGACACCAAAGAAGAATACGAACAGGGCAGCGCTACAGCTAAGAAGAACACCGACAAAGCAGCGGGACAAGAGGCTGACCAAAGACAAACAGAAGCAGAATCAAGCGAGAAAGAATCTTCTGCGAAAGGAGAGAAAGAGGATGCTATCCCCAGGAATCCGGAGAAAGAGGGTAGTAGTCAGGATAAATCCAACGATAAGACATATTAACAAGATGGTTAGGCATTTTGAGTTTCTCATTCCTGGGCGAGACGAGGTGTATATGGGCAGCTTTACTTCTTATAGAGATAATTAATCTATCTTTTTTTCTTTTGCACTTACATTTTACATTTTACAGTTATACATGTATGTATAAGTCTCAGGCAGCAAGGCATGTATGGAATTGATCAAGATTCGATAAGGTGTGGCCCGTGCATATCATATCGCGTCTCGCGTCTTTTCTTAATGAATAAAATCGCAATTATTCTCTCCCTCTCCCTCTCTCCAAACTCGCAATCCGTTTTAATAATTAATATTAAAAGGAGCGAAAATGTCAACACAAACAGCACGAGCTATCCGCTTCACACACACTGCTCCGCAACAAGCGTTTCGATTACTGGAATTGACGCCGGAGATTTTGGAGCTGATATCCTCTGAGAATGCGCCGACGTATGTATTCTGTCTAGTCAAGTATATGAGAATTGGATGGATGGATAATTGAATAGCATGGCTAATAGAGGTTTCACTCTGCTAGGCTATACCTCAAATCCCCAGGAACGGATAATACAACGACGACAGGGCCAGAGGATACCGGTGCTGATAACAACAATGCATACGTGAATCTGTGCACACCCACCAAAACCTTCAGAATCCGACAAGTTCAATCATCGAACTCGATCCACGTAATCAAGCCCAGCGACGAAAAGAGTGAAGTAGTGCCTCTGATAGCCAAAAAGCGGCGTCAGTCCAACGACAACAGTGATATAAACAATGACGAAATGGATATCCCAGAATCAGTCACGGCAATTGCAAAGTGTGCGTCGACACTGGAAATTCACGCGTTGAACCACGCGGAAAGTCTCGCAGAGGCGAAGCGGACGCTTCGTCGGATACTGCCGGTGTACGACACGAATACTATGAGGGGCAAACGCGTCGATGATGGGGATGTCGAGATGGCCGGGGTCCATGATTCCAATGATAATAAAAGAGGAATAACGAAAGATGCCATCTTTGACGATCTCCCCTTCGCAAAATCCCAGTGCCAAATGGCATGGTTCGAGCTCTGTGCGTTTGTACCCGATGATGGTGGTCTTGCAGCGTTTCGACCATCGGCCAGGATAAAGCTGGAATTGTGGAGAATGGTTCTTGAGGGTTGCATATTGCAGAATATCGATCTGGAGAAACAATTCCTCGTTGCGGATTTGTGGAAAGCTGCGCTGGGGGAAGATAATGATGAAAATGGGAAGGAGGAAACATTCTTTTCTAAAACTTTGTTCGACGCTGTTGTTAGGAGGCTTGCTGAAGGGAATAATGCTGATTCAGAGTTGAAGTGTTCGTCAAGTCTATCTATAGTTTTGGAAGTAGGGTTGACTGGCTGACTGGTATCAATTAGGGTCGAATATGGATAAGAAAGTGTGCATTCAATGGATAGGCGAGACCTATCTCGAAGCAACTGCGCCAAATGAACGACTTGCTATCGGCCGGTCAGAGTTCCTCAATGCCTGGAAGGATTTATTGCCCGAGACATGGCGTGATGAGGCATCTTTGAACAGTTTACCAGTGAGTCGATTGGATAGCATTCTGCTATTTTTATTTGATCATAAACTAATGATTTGATTAGGAGTATTCATACAAATACCCCGACCCAGTATCAATTTGTTTCATTCATGAGGCAGAGAGAGAAAGGGTAAAAAGAGAGACTAAAAATGCTTCCGGGAACGTTGCCAACGCGAAGAATTCAAGGAATTGGCATGAGCGATTCAAAAATCAAAGAAAGTGATGCCACCGCTATTAACTCAAAACCACGCGTTATGAAGGGAAAAGACAGAAAGTGTCAGACTTCCGTGAGAGTGGTCAGATCAGCACCAGCTATACTTCTCGTTCCACAACCACTCGACATCACCGCCTAGTCCCTGGCTCGCGCCGTTCCATTTGAGACTGCTGATGCTACTCTGCTCGCGATGCACGACTTGGACATTCGGATCCAGCAATTTTGCGGCTTTCTCTACTAGCGGGGACGGATTCCAGAATTCCACATTGCTCATCTTAAGCCTATGTGCTTCCAATTGCGCGCGTCGCAGGACGGCCGCTATCGCCTCAATTGTTGCCAGCTCCTCAGGTGGTGATGATGGTTCATCATATATAACTCGCAGAATGTACAGGGTATTACTCGTCGGGGAGTCACCAATCTTTCGGGTCCAGGAACAGTACACGTGGTGGTGGTCAACACCAGCTCCTCGCACCTGCGGCTGCGGCTGCACCTTATCAAGGACTCCAGAATCCTCGTAGAACGCTTCTCGCGCCCAGTGCCACAGGATATGGTCATAATCCGGGGCAATTGACACCTTGGCGCCCGGCGATTTTTGAGAGATGACATGAAGAAAATTCCTATTTTTCTTCTCCACTATTTCACTGCACATCGACTCATGGACGTCTTCAGCAGTCAATGATTTTGCTACGGGTAACTTGGCCAATTCGAGAGAGGACTGAAAATGCTTCTCGGCAAGCGGCGGCAGGGACATGTGAGAAGATTCAAAGGGCTTCCATCCGTATCTTGCATAGAACTTTTTACCGATGTCGGAAAACAACACCGAAAACACTCCTTGCTTCCGCGGTTGATTTTCTGATTGCCAAGTATCGAGTTTCTTGGCCAGTTCCTCTATCATGCGTCCAGCATAACCGCGGCCTCTGAACTCGGAGCGTGCAAACACGCTTCCAATTCCATGGCATATGATATCTTCTACTTTCCCTTGGTATGCGAGGTATGCAGGCTTTCGGTAGGTCTCGCAGGAGCTCAAAATGAGACGGGAGTTGGGTTCTTGCCGGCCATCGACCAGGATCCAACTCGTGAGAGCCCCATCCTTGGTGAGGTTTTGCTTGGACAGGCGCTCCTCACGGTCAATGTACTGGTCCAGAGTCAACGGTCCTTTCCACGATACGCTGTTCAGTCGGATGGTTTGTAGGTATTCCTCTGGAGTAGATTGAGCGAGTACGAGGTGCGGCGAATCCGCTTGAGGGAGATCCTCCTCTCGGGGTAGAGCGACGGAACCCATGGTCTAGATTATGATAGGCCTGACAAGCACAAAGAATTGTTAAAAAAAAAAGAAAAAGAAAAAGAAAAACTGTGGCAATTGGAATCAATGAACCAGCAAGTAGGGTAAATCGAAGTTGCAAGGTGTCATGAATTGATGGTTGAATTGGGTTTGGAAGGGGAAGCTTTCGGGCAAGCTCCATGTTGTTATTTAACTACATACTATATACTATATACTATATACTGTTCCACAGCGCCACTCCTCCACTCACAACCAAAGACTCTATTTGTCTGTGCGATGATACAATGATGCACGATAGTTAGATGTTACGTACTAACTAACATATCTTCGATCTCTATGCAGGTAACAATCCTTGCATGCTTGTCAAAGCGCGGGGTCCAACCGGGCCGGCGGGAACCGGTGACAAGCGACACCAGCCTTTTTTGGCTGACAGCGGAAGTACCTGTATTATTTAGTGTTGTGTCATGACACGGCAGAGCTCTGTCACGGTAATCCTGACACTGACAAGCTCTGTCAGCGTGACAGATGACACGCCTAAGTGGGTATAGCGTATCACGTGGTTGAAAATTTTCACAAAAAATAGAAAGTTTTCAAAACTTTTTATAAAAATTCCCCACTTAGAGCTAGTACTAATGTACTAGTAATTTTAGTGTATTGTCATATGACAGAAATCCTTGTCAAGCCTGACAAAAATCGCTGCCTGTCAGGGGTGTGGGTCTAACATTACACATCACTAGTATTACTAGTTATTTGTATTTTACTTCAGATACTTACCAAGCATGCTAGTTATATAGTTAGTTTATAAGTATGTACTAAGGTAAGAACTACGTGCTACAATTTATACATCTCCGAGCTCAGGCTCTAGAATGCCGAAGAACAGTCTCTAACTACTCGTCGCTTCCCCCACCCTCCGGGTTGGGGTCTGCCCGGGCTCGATTGACACCCCAGCTCACGGGCTACAGGTCGCGGCGCTCCAAAATGATCGACTTACTCGGGCCGATCCAAAATTTTAGACCACTACGAGTTTCTTACGTAGGTTTATTAATGTTCATTCGGGCCAAACATTCTGTGACGGGTTGAACCCGTAGATGGGTACTCAGGTTGCGCCTGCTTACCTGTAAGGCGGAATCCTGAATGGAGTTGGGAATAGCTTCGAAGTACGGCGAGCACGTGACCTCGCCTGGCTTCCCGCCGCTAATTGGACTAGAGGCTTGGCACGCACCGCCTTATAACCGCGGGCGGCCTCAGGCCCTCGTGAAGCAGCGATTAGCTGCTGAGCATACGTGTATATACGTTCTATATTCGAATCTATTCCTAGGCCGAAGCCGAATCCTAGCTACGTTCTTGCAACCCTCGTCACAATTTTATATGGCATCAAAAAATAATGTGGATCTGGAGTTAGTTAAATATAAACTATATAGACGCCAAGGCACCAAGGTACCAACTACTATCTACTAACTACAAGCGGTAAGGCGATCATATCGGGTTAAATATGATTTGCTCAGCGAGTTCAGCCAATCGGAAGCACGGAACGCGCAAGCCTGAGGCAGCGAAGTAGAGCTCGCGGGGTGGCCTAATTAGGAACTATGGTTAGGCTTGCATGCTGTCTCTCCCCTTCTCTGTTCATGCAGTCACTCATTGTTGTTTATCTCCAGAATCTTTTCCATCAAAATGCACTCGATCATTGCTTGAAATAGCCCCTAAACTCATGGCCATATATCTATCTCTCAACCACCATGAGGATCATGCGTTACACAACCAATCCAGCCTAGACTGTCTGGTTCCAGCCTACCACTTTGCTGCCTGATAACCAACTCAATTATCTTTACATCATCGACATTGACATGATCTAATAGACAGAATTTTTCTCCTTTAAAAACCCATCCAGCGGCTGGGCAGATGGACAACTTACTCGGCCATCGACGTGGTACGTTGAGATTTCAATCTGGTCCATTGTGCGTTTTTCTGAATGGGGAGCGCAGGTTCGATGCTATCACGGCCACCAGATATGCGCCCTGTGATTCGACACCGGCTGTCACAGGATAGTCTGCATCAACTAGAGAAAAATGCGAGTGCAAACGAGTCGCTCACTTCGTCTAGGGACTCGAGGATCCAGCACTGGGTACATGGCCTGGCGCATGGCACCACGGTGGTTGGCAACTCACTCCTCGATTTCGGTTTATACCATGATCTTTCTCAGAATTCGTTTGATATAACCGCCAGTTACACGGCGGGATTCGGTCAACCACCGCCCAACCATAGGAGCACGGTACGTTGAAACCATTCATCTTTGCCTCGTAATCATTTTCACCCTGGGTTGCTTGGATCGAGCTAGCTTGTGTATCACCTCATTCTCCTCTCACTTGAGGCTAATATCGGCCAACAGATTACTCGAGATTTCCCTGGCCAAGTCAATAACAACACGGGGCATACTTTTCGACCAGAATTTATTTCCCATCCACCTGCGCCGCGTCAGCAGGTACGGTCAGTGTGTAGGAGTGACCTTCCTGGTAACAATCGTTTACCAAGCAAAGCCATGTCGATGGCGCAAAAGTCGTCGTACGATGGTACGCTCAATGGAGATGGCTCAACATCCCAGCCACCGACCAAGAAGGTCTTCACCGGAAAACATTTACGAGCCGCGTCAGCCTTTGTTGACCTAAGCTCGATGGTGCCTGTTGTTGAACCAGTTGCCGCAAAGCCCTCTATCCAAAACGCTTCTTCAACTTCTGCTGCCACTGTCGATGCAAAATCGAAAAGCCAGAAAGAAAAACACCAAGAAGAGTTCGGAGAGAAGATACAAGCGGTCTTTCCTGATATCTGCGATGAGTATGTTAAAAAGTTATATGCCAAATATAAACCTTTCTTCGGCAACGTGAAAGATGCGACTAGAATAATTGAGCTGGCACTTGAAGACATTCTTGAACAGCCGTCATATCCAAAGAAGATTCAAAAGAAGCGAAAGCAAATGGCGGATAGTGTTAACGACAATGACGTGAAAGAGGTCCGGTCCGACCCCATTTATTATTTTCCGATTGTGTACGTATAACACTAGATTGAATTTGAAATCTGTTGACAATCTCATTGTAGTTCTGAACTAATCTTGATTATAGTGTCAAACTACTCGAAAAACAATTTACTTCGCTGCCGAAAAAGACCATCAAGCATATGGTGGTGCAATATAAAACCCTTTTCAAGGCATATATAGCTCTTTGTCATTTGGGTCAACCTAGTTCGGATGCGAGCGACTATTGGGCACGACTGTACCAAGTCAAAGATCAGCATCCACCGCGTCTTGCTGATGTATTGGAACACGAGATGCAGGCAGCGAAGAAAGTAGTCGCTGAAAAAGAAGGTACATTCATGCAGTCTTCTTTTTAAATATATATAGGGAGAAATATATTAACAAATCCTCAGACGCCGAGAGAAAGGAAACTGAAGGCAGACAAGAAAAGATCAATGAAGAAGAACACCGGCTGGCCGGAGCATTGGTCGAATGTCAATGCTGCTTCAGCGAAGTACCCCAAAACCGAATCATACCCTGTGAAGGAGAGGAAGTGCATTGGTTCTGCAACTCTTGTCTCAAAACCCAGGCGGAGACACAGATTGGACTGATGCAGTATGAATTGAAATGCTTTGACATGAGTGGGTGTCCAGCAGCATTCAACATCAAAAACGTCAGGATAGTCCTCGGCGACAAGCTGATGAAACGCTTGGAGGACCTGCAGCAGATGGACGAGGTAGCTAAAGCTAGCATAGACGGACTCGAAGAATGCCCGTTTTGCGAATTCAAAGCCATCTGTCCGCCGGTTGAACAGGACAAGGAATTCAATTGCCAAAATCCAGAATGCGAACGAACAAGCTGTCGGCTTTGCAAGGAAGACTCCCATATCCCGTTAAGCTGCAAGGAAGCCAAAGCGGATCGTGCCACGCATACACGCCACACCGTGGAAGAGGCGATGACCAATGCTCTGATACGTAAATGCCCGAAATGCAAAGTGTCGATTATCAAGGAAGACGGCTGCAACAAGCTCAAGTGCGGACGATGCGGTACCTTGATTTGCGACGTATGCAAGCAAGATATTTCGAATAAGGGGTACGAGCATTTCTCGCGCAATGTGTGTCCGCTTCATGAAGTCGACAAGGGTGCCAATCGGCGAATGAAGGAGGTCACGCAGGCGGAGATGGAAGCTGTGAACTCGATCGTGAACAAGAGTAGGGACATAGATCCTGCGCTGCTACGTGTTAGCAAGCAAGTACTGCAGACGAAGCAGCATGCGCCTGCAGTAACTGTGTCTCTCCTTATGCCCCCAACGCTCCGGATGCCTGCAATACCAAAAGTTTCTGCAGTGCCGAGGTTGCCTGCGGTGCCTGCGGTGCCCAAACTTGCTGCAACTCCAAAAGTACCTACAGTACCAAACCTGCCTGCCATGCCCCAGATGTCGCCATTACCCAAGTGGCCTACAATTCCCAAGATGCCATCGCTCTCAATACACACCACATTCCCCAACACCAACACCCCATATCCGCCGCAGCAACCCATCTATAGGACAACAACAATACCATCCACGCAAAATCCAAAACAACATACAAACATGCACACCCACACCCACACGCATCCTCATTCTCATTCTCATACTCATATTTATCCGCAGCAGCAGCAGCAATATCATCAGCACCCTCTTCACACCACTCCCAGACATGGCCATCTCCAGGCCCACCGACAAGAACAACAACAACAACAACAGAACCGACCGTCCTACAACGTCAGTAACAACCCCAACCAAATCCACAGGCAAATATAACCAATCCAGAGCCTTTTCCTTCTCTTTTGCTTTTCTTTCTTCGCTTCCATTTTTTTTTTTTTTCTCATCTATCTTTTCCGGGACAAAACAGGGAACCAAATATACAATATCTTTTCTCTCAAGTTCATCATCACCCCCACTTATAATGATAATGATAATACTTCTTGCAATGATTTTGATGATGATATAATTGATCATGATTACTTCCTTTTATTAGACGAGCGTGTTGCTTATTTAAGTCGAGGATTCATTCTATGGTCAATTCTTTAATCCTTCTCGTTCTTTTTTATATGGGGCTGGCTAATATACTCCTTTTTTCATTGCAGCTGTTGCATTCCATTGCTAGTTACTACCTTTTAAAAATGTCTACGGTTTCTCCCTCGGGATATTGACAAGTTACTTCAGGATATCTTTTTGTGTTACAGGGAGGCATAAGGATAAGCATGCCATTGATTTGATTGATTTGATTGAAATATACGAGATTCTCACTTTCCTAATCATGCTCCATAAAAAAACTGAAAGGACAAAACTTCAAGGGAAATAAATGCTCCAAAAACTTTCACGATGAGATAGATGAATAGATAAGAAAGATGAGAACAGCTTGATACGAGCCGGTCAAAATCGGAGAGGGAAAACAACCAGAATATTGATATAAGAAAAGAAAAGAAAAGAAAAGAAAAGAAAAGAAAAGAAAAGAAAAGAAAAGAAAAGAAAAGAAAAGAAAAGAAAAGAAAAGAAAAGAAAACAAAGAAACGTAACGAAAACAGAGAATACTGTATGCGTCTCACATAATGCCACATTTTTGCTGCGCAAAAATCCTCTTGCAATAGTTTCTTTTTCTCCTTGCAAAGTGATGATAAAAGTGATGAGGTGGTGATAGTAGTTGAAACCAAAACAAATGAGATCGACGCCTGCCTTTTCTTTCATGGCAGAGTATAAAGAATAAGAATAATAATAGTAGTAATAAACGGGGTATGATCATGATTGACGATCAAAAGAGAAAAGAGGTCGAGAAGAAAGAAAGGAAATGAAAAGACAAAATAATAAATCGTAAACAAGCGCCCCTTCCTGTCTATTGGTTGTATGATGATGATATGATGTAGAAAAAGGCGTAAACATATAAAAAGAGAGAGAAAACGGCGCGTTTCTTCCTTTCCATTTCTTTCAGAAATTCTCGTTTGTCTTGGTGGAACGCAGTCTTCCTGAGCATTTCGAATTCGAAATGAGCACATCAAAATGTGTTCCCAGCGTTCAAGTCTTTGTCTGTCATCCTTCGGTCTGATTTAATACCGATCTCTCCTTCTTGGCATCCTGGCCTGCCCCAGGAATTTGTTCGTCAATCTTTCGAAAAAGTTGATCCCGAAGAAATAAAAACAAATGTATTGCTTCTTTTCACGCGCTATCATCGGCGTGTCATCGTGTCTATATGTCCTTGTATGTTGGGTGTATCGAGTCGGAGATAAGAAAGCGACGAAAGTGAATGTTTACAAGAAAAAGAAAACGAGGACGGGCGAAGAGAAAATATAAAATAAACCAAAAAAAGGACTTCCAATGCTAGAGAAGCTGCTCGTCAAACTTTTGCCTCGCTTCCTCAACCCATAACTCTAGACGTAATTCACCCGCCTCGACTCGGCGTACAGGCACTGTCTTAGCCCTGCCGTTAATCTTAGGTAGCGCCGGTTGGTCCGAATGACTGCCCAGCTTGCTGACAGAAAACGGAGCTGTGCACGATCGAACATGCACCTGGCCCGGTTCGGCGACAATCCAGGTTTGCTCCTCCTTGGTGGTGCCGACCGGTGGGAGTGCGTCTTCCCGAACTTCGATGCATACAGTAAATCCGAACTCGTCATCTCGTGGTAATGGTGTCAGCCGTGCACAGGCAGATGCCAGCCTGGCTAAACAAGCACGAAACTGCGATTCGAGATCGATCGAATGTGCTGTTGATGCCGGTCTCGTCGCTTCTTCGTTGCGTCCATCGAATGTGGTGTAAATCTCCCCGACAGGCACGTGCGGGAAGCCTGATAAATCGAACGCATATCGCTCCATTGGCTGATTTGTGCGGACTGATGAGATAATCACGGTGACGGCAGTGATTGTGCCTTTTAAGATTTCGGTTTCAACAGCAAGAGCCACATCGCTAATATAATCACATACTTTTGGGTGCCGTGATTGTCGAACTGGATAATTATATGCTCGCACGGGAAGGAAAGTCGCTCGCGGATAGACAGATCGTAGGAATAGTATTTGGTGCATAGCAACACCGAGGAAATTCGTAAACGAGGCGGCAATGGCAGCCTGGGTATTGGGCAGGCCCGTGGGGGCACTGAGCGGCGGAGGCGTGGTGGTGGTAGCGGCGGGCATCGTGTTCATAGTGCTCACAGTATTCAGCGCAGTGCTGCTTTCACTAGTCATAGCCATGGGGCAGAGGGTGATTCCGAACCAAGGCCAAGTTAGGAGAATATCGTCGTGCTGGTGGTCGAAACGGAGGAATAGAGGGAGTCTTTCTGGTCTTGCACTCGATGGCTAATCATCTCTCTGATTCGCACGATATACACGCAGTCAGTCCGATGTCCCCGACGTTTTAAGACAGAGTTGGCCGTCAGGTCAGAGCAAGATATCCATTAATAATCGTATCGTATCGTATCGTATTGTATCGTAATCAGAAACGACGGCAACGGCCGGCCTAAAACTCTCTATCTCTCAGAAGAACGCCGGACGAAGCGACCGAGTATGATTGTAGGACACAATATCGTATAATAAGAAGCACAACCAAACACGACGTATGCAGAAGCGACAAGCAGCGGTCGAATCAAACCGTGTATGATGATGGTAAGATGCACAAAAGCGTATAACAGGGACAGACAGACACAACAGAGCCTGCTATCCAAGAAGCTGCCACGAAACGGAATGCGTGTCGCGGGCTGTAGCTGGAGTCTCTCGTTGTTGTGTTGCTGCCCGGTGAGGTGCCTCTCTGGTAGCCAACCCAAACCAAAACCAAAACCAATTGGTACGGGATGGGGAGGGGGCACAAGATAAGGGACTAAGGGCTACCCTGCAAGGATGGAGGGGGGAAAGGAGCGATAAGCAGACAAGAAGAAAAGAGAGCAGAGCGCAAGAGGTGGAGGAGGGAAGAGTTGTTGTGATGGGATGGATGATGAGGGGGGAAGAGAGAGCGAGAGGGAGAGAGAAAGCGAGGGCGGGAAAGAGAGAGAGCGAGCGAGAGAGAAAGTACGGCGCCGGGAAGGACCCAACGGTGTAAAGACTAAAACGGCTAATGACAACTCGTGAGGGACAGCCTGTCACGTGCTTGCGTCATGGCAGGCACTTACTATGTATGGGCAGCTCGCTAATTAATAGCATCGCTATTCTGCTTAACTTATATTTGACTTATTATATAAGATGGCAAAGTATCGCATGTCATTCTTTCATTCATCACGACGCTTATTTGCCCGCGAAAAAAAAAAAAAAGGAAAAAAAATTTCAAAAAATCAAAAAATTCTACACGCTGCGGAGGGCGTACTTCTCTCGCGCTGCTCCACATGCACTCCTGGGATGACTATTATTTAGTATTTACTATTTAGTACTCCGTATTGCTGCCCCCCTCCCCAGGTCGGGGCGTGGTAACGTATCCCAGCATGCCGTTGTTGTCAGTGTCGATCATCGGGGATGTGCACCTCTTATTACGAGAAGATTCTGGTGAAGCCATGTAATAATCAGAATCACACTGACGATAGCGAACATCAGCTGAGCCGAACTGCAGCCGCATCGTCGAACGAACCATCGAGCTCTGTACCGAGAGTATCGATTGCATTCTTTCGATTTGTACCGGCACGCTAAGAGTCGGCGGCCCCCTCGGCACTGATCTGGCTGTCTGATAGACGGTTCGTCGTTCCGTGATAACTAAGAAACAGTCAACAGCATGGAGGATACTAGTAAATATATGCATTGTCGTTTTCCGTGCACTGTTAGCCCCGAGGGAATGAGCGGGGATCGCTCAGGATCATTGGGATCAGATCCGTCTTGTCGGCAACCGATCGTGTCCCGTTTTCTTGAGGAGGCAAAACAGTAGTCGCTCGCCACAGGCGTCGCCTTTTTTTCCTCTTTCTAATCCTCCGTAGTCGGGGGGCCCAACTAAACTGAACTCGACTGAACTGCTTGGAGCCACTCACGTTACTGGCTGCTGACGATCCTAGCCCCCGCCGGCGAAAGGCGTGAAGGAGCCCCGCTAAGCCAGCGTCATATTCTGCAATGATATCGATCAACAATGGTTCCGAGTAGATGCCAGCCATAGCGCCGGTGGGTATGGCTGATGGCACACTATGACTATAGTGCGCAATGCGCAGTAATCTGTACGTATACTATACTTGCAGCACAAGGATTTAGCTCAGTGATTGATTAGTTTAACCTTTCCAAGATCCAGGAGATTGCTTAACTAGCCGTAGCACACGAGACAAGTGCGCGTATTTTGTTGGATTCTGATGCTGTCGTGTTGGAATCCAATCCATCCACTGTTGAGATGGATAGATAATCCACCGCCCCGCCGACCACTGTGCCAGCACCGCAGCCTCTTTTTGGGCCGGGGGGGGGGGTTTTTTGAGTGTCCAAAGAATCCATTGCTTGTTAGTGTGACGTGTCGGGCTCGTAGTAAAGTTGAGTTTGAGGGTTGACTGCCTGAGGTGTAGAATTGTAATTATTGTTGTTGTTGTTGTTGCTGTTGTTATTATTACTAAGCCGAACTGGCGGTGTTCAAGGCAGGCAGGCACGCAGGCACAGAGAGGCAGGTGGGGAAGGCGGCGCCCAAAGCAGTAACTATCTTGCCGTATGCGTGCCGCCCGTTTTCTGCTCTGCATCTCATGCCAATGTCAGAGTCTACTCCTCCTTTGTGAACAAGTCCAAGACCCAAGCAAAGACTAAAGAGAAAACAAGGTACGCATATACGCGTCCGGCGAGACGCGCTCCGCCGCCTATCAAATATCAAAGACGTCTGGAGAACGGATACATGGTGGGGAAAAAAATAATTGTTCCTTGTACACCAGCTACCGAGTTCTCTCGCAGAGATACCTTCAAGACCTGTTGAATCCTTCTTTTTCTTATTCCCTTCTTTTCTACTCCGATACTGAACTAACAAGTCAAACAAGACTTGCAGCACGAATTGCCCCCGTCCCACAATGGAGCAGGAGCTCCTCCAGCTGCTCACAGCGACCCAGTCCCCAGCTGCCGTTACTCGCAAGTCCGCAGAGCTGCAGCTGCTGCACTCGTATTCCAACGAAGCCTTTCCCCTGTCTCTTGTTGCCATTGCCTCCCACGAGTCAGTCGATGCCGCACTCCGCCAGTCTGCCCTGACCGTGCTGCGTACTTTCGTGGTCGCCTCGTGGTCGCCCCTCCTCGACGAATTCAAAGGCCAGGTATTGGTCAACGACGCGAACAAGGCAACCTTGCGTAATGCCCTCCTGAATCTTGCAACCACCACTGAGACGAATCGCAAAGTCAAGGCTCTCGCTAGTTATGTGGTCAGCAAAATTGCCGCCGCCGACTTCCCCGAGGAGTGGCCTGAGCTTCTTCCGTCCTTACTCCATATCATCAGCGATCCCACCTGCAGCGATGGCGCTCTGCATGGCGCATTGAAGGTATTGATGGATCTGGTAGATACCGGCTTTAGTGAAGAACAGTTCTTCAACATTGCTCGGGACTTGGTTTCCACGCTGTTCGCAGTGGCCACCAATGAGTCGCGGAAAACGATTCTACGAGCCTTGGCCATCTCGGTGTTCCGTTCATGTTTCGACACCTTGGAAATGGTTCTAGAACAGCACAAGGCTGCAGTAAAGCAGTTCATGGATGAGGCCCTGACTGGATGGTCGCCCTTCTTTTTGTCGGTCATGAAATTGCCTCTGCCCCAACGTCCAACAGAGGAGGAAGAGTCAAAGGAGAGTGAAATTCCATCCCAATGGAGAGGACTCATTGCTTTGAAACTGCAGGCAGTCAAGGTAGACACGTTGCCCTTCTCAATTTGTCACTTGTCTTCGTTTATCTTTTCTTTTCCTAATTTATATTGATATCAGACCGTAATGAAAATCCGCATGGTATTCCCTACGCTTTTGACGAATCAGAGCCCACAACTGTTTACAACGCTTTGGGAGGAATTGTCAAATTGCAAGGGGCATTACTTTGAAATGTACGTGGAAGACGAGCGACAAGGGAGATTGGAAGATGCCGATGGTCTGCCCTACACTCTCGATTTCCTCGTCTTGGAGGAGATTGACCTTATGCAAGCCTTGATCAAAGCTCCCCCTGTAAAGGCTGAGCTACAAGCACAACTACAAAACGCGAATCAAGCGGCAATCACGTCTGGGTGGCTCCCGGAGGTCATCAAACTCGCAGCTACCTACGCTGAAATCACCACGGAAGAGGAAGGTATTTGGGAGATCGATGTCAACCTTTTCTTGTCGGAAGAAACCTCAGTGACGGCCAACTACACTCCTAGAACGTGTGGAGGCGATTTTGTGATTAAATTAGGAGAATGGTTGAAAGTGATGGTTGTCCAGGCATTGGTAGTTTACACCACTAATCTCTTTGCCGATGCTTCCTCGACGTATGTATTCCCCCCTCTGGCTTCTTTTGATATAAACGAGCAAATGGACTTACTAACTGTTGAAACTGGGCTTAGGTGGAAATCTCGGGAAGCTGCGTTGTTCGTTGTTAACCAGCTGCTTCGAGATTTCAATGAAGTTGAGCAGCAGATACCTGTGGATGTGGCCTCTGGCTTGACAAGTAGCATACAATTTGCTCTTCAGAATGAGCAAGACCTCTTACGTGCGCGAGGCTATCTAACAGCAGGTGTCCTTGCTCAAACAGCCGGAACTGGTTTTCACCAGATCGCAGCTGGCTACTTAGATGCGACCATGAAAGCTATTGCGCAGGATTCCTCTGAAATCGTTCAAGTTGCCTGCATTCGAGTCCTTCAAGACCTGTTACCAGCCCTTCCATCATCAACTACACAGCCCATGCAAATAGCTATTATCAGCTCGATATCTGAGTTCATATCTTCTCATGATCTAAGAGAAGGCTCCGATAATGACGACCTCAAAGTCACTTTGGCCGAAACGCTTCGTGATACTATTATGATCGAGCCGAAAGTCGTCCTAGATTCGCCGGCGCTTGACGTCCTCTTCAACGTGGCAAGTAATGGGGCGGGTAACTTCCACCTTGTCATGATCGTTACCGAGACATTTGAGGATATTGTGCAATACATCTCACAGCAAGGTCCAGATGCTTACATTCGGTTGTGCGAGAAAGTACTCCCATCATTGACCGGTGCTATTGATGTTGGTAATATGACGGAAGAAAGCGATCTCACCGTTCTGGCTGCAGACCTCCTCCGAGCATTAGCTGATTACGGCTCGGAACCTCTGCCTCATGGATTTGTTGCTAGCGTTATGCCAAAATTGAACCGGCTCTTACTGGAATCCTTTGATAGCGAACTTATCCGCCCCGCCACGTTAGCAGTCCGTCATATTTTGGCTCATGATTTCAACCAGTTCCTTACTTGGCGCGAGCCAGAGCATGGGAAGGAGGCCGTCGAAACGGTGTTGGTGATCATTGATCGGCTACTAAGCCCGACTATTGATGACACGGCCGCGGCAGAAGTGGGCCAACTGGCGGCTGAGTTGGTCGAGAAGGCAGGATCTGAGAAGCTTGGCCCCTATCTACCGCAGCTGCTTCAAGCCGTGGCCCAACGTTTAGCTACAGCACAGCAAGCACAGTTTATCCAGAGTCTGATTCTCGTCTTTGCTCGGTTGACCCTCATCAGTGCTCGCGAGGTCATTGACTTCCTTGCTCAGGTTGACCTTGGTGGTCAGAGTGGATTAAACGTGGTGTTGAGCAAGTGGTTAGAGAACTCAGTCAACTTTGCCGGGTATGACGAAATCAAACAGAACATAATTGCTCTATGTACGCTGTATAATTTGGAAGATCCTCGTGTGGCACAGGTGCAGGTCAAGGGAGACCTCATTATTCAAGAAACCGGGCGTATCAAAACACGATCTCAGGCACGCCGAAACCCTGACCAGTTTACCAGTGTTTCCGCCAATCTGAAAATCATCAAGGTTCTCGTGGAAGAACTTGCTGGAGCTTCTGGCAACAAAGAGATTGACGCTGCAACAGCTGCAGCGCTTGAAGAAGCCGATAGTGACGATGATGAGTGGGAAGACCTGCCTAGCAATACATTAGATCTCGGACTGGGCGTAACAAAGCAGGAGCTCATGTCGTTTGGCGAAGGTGGCACTGAAGGCTCGTTTGCCATTCGCAAGCGCGATGATGACACGCAGGCTTTTTTGCTACAGTTTTTCCAGGAAGTATCTGCCAAGCCTGGGTTCCAGGAACTTTTTGCAGCACTTACGCCCGGCGAGCAGGATAAGCTGAGAAGCTTGGGTTAGCAAAGCTGTTTGTTTACTTTGTTGGAAAACGTAAAGGCAGAGAAATATTCGAGATTTCAATAATGACGGAAATTGAAGACGCGTTTCTTTGGCTGCACCATATGAAGATTCTAGATGTGTTTTATGATGAGATGCATGAAAAAAAGAAAGAGAGAGAGTAGAGCTATAGTAACAGTCTCTTTAGTCTTTAGAATTAGCTTATTCTGAACGACACTGTCAACAATGACCAGTAGTTAGTTATAGAGCAAAACAGCATGCTTCTATAAATATTCAGTAATACGATTGCCCAGTTATTCTATTACCGGATTTGGCAATTGGTCAACCTGAGGCGGCTCCTGCCTTGACTTCCTTCCACCACCAGCCTTCAAACTCAACCTTACCGATAGATAGTTCTATCCTATGCAATGCACACTCCTCACTCTACACCTGCCCCTGCGCAGCAAAGCTCCCAGCAAGAAACCACTTCTCCGATAACAACAACAAAAAGAAGAAGAAACAAGGTTCCACCACTTACCCGAACTAAAAAACGAGCCCTTTTACGATGCTGTCTCCAGTGCCAGGAGCCCTACAAGCGCGGCACAAAGAAGAACTATTGGAAATGCATCAGTCTCCAGTTTGAGCGGGTTGCCAATCGGGCGTTTACTGCTGTTTCGTGTGAGCGTGCGATAACCAAGTTGGTTAATGGGAGGAGGAGGTGTTTGAAGGATCTTGCTGTTGGTGGTGGCGATGCAGATATTGAGATTGGGCAGGGGGATGGGGAGTTGGATGCGCTTGTGGATGAGCTGATGAAGGTACATGAACAACAATATTCAGGAATCGTATCGGCCGTACCTGGGGATGTGTCTTTTTCTTCTTCTTTTTCCTCTTTATGTGCCATGAGACCCGTCACAGACAGCGGCAACAAGCAGCAGTTGGGAGAAAAGCAAGAGAGGCGCAATACGCTTCTAATCCCAATTCTGGACCGAGTAGCTAACGAGCTGTGTGAGATGCCACCCGGTGTCTCAAAACGTCTGGAGTCCGTGGAGATGTCAGTTCAGGAAGTCAAGCAAGCATACAATAGCCAAATGGAAAATATGGAAGAGGTTCTGACTGCGATGGGTGAGATCTTGACGGAGTTACCGGGCCAATGATGCATTCCTATCTCTACTTTTAAGTCATGAATTCGGAATGTCATCACTACACAGCTAGTTGACAATGTATCTTTGATATTCAAGCCAGTTTCTTGTACTTCCTTCTGTCCACGAGCTAGCCACCGCAACTGCCCAATTAGGCAAGTGCATGCTCTGTATCTGCATTACGAATTTCGATACGGGCACCCCGCTTAAATTTGTATCAATCCTGTCATGGTCGGTAATACACTCCTATCACGCCAATCAACAACACCAAGTTAGTTTGAAGGTTGCGCCGTTACTTCGCTATAGTCTGTTAACATTATTAAGCATGGACTCTACTTTCTGGTTTAAGTCAATATCGTCCTTATCGACTCGATAGTTCCAAGCACCGGATTATCTGAAAGAAATCTTGTCCTATCTACGGGGTGGTGTGGTCGGACCATCCACAAAACAACAACAAAATCCATCAATCGCGACGAATCGAGAGAGATCTGAGTACATGCTTTTTCCTCGAGGACAAATATAACCACACAAAAAATAACATCCTAGATGGAACCACCGACTCCACGGACTGAGACAGAGTCAATCGGACCTAGTACTTATCCCAACACCAGTACGAATAATAACCACAACCGCCTACAACAATCATGCACCAGGTGTCGAGAGCGGAAGATCAAGGTATTTACTATTTTAATTAACTTAAATAATTGGAAAACCACTGACATATCCAAGTGTGACCGCAACAGCCCTTGTCGCGCCTGCGTGGCGCGCAACTGCCAGGATGAATGCGAGTATGTTAGGACTAACGAGGATCGATATCACATTAGCAAGGCCAAGGAGATAGAAGGCTTGCGGCGAGAGCTGAAACACCTCAAAAGGCGATTGGCAGATGTCGAGGCGCAGGACAGGCCGAAGCAGCATGGGAATACCGCTGCTTCTGATGCTTTTGAAGCTGATTATCAGTATGCGGGCAGGTTTCAGAAGAGAAGGATAGAGAATAGGGATGAAAATGAGGAGTGGAATCGGGGATATGCGTCCCGTGGTATCTACGATTCAGGTGGGAGCGTGCAGAATGGCTTCATTACACCAGACTACAACGGCTTTGAATCTGCAAATCTTGACGAAACAACTGCAACTGCAGACATGGCTTTCAAGGGATATCAGTCCGTGCCACACATAGCAAAGAGTGAACCATCTCCTATCCACAACTACAATCATACTATCAGCACGACACTCCATAGCCAGCTCCAGCAACATCCGCAACCCGATTTCTGGCGAGGAAAACATGCGGTCTTGGAAACGATCTACCAGATTATTTGCGATTGCGATGACTTCTGGGTGCCGTCTATCATCGAGATTGTTCGGTCCAGCTTGTCACCAGAGGAAGCGTTGTTGGCTATTCAGAGAATGTTACTGGACAACCACGCTTTTGTGATGGCCGATGATATAGGCACTCTAGAATCCTTGTCATCGTCAATACCCGCGTCTTTTGTTGGTGGTGGTGGTGTAGATATGAGCTTTACTGGGTGTGTTTCGCCATCGGATCAATCTCCTTCGTCCGGGGAAGGATGATTATATCCTTGATCAGATATTGGCTTCCTGCTTGAGATTAGTTTATATCCATGTATAACCATCAATGCAGTCATCTATAATTAATATATTTATATATACCACTACCCCTCTAAAGAATATCCAACGTCCTCCCCCCTGCCCATAGCAATCAGGTTTCTCCTCATCTTCTCCGCTCTCTCGCTAATATGTGACAAACTCGCATCATCTCTATCAATCCACAAGCCAACACTATGTTGCAACACAGCAGTAGCCCTGACCCTAGATTCCTTCTCCTTAAGCCCGACACTGCCATGTAACGTAAGCCGCGTCTCTTCGCCTGTCTCAACAGGTTTATGTCTGTATACTCCTCTATGCAATATATTCGAATCATAAAAGACCGCATCACCCGGCTCAAGGTGCACAGTCAGTTGTCCGGGCATATTGGGTTCATAAGGGTCAGCATCGCGTTCCGTCTCAGTGCGTATACGTCGATGCGAGCCTGGGACGACTATAAGAGAAGTATCCGGACACAGAGCCAGATTATATTGGGCATGCGATTGGCGACCATTAGGGCTTTTGGCTTTGAGCAATCTCATCTCTTCCTCCGGGCTGACGGTTGCGGGGATGTCGTCGCGGTGCCAGCGTAATTCAAAATCCTTCTGTTCCGGTGCAACGAGCAGGTTGAGCAATTCCATGACTAGAAGTTCTCCTTCTCCGTCTTCTTCTTCTTCGTCTTGTCCTGCCAATCCCAATAATTCTTCAACAACCTTGAGGACTTTCTCTGAAAAGTAGAACTTTGCAAACTCCGCGCGCCCGCTCATGTCCGGGTGCAGCAGGTGCTGGACACCCCATATCCCGCCCTCTGAGGCTGGAGGCACATCCCTAGGCCAGGGCGGGAATTGCTTGGGCACTGTGCGAAAGTAGGGCCATTGGCCGGAGCGCGTGAGTGCTGTGGCGGTTGTTGCTGCGTTGCGCAGAGAGCTGGTTTCTGCAGCGGAGAGGAGGGCTGGGATGACGACAAAGCCGTCGCGCTGGAGGCCGCTCAAGTGCGTGTCCATAGTCACTTCCTCTCGGTCCTGTATCGCCAGAGGGATGAAATGAATGTGTATGGGTTTGCAGGAGGGAAGTGTCTACAGAAAGAGAAAGTCGGTGGGCTGCCCCGCAGACATGAGAAGATCTTATCAATCTGGATCTTGGCGGAGGGACCATTGTCAATGCTCAGATCCAAAACACGATGTGACACGAGAAATAAATTTTTTCTTTCTTTCTTCTTTTTTCTCTCCGTCTTTGCTTCTCCAATCCTCAGCATCCATCTACAGCCACTCGCACCATGGCGTTGCAAGCCAGTAGTCCACTCACTGCTTTCTTCCTGCTTGTCTTGCTGACGATTGTCGCGCTGCCTGGCAAAGCAGATGCCTTTGGCGCTGGGAGTAGGTCTTGTTCTGAATACACATTTTTATTCTCTAAAGTCTGACGCTGGATCTCTAGACATCGCTTCGATGTCCATGGTCGAAGGCAAGAACTGGCGCCACGGAGATATCGAAGACACCATCAAAGCGCTCGCTTTTATCCAGGGACACAAATGGACGTCCTCCATGATCAGTCGCGTCTACTTTGGCAACTGGCTGCGAGATTAGTGAGTTGATAATCAAAAAATCTTTGGGCTTGAACATCTTGCTTATACTTCCCGCCGCAGCTCTCAAGCCATGGATGTCGGCACCCTCAAGAGTCTGCAAGCGGACACGATCCGAGTTTTGGTCTGGATCCTCTCGTTCATGACCTTTGGCTATGCAACGGCCGAATTTGAAGTTACTGCAGACAGGCTTGGCGTGTATCGTCCTGAAGAACATATCGAGTGAGGAAGAGGAGCTCCGGCAATTATTCAAACTTAGGGCTAACGTCTTGTCCATAGTAACCCCAAGGATTACGCTGATAATCAAGACGCCAGGCAGTATGACAAGCGTCTGCGTCCACCTGTGCGCCAAATTGAGCTTGACATAGATCCCGAAACGGGCATGAAGAATTACATTGCAAATGAAAAGGGGGACTGGGCCACAAGTGCTGCATACGTCAAGTACAGCATATCTCGAAGCATTCATTACGGCAGATTGTACACGAGCGGTGGCCACAACAAGGGCAAAGAAGAAGATCTCCACGAAGCTCTCAGGTGCCTTGGGCAGGGCCTCCACACTCTCGAGGATTTCGGCGCTCACTCCAACTACTGTGAACTAGTCCTCCGCGAAATGGGCTTTCACAATGTATTCCCTCATGTTGGTTCTGCCACTCAAATCAATCTCCGTGGACACCGTGTTTTCCCGCTGGTGACAGGCACTTTTGGAATGGTGGATTTCTTTCATTCTGTTCTCGGCGAGGCAAATGACCATTTCACACAGTCAGAACTAACCCAGGCCGACGATACGCTGCTCGGGTCTGAGTCAGGCCAGCAGTCTTCTTCCTTCAACACATTGACAGGCCTGTTGGGGAAGATCCCCGGCACAAAGGAACTTGTCACGGAGGCTGAGGAGCTGAGACAGCGCTCAGATCTACAAGCCGAGTCAAACCGCAGTCAGCATGTCGATACGGGCTACGCCAGCACTGCTTTTGAGCAACCCAGAGGGTCCTTTAGACCCGACGGCGAATTCGAGACGAGCCGAGTACAAGGCCTGCCAGACATCGACCCGCAAAAGACTGTGGCACAAATCTATCCCATCCTCCAATTCAGAGACAAAGTCGTACGTCGCATCAGCTCCATAGTGGAAAAGATTCCCGGCCTCGAAAAGATAGTCGACAAAATTACGGAGACCGTGACACTATTCGCATTCTCCCTTTTGGCGCCTTTCATCCGGCCCCTGATCAACGTAGCGTCTAAATCGCTGCAGACCGGGTCAATGAGCGTCATTCAAGCGTCGGGGAACCATCAATATGAAGTCTGGGATGATCTGCATTGCACGGATCCTACCCATTCCATGCTTTCCAAGGATCATTTTGCGAACCTTCTCAACGAGCCAGCGGGCAATGTTGCGGCGGCGATTGTGAGATATGTCGTGCCTCGCGTCTTGTATGCATGGCAACATATTGATGTCTCTGTCGATCAGGTATCGGATGATTGCGTGCGTGTCTTTCACCATCCTACCTGCAGAGATATGCGCAATGAAGAGCATAGCACGATGTTTGCAGCGGTGCAAGATTGGGTTCATTCGCGGCCTGACCGTGGTCGGAATTTGGACGATGTACTAAGTGCGCAGAGTGTGAGAGCAGGAAGAAACTTGAGGGAAGATTCTTCCTCTTCTTCTGCAGGCCAATCTCACGGCCATTCTCACGGCGGTGGTGGGTTTCCTGCTATTAACGGTGGCCTCTTTGGCGCCACTCCTTCATCTCATCAAACCCAACAGTCCCATTCCCAGTACCACAATTTCCTACCTGGTAGTAATACATCGGCATCCTCATCCTCAATCCCCTGGAACGAGATACAAAAACTACCCATCCCTGGCCTTTCCAGCGTCAGCAGCGTCGCTAATAAGCTAGGGGGATTCTCCAATCTTCTTTCCGGGGGCCTAAGTCGTGATAATCCAGAAGAAGCGTTACAGGAAACCAGTCATGGTAATTTGCATGGATATGGGCAAGATGGAGGTGTATACCAGGCATCAGAGGACGGTACTGCCCATGGATACTACGGACACGGCCATAGCCATAGCCATCACGGTCACGATCGACACTACCATGGCCATTAGACTAGAACACTAGCTATGAACTGGGCCTTGGAGTATTAGTATTAGACACAGGGTCTAGGTATCAGTTTTACTCGCAATTCCTACTGTACACTAACTACTATCCACGATTCAAGCCCGACGAATGTTTTTCTCATTCATAAAAAATATGAAACGAAATGAAAGCAATTAAACCGTTTACATATTAGAAAGAAAGAAAAAATATAATCGTCACTTTTCCCCACGGATATTGTTCATTCATTACGAAAATTTTCATTCACTATCAGATATAACGACCTCGACGTAGGGGCAGGTACAGATACAGGTAGTATAGGATGTGTCGTATCAAGGGGAGGAGGGTAGAGAGAAGGTGGTTTATGAGAGCTCCTCGATCTTTTTGTCACCCGATTCCTCCTCTTCGAGCTCAGGTAGATCCTCATCGTCCTGTTTTTCCAAAATGGCTAAAGTTAGAACCCATTTCATTACTGCATATTCGGCATAGAGTTCATACCTCTTCTCCTTCTAATCCTTCGCCGCCCGGCAGGCCGCCGCCAAGCTTGGAGAAATCAATGCCTCCAAGACCACCGTCCTCACCGAAACCGCCAAAGTTGGCGGCGTAGTCGTCATCCTGAGCTTCATCTTGCTCATCCTCATCGACCCACTAGCAGAGTTGTCAGTATCAATCACGTTACTACAAAATTAGGGGGAAAAAAAAGGGCAATCTTAAGAAACGGAGAGGTAGACCAACCTTGTCAAAATCAGTCTTGACAAAGTGAACCTTCTTAGACTCCTTCAAAAGACGAGGCCAAAACTCTATGCCCAAAGTCTTCTTGCGGAGGACCAACTCCACTCCGCGAGAGCTGTGGTTCACTTTGCTGTTCTCCGGGTCGATCTCGGCGTAAAGGTCCAGTGAGACATGGTACTTGGTACCCTTCAGATTCGTACCGGTGAACGACACATTTGTCGCTGTGAGCTTCAGGTCGGCCGAAGAAGTCGGCACATCGGCGACGTTGATTGAGACGTAGAGGTAGTTGCGAGTTTCATCCGAGTCAGAGGAGCGTTGAGCCCAAGTAACTATAAGAGAAAAGACAGGGCTGTTAGATTCGGATATGATAGAAGACGACATCAACAGACAGAACCAGATTTATGTGGGTTTCATTCAAAGCATGGGCAAGTGTGGCTAGGCTGATAGAAACGTTTTGCGCGTCCAAACGAGCGGGGTGAGTTTCCACCTCCGCTCTGTAGAGAGAGAGACATACCTTCTGGTGTGAGGGTAGCCATTGCTGTTGCACAAAAAGAGAGAAAAACAAGAGTGTATAGTATGTAGGGTAAGAAATGGGGAGACTGTGCTATTTGCTGTGGGATTTTGTGAAGAATGGCTGGGCCTTGGTTGAAGATCTCTGGAGCAACTCGGCGTTAGTTCGTTTGGATTTGGAAGCTACTGGAAGCCTCATCATCGTGTTTGTCTTGTTTGTCTGGCGCCCAGGCCTCGACGCCTAAGGCACGCGCAAATCCCGTGACCGTGCCAAGATTTGCACTCCTGCCTTACTGCATTGAGCTAGCTTAGCGATCCCGCCCTAAAACCCACACAGCGTCTTTTGTCGAATTCTCTCAACACTCAGACCGTCTGGTTGATTGATTCGACAAGTCCAACAATCAAGTCCAGGTACGCACAACACCACCACCCACGACATTTCATCTACTCGTCGACATTCACTCCTAACACTGCTTTCTATCTAGACAGCCGCCATGGGTCGTGTGATCCGCAACCAGAGGAAGGGTCGTGGATCCATTTTCAGTGAGTGCGACTTTTTGAACCTCTCGCCAGGTTACGAACAAACAGCAAAAAGAGTATTCATACTGATCAATTTCCAGCGGCCAACACCCGTCTCAACAAGGCCCCCGCCCAATTCCGCACTCTCGACTACGCTGAGCGACATGGATACGTCCGCGGTGTGGTGAAGGATATCATCCACGACCCCGGCCGTGGTGCTCCTTTGGCCAAAGTCAGCTTCCGTCACCCATACCGGTTCAAGAAGATCACCGAGACCTTCATTGCCAACGAGGGCATGTACACCGGTCAATTCATCTACGCCGGCAAGAACGCCTCTCTGACCGTCGGAAACGTCCTCCCTCTCGGCTCCGTCCCCGAAGGTACCGTTGTCACCAACGTTGAGGAGAAGATTGGTGACCGTGGCTCCCTTGGTCGTACCTCTGGCAACTACGTTACCGTCATCGGCCACAACCCCGACGAGGGCAAGACCCGTATCAAGCTTCCCAGTGGTGCCAAGAAGGTTGTCAGCAGCAGCGTTCGTGGTATGATTGGCATTGTTGCTGGTGGTGGTCGTACCGACAAGCCTTTGCTCAGTATGTTTCTCCGCTTTCTATCCGTCTTCCCGCGGTTGCCGCAAACCGTCGCAAAACTCCGCACAAAACTTCCCGACACATGCTAACAACCATTACAGAGGCTTCTCGCGCCAAACATAAGTTTGCTGTCAAGCGCAACTCCTGGCCAAAGACCCGAGGTGTTGCTATGAATCCTGTAGATCATGTGGGTTCACCTTTTTCCGCATATTTTGAGCATATTTTGATCGAATTCTGACTTTTTTTTAGCCTCACGGTGGTGGTAATCACCAACACATTGGTAAAGCCTCGACCATCTCCCGTTACGCCGCACAAGGTCAAAAGGCCGGTCTCATTGCTGCTCGTCGCACTGGTTTGCTGCGTGGTACTCAAAAAACAAAGGATTAGAGGGTTATTAGGGCTGTTCGTTTTTATGGGAGTTCACTTGTGAATAGCTTCAAGATACTATGCGCACGTGATTACGGGAGATTAGTCATGAACTTTTAATTGCAAAAAATTACTCAGCATTTTCATCCCGCGTAGCTAACTAAAAAAGAGGCAAACTATCTGTCTCAGGACTGATCGCAATATCAAACCAGACTGGGGGTGTGTTTTTCCAACTCTTCCAGCATGGATTTAGTCTTGATCAACACAAACTTCAACTAAAGTCGCTAACCTCTGCTTCGCACATTTTTCCCATTTTGAGCTCAACAACCACATTGCAATGATCCTTACACAGCCCAACCCGTTTACGACGGAGATCTCGATTTGGCTCTACGAAAACTAGGTGAATGCCAGCGCCAACAAGACCATATCTTGCATCTGGATACGAAATTCACGGTGTCAGGCACGCCTCGAATTTACTCCTGAAGCAGTTATGTATACCAGCGAGGTGAAATCCGAACGACTGGCCTCCTCAGCCTTGAAGCCTCCATCGTTCAGAACGGGTTATTCATGAATGCTTTGATTGGTCTGTTCTGTGAATCCGACAGACACCTGCCTGCTACATTGCCCTTAAGAAGGCAGCCAATGAGAGATAGTCAGAGCTCGTCTACGCCGCTGTTTGTAGCAATCTCGCACATTCGATTTCTCTCTCCTGCGTTCCTCAACCTGACGCCGGGCTCGCACTCTCCGCTTGCCCCTCAGACATCTTTACATTCATTCACGAAGCCTTTCTGACTTCTCTCAGTCAGTTATTGATCTTTATATCCCAGAATCATGAATATATTTATCCATGCCAATGCGAGTAACAGCCTCATAGAGTCTAGCTATGTTGATTTTACTTGAAGGACTCGTCATTTTTTCTCTCTGCACATGGACATTTCATGTATTTTTTTACCAAGTTGGGAGCGCCGGCTTCGCATTCTCATTTCTCGATGAGATTTGCAAATCATTCGGCATCAATTTTGCTCTGCTTTATCCACTGAATATGATCTGATGTCTGTGTTTAACTTTTCCATGCTACACTCAAACATTGTCATGTTAAACTCTACTTGCGGAGTTATGACTTGACCTCAAGGGATAAAACGGAAAAGACAAGGTTGCGCATGTTGCTAAACACTGCGGGCCCTGTTGTGCTTTCAGAAAGAGACATTGCAGTCTTCCTGGCGTAAAGCAATTCAGCATTATCCATGATAAACGCCGAGGCTTCGTGGATCCTCTCTGCGCTAGATTTGGTCGGGCAAATCTTAAAGTCCACCAAAAGAAGTATCGCTTCTCGCCCTTTGCTCCGGGGAGATACTGCTATGACTGCTATCGTCATCTCAGGACACACAAGGGAGAGCGCGCCCAAGAACAGATCAGACTCTTTACGCCCACAGGTTTCTCCAGGCCGCAAGACAAAGACACTGTTTGACATGCGAAGGTTGTGGGATAACTACTCCTACAGACACCTCCCCAAAAGCCATATCAGCTTGTAAAATAGTCGCCAAAAAGTCCTCTGTCATCTGTGCAATGGTTTTTATAAAAGACAAGCTCGCCATTCGCTCTGGGATAGCGCCAATCTAAAGCGCCGCCAGCAAGAAGAGGCCAAAAAAAAAAGGGGGTGATATCATGCATCGCGTCTTTTGCCATGCTTGTATAAGCACAGGCAACATTTCAAGAATCGGTGTGGGACCTTTTGCAGCAACAGGAAGCAATGCAAGGCTGCTAGCAAGGCTGAATATACTCGATTGGCAGCATTTTGTCCGGAGCACAGTTAGCTTCTCTGTCACCCACGCGCTGATCATAACAGCCACGGGAAACTTCGCCATACGCTTTGGAAGGGTACCTAGAATGGGTAACATACCATAGGTTCTATGACTCCTGAACACAATTGACAGCTGAAAAGTTTTTTCTACCACCCATGCGCTGATTATGACAGCCATGGCAAACTTCGCCATCCGCTTTGGGAGGGCACCCGGATTGGTTAACATACCGTAAACTGCCTCAATCGACCTGGCTGCTTTCTAACAGTCAGTAACTGTCATTTTGAGCTTTGTTGCTTGAATTTGATGGGCCGCTTTCATGCGGTTGCTGGACGACGTATTCCATTGAATACGTGACGTGCTCACACCTTCACGCAGTGTCCAGTGTTACTCTTCGATGATCCAAGAAGAAACCAAGATGAGCTCAAATCCTGATCTTAGTCAACTATTTGATTGCCACGTGCTTTCCATCCTCACTTTGACCTTATTCTCATCGAAATCATGGTCGCCCGATGTCAACCGTCACAACAGGCAGCTGGTAAGTGGATTTCGTCCCAGCATAAACTATTTTCAATTTTCCCTGCTTACTATCTCAGGCCTATCTTGGCAGCGAGAAGGGAGTTGAAACAACAACGTCCGTTGAACGTCGAAACTCGATTTAGATTGTTCATTCAGTATTTGACATGATGTCGCCCTTGCTGCATGGTTGTACGGCGGGATAAATTGCAGAGGCATTTGGCGATTGCAATATCGGTTTTCTAATCTTGGATAATTAGCATATATATTTCACATTTTTAAATACCAATATCTGCTGCCTACAAGCCAGACTTGAAATTTCTTTTCACCCTTTCAATTGCTTCAGCGCACTCCACACCCCTAACCAGACAACGGTGGAGGAGCAATGAACTGAAGCATTTGCTATCTCCTTGGACAGTCTCCGAAATGAATAACGAGATGCTGGATACAATTGCATCTGAATCAAAGAATATTTCTGAATTGCGTGACTAGATAATTGAAAAACTGGTATCTCTCTAGAAAAGCTTGGAGTTGTGCAGACTTCAAGCCAGAAAATTGTCCTTGGTGCACTGGAATAGCGAGTCGAAACTACAATCCATACTTGACCACCAAAGCAATCATGGAATCAGTCTCAGAAGTAATTCCTTCAACAACGATCCCTTCGCCTGGTCCAAGTTCGACTAAAAACACGAGTTTGGTTTCTGTTTACGAGACCCTAAAATTAAACAGCATTTGCATTCAGCGTAACTAGTTGCCCGAAAAGGCAAGTTATCTGTTCTACACATAAACCATAGCACAGTATCATTCTTCGGAGTCCCGAACCCAAGGGCCCGCATGTTTTCCGCCTAGGTAATATCAGACTTGGAGTTCCTCTTCATCTACTCTTGATCAACGCAGACTTCGACCAAGCTGCGAATCTCTGCTTCGTGCAATGATCCGTACACAGCTAGCTGCCATGATGTGCTTACAACAGAAACCTCGACTTAGTCCAGTATGCAGTGAACACCATCAGTTAATCTATCTTTAATCCAAGTTCATGATGTCACGCAACAGTGTAGGCGGCTCTAGTTGCGTACCAACAGAGCTACAAGCAGGCGAAAGCCCCTGGCTCCTTGCTTCCTAATCGGTCGGGATATCGGCCTTTCCCACGTTACACAACTCGTGTTTCTCTTTTTTTTTCCTTTTTCTATATGTTTCTGCCTCCTTTACTGTACTAACCTCAACAGAGGTAACAGCAAGAGGCTACCTCCATGTTTGCAAATGGTTATGCATGCGGCTGCAGCGAACATCTGAAAGGCAGAACAGGTGAGTAAATGTTAAACAGACTTTGATATGACAAAATCAGATAGTGAAGGATCCCAGTTTTCGCAGTCCTCTAGATTAACACCGTCACCCCCTAACTTCTGGAGCTTACTTGTCTCGGGCTTTTGTACACCATGTCTTCGAGTTCGCTAAAGGCTCCTTTCTAAGAGTCGGTTAGGGACGACCATGATAGTTCAGGCAAAAAGACATAACGATATGGAAATAATACTGGCATTTCCAGAATTCGATCTGTTGTCTTTTTGATCTCAGGACTCAACTTGCTCATCAGTGGTGAAGGAGCAACTGCTGAGCTCGAAGGCGTGGGAAAGCCATTGGATGTAGGCTATGACCTTCATAATTTGTACTGGGGTTGATAGCAGTTCCACTGATAGGATCGAACTTTGACCTGGCGAAGAGATCGTTATTGAAGGAAATATTTTTTGGCCACCAAAGTACCGCCGTTGGTATGAGACGCAGCTGGAGCTGTCTGTCGAAAAGGGGGAATTGTAGACGATCTGATATATTCCCAGCGCTTGTTTTTGAATTGTTCACAGGAGGAGATGGTCACATCTCGAGCCATAGACGAACTTTTATAGCTCTTTAACTGGCTTGTTCCTACCTCTACATTTTTATTGTCGCTATATGCAACTTCTTAGGTCCGATCATCGCACACATCATGAGCAGTGTATGTGTCGACATCCAAGAAAAGGTATAACGAGTCCCGCGAACAAACTACGTAGGTATTATTAGTATTTAGGCTACATTGAATATCGTACGAGAAAGGCTTTTGTACACTTCTTTACAGCTTACGAAGAAAAATTAGTAGAAAATCGCCGGTCGGTATCAACTCCTTTAATTCAATTAAATATTAAGAAAAGAAAAACGAAACCCAGCCCCCTCAAAGCACATTGCGAATTCTCTTTCGCAGTTGGTCTATCTCCAACTGCTCTCTCTCCACCTGGCTCGGCCTCCATCTTCTCCAACTCCTTTCTCTTCGCCTCAATATCGAGACGAGACTTTTTCAAGGTGGCCCGATGCTCTTTGATTTCCTCGACCCGCTGCTGCAGGTCGACACGCAATTCTTGCAGGAACGCGGCCTGCGCTGGGGTCATCACTCTCCCCTTCTCCTCCTCCTTCTTCTTCTTCTGCTTCTTTCTTTTTGGGAGCTCAACCCCAAGTTCTCGAGCATCTCGAAGGCACTAAAACATAGTTAGTATTTACCGGAGTGTCCATAGATATGAATCACATACCGCGGCCCTCATCTCCTCCAACTTCTCCACCATCTCCCATCGCCGCTTGAGCTATATTTACGTTAGATATCCAGTATATAAGATAGAATGAGCATTGGATAGAAGATACTTACACTATGTGCGGCATCCTCTGCCGCAGCTGGTTCGTTTGCGGCCGTCTTGTCCCGGGGTTCGGCCAGCTATTAGTCGTTAGAAATAGATCACCACATCATAGTGTATTTTGTCATTCACTTACCTCTTCTGCCTCCGAGGGGGTCTCGGAGGGCAGGCGGTTTTCCATTGCAGGCTCCTTCGTGGCTGCAAGATCAGCCATCTGCTGACCATTCAAAGCTGAACAATACATAAGTACATCATCATATTTGACAGCCAACACATCTGATACTTACTTGGCTCAAAAAAATCGAACTGGTCTGCTATATCACCCTTGATCAGTAAATGTATTCATTCGATGAAGTTTGCATAGGTACTCACCCATTGTTGATGATGATGATGATGGTGGTGGTGGTGGTGCCTAATTTTGTAAAGGTAATGGCTACGATGTAAAAAGTAAAGGAACTACGAGGTCTACATGTCTGAGATTTTTCATAGACGTGATGGGGCTAACCGTCGTTATCTATCTTGACTATGTATGGCTGGTACAGTTGAGACATCCACTATGACCACGAGACCAAAGTAGACAAAAACAAGCCAATCATAGAGATATACTTCCCCAGCAGTTCTAGACCAACTGTCAGATAGATATCGATACGTATATTGATTGGTGTACACGCTTAGGACTTCATAGACGTGACAGGCACGTGGAAGTGTCGCTGCTCATGACGTGCCTGATAATTGGTCAAAGATGCTGCTGTTGAGGTTGAGGTAGGAATGAAGATAGAAAGATATGAAAGAAGTAGAAAAACGTGATGAGCACGTATCTCGACTGTGTAACCTTGAAAGGCCGACGAATCAGGAAGCAGGTCACATGAAGAGGGAGCGTTTGTAGCTACACTCTCAGCCAATTGGAGCCGCCTCCCGGTCCTCATTTATGGGATTGATATATAAGTATTCAGAGCAACTTGCTATTGATGCTCCGAGCTCGGCCATCCAGCGCCTACTCACAATATCAGGGATTTTTGGGGTGTCCTTGTGGCGTCGATCTTGAGTTTCCTACGACTGCTTATCTGTGGAGTCAAGGCGATGATGATGAGGCATGATTAAGAGTCAGAATATGACTATTTTTTTGAATATCTGAATACTCTTTGTACTCAAAAGATGTCGAATTATAGCTAAGCTGAGTGTGAGGCCAAGGAGCGAGGTGGGACTAAAGGCCTTCGCTGTAATTAGGGCTATTTTGGTCACATGTGATTAGCCAAGACTGTATACCATACAAGCAACAACTAAAAAAGACTCAAAAAGGGCAAGTCTACAGCGAAGGGGATAGGAATTAATAATATAGGATGCTCATATTTCAATAACAATTACAATGTATACCTGCAAGTCTCCATTTCTGACAGTCTCAGCAAATGGAGGAAACAAAAGAAGCCCAACCACGATCTAAGCTATTAGCTTGGTACCGGAGGCAAAGTATCGCGCCAGGATCAGTAAAGCAGATCCTACTAGACAGACGACGCCCGCGAAGATAATCGACGCGGTATAGCTCCCATAGTTATTGACCATGGCACCTGTGATGGGTGTTCCGGTCAGTCCAGCTATTCCGAAAAACCCCATAGCCATGCCTACGTAGCAGCCGATCATATTCGGTTGCGGAGCTGTCATGGCAATCTGAGCGGGGAAAAGACCAATAAACATTCCAGAGTAGAAACCGAAAAGGAGGGAAAACACAATCATGCCTCCATGGGATTTGATAGCCAGCCAAGACAGTAAGAGGACTCCGCACACAGTACTCGAAATCACCAGCATGTTCGACCGGCCGACTTTGTTGGACAAAGCGCCGCCGAGCAAACGGCCGAACAGGGAGCCGGCGTTGAGAATGGCAATAAGGTAGTTGGACAAATCGACTCCAATTCCTATCGATATTGCATACCCAGGAATATAGAAGAATGGAACGAATGCCCCCCACATGATGATGAAAATACCAATGTTCTGGGTAGCATATGATTTGTTCTTCCATGCCTTGGGGAGAAATAAAGTGCCAGACTTCCGGTGTGGTGCAGGCGAGCTGATGGTGATACAGGCGATGACACTCATGGCGAGTATGATGAATCCCACCACCCGAACCGACCAGCCAAAGCCAAGAGACGATTGGTTCAGCATTCGGTTCAAAGCAATTGGAAATATAATTCCTGCAAGAGAAGAGCCACTTGACGCAATACCCATTGCTAGAGGGCGTCGCTTGAAAAAGTACTGATTCACAGCCGTCACCGCAGGGGTATAGCTCAGCCCATTCATCAATCCACCCAATACACCCTGAGCGAGCATAAACTGATAATACTCTCGGCAGAGGCTCGTTAACATAACTGACAAGACGAACAGCGTTGAGCATGGGATGAGGATAATCTATATTCGCCCAAATTAGCCAGCGTATGATTCGTTCTTATCACAGTCTACCTACCTTTGGTCCATAGCGATCCATCAATGGGCCGGCCACGAGCCCTCCGGCAAACATAAAGAAAACTTGCAGGGAGCCAATCCAAGAAATGTTCGAGTCGCTTTCATTGCTTAGAAAGGTCTGCTTATAGTATGCTTGGTATATTCTATCCATCGCATGAATCGTGTCAGTGGATCTTCCCGGTTATTATATGCATATACAGCTGCATACCCAAATGCGTTGATATAGCCAAATGTATTAAACATAACACACCAGCAGGCGGCCACTGCAGACCAAGCTTTCAATCCTCCTTCGGCGAAGGCAGGGGGTTTCGGTGGCTGCGCATTTTCTAACGCTTTCTCGGAGTTGTTGTCCATTTCCTAAGCAAACTGAGATTGAGATATTTATCAGTGTTTGATGTTATATCCATCTCAACTGTAGGATAGGCCATCATCTTTATAAACTCTTCATAGCATGGTAGGTAGTAAGTCCGACATTTCGGAAGACATGCCCCGGGAATAATCTCAAAAGAGAAGCATTGACCGGTTACGCCCGAGATGGGTCGGTTCAGAAACCGGCGCTCGGGGACGAAAGCATGTATTTTCGGGCTTCTTTCTACATCAGATTGAACTCGCTTTCTGAGCACCCTATCGGATATCGGTCAAGCCTGTTAATTCCGAGAATATAAATCGTCTGGCGAATCACTGAAACTTTAATCAAATTCTACATAGAAAAACTGAAAAAAATAATAAAAACTCCGCCCTTGCCCATATGTATAAAACCTATGTATATTCAATCAATATCAATCATAGAGCAGATTTCCTCCGCATGGCATTTGAGCCCAAACAGCTGTGCATTCGTCACAACGATCGAACCAACTCCAAATCGCGACTAATTGCCGGACTAAATGGGGCACACGACTCTAGAAATTCAATCATCTCGGCATACCATCGTTCCCAGCCGGAGGGCAAAGTGGCTCGCAATCGCGGGTATGATGATTGAGAAATGCAGTGGAAAATGAGTAGTTGGCCGAAGAATCTGTAAGCGGGGGGAAAAAAATTATTTTTTAAATAGAGGAAAACGAAAAGGGAAAAGGGCCTTCTTACTGCGAGCAAAAAGCAAACTTGATGGGAATGCAGCTTTTCATTCGACGAAACACGCCGCGAATCATGGGCCAGTTCATGGCATATTTCAGTCCGCTGGACACTTGCTCTAGGTCTTCGCTAGTCAAAAGACTGGGCGCTCGTAGCGCTTTATAAAGATAAGGCCGTCCAATGTGGAATTTGCAAATTCGATAACGAGCTCGAAGCATTGCGTCTGCTACGGCAACCGCTAGGGAAGCTGAGGTTCGTGGTTCGGTGACGATGGAGGGCGACCTATCGTCGTTGGTTGTTTCTTCCGACTTTTCGGAGAACTGGATTGCTGGTGGAAGGTTTTTGCGCCATTCTTCGACCTGGTTATGTAGCTCCGCGCTGACTGCTGGACGAGGCAGGTTTCCAGAGTCCGCTAATTCCATTGTCAGTGCCAGCTGTTACTGCATTGTCGAAAATGAAACATAAATGTAGATGTAGGGGCATTGACTCTCTGTAGAAGGCCTTTATACATACAGAATGAATACAGACTATGTCTAATTCGGGTGAGTATAATCCGATTCGCTATCTGTGCAAGGAAATGGCATTGATGGAAGTACGAGTCGTCTGGGTCCGATGCTGAAGAAGACACCGAGGAGAGTCTGACAGGTCTGAAGGGAATGAATTTGGGAATAGGAACATTGTCTTCGAGAGCTGAAAGTCCACTAGAAGGGAGATCTAACTCCTGCACGAGTATCGTTTCGTACATGACGGTGTTCCAAAAGACTCTGCTCAAGTCAGTTCAGTTCTGGAGATAAAGAATGATTACCTTGTTTAACACGTACCTTGACTTCATATCGCCTTCCCATTCGTTGTAATTGATATCACGATTTGCCAGCATGAAGCATAAACAAGCAGCAGCTCGGTTGAGCATGGCTCCAGAGTCCAAGGGACGGATTATATGACTATAAAACATACTTCAAGTAGACATGTCAGTAAAAAATAAATGGATCAGCAGACACCAAACATACGCGGATAAAAGATAGTATTGACAACTGGATAGGTCATTCTTCTCCATTAAAAACCCCATCCGTCTCCGGGCCTCATTGAAAAAGCATAGCCCCGGAGGGTCTTCTGCAGCTACCTCAAACCAAGCCGGTCGTTCAAACCGAGCACTGAATGAACCTGGTAATGGGAAATCTGCCTCTTCGTATGCACGCACGGCTAGGCAGCCTAGCGCCATTACGTTCAGGACAAGACACGTCTCGATAGTAGAGGCAAACCCGTGTTTGATGACTGTGCCAAGAGTAAAGGAGAAAAAGAAATGTTTATCCATGAATGGAGTGAATGGGTGGAAGAGGGAAAAGAAAGCCTCGCATAGTCCTTTCACCAGGGCAAAAGGCAGTTCATCAAGCCAATTCTCTGCGGTGTGTAGGGAGAATGTATTCACCCACATAGGGAGAGGCGGTCTTTCCATCTCCACATCCAGGACATAATACCTGCCAAGTTGCTCGTAGGCAAACAGGAACCTTTCCGGCAAGCAGCTGATGATGCCGGGCCAAATCACGACTCCATGTTGACTGAAAGAAATAGGCACCACCTCTTTCCCATCTGCCGGTGCTTGAGCGTCCACCTCAACGTGGCCAGTTGTAGCCGGCGAGGTAATCTGAGACAACGACGGCCGATGAGTTGCCGCCTTTGCACTCGGCGTATTACCTGCTGTAGACGAACTCTGTATGGCTTCCACTGCCTGCAGGACTTGACCAGTGAACGATGGTCGAATGTCGTTGGAAATAGCAGATGGAAGATTCTCCAACTTTGTTTCGATGCGATGCAATGTGCTTATAATCATGCCAATTGATTGGTCTTTTTTGGACAACTTCCGTTCACTGTACACACACTCCAAGTTCAAGGCTTTGCACAGTCCGCACTTGGGTCGTGACTCGTCACATCTTGTCTTTTTCAGCCGACAGTTTTCGCACGCCTATCTCCAAAATTACCATGATAGTTCAATTACATGGATTGTGAGGTATCCACCAAGGTCAGAAATGAGCAAAGCGGGGGGAGGGAAGAATATATGTACCACTGCAGCAATGAAGTTCCTGGGCTTCCGGGTATGAGTCTCCGAGTGATCGGGTTCTGGCTCATCGGAATTAGATAAAAGCTCATTAATCGAGATGTTGTTCCCCTGACCGCCGGGGTCCAAGGACCCGAGCGTCTTTGAGAAGACGGAGTCCTCGTGAGTGCGCTTAGGCATATTCACCTTTCCGAGCGCGCAACGGCTGCCGACATGTTATGTATCTTCTTGTGGGCTTTTCCTGTCAAATACAATATTTTTGGGCCACCCACAACGTCGACAGGTACGACTTCCTTGCAGTATACCGTGTATGCGAATGACTCACTGGCCCTCTCGTTTCCACATCATCGAGACTTTTTTTTTTCCCAGCGTGCAGTCAGTCGTGCACCTTAAGGTTATCGGCAACTGCTGACCGAGAACGGAGCTGATGGCTTGGCGGGTTCGGGGGGGGAAAATCGGCCAATCATCACCGTCGCAATTTCAAGTTATCGCAATAGTGGGTTCTACTGTTTACACAATATTATTTCCATAATTCCATGTTTGGTAAGCGATGATATTCGACCCAAGTGTTATCCTGTTCACTGCCTGCATGTTATGAGCCGTTTCCCATATTAGAGCTGTCGATGGATTGCACCGCGGATACAGCTTAGATAAACACGCTGTACTGTGCAATTGTGGGTAGCTACAATTTCAAATGGATGGCTCTTATGAGATCAGGATATGCACCTCGGGTAATCATCTTCATTGGAGCGACAGCTATCGAATATATAAAACTATCCCCGGCCTGCATCGAACATGCCGGGTTTCTCTCAAATCACGGTATTGTTACTTGTTTCTACAGTGCTAGATCGACGAAAATAAGTGGAAAGGAGTAATTCGCGCTGCCGAAGTATGTGTAAGCCCAGGGTCGATGATTAACTATCCGGCTCATGGATATAACAGGCATGACCCGTTCCAATCCAGCCCTTGGAGAGTTAAATGACGCCTACGCAGTACTCCGTGCGAGGTGATGATCACAGACAGTTCTTATGCCGATCATACTGGGCTAGATATTCGAATGGGAGCCCCTCCACCCTAGTCCGGAATGACACATTGACTATCTATCCATGGTGGCTAGCTTGCGGATATCATTCTTAGCCAGCTAAATGAATGCCTCTCCGTTGTTTTGTATCGGAGGGTGGAAGCTACGTCACTAGACCGAATACTAGGGAGGGCACAACACGAGCATATTACCATAAATGAGCAATAGCTAGGTGACTGCGTCATGGTATTACTGAAGATTGTCTGCAAATCATAGTCGTTTGGTTGTGATGAGATGATTCCATGAGGGGTAATAATACTGCTCAGGTAGACCAAGGAGTCATCCCCGGGCGCATCCTAGCTAAGTCACTGTTCGATGATACAAAAGTGTTTGAAGTATCGTGTGAGCGCAAGGCAGATGTGTTAATCCAGGGGATACGGCTTTGTCAGAGGCATATATGGATGCAAGGGGCTTCTAATAGTAGTCGTCTCCGGCATTTCGTGCAACATGTAGTAATACATCTGGTTACCTTGTACGCATTGTATGGATGTTTTACAGCTGTGCTAATCGAATGGTGGGGTGCATAAGACGATCGATCAAGAATTGGTGACCAAGGAACTCAATGAGCACCTGATCACGAACGCATTCTCGGAGAGTTGTTCTTGTACATGTGCATGGACGCACCTACACACACGCATATATATATTCCTGCAGAACCCGATTTCAGTACATATATTACGGTTAGTAAGAAACCCCTGGCCGTAACTCATCCAAAAGCCCACACATAAATACAGCCCTAACTAACTAACTATTCTCTCCCGTGCTTAATCATAACCACCAACGAGTCGTAGCAAATGTTTGATTCCTTGGCTGTAGATTCCTATTCTAACGAAAATATCCTGACCTGGGACCAAGTAATTAAAATAACTATATAAAGTATTTTTAAGCATCTGTCTTCAACAAGTCTCCGTGGTCCAGTGGTTAAGACGCTCGGCTGTTATCATCACCTTATGAAGCAACCGGGATATCGGCGGTTCGATCCCGCCCGGGGACGGTTCTCTTATTGATCTTTTTTTTCCCTCAGATCACCCCACCAAGGGCCTGAGCTCTCTTTTTCTTGGATCACCTGTTACGTAAGAAAGCTAGGCTACAATGGTAAACAGTAACTACCAACGGTATCAATTCAACTTATCATCGATGGATTGTAATCTGGCTCAAAATGAACCAGTGCAATGACAATCCACGGCTCAGTCATATCTCAGATACAGATAGTAAAATACGTAGATAGATTAAACATCGGATGATAAGGCACTGACGCGATCCGGTGCATGGGTCCAAGCGCTTCTATCAATGTCGATGGTTACCTTGGAACTTGGACATTTGTCTCTTGACGAAACAACTTCTGATCAATTGAAACCGGCTAGTCCAAAGTCCGATAAACTATATAACAAACAAGTCGATAACTTGGTTATTGCCAGCTAATACCAGTTGACTAGCAAACGCGACGACGCATTCGTCTAGTCCGCGTTGGGAAGTGTAATCAAGGCTCAACGGGAGTGAACTTAGCGGGAAACAAAAAGGAAAATATCTGCATGCAACGAAGCCAAAATTTTTGTTCCTTGTTGTTGAATCCTCGATCCTGATCTTTTTAGCAGTTAGCTGATTCCCGGACTCTCGTTGGTCAGACACGAGGCCAACAAAGGAGCGGTCTGGAGAGTCGAGACGCTTATGCACAGCAAGCATAGGCTAAGGAATCAAGGATCCAAGAGGGCAATTTAATTTTCAGGTACGTACCTAGTTGACTAGGCTGGTCTAGGGTTAAGCATGCTAATGATCTGTAGTTAGGTGGCAGTAGTATTCCGTGGCAGTGAAATCAGTGACTCGATGATGACTGTATTTACATAAAATTATGTGGCATGTGTCGTCTACGTTTGTATTCACTACACTCCTTGGGTTCAAGGTTGGACCTTTACTATGTACACGTACTGCCCAGGTACTCATGCAGCAACAACTCTAAATTATTGAGGCTTGCGGGACATCTAGCATAAGCGAGCGCAATAGCAAAGCTCTTTGTTGTTCCCGTGTTGGTGGTTGTTGTCATCGAATCAATAGTCAAAGCTGCTAATGTAGCAACATGCATCGAAGTGTTTCGGCAGATATACCAGACGGGCCAATCACGATGCGTGTGGTGGACGATCTAGACGCGAACGTCGAATGGGAAGCGTACGAATATGGCGTAGCGTGTGGTGCTGGAGGGGGGCTCATCTGATACATTGGATGGAACTGGGCTAATAAGCTTTGGGAACATTCAACACGGAGGGTTCTAAATGCCGCTGGCTGCATTTGCTGTTTCACTGCATGACCTGGCTTTGTTCCCCACACAGAGATCATGATTGGCCCTGACCCGCAGTATCTGAGCGCTTTTTGGCTGTTCTCCAGAGTCTCCACACCCCCTTCTTTAGTGATGCGCAGTATTTGTACTGCGATGATTGGTTCTTTTTATTCCTTAAGCTTTCTGTTTTGTCGCCTGCATTCGAATTCGTCTCATTTGACCCGCAACCAGGGCCATGGAGCTAGTCTGCTTTCGTGTGCAACGACGCGCCCGCAAGGTGTGGCCACTCAGGAACAAGTACTCTCTGCGTTTCGCCCGATTCGACAATTGAATGGCCTGCATGCATATTCATCAAACGGTGGCAGGAGGAGTGAAACAGCAGCTCCTTGATATGTATACACCGTAGTATTATATATATATATATATATATATTTTTTTTATTTTCTTATTTAAAAAAAAACGGACGGTGGAAATTGAACGACAGAGGTCCAGGGGTATTAATTAACTTATCATTGAACCAACTACTAACTAGCCCTCCGAAGTAACTGCGTAGTAAGTAGATACTGAAAAGCAAACAGTAAAAGTTGAGGAACCCCGTTTCTCTGATCAATAGACACGGCGATCCTCATGCTGCTTATGATTGACTATATGCTGATGCCGGCCAACCGTCGAGTAGACAGACTTGATCGGTTCATGGTACGCAGAAAGCCAAACCGCAAAGCCCGGAATTCAGGAGGCGGCCAGCTGACTGTCATTGGTGGGGTGTGGCGCGGCATCTGGAAGCTTCTGGCTGGGTGCAGAAACTCTGAGTGAGAAAGATTGTATCATCAACAATGATTGCGTGACTCCGTGCACTGCGAAGAGAGAGCTACCCAAGACCCTTCCCGTTCTTTGGGTGTCTGTTCAGTCGCCAGTGTGTCCCCTGGTGGCGCCGTTCCCCAGTCGGGCTGCGTCAGGAATTAGTTATGTACTGGCGTATTATGTTACCTGGGAAATACGTGTGCATGCGAACATCTGCATGCTGCGTACGGTAACCGTACGGTAATGACTCCCTGCCGGGGGGCAATGCCACTGGACGTCACGGCTCCACGAGGACATGCCTTGACTTTAATAGGCCAAGCCCGCGTACGCAATTGGCGTCCACCGTAACAAAACCATATCATAACGGTTCCACCCGTCAATTAAGCGCCCGTGATTGGCCGGCCTCTGCGTCATGACCTGTCGTGACCGATCTGCTGTTTCTTCCTCGTTCGCTGGTCTTCCCTTCTGGCTTAGCTAACTGGCAAGCATCTCGTGCTGTCCCATCCTTATCGCTCATAGTATTATCTCGCTGCCTTCCTTCCGTCCATCCCGTCCGCCCCTTCCTCACGTACTTACTTACTACACCGACTCACCTCATCTCATCTCCCTAACCTCTTCTCTTCTTTCATCTCTTTCATCACCTCTCTTCAACAACCCTTCCTCTTTTCACTACTCCTCCCTCTTGCTTTCGCCTTCGCCTTCGCCTTCGCCATCGGCTCTCTGTTCGACCGACTGCACCCGTTCCGCTCACCCTTTCATCCATCCCTACCGCTGTCTATATCTCTCCGTTATCGACAGGCTTCTATTGTTTCTCCCATAGCTTCTGAACTCTTCCACGCCAATTATCTTCCTATCTGTGCCTCGAGACCTGCTTGGTCTGGAACTGCAATTGGAATTGGAGCTCGACTTCGGAGAACTCTCTCCTATCTATCTCGTCTCTTATTATTCCGTCTCTCGACGCCACCACTGCTAAATCTTGGGCATCTCTCGGAGAGATTTCTCGTCCTAACTTCTCCCTCCGCGTGACTGCTACTGTCGATACCTTTTCCTCCCTGGTCTGACGTGTCCTGACGTCGAGCCGCTGGAGTGAAAGTGCAAGGTGTTGATGTCTCGGATTGTTTCGAGAGGTGCTTAACCTGTAGCTAGTCCCTTGGAGGGTTAATTTCTCCTGGTGTCGTCTTGGTAACTCGGAATTTGTGTCTCATATCAAGACATACGTCTCTCTGACTCCTACTTTGCGTGCTATACTGGTCCTATGACTCAACCCCAACCGGCGGAGCCACTATCCCGTTAAGTCTCCACCTTTTAGTGATACGTGCCTATTTGAGTCACGACAACTTCTACTATTATTCGACCAGAAGTCCAACTTCACGATCTTACGCAGCGCTTTTCCTCTTGAATAAACACCTATTGTCTATATTCTCTTGCTCATCACCTTTACCGGGATACTTTCGTTTTCACTCTTTGACCTTGCAACTTTGCAACTGTGATTATTCTTCACCATTTGGCACGACGCCGTCTTCCATATTGAATATACACCAATGAGACTATAACGCCTGCTTTCGATTTCCCGACGTTAACCCACCCGGGTACCCATACCAACGTCCCTCGCCCGTTCGGCACGTCGCTTCTCATCTCCTTTGTTAGCAAATATACCGCCACCACTCTTCAGTATCTATACGAGCTTCTGGAAGACAATTCCCACGGCCTCCGTGTGTTTTAATCGTGTTTCTTGATACTGCTCTCTTTATATACTCATCAGCTGCTACTGTCCAGCTTGGTGATTCGGAGTTACGCTAGCCGTATCCTTTTGTCTCTTCACTCGCAACCATCCCGAACGACTTATACTGTTTATATACATCTTTTCACCTCCCGGTTTTACTTCATTTTGTGTTTTTACGAAGCTACGAGCGGACTGCTGGTTCATTCACCCCCCCTACTCATTATTTTCATTTCACCTGTCTACATAATATTCGCCTCTCTGTTTTGCATTTGTCGTCTTTGCATATTTGGAGCCTTCACTGCTACAAATTGTCGTCACATTCACATCAACCATGGATTGTTTCAAAGATAGATTCGTTGAGGGACAGCTTCTGGATGGTCGGTTCCGTACCATTGCTCCATTGAATCATGGTTCTTTTGGAATGGTTTTCCTTGCCAAGGATAACTTGACTGGACAAGATGTCGCTATCAAGTGCTTGACAAAACCTTCCACGTCCGAATCTTGCTCTCCGATGACTGCCGATGACCGTTCCGAGGAATTGATTTGCCATACTAAACTTGGCCATCATCCTAATATCGTCAATCTTATCCACTACTTTGAGACCAGTGCACATATTTACCTGGTCTTGGAGTACTGCTCTATGGGTGATTTGTACGAGGCCATTCGTGTCAACCGCGGTCCCTTGGAGACCGAACATGTTCGCGACTTCATGTTGCAGCTTCTCGACGCCGTTGAGTTCATGCATTCTAACGGTCTTTATCACCGAGACATCAAGCCTGAGAACATCTTTTTGAATCAAGATGGATCCATGAAACTCGGTGATTTTGGACTTGCTACCCGAAATGCTTCTTGTCATGAGGCGTGCGTTGGTAGTGACCGCTACATGGCACCGGAGCAATATGAACCACCTCAAGGGGGATATTCTCCCGCCAAGGCTGATATTTGGTCCGTTGGTATCTGTCTTCTTAACATCTTATTTGCCCGCAATCCTTTCGTCACACCCACTGAGTCCGACGTCTTGTTTGCGGACTATGTCCGGGATCGCCAGTCCCTTTTCGACATCTTCCCCAACATGTCCCAGGACACATTCGAAATTCTGCGGAATGCTCTGTCCCTTGATCCCGAGAAGCGTACTCTGTCTGGTGTGCGTGATGCTATCTTGCGCACGGTAACATTCACTACGGATGACGAATCTCTGGACGAGTTCTGCACCGAGGACCGTGATGTTGTTGCAGCAAGTGCCAACCGCGAGCCGCTACGTACTCCCTCAATCCAGTCTCCTCACATCAATGCTGGTGACAGTTTTCCCTGGGCCAAGGCCCTCCAATCCAGCCCTCCACAGCCTATTCGCCAACTCTCGGCCATCCCCGACACCGAATATTATTCCGAAGACCTCTTTCCCGCTTCCGAGACAGCTGGCACTTCGTGGTATTCGGTTCATCCGGAGACAGCTTCGACTGCATCTATTTTCGATTCTGTTATGGGTGCTTCGTATCAATCCCTGGGCGCTCGTCTACATGAGCCACTCAACTCTCGCCAACCTGCTCGCATCCCCGTGAGCGGTTCCTTGCCCAACCATGTTGCTAAGCCCTTACCTGCTATATCTTTGGTCTTCGGGAATGGAAAAAGCGATCATATTTCCAAGAGCTGGAGTGATCTTTGGGACGAGGAGGAATCGGAAACCGAGAAAGCTTCTTTGCAACAACGCCGGGAGAACAATGCTCGCAGTTGGAGCCAAGATAGTAAAGATGCCACTAGTCCTGAACATCCTGTGGGTCTCTTTGACTCTGAGATGTCTCCTGTGACCAAGCCAGATCTTGACAAGTCTGAGACTCTGTCCAAGTCGGTGCCACTTCCTATTACGCCAAAGCCGGAGGCAGTGACGCCAGTTTCCCGTACCCGCCATCGGAATGCTCGACAGGCATCTCCAAAACATTCTGATGTTGACAAGTGGGCAGCACTCGGCGACCGTCGCCGGAAATACCGTTCTGACGAAGAAACTCCTCGCCTCAGGAAGCAACGTTCTATGAATCTGAGCTGGAGACGTGATTCCGGACCCTCCAGCCCGCAGGCATGGCGCAATCCCTTCCTTGACAAAGAATGGCGTCGCCAGGGACTTGAGCCGAAGGCGAAGTTGAACAGTGACTATCACGGCAGTGTTGACGAAGATCTTGACTTGGTCGGCGGGTGGCACGATCTTCACCTGTAGTTTTATATCATCGCATCTCAATTTTTTTTTTATTTCTCCCCCACTGTTTCGTTATGCAACATCCCAACCCTCCTAGACTCATTCGAAGGATACTCATACTTTGTGCTTTGTTGACCCGTTTCATATTATTCTCTGTTACAAAACTTTTTTTTCTCTTTGTTCAACCTATAACTTTTGTTGCCTTATCAATCTTGTTAGGCACTCAAGACAAATATTCCTGTTACTGTACATCCCGCAAAACTTTCCTCGCGGGCGATGGAAATCGGAGACGACGTGTCTTATGTATACTACGACCATCACTTTCGATGACACGGCGCAAAAGGAAGAGGAAAAAGGAAAACAAAAAAGATTGTTATTTTACGGGGCATTGGAGCGGTAGAAGTCAGCGTTTTCAGACCGGCGTTTCACCATCAGATTGTTTTCTTCTTCTTTATATTCTTATTTTTGCTTTGGCATTTTTTGATTTCACGGGTCATCCAGCATTCAGCCTGCAGTCCTTCCTTCGATTTGAGTTTGAGAGTCCTTACTTTTTGTGTTCCACCACAAAAGTCAAAAGAAAGAAAAGAGAATGAAGTGCTTGTACTTGAGCACCGGACATCTGCCACTACGCCATCTTTCATGCTTCCCTTCAAGATGGAATAGTGGAAGGAGAAACTTTTGGGAATGTGGAATAGTTCTATTTTATTACCTGTCTGATTTTGCAGCGGTTTGTCGATTCAGATCTACATGTTCTAGTCGCCCGAGTTCGTCTTAGGTGTACTGTGAACGCGATTGGGAAAGGGGCCTGTATTGTAGGTAGCTTGGTAGATCTTTATTTTTTTTTTCTTCTCAAACGAGAAAAAAAAGCAAATGGACAGTTATGAAATTTGGGGAATTTTCATCTCAATTTGCCATGAATTGTAGTTTTATTTCAGCGAAATGACAAGCTTATCAAATGATTCAGCTACATTGGTTGAGGGACGATTTATCCGGCATTCCGCAATTAATCCGACGTCCGTCCGCCGTTGAGACTAACTCGACCACCTGTTAGTTTTCACAATGCGCTATAACTAATTCCACTAGAGATTTCTGTCCATACGTTGCTTTTCTGCTATCGCATACCTTCAAGTCGCTCGGCTAATATAATACCCTTGACACAACAGCGAACAGACCTCGCTCACGCGTGAATCTTCCTTCCCCAACCACAGTCTCCAACCGGCGGTGGTTGGGAACTCGCCCTCGTTACCTAACTACGGTCTTGACCGCTTGTTTCCTGGTATACTTTTTCTGGCGAAAAGCTGAGGACAAAGCAAGTTAGTTCCACTATACGGCTTTTTTTGCATTTCAGACTTGTGTGAATGGCCAGGCTTGCCTATCAGCAAATGCAAGTATCCACCCGCATTATGCCATCGCATGCAGGCACACATTCTTTTTCGTCTTCTATTCTTTGGATATTTGCTGCAATAGAAACTATATCGATTACATGCGTACTGCTGAATTTGATGCTAATATGTTTGGATTTACACAGGCCTTGCTGTTTTTCTGGGTGAGACAGCACGCTGTCATCGCCGCACTTCAGAGTGCCTTTTCTAGAAATTACAACTTCTCTTATCTATTGCGCAGGCGCAAGACCAATAATATTATCATCATGACTGGACGACGCATGATTCAAGTGCTGAGGTGGGTGCAGGTGTGGATGCTGCTTGCACCTACCTTCTTAGCGCATGCAGTACATATACAAGACCAAGCCACCGATGCCTTGATCTGTCCGATATCTGAATTCTATGGACTGGAGTTGCCAACATGCTCGATATATGAAGACAGCAGCACCTACAGTTATAATAAAGGATCTATTGATCCCGAACCATCCGTCACCGCCTCGGATCCTAGTTCTTCGACAGCCGCATCAGAAAATGCCGATGTTAATGAACTCGACGCGGAATCCCTACTCGATAATGCCAATTTCCTCTCGTTTGAGGATTGGAAGAAACAGAATCTTGCCAAGAATGGCCAGTCTGCGGACAACGTCGGAAGCAGACGGCAGGGTAGTGATATCAGCAACGAACGTCGCACACAGGCCAGAGCTATGAACAATGCTCTTGATTCACTTGGTGATGATGCAGAGATTGAGCTGAACTTTGGTGGCGCGTTTGGCTCTGATGCCGCGCAACCTACAGTCTGGGAAAGTGGGAATCCTTACGATAATAGCGCCATGAATACCGACGGTGAACCAAGCGCCGTCGGTGGCTCTGCCGATGGTGTTTCTGCCGTGGGAAGGCGAAAGGACGCCGGGACCACGTGCAAAGAACGGTTTAATTATGCATCTTTTGACTGCGCCGCTACCGTGCTGAGGACAAATCCCCAATGTTCGGGGTCATCCTCCATTTTGATTGAACACAAGGACAGTTACATGTTAAACGAGTGTCGTGCAAAGGAGAAATTTCTCATCTTGGAACTTTGTGACGACATCCTGGTTGATACAATCGTTCTTGCCAACTACGAATTTTTCAGCTCCATTTTTCGCACCTTTAAAGTGAGCGTGTCAGATCGATATCCTGTGAAAGCAGACAAATGGAAAGAGCTTGGAATATTTGAAGCCAAGAACACTCGTGAGGTGCAAGCTTTTGCGATTGAGAACCCGTTGATCTGGGCTAGATATGTGAAAATCGACTTTCTCACACACTACGGGAATGAATTCTACTGCCCACTCAGCCTCGTTCGAGTACATGGTACGACCATGTTAGAAGAGTATAAGAATGAGGGGGATATCAATCACTCTGACGAAGACATGCTTGATGGAATTGCGGAAGAAGTCGAGATGTTTGTAGAGGAGCAGGATGTGGCAATGGACCACCCCTCTGATAACGTTATATTACCAATACCGAGTTCGGTCTCGGATTATTTGGAATATATGAGCCCGCTTAATGGCAGCGTACTTGAAATGGCCGCTTTCGATTATTCTGTCTCAGAGACAGCTACATGCAGCGCAGACGAATATCTAGCGTCTGAGATAGATGCAACGTCGAACAAGACTCATCCAAGCACGCCAGCTGCTGGCTCTCTAGTGACAGGCGGTCTTAATTCTACAGTCATGGCTCCAGCCGACTCGAAAACAACTGCAGACCGTTCACGCGATCGTACAGAACAGCCTACCACCAGCGAATCGAACACGCCTCCACGCATCGAGAACCAGGATGCGACGTCACGCGGTTCAGTATCGGACTCATCAATTGTTCCCGGAGAAGACTTCACATCTACTTTGGAGCCTACAAAAGTGGCGCCCTCGCCTCCGCCCTCGCCTAATCCGACTACTCAAGAGTCGTTTTTCAAATCCGTTAACAAACGGCTACAGATGTTGGAATCTAATTCGTCGCTGTCGTTGCTCTATATTGAGGAACAATCACGGATGTTGAGGGATGCATTCAGCAAAGTCGAGAAGCGACAGCTAGCCAAAATGAATTCATTTCTTGAAGAGTTGAATGCGACAGTCGTCGAAGAGATAAAAAACCTTCAGTCCGTTTATCAGTCGCTCAGTACCATCGTGCTGGATGATTTTGAACACCAGCAACGCGAGGTTTCTTCGGCCTCAACTCAACTCGCTATCTTGACCAATGAACTCGTTTTTCAGAAACGCATGACCGCGTTGTCTAGTGTCCTGATTATTATTTTGTTTGCTCTCATTCTCTTTCCGCGTGGAACGGGCATTGTGGGAATTGACCTGCCCAGCATGATGGCGTGGTCTCCGCGTCCATCTTCACCAGCCAAGGTGTCAAGGACACCGACTACAGGGCCGTCTAGTCCGAGTCTAGAGTCGGAGACCTCGACTTCACCTCCTTCCAACCAGTCGACAGCGACGATAACAAACAAGAAGAAAACAACCCAGCGAAAATGCTCCAATGCACTTCATCACAACTCTATAAAGGACCTTCGCAACTGTTCCAATGCATTGGCACATTCGTCTGAAGAGGATATACATATTGCAGGGTACGAAAACGACGGACGTTTTCGCTCTTTATCCGACTTTTCTGATTCTGAAATAAATAAGATTCCGTACACACCCTTTTCATCAGATCTTCGACATATGCTCGGTTATGATGCTGTACGACCAACTCTTCGCGTCGCCAAACAGGCATCTTCCTCTTCTTCCCCTTCGCCTATCCCTGCAATTTCTCCTTCAACACTCCAACAGGATCGACCTGTTAGTAGTCCGCCGGTCTTGAACGAAGCTTCCAGACCAGTTACCAACGGAGGTGAAGGTGGTGATGATATGGGAGATGGGAAGAGCGATAGCTCTACCGAACCTTTCCCGCCATTTCCTTCTAATTGATCTTTCTTTCATCTTCCTCTTTAGAACAAAACTTTCATCCTATTGAATTGTTACCGCCACAATTACGACACCTAGCTTTTTGACGATTTCCCTTAAACAATGCGCAGCCTATCTATACATATTCGCAACGATGACCAAGAAAGAAGCGTGTTCTATGGTCCATTGACAGTGTATTTTTACAACTGCATTATAACACTGTACTTCTTTGCATTGGGCCGGTTGACATCGGTTTTTTTTTTTTTTTTGCCCTTTTATTTGCACGACATATGAAATTTCCCCGTCCGAAGCGAGAGAAAGCAAGCATGCGGCGTTTTGTTTTCTTTTATGGTCATGATCATCTGAGGATATGCGTATTTTTATACCCCTGTATATTATCAAGTGCTAGTCAGCTAGGCTAGACTAGTTAGTAGGAAGCGATAGGATACCTGTCAGCGTGTGGTTCTCCAACAAACTTAGAAGCGTTGATAATTAGATAAACTTGGGAGTCTAACTATTGCATAAATAGTAAATAATAACCTGTGGAAATTCTAGAGGGTTTAGCGCGGTCCTAGCCGCAAGGTGGAGTATCCATCAGACCCTTTGCCTCTCATTGGCAGAGGCATCGACATTCTGTTCTAGTCTGACTTTACTCCGTGCTGAGCTGCAACCCGCGTTTTAATGTCCATTTCATTGACCTACTGTCCGGCACAACAATGTACCTAGGGCCTAATTAAATAAAGAAACCTTCACTGGCTACTATCCGCCATGAATTACCGATCATTAATTTCTTATACTGCCCTGGCAGTCTTCATCGCATCCATTTTGCTATGGATTCGCAACTACCACTCGCCCCCTGCGCTTTCAATATCAAACCCCGCAAAACAGCAAGTTTATTGGTTTGCCTTGTGAGTCTCAGTCTGGACGTCATATGTGGCTAATATACAAAGCTTCAATATTAACATTGACTATGTAGTGGTGATTCCTATTCCGCCACCGGTTTCGATGTCGGCTCTACGCAACCCTCGGCATTAAACCCGATGGGAAATACTGCTCCCAGTATGTTTCTACCTAGAGTTTAAAGCTAGCAGCGATGGCTTCTAATATGCTATGTCTAGATCCAGGCACGCAAAGTGGCGGCAATAACTGGATCGGATTCTTGACTACACAGTACAACAATAGCGTAGTTCTATCATACAGCCTAGCCATCGCCGGTGCAACAATTGATAATTCACTAGCTACCTGGGGATTTGGTGATATGACTTCCCAAGTAGCCGAATTTCAATTAAATTATGCTTCGAGGCCAGCATCCGCGCCTTGGACTCCGGACAATACCATTGTTTCGTTCTGGGTTGGAATCAACGAGTAAGTTTCGGGGATCTTCCTTCCTAGAGTTGTCTTCCCAAGTTTCTCATCTTAGAGTACTAACAAGCCAAGCGTTTACTATGGCTTCGCACATAATGACGAGCCATCTGCCTTCGTATCTACATTGCTGAACAGATATCGACCGCTCGTCGAGCAACTCTATTCTGACGGGGTGCGAAAGTTCCTTTTCATAAATTGTCCGCCATCAACTCGCAGTCCGCAGGTGCATGAAGAAAATGATCTACCAGAACAGTTCCAGCGTCATGCTATGATGGTGTCGGCGTACAATGACGGTTTGGAAGAGATGGTGCATCATTTCAGCGAAGATCATAGCGATGTAAGTGCATTAACTTGCTATTGTTAAACGAAATGTAGATCTGACAGTGCATGACATGATAGGCAACCGTCGTGCTGTACGACTCGTACACTTTTATGACGCGCGTTCTTGATAATCCTACTAAATATGGTTATCAAGATGCTACGTGTATGAATACCGATGGGTCTAGTTGTATCTGGTGGAATAACTTGCATCCTGGCTGGAAGTACCATACGGCCCAGGCTGAAGACATGCTGGCCAGTCTTGCGCCTCTCGGGTGGTGATGATATAGCCAAATAATTTCTATCTCATGACTACAAAATACAAGGTGCAGAGCACGGAGTATGGAGTTATGGTCACCAAAACAGGCTTGGCAGGAGATATGTTGCTTCCGAGGCTGATAAGTTTTGAGCGCTGTTAGCAGGTCGTATAAGCGTTTTATGCTGGATTGCAGTAAGTCCCATCATTATGTATTCATTGTATATCTGACGTAGGTCATGGCTAATATATATAGCACTTATTATTTTCAAATTAACTTTTCTAAAATATTTCTAATTTCTGAGACTGTTTCCGTCTCTCTTCATAGATGTATATTGATAGTCTTTGTTATAGTATTATGCCTCCATTTTGCCCTCTTGTTAGATTAGAGGACTTAAGGCATTTGGAGTCGATGTACTAGGATTCATGAACAGCAATAAGTGAATTACCCTGTAAAACAATCCTGTACAATGCAAAAACATTAAACCCACAACACCTTCCCTGCTTAACCTTTGAAGAAAAAATCATTAGATTGTTGAAATTCCCTGAAAGGACAGCAAATAATCGTCCATCCATTAGCAACCGGTCCCTCATGTTTGTTCACTGGACAGCTCATATCTCGTATCTCTGACTCGCCGACATTTCCCTAACATACTCGACTGAATTATGGGGTTTCTCTTGTGGTTTTATATATAATTAATTAGCCGACACGGTAGTGATTTCTGACTATTGCCTACATCCACATCGTCATCATTCTCGTCACCGTCATCGGGCCTCTTTAACGGTGCAAAGGCAGGAATAGGCGTGGGTGTCGCTTTGGTTTCTACTGGGATAATAACTATAGCCCTGGCGCTTTTCGTCCTTCAAAAAACAGAGAGCTAGCAGAGGCAACTAGAAAGGAATGCCTCAGAAGTAGAAGTAGAAGTAGCATAGCAGTACCAGCATTAGCAGTTAAGGCTTCATACCTGTCCTCAAGATCGTCGTCAGTGGCCTCGGGAACGTTTGGCCGTGGCGTAAAGAAGTTCGGCTTGGAGTCTGAAGATTCATCCAGAGACATATGTTGGACGTCAATGCCCAGACTCCGCAGCTGGCTTGCCATAAACTCATTCTCCTCGCGCGCTTCAATTCGGGCCTCTAGTTGGAACAGGAACTTGCGCCGCTCAAGCCGCTCGGGGGGCTCTTTGATGGCTCCTTTAATTCGCATATTGTGGAGTCAGACAGATACAGCAGACTGCATTATTCGTTTTGCAACCAAAGAGTTCAGGGCTTCAGGCTGTGTGACTGTTGACATGGACTTCTCGTTTTCGGCTTAGCGTCTATCAACCACGTTGAGTGCCTGACTTCCAAGGCACCAAGATCGCGTTGCCGGGCCAATAATCGAAACCGGGAGTCAGCCTTACACTTTGCTCCACCATTTTTGTTGCTGCTGCAGACTTTGCATGCAACAGCTCCCTTCCTGCTGACTGGCCAAGTTAAAGTTTGTCCTGGAATCCGTCTATTTATCGAGTTGGTTTCCTTTCTTCATTTCTGTTTATCCCCTTTATTTATTTACTGGCTTGCTTATACATAATAAACAGGAAACAGCTTTGTTTAACAGCTTTGTTTACTCCATAGCCAACTGCCTATTCCCTCTGTTTTCTACCTCGCAATACAGCACAACGCAACGAAAAACCTCTTGTCTTGCTCAATTCAGAGCCAAATCATATCACCATGGACGCTCAAACCCAGCCTCTCAGCGATCGTTCGACAAACACACATCTTCAGTCTACCACTGCCTCTTCTACAGCACAAGACACCGACAAAACAGCCAATACTCAATATTCGATGGATTACCATCGAAAGGTACTTCAAGACAAAATTTACAACGGATCCGATCAGTACGTTTCACCGCAGCAACAGCAGCAGCGTTGGCAAGCGAGCCGGTAAATCATCGTCTTTGAAGTTCTTCTTTTTGCGCTTTTTTTTCTGCACTTACCTTTTATCTTTATTGAATTTTTTCAAAACGATACACAAGGGAGAAGAAAAGAGAGGAAGAAAAAGGGAAAAGAGGGAGATTTTGTTTTACCTGCTTGTTTGGCCGTGCCTTGTTGAATTCAAGTAATGTGCTGACATGTTCTTCTCTACGTCCAGATCTAACAGTGCGTCCTATGTCTCGCCATCTGATGACATTATGAGTCCCTGCACCAAGAAGTTGAGTGATCTGAAAAGCAAGCGCTTCAAGAAGTATGTCTTCCGCTCCCTCTGTTGTTGCATTTCCATAAGAGATATATTGACTGTTGCTGCTCATAAGTGCCGGAAAACCAACCTCGCTATTTGCCAAACTTGGAAAGAAGAGCTTTGAGCAATCCTCTTCTGCGGCTGCAAAGGACGGTGAATAAACCCATCTCACACTCTCACTTGCTTTGGTCTTGGGAGATTCGGTGATGACGAAAACAAACAACGGCCACGGATGGATACGATACCCTTTTCCTTCTTTCATTCTCCAGATGGTTTTTTGGCTTCTCTTTTGCTTGGAGGGGAAGTGTTCTTTTTTCTTTCTTTCTAGGACAGATTGTTTATCAGTCCTTGTATTAATTAGTTGGCTACAAATTGGGAATTGGTTGGACAGGGGCATGCACTGTATTGGTTATGATTGTATTGGCTTAGACTTGTTCAAAAATGGATGATCTGTGTTTATATCTGAGTATATTCCAAAATATTCGTTACAATAATGTAACAATGTAACAACCAAAGACTTGCCGAGGCTCCGGCTATACCCCAGACTCCGCTAAACCTTCCTGGGTGCGGACCCGCAACTCTCACGCAACATCACAACTACCCCAACCTTCTCTTAACATAGCCATTGTTTTAATTCATTGCCTCGTCGAATTGATCGTTGCGGAGAGCTTATCACTGAACCCATATAGAAAGACGGAATTATACTGTATACACAGCCATGCCTGCCTCTGCGAATATTCCAGCTATTGCCCAGGTGCACGTTAGTGAGCATGCGAAGAGAACTCTTGATTTGGTCAGTTGTGCACATTTTATTGTATATCCAAGGGGGACTTACTGACAATTTGATGCTTACAGGTCGAGGAATTCGTCGAGAAAGAATGCATCCCAGCCGACCCTCTTTACTTAAAACAAATTGGCGAAGGAGAACAACGATGGAAATCACATCCGCCCATCTTGGAAGAACTGAAAGCCAAAGCCCGCAAGCTGGGCCTGTGGAATATGTTTCTGCCCAAGAACCATTTCTCGCAGGGTGCTGGCTTTAGTAACTTGGAATATGGGTTGATGGCTGAGATTCTGGGCAAGAGTCGAGTGGCTTCTGAGGTGTGTTGCCTTTCTCTCGCGCGCGCGCTCTTTATGTGAAAACCGGAATCGAAAGGATCTAATTATGAATTAAATTTGAAAGGCTACCAATAATTCTGCTCCCGACACTGGGAATATGGAAGTTCTGGCCAAATATGGAAATGAAGCCCAAAAGAAGGAGTGGCTGACTCCATTATTGGAGGGTGAAATTCGCTCGGCATTTTTGATGACAGAGCCAAATATAGCATCGAGTGATGCCACGAACATCCAACTCAATATTCGCCGTGAGGGTAATGAATATGTTCTTACTGGCCAGGTATGATACGGCATTCCAGTGCATAATCCAGCACTAAACTGACAGAACGATCATTATAGAAATGGTGGTCGTCCGGAGCTGGTGACCCTCGCTGCAAGGTTTACCTCGTCATGGGAAAATCTGATCCCACTAACCCCAACCCATACCGCCAGCAATCTGTTATTATTGTGCCAGCTGGAACACCAGGAATCACCGTGCACCGAATGATGCATGTCTACGGATACGATGACGCACCTCACGGACACGGGCACATTACCTTCAAGAATGTCCGAGTCCCCGTTTCAAACCTCGTGCTCGGCGAAGGCCGCGGCTTTGAAATCATCCAAGGCCGTCTTGGACCCGGCCGTATCCACCATGCCATGCGAGCCATCGGCTCCGCCGAGAAAGCCGTTGAATGGCTAATTGCGCGCATCAATGACGAACGGAAAACCACGTTTGGGAAGCAACTATCTTCCCACGGCGTGATCCTCGAATGGCTTGCTCGATCCCGTATTGAGATTGACGCTGCACGTCTCACCGTGCTCAACGCAGCCATGAAAATCGACCAGAACGATGCTCGTTCTGCCCTGAAAGAAATCGCAGAAGCCAAAGTCTTCGTTCCTACAATTACGCTGGCCGTTATTGACCGCGCAATTCAGGCCTTTGGCGCTGCTGGAATTTCGCAAGATACGCCCTTATCCGCTATGTGGGCTAATGCTCGTACGTTGCGCATTGTCGACGGCCCGGATGAAGTCCATCTGCAGCAGTTGGCGAAGCGCGAAAACAAGGCGAGAAAGGATGAACTCACCGCAAAATTGCGTTGGCAGAGCGATCGGGCTGACCAGTTATTGCTAGCTAACGGCTTCCAAGCGAAGGCCAAGATGTAATGAACTCAAAACGTTATATATAGTTGTATAATGCGCGTTTTTACTTGATTTGGTAGCGAAAAGGTATTCCTTGAATGAAAATGGAAAGGAGGCTATCATCTAACTTTCACGTATCCCTTGCGCCAATCGTCGCAAAAAAAGCATCCGCTAAATATGCACCGCTCAACTCTAGCGTACTGTCTCCTCCAATACCCGGCCTTGCCAGAGCAGGCTTTTGTATCTCCTCATAGTAGCCTGCAATACCATCCCGATGCAAGACCTCACAGCACTGGTCCGCATAATGCCGGAAGCCCTGAATTGGCCACGTGGGCTGGATTTGGAAGACTGCGCCATGTTTGGCCACGCGCGAAGGATATTCTTTGATGTCTTGAAGGGAGAATCCGTTTCCTTCCCAGTCGTAAGTGTTTGTGTAGCCATATCCGAACATGCGGTTTGGATAGTGAGCTCGGACGGCATTGTGGATTTCGCTGACGATTTTTTCATCTGTGTATATGTATGAGTACGTCACGAACAGAAAACAAGAATATAGGGTAAAGATAACTCACCAGGAAAATCCATGCGTGGCCATGAAAGATCACCAAAAGGTGCAGCAGCAAGACACCGCTCTATCGCTGCTTTGACAGACCACTTATACATATACTGACCTTGCAAACTGCGAGGCAGCTCCCAATCAAAATATACATCCTTACCCAACGCCTGCCGAGCTTTCTCTCGCCTTTGTGCTAGCGACAATGCTGTTTCTGCCTTTGATATCTCGGCATTATAGGAAAGATATTGGTCTTCACTATCAGCCTGGGATTTGACTGCGTCATCAAAAGTCATAAGTCCGGCTGTCTGTGCCCATTGCTTTCGTACTACGACTGGATTGGTTTCTCCACCTTCAATTGCTCGTGTCATGGCTGCGGTGAAGGGCTCGATGTTCTGCGCTGTTGCGCCGACTATATATTCGTGGTCTCGCGGGTCGATGCAGGAGGTGATGAATTCAGCTTTGATGCAGTCTGACCGAAGTAATAGCATTGTATCTGCACTGTATATACGGTTAGTCCATAACCAATCACAACTTAGAGACCCAAGAAATGAAAGAGAAAGAAAAACCTACCCCATGATATCAAACTGCATCCTCACAGCGCAGAGTCGCGACTCATATTCCGAAATAGGAACCAAAGTGCGACCCTGACCGATAGTAAACCGCTTCATACCAGATGCCAAATCATCGACATGGATCATTGCAACTCCAGCTTCCACAAATGCCTTGGCCATCTTGATAGTAGACGTTAATCCACCAAATCCCATATCTCCATCTGCGATAATGGGCGCCATGTAGTCGACAAAGGGCATCTTGGATCTCTCTTCTCGAGTACGTGACATGCGGAGATTCCGCTGGCGTTGGTCATTCCACATCTGAGAGTGGTAGATTTGATCGATGATTTTGGGAACGGTGTCCCATGGATAGTCTGCATGGTCAATGCCTGGCTCTAGGACGCGAGTTGTGCCGCAGACAGCGCCAGAGACGTACACTGTCTGTTTTGTATATTAGCCTTATACTTCATTTTTCAATTGGATCTAAGGTTGGATGGTGACTAAGGCACCAGAATCAGTGCACTAGAGGGCTGGTGGCTGGGGCATGCGTACCTGTTGGTATTTAGCCATCTGGCCAATGACCACCGGATCGGTAGCACCGTATGTAAGCTCGTGTGTTCCATTTCGTAGATGCTCCTGCAGTATGTTCCATAGCTTCATGGCCTGAGTGCTAGATGCATATTCTCTGCGTTGACTATGCCGTAGCATTACCACCCGCCTGGCGCTATATGGCCTGTATTCTCTCTATTGTCAGCACCATCTCTGTTCTCCAGCAAGTTACAAAAAATACAAGAAAGTAAAAAAAGGTAGAAGAAAAGGGAAGTAAAACTCTACCGTCTCAGCGCAGCATGTCGAGGAGACTTCCACCACGCCTCAACTTCTGCAACCTCCTTTTCGAAGGCTGCTTGTTCAGCATCGAGGTCGATTTCTATGATCGCCATTGCTTCTCGAGATACTTCTCAGAAGATGTAAAGAAATTACTACCAAAAACCCAAGCTTGCAAGAGCGTAGGTAGAGGTTACTTTTGCTTCCTTAGGAGAGAAATGAGAGAAGAAAAATATAGAAACCCCACTGATAGAGATAGATAAAATATTGTTACCCAGATAGGAAATTTGGTCGAACTTTCGGCGAGAAGAAGCGGGGACGCCGATGCTAGTTCCGGTCGCATAAATTGACCAATCATTGTCCGAATAGTAATATAGTTATGCGACGAACCTCACTCCGAACTTCACCCCGAACCGCGGCTATACATAGTTGCTGCTCGGATTTTGGATATATTGAGTTTGGAATAGGCGAGGGAGAGACATGATGTATGTTCAGCCGCTCAAATCAAATATGATTAGGTACCTAGGGGGGTTGTGGTGGTGGGGCGAAGACGAAGGCAGAGAGGTCTTTCTCTTCTTTAGTTGAATCTTCATATATCTTTTCGTCTTGAAAACATTCATACACAAATCTACGTGCGTGACTATTATTTAGCTTATTTCTCATAAGTGATTGGACACAATGGCTCAAGGCTTGGAAGAAGAGCGCGCTGGCACCACTGCAAAAGCAGGCCCGGATATCATTTATGCGGCCATTGATCAGAACGAACATGATCTCAAAGAAATCAATCGAAAGGTATGTGCATTTGATGTTGTACGTGATAGAGCGGAATGCTAAACAAATCAATTCTCAGATATTCGAAAACCCAGAACTCGCATTCGAAGAGCACCAAGCACATGACAACATTGTCAAACTCTTGAAATCAAAAGGCTTCGCAGTCACCCAACGTGCATACGGCATAGAAACTTCGTTCGAAGCCGAATATGGATCCGGTGGCCGCGTTGTGGTCTTCAACGCAGAGTACGATGCTCTTCCCGGCATTGGACATGCCTGCGGCCACAATTTGATTGCAACTGCATCCATCGCAGCCTTTCTTGGAGTTGCCGAGGCTTTGAAAAAATCTGGCAAAGAAGGACGCGTAAGACTGCTTGGTACGCCTGCAGAAGAGAATAAAGGTGGAAAGAGGTTATTGGTCGCGGCTGGTGCGTACAAGGACGTTGATGCTGCGTTGATGCTGCATCCCGGTGCTCAGTCGCGGCACAACGGACGCAGTGGTACTGCATATGCGCACACTCTGGCAAATGAGAAGCTAGTTGTGCGTTTCAAAGGGAAAGCGGCGCATGCCTCGATGTATCCCTTCAACGGCGTCAATGCTCTTGATGCAGTGATGTTGTCATATTCGGCAATTAGCATGCTGAGACAGCAGATCAGACCATATGAAAGGATCCATGGGATTGTGAACGAAGGAGGCAAGGCCCCGAATGTGATCCCTGACTCCGCATCACTGAATTATGTGATCAGAAGCAATACAAAGAAAGAGGCTATGAGATTAAAAGACCGCGTTTTAAAGTGCTTTGAAGGCGCAGCTATTGCAACCGGCTGCGATTGGGAAATTGACATGTGAGTGGCGAAGCAAAAGAAAGCACATGAAGGATTTGACTGACCTTAAAAAATAATCTCTATACAGGAACGAGTATTTTCAATATTCAGACCTGCGTCCTAATAAAAAAATTTGCACTATGTTTGCGGAGGCTATGGATGACTTGAATTCGCCTGTCAATTGCGATTTACAGAGTCAAGTTCCAGGTCTCGGATCAACAGATATGGGTTAGTATGCTCTTGTCTTTCCAATATCTATTTAGACACTGTATTAACCTTTCTACTCTTACGACTAGGGAATGTATCATACGTCTGTCCAGGCTTCCATGGATTCTATGGAATCCCCACTGAAGAAGGCGCGTACAACCACACCCCAGGCTTTACCAAGTTTGCTGGGAAGGCTGAAGCACACGACCTGACAATCGTAGCTGCCAAGGGCATGGCAACTGCTGGGTGGAGGGTGCTGGAGAGTGAACTGGTTGCTCAGAAAGTGTGGCAGGACTTTGATGATGACGAGGAGACGCAGATATATAGTCCGTGATTACTTGTAGGTATCTAGTAATTTTGTACGTGGCGAGTTGCTGTTCTTTCGAATGAACAAAGAAGGAACTAAAAAAGAATTTATACAGTATAAATATACAATAATACACATCAATATGGCTGGAAAACATCATCACTAGCATGAAGTTTTCTTTGTCCGCCAGGAGCAGAGGAGCGGCGAAACCGATCATCTTCACAAAACACTTGTCTCATAAACTCCACTCCAACTCTTAATCTCGTAAGCTGTTGCTCTTGCAAAACCCGCTCTAATGCCACTTTGGTATTTCTCTCGCCCATCTTTTGCCGAATCCAGTCCTGGTGGATTATATCCTTCGATTCCACTCCGGCAATGAACAATGGCCATTCAATGCGATGGAATAAAGCATCTTCTCTACCTAGACCCAAGGAAGAAAAGCTTCCACCAGAATTGAACAGTCTGAGTGCAATAGACAAGATCATATCAACAGATTCCTGCACGGCCGGAGGCGTTGGCACATCAAGGGACTGCAGTGTACTGCGAAAGAGATATATACGAACGCCGTGATAAAACGCCACGCTGAGGTCGGCATTAATACATGTTCGACTCTGTGGGGATAATGAAGATGAAAATGAAGCTGAAGACGAAGACGAGATCGATGGCTGATCGTTATTAACTAGTGCAAAGACCGGGGCAAAGCGAATTTTGATAGAATCCAGTTCGCTGGAGAACATGGCATCTCGTGCTGGGTCGTGGCGAGTAAACACAAATTCTTTGTTCATATCTTCCAACAATATGCTCAATTCATTGTTGAGTTTCAGAATAGCATAATTTTGCGTATCGTCGACCAGCTCCTGCACGGGGTACTCTTCCGCCCAATTTAGTACGGGAGCATATTTGCCTAAGTCATAGACTTGTGCCAATCGCTGCTTATTTGTATTTAAGTACTTCGCCAATTTCCCTCCACAATGGTAGAAGCCGTATTTGATGTCTTGATAATACAGACATATCAACATCAGTGCAATCAAGCTCCCTTCCTTGGCCGAAAGAAGCTGAGGACCTGCTTCTTGTTCAGGGTTGCCTTGAGAGAGAGGGGTTGGTATATCACAGACAGAATCGAGCTTGTATCGTTGAACATGATCGAGAGCGCATGCACTGAGCTTCTTTAAGAAACCCACATCGACATTAGTCGATTGTGTTTTGTACAAGTACAGAAACCAGAATGAAATGAGGATCGACACATGTTTTGTAGCTACTGCCTGATTGGCCATTTCGTCGGCAAGGAGCTTTGTGCCATGCTGATAATGCAATTCTGCACTTCGGCGTAGATTTTCGTTTTCACGGCGCCAGCAGAGGTCTTTGAGTGATACGGCCATTAAAAGATGCATGATCATTGGCTCTGCCCATGCGATGTTTTTGATCATGCTAAGCGTTGACCATTTTGGATGCTTCAGTGTAAATGACGTCGAATATGTTGTCGAGTAATGATCCAAGGCCTGATGTTCGTTTTTGGTCATCACAATTGAACATGGAAGAGACATGTTGTAACCTGACAAGACCGAAGACGCGGACAAATCTGGGAAAAAGATTGAGGGATATGTAGTGATGAGATCCTGCCAGTCCGGCAGTATGTTTTCATTATAATTCTTATTGTCATTTTGATTGAAATCAAGGTCGTTGTTGTTGTTGTTGTTGTCTGAGGAAAAGTTGAAGTCGGGGTCGGAAGACAGGGCTTCGGGAAAGCCAGGCGAGCCAAAGTCAAAGACAGGAGGGCCCTTGGGCTCTGGAGCACTTCCGGTAGAATCAGAAGTAAGATTTAAGCCATCTAGACTATTGGCAGAGCTGTTACTGCTCAGCGATGCATCATCCTTGGGCAAGATGGTAGCGGGCTGAAAACCCTCACGCCATCTCCAGACGCGCTGCAGTCGACGTCTCTCGCGTAGGGGCGGCCCACCAGCCGGCCATTCACATCCTAAATGCAGCCTGGTGCATCTCCCACAAGCTGGGTGCAGTTCATCGCATTTGACCTTTTTCGCTCTGCAGGTGTTACAGCCTAGCATAATGCGTCAGTCATCAGCAGCAGCAGCAGCAGCAAGCGTTGGAACGGCAACATGGCACATACCGGATCTGGAGCGGCGAGCCTGTCGATGGGTGGGATTACGTTCAACCATGTGGAAAGGTCGTTGAGATACGAGGTCCTGCACCGGAGTTGATTTTGGGATGTTTGGCGATGTCGAGCGTTGACTGATCGAGATAGAGATAGACTTATCTCGCTATGCAGCGGTCGGATAAACTAGCCAATCGGGAGTGCTGTAGATACACTATCAGGCTAGCTATCCGTATCTCAGCCAATCGCAGAGCTGGACGTCTCTTCCCCACATTTCATCTCCGCAGCTGATAGTCAAATTTACCAGAAGTAGAAATGCCGCGTTAGACTTGCTTGCATGGCCATGGTATGATATGATGCTTATCTCTCTCATATAGCCCCGGCAATATTAAAATGCTGCTGCATCCTTCAGGCGCATGACTTTACATGCACTCAAGACACCGCCGCCACCATGTCCTCCGTGGAGTCCAAAATGCCCCTTCCTGAAAAAACCCAGGTATACAGTACCGACTCTGGAGCCGGCGACGTTGAAGTCTTAAAGCCCTCTGAAGAGCTCGATGTTGGTGCAGGCTATGCCAACCTGCTGCAGGATTGCCCTTATACCCGAGAAGAAGAAGTTGCACTACGATGGCGACTTGACCGTCGGATCCTGGCTATTCTCTTCTTCAATGTCATCTTAGCTAGTGTGGACAAAACTTCTACCTCCACAGGTGCTCTGTGAGTCCCTCTTTTCTTTTCTTTTCTCTCTCTCTCCCTCCTCCCCCATTTTCCTTTTCTCTCTGATAGTCATACATCTGTATCCCTTTCATATGCTTATTTGTTCTTAGGTATGGCCTTAAAACCGACAATGATCTTACCGGAAATCGCTACTCATGGGTAGGAAGTTCTTTCTACTTTGGCTACCTGATTGCCTCCATCCCAGCAGCATGGGCCATGCAGCGTTTCCCCATCGCCAAAGTCATTGTTTCATGCCAACTCGTATGGGGGATTCTTCTATTGGCCATGGGGTTCCTGAGCAGCTGGCCCGGTCTTTTGGCCTTGCGTATCATCTTGGGTATGCTTGAAGCTCCCATAATTCCCGGTGCGGTGATTATGCTGGGAATGTGGTACCCGAGACGAGATTTGGCTCTTCGCTTGGGATTTTTCTATACTGGATTTGCTCAATTAATTACGGGCCCGATCGGATATGGGTGAGTTGCGACCTGCCCTTTTTTACTCCCACTTGCATCAACCGCATTGAATTTTATCTAACAGACACCTTTTTTTTTTTTTTTTCCCATTATAGCGTCGGCTTCATTACAGGCACCTGGTTCAAGCCATGGCGTGTATTTTTCTGGATCCTGGGCGGCATCACAATCATATGGGCCATCATAACCGCTTTCCTACTCCCCGACAGCCCTGTTAGCGCAAAGTTCCTCTCAGAGCGAGAGAAAGCAATCGCCATTGAACGCATGCGCGCCGACCAAACGGGTATCGAAAACAAACACTGGAAATGGGATCAGGTACGCGAAGTAGTCCTCGATCCCAAGACCTGGCTATTGTTTCTCTTCAACATCTGGGTCAGCATCCCCAACGGCGGCCTTACCAATTTCACCCCCTTGATTGTAAATGGTCTGGGATATTCGTCCCAGCGCGCTGCTCTGCTTACCATGCCAACCGGTATTATGGAAACGGTATCCGCTGTTATAATCAACGGTACTATTTTCCTCGTTATCACTCGATACAATTCCAAATTGCAACTTCGGGGCTTGCTTATTATCCTCGGTCTCATTGTGGGAATGGTCGCTGCCGTGTTTCTATACACTTTACCGCTGACTGCTCTCCATACTCGACTTGGAGCGCTTTACGTCAGCTTTTTCTACCTAGGCCCTTATATCGTGTCGCTGGGATTCATTACGCAGAACACAGCCGGACACACGAAAAAGGTCGTTCTGAATGCGCTATGCTTCGTCGCCAACTGCGTCAGTAACATCATTGGACCGCAGTTCTTCAAGTCTAATCAAGCACCTCTCTACCCTCTGGGAATGGGTGCTATTTTCGTCAGCTATGCTCTGAGTATTCTCACAACAGCTTTGTATATGGCATACTGCTGGAATGAGAATAGGAAGAGAGACAGAGCTGCAGAGGCTACTGGCGAGCAGTCTGTGGACGTTCATTTGGATACGGATTTCAAGGATTTGACTGATATGCAAAATCCGCATTTTAGATATGTATGGTAAAAGCGTTATTAGTATTTACTTCCTTTCAATGAGTTGATATACAGATCCCGAATGGGATCTGAAACGGCTCTCTTTTGTGTTACTATTTTATAGTTCCATGATTCATAGAAATTTCAACTTTAATGAGACAATTTTCGGTTTTCAATGAAAAGGTATATTATCTGAAAGGTATGTATCGGTACCACACTTAAACGTTAGAACCTCGAATACCACAGACAAAGTAAGACAAACACAGTAAGAAAGACAAAGACAACAACAGTCTTGTCGTCCAAACGCCAGGTATCATGCCACACCGAGGTAGGTATATAGAGATCCGAATTTCAAAGATACGAGGGCAAGGTACTAGAAGGAAAAGAAAGGAAACGTGAATAATCAATCCAATTATAAGAGACAAGTATGGTTGCATGTACAATTAGAATCATGTCTGACGAGACATCGTGTGACGACCCAGCGTCTCTACCCGATAACCCAATTTCTCCATTTCTGGCACATCTAATACGCCACGACCGTCGAATATCCATTTTGGATCTTTCATGCCATAAGCAATACGTGCCCACTCGACTGGCTCGTTTGAAATGGTTCCTCGCAACTTTGTTGATTGACAGTCTGGGCAGTCTTCGGCGCAAATAGGTGATTGACCTGGTCGGTAAGAGAAGCGACTTCCTTCAATGACCATCTCTCCTTCCTGCTTACTAGCCATATATTGCATGTTTCGAATGCTATTATCATAATATGGGATATTCTTCGTTTTCGCAGACAGGTCAATACTCGGTTCGATAAACTGCCCCGCGGGCGATTGACGGAATGGATCCGAGTCATTGATGATAACCACCGCATTCGCTTGTTGGCATGCCTGATAAGCGTCTGAATAAACGTGGACTCGCTCACGGTTTGTGGCATTTAGGACCGGCTCAAGCTCGCTCATGATATCCTCTGACAGACAGCATGGGTCGAAGATTGCAATCTCTGCCGGTCTCTCCTGCAACAACGCTCGAATGACGTCCACTGCCAGCGACTCGCGCGTATCGCCAGTGTTTTTCTTGAAAGCAAATCCCAGAATACCAATCTTCTTGCCGACTAGATTTTCTTCCATGCGCTGGATAACTTTCTGGGCAAATCGGTCTCGCTGCCACTCGTTCATCGAGTTGACTTGACTCCAATAGTGTGCTACCTCAGGCAACCCCAGCGACTCGGAAAGGTACGTTAAACTTGCAATATCTTTGCGGAAACATGACCCGCCGAACCCCAGGCCAGCCTTGAGGAACTGTGGGCCAATTCGAGGGTCGAGGCCAGCTGATTTGGCAATCTCATCAATATCAGCCCCCGTTCGATCACAGATAGCACTAATCGAATTGATGCTGCTAATGCGCTGAGCCAACATTGCGTTGCTGACTAGCTTAGCCAGCTCAGATGACCAGGCATCGATTTCTAGAATCCGGGGACGAGGAACCCAGGCAGCATAGACATTGGCAAGAGCCTCCGCCGCCCGCCGCCCCGAGGGAGTTTTGGCTGATCCAATGAGGACGCGATCAGGTTGCATCAAGTTTCGCACTGCAGATCCCTCAGAAAGGAATTCGGGGTTGGAAAGAATTTCAAAATCCACACCGGGGCGGACTTCATCAAGCTGAAGTTTGACTTAGTGAGTGGAAGCTAGTCTGCACTGAGGTATGATGCTTACCATTTTTCTCACGCGCTGAGCCGTGCCACATGGAACAGTGCTTTTCTCGACAATGATTGTGCCAGGCCTGGCATACAATGCTACTTCTTTGGCTGCTGCGTCGAAAGTTGTCATGTTAGTCGCACGGCCGGAACCAATACCAAATGTCTTCGTGGGCGTGTTAACGGCCAACATGACCACATCGGCTCTGGCCAAACTGGTCTGCGAATCGGTAGTGAAGAATAGATTAGGGGGGTGATTTGTTGGGGTACTTTGGTGTGGTTTATCTGCAGTGGCTCGTAAACAGGTGCTCGCACCATCGCGGCTCACTCGAACGATATCAATGAGGCCCGATTCATAGATAGGAAGGTGAGGCGAGTTCCACCGACGCACGCGCCGTGGATCCTTATCTAGCACATCCACGCGTATATGGGGGTTATGCAAAGCGATGACAGCGGCTGTGGGACCGCCTAGTTTGAGAGCATTAGTTTAAGGTCACGGCATAACCGTTACGACAAGCATGAATTTTCAGAAAGGGTGAGACAAAGGTTGTAACCTACCAACATAGCCGGCCCCAACCACGGCAATGTGTCTCACTGGCTTGGAAAACAGAAGCTCCCGTTGACTAGCACCGACATGTTGAAAGGGCAGTCTTTTTGTCGGAAGCACATTGACTGGAGACTTTTGACTGCTCAGGTAGCTGGCCAGTGGCGTCTCAAGAACATCCTCTACACAGGCAGCCCCAAGCAGTGGGCTTATGCTCTCGGGCGTAGTAGGGCCAGTCGAGTCGTCGCAGGAGCTGTCGTCCGTTGTGGTGGTAGGCGAGGTTGAAAGGAAATCCATGGTTTTTGAGTAGTCGAACGAAGCCATTGATGGCCCGGGCGGGGGGTGTGGTGTTGCACTGGGCGCCAACTTATAGCCCCTGATGCAGTGATGAACAGAGGGGCGCACGGCTGCCTAGCATTTACAGTGTAGTTGTCGATCCGAGAGCTTTCGAGACTCGCATCAACACAGGCGACACCAGAGCAACGAGGCGGAGCAGAGCAAAGGCGAGGAGAACAGAAGAGAAAAAGAAAAAGGGGAATAAAAATAATACCTGGCGTCTGTACAAAGCCTCGTTCAGCCGGAAGCAGCTAGCATCGAGAATGGAGGGGAGGGCAGAGCACGGGGGTTGAATGATTTGCCCCTGTCGTGCTGGTGCTTTCTGCAGAGGGAGTCGCTGCGTGGTGGCCAATCGGCCGCAGTCACGGGACTGCGCATACGTGCGCTCTTGCCTTACATCCTGGCACCTTCCTGGGATGGAGGAGTTTTTGGACGGTTCACGAAGGAAGGAGCCCGTCGTCGAGTATGAGCATCGGATCATTGCACGCCCTATACCCCCGGCGCTCCCATTGGCTGCCACGCCGTGGGGCACTCTGGCCCCGAAGGAAGCTACGATAAGAGCAAAGTTACTCCAGGGAAGGCGCGATAAGGCCGCGGACCCCACGTGCACGGACAAGCTCTTTCTCTCTTTCTCTGTATTACACCGCTTGCTGCCATCCAATCTGGCATACTCTTGTGTGCACGCACTCGCCGGCTATCATCGCACCTGATAGCTTCCTTGTGCGTGAGCATTTGTGGTGTGTGTGTGTGTGTGTGTGTGTGCCATGGCTCACTAGGCTTTAGCGGCTGAGGAGTCCTCTGGCTTATTTGCGTCTACTGCCCCTCGCCTACTGCTGAGAGCTACTTTCTTCGAGAGGGAAAGACAATTTGCGAGCGCATCTCGCAGCCGACCAACAGCGACTCGCAACCGGAATGGCACAACTAGAAGGCATGGTCACAGGGGGCCGCGATGAATTTCCAGCGGCATTGAAGGGAAAGCGCATTCTTCTGGCTACCGAGTCGCTCGGTCCCGTCAATGGAGTAAGTCGCACAACGGGTATGCTGATCGAGTACCTCAGAGCCAACGGCGCCGATTTGGCCGTCGTCGCTCCTCGCTACGAAACGAAAGGCCGAAGTCTTCAGAAGCCAGCAGCTCCCTCCCATTCTCGCACAGGATCCGAAGTGCGATTGCGCGGTTATCCCTTGCCGTATAATCCTGACTTGACCGTTGTCTATCCCTTCCGGTTTGATCGTCTCTGTCACCGCACGTTTCAACCGGATATCGTGTACCTAGCCAGCCCTGCCTCAGTGGGATACCAATTCTTATGGCAGATCCGCCAATTGCAGAAACCGCCTGTGGTTGTGCTCAACTATCAGACCGACCTTGCGGCATATTCTTCCATTCTGCTTCCGGGTGCAATGGGGCGCTTCGGCACGTGGTTGGTGAACCGGGTGCAAGGATTTCTCTTCAACCATCCTTCTGTCGATACAATTTTCTATCCCTGCTCAGACGTTCGATCCTATCTTGAAGAGGCCGGCGCGCCTTCGAATCGTCTAGTTCAACTCGGGCGAGGGGTAGATACGGTTTTATTTAATCCAAAGCATCGTGATGATGCGTATCGCCGGCAGCTCGCTCCAAACGGCGAAATCATTCTGGCGTATACGTGCCGCTTAGCTCCCGAGAAAGGCTTCGAGTTTCTGGCTGATGCAGCCATTCAATTTGCAAAGGAGGGTCTTCACTATAAGCTGCTGATCGTGGGCGGAAACAGAAATCCAGCTGTCGAAGCTGATGTACGCAAGCTTTTTGAACCTGTTCGAGACCATGTCATCTTTACGGGTTTCCTGGGTGGCGAGAACCTTGCGCGAGCCTACGCGGCGGCTGATGTCTTTTTACACTGCTCTATTACCGAAACCTTTGGGTTGGTCGTACTGGAATCGATGGCAAGTGGGGTTCCAGTGGTTGCGCGCAACCAAGGAGGGCCGTCAGATATCGTTAAACACGGAAAGACCGGATATCTAGTCGCGCCTGACGATCTCGATGAATTCGTCCGATTGACCCTGCAACTTGCTCGAGACTCTGAGCTCCGTAAAAACCTTGCTATCAATACTCGAGCTTTTGCGGACGAAACTACGTGGGAGAAAATCAACCGTCGGGTAGCCTGGCACCTTGTGGAAGGGTTAGAAAATCACAACCGACGTTTAGAGTTGAAGAGGGCACAGCGTCCCATCCGCAACTGGATTAGCACTCAGTATTCACAGTTCGAAACCGATGTATTGTGGCCTCTGATTGAGCAGGTGCGAGTAAATGCCGCCATTGCTTTTGTGTTTTTCATGTGGATGATTGCGGTGATTCCGTTGATTTTGCATGGGAGTCGGATGTTCAATTTCCTACAGACTATACCCCTTTTGTTTCAGCAGGCGCAGAGCAGTCGTTTATTGCAGTGATTCTGAACTTTGTCTTCTTTTTTTTTTTTTTTTTTTTTTTTTGAGGATTTCAGGGCAGGATTTTTATCCCATCCGTTTCTTTTCTTCCTTTTTCCTTTTTGTTAGCTCCTGGAGCGCACCATAGGCTCATCACGAGCTAGGCAGCCAGTCACGGTCGTAACTGCCTTTTCCCCATAACATTTCGTCCCAAACAAAACTCAAGAAGTTGGCTGACGGGATATACCTGGTCCTTCTACCTGATAGGCAGCATCGTGGGCTTAGCTACGCGGTTTCCCACACGGGCAACGCCGTAGGCCATATGAGCCCATTCTTTCTCTACCTAGGTCCTTCCAGTACGAGGTTCATGGCTATTAAACCCTCAATAGCTTCCTTCAATCATTGGTCGACCATGGGCTTCAAAAAGATTCTGAAAAAAACTTGAGCGTCGATGATATATTTCCATCAGAAGCCCCGAGGCCAACTTGAACGAACGACCAAGGAACTCTACCAGAATACCAGACCATAGAAGCAGATGAATGCCGGGCATCTGCTTAAAATAATTGATTAATTGTTCCTACGGAACATGCTAGTAGGCCTAGAATCAACGCCTAATGCGGTAACAAGGCATCAGAGTAGGGTAAAAGGGGCTGTACCTAGGTTGACGGTAGCATATAAATACCAAACTTCACATTCACAATAACTCCATGATTGATTTGATTAAACGTTCCCCGGAATATTTAAATGTATCACAATGATCATAAACATAGATCGAATTGAGTATATCTCTATACCATGAGAACCCGCGTATCAAACAAAATCACAACTCGACCCGCGAGGGGACTTTTCATCCAATCAAACATAATCATCAGCCCCAGAAAAGAATGAGCCCGGCTTTCCCTTGCCCTTATGAGTTCTCTTCCCACCCTTGAAATGCTTCTTCGAAGAAGCCAAACGCCCAACTTCGGACGGGTCTATATTTTTTTCTAGTGCAATCATCATCTTCTCCTTGCGCCCCGTAAGCTGTTTCGCTTTTCCTTGCTCCGAGTACTTGTGATTAAATGGCATTGCCATGTAGTGTCCAGCACCGGTTGAGCCAGGTCCGAAAAACCCCTTGTCGAGACCGCGAGATCGATTGCCCGTTTCTTCTACGAATTTGGCTGACGATGGGGCAAGGGAGGAGAGTCCTGTTGCGGCGGAGAATTCGGAGGCATTGTCGTCGAGATTGTCGAGTCCTTCGCCAGTAGCAGCTGCTGCCTTGAGTAATTGTGCGCGTCTTTTCTCTGGTAGATGTGCGAGATTGTACAAATCGCGGTTGAACTCGGCAGGGTCAACAACTGGGCTGCCTGCGCTGTCTTCGTCGTTTGCATTCGAAGATGCTGGGGGTGGGTGGCAGTAGAGTAGTTTTCCATTGACATAGTCCTTAAGGACATAACGTGCAGCTCGAGACTCATCAGGCTGACCTTGACCAGTGGTTGCGAAACCACGAGCTCTAGCATAGGCACGAAGAAGGTCATTTGCCGTTGGTATTCCAGTGCCGCCTTCCTCGAGAGGTCGGGTGTGAATTTTCATGCCATACACAGCCTCTAGAAAATGTTTTGGAATGCGCTGTGCCACCAAACCCGCAGGACCTGTGAACTCGCGCAATTGATCAATGGGAAGCACACCATTCACGACGAGCTCGGCTTTAGTGCTGGCAAAATTTGGAAATACTAAACCAGGGCAATCACACAGTAGAAGGTTGGGCGATAGATAGAGGGTCTGGAAGTGCTTCGTTTTACCGGGGGTCGCTGAGACAGACACCTTCTTGGATCCAAGTAATGCGTTGATCGTGCTTGACTTTCCGACATTAGGATACCCGACAAGGCCGATGATTGTCTTGTCCTTTTGTGGCTTATCAGAATCCTCACTCTGTCCGCTAGGCTGAGGCGCATTTGCAAGGAATAATTCCTCTAATTCATCAACGTCTAAAATCCTGGTTCTCAGATCGCTAGGAGTTGTTGTCGACTGCAAGTCTTTCCGTGCTTCTTTATCCAAATCTTCTTCGCTGGACCATTCCTCATCAGCGAGTTTCTTATCTTGGATATCCATTTTTCGCTGAGTCTCCTCCGCCAAATCATTATCTTCGTCACTTGAAACTTCCTCACCATCCTCCAATAGACGTGCCTCATTCCGCTCTTTAGCTAGATGAGCCGAAAAGAAACGGTAGCTAATGCCGTGCTCCTCAAAGTAATCGGCCCACAACTCTCGCTGTTCTAGTGTCATCATATCCGCCTTATTGACTAGCAGAAGATTTCGCTTTTTAGCATCGACCTCCTTCACGTACGTCTCTAAATCTTCTGAGCGAAAGAGTAATGGGTTCCTTGCGTCAACGATTTGCACAACTAGGTCCGAGCGCTCAATAACACGCCATAGCTGTCTCCAAACCTCCAGATTCCTTTCAAACGGAGTCATTAAGAGGTCATTATTCTCTTGCAATTCGGCGAGTCCTCTTCTCCATTCAAGCAGCGACTCTCTCTCCATTGTATCCAATTTCTCAGCTGTTGTACGTTCATCCCACTTCGGCCGTCTTGGGATAGTCAACCGTTCTTTATTCTTCTGCTGTTTCTTCACAGCAAATCGCTCCTCTGCTGCCGATAGAAGGAAGGGGTTCTTTTGATCGGTATGTATAATCTTAACATTATTAATCTTCTCCGCTGTGAAATCGGTATCTGCTAATTCGGCCGTGCTTAGGAACTCGTCGAGCGCTGCTTGCTCGGTAATACTTCGCATTTTCACCCATGATGCTTCCTTGGCCGCGTTTGTGATATATGTCTCGCCGCTTTGGTTCTTTCGTGCAATGGCGGCATTGTGCGATACTTTCTTCTGTGATGATGCTTTGCCTTTGCCGAATCGATCATTCATGAGACTATTGCCCAGTCCCACGGAGTTTTTGGACTTTGCGAGCACCATGGTGACGGTCTCACGGTAGTTGGCTTATTATCTTGGTCAAATCTTTGTAAAACGTAGAAATAACAATCATAAAAGAGAATTTGTAGGGGCCACTACACCAGGCATAAAAAAAATGTGGCGTTGAATTTCTAATACGAAATTTCCAAGATTCCCCGCTTCGCTTTGGATAAGATAGCCTGATTAGTCACCCGCTATTTCGCCTAATTCAGACAATCGATAAGATAAGGCGCACGTGATTGATACCAGATTTCTGCCCACTTTTATCTAAAAAAAAGAGTGAGGGACATGAGGGTCCTCAATTCTTGAGTAGCACGGATATATTTAACGCAGATTGCGTTTGAATAATTTTTTATTACTCTGCCTAGTTACTTGACCAAGACAAAAACTTTCACGATGCCTCCCCCACGGCAGTGGATGTAAGTTTTCAATTCAAGTCTAACCACGATGTCGCGGTCTTTTTTCGGCTGACCGAAATCGATTACAGCAACAAAAAAAATGCGACGACATACCAGCTCTTTCATAGATCCCAACAAGACCCTTTAATACATGACCCCAATGCAGAGGATAGGGTTCTACATCAGGTCTCTGGACCAAAGCAAGGGCCAGCGCTGTCGACCACTGCTTCCTCGGCGTCTCATAAAACATCCCGAAACTTAGGGGAATTAGAGAGCGAATTCACTGCAGCAAACGTTCGAAAAAATGAAGGCGAGGCTGCTAACTACGGCATTTACTACGATGACTCCAAATATGACTACATGCAACATCTACGAGAGCTAGGCACTGGTGGTGGAAACTCATATTTTGTCGAGGCTGCCACAAGTAAAGGAAAGGGAAAGGGAAAAACAGTTAAACTCGAAGATGCGTTGCGAGATGTTTCTATTGATGATTCCCACAGCGAAGTGGGAGGGGCTGCTGCAAGCGTTTATGGTTCTGAATATACCCGTTCGACGGCATCATCTTACATAAAAAAGCCGACGTACCAGGACCAACAGAATGTGCCAGATGCAATTGCCGGGTTTCAGCCAAACATGGACCCCCGTCTTCGAGAGGCGTTGGAGGCTCTTGATGATGAAGCTTTCGTGGATGATGAAGATGATCAGGACATATTTGGTGAACTTACGCGCAATGCCGAAGAGGTGGCTCCTGAAGAATTTGAAGATACATTATTCGACCAAGAAGATGATGATGGCTGGGAGTCGGATGTCACGGAAAAGGCCTTTCCTCAATCTACAGAGGCAAAGAAAGCAGATCGCGAAGAACATGTTGCTCAAGAACATGATCCGTCTGAAATGCCAGATCACAATAAGCCAGTTCCTGACATAGCACCAGAAAACTCTGATTGGATGCGCGAGTTCTCAAAGTTCAAGAAGGACGCTAAGGCCTCGAATACCCCAGCTGCGAAACCCGAGGGCGATGGAGCCACTGAAAGACACACAACCGCGTCCACGATGTTTACAGCTGGAGGCACTCCAATCCGTAGAAAGAAGCGCAAGGGAGCAATGACAAATCCCTCTGCATATTCTATGACATCATCTTCACTTGCGAGAACGGAGGGACTACGACTGTTGGACGACCGGTTCGAGAAAGTCGAAGCTCTTTATGCTCTTGACGAAGAAGGTGAATACGACGACGCCAGCTTTGCTGATGGCGCTTCTATGGTCAGTGGCATGACAGGGATGACCGGAATGACTGGCATGTCTGCCGCGTCCTCCCAAGCGCCCAGTCTAGTTTCGAGAGGAGATTACGGTGACGTTCCTCTACGGAGTGATTTTGATAACGTCATGGACGATTTCTTGTCTGGCTGGCAAGATCGAAGCAAGCAAGCGAAGCGTAAGGGTGCCAAAGCCAAGAGAGGCAAAAATGGCAATGAGGCTTTGGGTATTGCAATGCTGGATGAAGTCAGGCAGGGTTTGGGACCTGCTCGTTTGTCTGCTCGCGGAAAAGTATAGTCCTGGGCAAAAGCGTACATATAGTTAAATAGGTAAATTGACGATTAATGCATTATTCGTTTGTTTCTTCCAACTGCCCAGGTGATTGTCGACCCATATCCATATCCATCTTTTAGATTTATTAAGTATCTATATTCCTATAATACATGGCTTCATCTATAAGAAATGAATTACAATGCGCCACCAACTTTCTCCACGATCCACATCGCGAGTCGCACGTTCCATCCAACTCTGCGTTCTGTCCGGCGAAGGTCCTCTCTCGAAACAGGTTTTGAATTCTCCTGCAGCCATTCTGTCTCCTCATGCAAACGCTGTTTCAACTTGTCATCAGATGTGACAACCAGAGCTCCAACTTCTAGGTCAAGACCATAGCTTCGTTTAGTGTAGTTACTGCTTCCAACGAAAGTCAAACTTGGATATTTGTCATTTGGTAATGTGATCCAGAGACCCTTGGCATGATAAGTCCAGCCACCTGGTTCACCAACAGTACCCCGGCGCCACTCTCTGAGTTGAATCGAATTTGTCCGCTGGGCCTCGGCGACACGATCCAGAAACCGTGCCGATAGATGTGTGTATGCAGCTGGTAGCATACCAGATATTCCCGGTGAGCCATAGAAACCATTAGCCCATGGTGATGCAGTGAGGACGGTGCCTTGTGTTTTGGTTGCAGGTTGCTCTGTCGTGGGTATATAAGAGGTGCTCTCTATAAGTAAAGACGAAAGTGTGGGGTGGATGTTAAAGTAGCCAGCAGTAAAAAGCCAATGCGAATTTCTGAACATTGGAGAGCTCGTAAGCAAACGAAGAATGCTCGTGACAGCGGGGAATTCGGTAGATGTATCAGGCTTCAGCAGTGGAGTCAGCTGCGCCACGGGATATACAAGAGTCTTCTCTGATGTAGGTACAAGTGCGGCTTTTTCTTGAGATCTTGGCTGAATCAATGAGTGTAAAGCCGAAGAGGACTGGGATATAAACCCTTCCGGGTCGTCTAGAGGCGAATGCGCACTATTTGAGGAAGGCCACACCAATTCATAGCCAGCAATATTCTCAGCATTCGGGAGAACCTGAAAACTCAGGTGACAAATTGCATCATGAATTTTGCCATAGTAATCAGTTAGCTCTTTGGAGTTGAAGACATGGTATCGGTCAACACGATTTGTGAAATAGTCCTCTGATAGATTTGCTCTGGATAGTAATACCACAGTCAGCATTAACATTCAGTAAGACCAAGGCTCCTAAAGGCTCAAGTACGAACCCGGACAAAATGATCTCATCATCAATACCATATAATTTCATATGCTGAAGCCCCCATCCCTCATTTATACGACGCGGAACATACTTCTTTCGCAAGCCGGTCAAATTTGGTGTATGAAACATGCGGATTTCCACTCTATCTGAGCCATGTTCCTCAACCAAGCGTGCAAGGAGCGAAGCGGATGAAGGATTCGGGGTTTCTCGAGTGCCTCGCAAGCAATCGGTAAGAATTGAAACATGAAGGTTCGGGTTATCACGCAATGCTTGGTTCACGGTGTCAACTAGCTCGTGTTCTGTCTTGCCAATATACAAAGTTGAAAGGTATATTCGTCTTCGTGCATTTCTGATTTTGTGCTGGTTTAAGCATAGTTAGTCAAGAGCTGCCCTTCTTCGCACAAACGGCATCAACCAACCTTGAGCGTTTCATAAAAAGAGCTGGGTGAATCAAGGATCGTAATTTTCGATGATGGTACCTCAAATCGAGGGGCAATTCGATCTAGCTCAGTTGTAAGCCCTCCTAAAGGAGACGCAGTAGAAGTTGCAGGCGCGTTTGGGCTGTTGTAGACAGAAAACTTGCGGACAGCGACCTGTCTCCGAATCGCACTTCTCCTGCAAGTACAACGCACAGCGTGTTCACCAACACGTTTAAACATCCTATAGACAATTCTTTCTTTTTTTTCTTTTCTTTTTTTTTCAATTGACCATAAATTTATCCAAGCGCGGCGCGAGAACAAGAAGAGAGAGGGCAATGCAAACATTCCAAACATCGAGCAACGCTATACCCGAAACTGCCGCCCGCGAGCCGCCCGCGAGCCGGCATCGACGACATCGTTCGACTTCACTCCGCTTGGTCTTCTTTCCTCATATCAGACGCAATAGTCGCTATCTTCCAAAATGTCGACGCTTACTCGTACATTCAGGAACCTCTGGAGGATTGGCCTCAAGGTAATGTTCCAAAGCTCGCCACGTCGCCTGCAGCCATCGTGCTAACATGATCCTTCCTTTTAGGACTACGGCCACCAAATGCAGGTACGTACAACAGCATATGCGATTGCAGCAGTCTCCCGCGAGGAATCTTTTAGCTCATATTTGTCGCATGGCATATAGTACATTGGTCAGTATCTCTACAGTTTCGACATGTCGCATGCCTATTTATTGACAATCAATTGCAGGTGACACCAAAGCCGGAACCTTGATCGCAACCGACCGTTTCGGAAACAAATATTACGAAAACCTTGAGGAGGAGCTTCCGCGTGAGTCGTGATCGATTGAGAATAGTGGGAAGATAATATTCTGACAACTTCCTTGTTTTCCCTTTCGCACAGTTCGTACTCGATGGGTCGATTACAAAGAGAAGGAATTTGATCCATCTCACATAGAGCCTGGCTGGTAAATATATCTTGTTCCATAAGATACCCCAAGGTACCTGTGACGATAGAAATTGACTTTTGAGAAATAGGCATGCATGGATATCTTACATGGTTGATGCTCCCCCAACAACCGACAAACTTTTGCAGACCGGTGTACGCACGTGGGAATTGCCAGAACACCGTGCAAACGTGACCTTGTCTCGCGGGGCTTTCAAAACATACTCGACGTGAGTTTGTTAGTTGCAATTGATGGCTGAATATAGACTAACATATCTCTATAAAGCGTACGCCCTAAGTACTCTGCTTGGCAGCCAGTTGCTGCTTCCCGATAGATTTACACAAATTCAATGACACACCTATTTTTATGTTCGCTTAGTATTCTTGATATACAAAGGACTTTGTTGCTGCTGTAAATAACTCGTTATGTGCCCGTGGGCGATGTATGCAATTCCGTTCACCAAATTCAAAGTTTTGATTGATATACAAGTGCAAAAGGCATTTCTATATTGCTTGAAAATTACTGAAATATGTTTTGTATATACAAATGCTGTCCTTTTAGAGAACATACCCCCCGGCTCCCAAATTCCACCAATGTCTAATGGGTTTTTCGTCCTCGAGTTCAATGCACCACCACAAAATTTCCTTGGCCTTTTCTATCTGTGAGCCTGCCTCATGCGCTCGGGCTAAGGTGAACCACGCTTCTGAATTGTCCCAAGCCGATCCAGTTTTCGTCAACATGGAGAGAAGGCCATAGGCACGATCTCGAGCAGCTTGTCGACTTAAATATCCCGGCTTATCGTCATTGATGGGCGCGTTGGCGGACTTCTTGGTTTCCACAGCAGAAACCGGTGATGTATTCGTATTAGAGTTAGCTGGCGCAGATTCTGGAAACGTCTCTGAATCGTTGATATGTGAGTGGGTTTTATGCTCGAAGCACGATGACTTGACAAAATCAGTGTCCAGTTGAGGCCTCAGTGGCTCCAGTGGGATCTTTTCTTCCCAAAAATCCAGAAGCAAATTCGATAAACCAATTGTCGCTTTAGGGTGGTCAGGATAGCGGGCAATGGCTTCTTCGTAGTATTGCATGGCTTCTTGGAACATAGACTGCGCCTCTGACAGTGCTCCCTTCTCTGCATAGACATCACCCCACAACTCCTCTACACTTTTAGCTACACCCCATACACGCTGGTCGAAAGCACGGGCTGAAGACTCCTGCGCGGCTACAAGAGCTTCAAAGGCGTTAGCCTGTTTAGACGCTTCTTCACAAGCTTCACGAGCGTCTTCAAAGAGAGAAGCTCGACGATACAAGCCCGATATGAGAAGCCATACTTTCACTAGCACGGAGAGGGCGTGCTTTTGAGTCTGGAGAGTAGGAAATACCAAAAGAGCGTTTGTAGGTGAATCAAAACGATGAACGTTTGGCAAGCGGACATCCTGTTCCGGTGGTTGCTTGGTATGGCCGGCCGGAAGAGGTTGATGCTTGGAATTTACGTTGTGAGCGACGGAGGGTAATTGCTGCTTCGCACTTTCTTTGGGTCTTGTGGGTGGCATTGGAGATCCACTGATATTGGAAATAGCAATCCCTATCTTTTCAGGACTCTCTTGCTCATTGATAGAACCGTTTCCGGCGGAAGGCTCACCATCCGTGGCGTTGATTGGCACGGCTTGTTGGGATTTTTCTAGTTGATGTTTCTGTTGCTGGCCTTGTTGAGTTCCATTTGCGGATTCAGGTGTCACTCTGATCGTGGGGGCATCCGCAGAGGCATTAGGAAGTCCCCCATTGGGAAGGGGAGGTATTTCACCGGCATTGGACGGGACCTTTGAGCCTCGCTTTCTACCAAAAATGCTTCCACGAAAGCTTTTCACCGTTCCAGCAGAGCTTTTTGGGGGCTCAAGCTGCTGTTGGGGTTTTGAGGCTTTCTCAGTTGTGATTTCAAGTTCCAGATCTTCGAATAACGTGGCAAATAATGCGAGCAAGTTGTCACTATGGTTCACAGCAACCTCTGAGCCATCTGTAATTTCAAGAAGGGCGAGTTGTGTCATGCGGGTCTCGATAATACGCTCCTTTTCCCGGCTTTGCAGATGTTTTATCCAATCTTTCTTCGTTTGCTTTTCCCCTTCACGATTGTTGCGCCTAGCATTGTGAGCCAATGCATTGACTGACGAAGGGAGCTGATCAAATGCTGCTTCGCAAGTACGGCCTGCAATATCAAACTCTTGTTTTGCACTAAGCAATAGCGCTAACAAATGCCAAAGGGGAATCTTATCTCTCTCTTGTGACAGTGTGGTCTGGTGCGGGGCGTAGGTGACAGGTGTTGATTGTGTCCGCTCCTCTCTAGGGGTGAGAGCTAACCTCACATGGCTGATTGCACCATCTAGGTCGCGAGACTCGGCGAGGAGAAGTGCGAGGGCATATCTGGTCGAAAGATCATATTGTGACTGAAATTCTGGAGCAAGACTTCTCTCTAGATTTTCAATAGCCTCCGCTCTTATATCATTACGAATCTCGTTGATTGGGGTCCACCTTGACCAACTAGCCAAGCCAATGCCGATGGCCTTATAAGCCATAGCGACGACACGCAAAGAGACACGGGGTGCAATTTCGTTCGCAAGGGTGAGGTCGTCTGCTATATCTTTCTCGATATATTTTTCCAGTATTGGGATAAGCTCTTTGGCCTTCCGCGCTTCATTTTCGGAACCGAAGCAGCAAAGTAGAAGTACACCCTCGGACACGGTTTGTAGTAACGTCTCATCACTTTCCAAATCACCAATCTCGGCTGCTTTTTCCGCCCTATCTTTTGCACTTACGACAATTTCAACGTAAGTGTCGAGTGCTTTTATGGCAAGATCAAACTCTGCCAAAGTAGCATGCACATGAAACAAGCGCCGCAAAATCGTATGGGAGTGGTAAGTTTCTGTTGCAGCTCGGTAGAGAATCTAGCAAAAGTCAGATACGTTGCGAAAACAGGAGAAGCCGTTGACAACTTACGTCAAGAACATTCCGACTGACAGCATCTTGTCCTCCATCGAGATCATCGTTTCTCCAGCCGGGGCCACACAAGACTTCCCAGTTCTTTATTACTTCCTCGGTCCATGCCTCCACCTGAGGGTTGCTGTCACTCGCGACGGGGAACTTAGTTTCTCTCAATAAGACACTTTCACAAACGGTTTCCACCCGTCGGATCTCGTTGGCGAGCTGACGACGCGGTGTTCCTGGAGATAGCGGGAAATACGGTAGGCCGTGCCGCAATATCACAGATAACAGTTTGTAATAAGACATCCATACAGATGATTGGGGCTCAGATTGGTAAATTCCAGCCGTGTGAGTGGGTGTTTGCCCAGCTGCAATATCTCGCCGCTTGACGTGTGGGTGGCCGGACCACAATCTAAAAGCTTTCAATGCTATCTCGATTTCGAACTCGTTCTCGCTCGGTTCGTTGAAAGACATTCCCTTGCTTGCCAGCATGGCAATCTTGCAAAGGAAAAGCTCTGACCAGTACAGGGCTTGAGGACAAGAAGCCAAGGCTGAGTTGGGGATGGCAAGTCGTGGTAATATAGGATACGCCGTCTTTAGTGCCGCATTTGTGTTGGATATCATGGCTTGGGCAGCACCTATAACATCATCAGACATGGTGGCTCGAGAAAGTTCTTTCGGTTTGCATACTTTTTATATACCCTGCTTTGACTATGCACACCTCAGTCCATTTTGTAAGGCTTTTACTTTCTTCTGAGAGAGCGGTAATTGTAGAATCGTCAAGATCCTTGGGCAGACGGCCAACAGCCAACCCAGGTTCCGACAATGTCCAATGAACCCATCCCAAACAGACCTGAGCTTGAAATACGTCCTGGGGGGTTCCTTCTGCTTCTTCAATGACTGAAATGAGCTTTGGTATTAACTCGGACAGGCTTGAAACTTGGTTCGGGGCAGTCTGGCCCTTGGCTGTCGCTGGACGGCTTTTAGTGATATGCGCAATGACTTGAATTTCGGCGTTCGCGGTTTCAATAAGACCTGAATTTCAAACTGTTAGTATAGTTAGGTCGTAAGTCATTAAAGAAGAGCGTTACATTTCCGATGCGGCGCATGCTTGGTAACCTTGCGAATCAATTCAGGCACTTCGCTCCATTTGTCTTCGCTTCGAGCATTATCTAAAGCATTGACATATCCCTGCGCCTTATCCGCATCCCTATTCTAGATGGTTTGTAAGCGTAAAGCCTCGGAGCAGGTCAACTAATACCAGGGGGGATGACATAGTTCGGCATACCGAGTTCACACTCATCTTCGCATCAAAGTAGTATCACAATATCCATAACACGGGCAACACAATAAAAGTCAGCGTGATACCCCCTGCACAGGGTAACAATCAGGATATCTAGCAATCATATGCAAGGCTCGCAAGATGCGGACAAGCTGTATGCGCTTCCGAGGTTTGCAGAGCTGCGGTTGACGAACACAAATCAAAAACGGGGCAAGCGTAGTGTCTTGTGATTGGTCGATCTCCGTGCTCCGCGGGAACGACCGAGCTCCTGTCGCCCTAGACCTAAAATGGAAGTCTCGAGAAAAAAAAAAGTTCATGACCTCTTTCTCCCTTCTTGTGGCCAACAACGGATTGCGCAGGCCATTAAGCGGCGCTTGAATATACGAAGATATTTGAATTATCAATGGCTTCCTCGACGTCATTGCGCGCCATTACGCACCGCCTAACAACTACGCCGGTTGATGAGCTGCCCTATGTGGCTTCATATCTGGCTGCGTCGCTCAGTGACTGTAGCGAGTTTACTGCCAACCCTGAAACGAGAAAAAAGGCCAACGCGGACGGAAATGATGCTCTGCAGATTAACAAATTAAAGACTCGTTTGACGAGTCTGCTACAAGACCGCAGCTTTGGAGGTAGATGGACCGGAATTGTCTTGATAAAAGCCACACTGGAGGCTGGTCGGTGGGAAATACTCCGTGATTGTGCACCGTGGGTTCGAGGCTTATTGGCGATTCTTTCGGTATGGGAGATTTGATAATGTTAGGATTCTGTGGCTTTGCTGATTTCGTGTCCAGAAACAGGACCCAGTCTCTACGAAGAAACTTTCGATCATCACATTGACTCGAATTTTCCATCTGACATACCAGTACCCGACATTGGTGCGAGAGATTACAACACCAAACTTACCTGGCTTTATTACAGCGCTGCTCAACCTCGTCAATGGGAAAAGAGCTTCGGATTCCGTAAAATCTGTTAGGGAGCTACCTCTCCTGGAAACTGTTCTTTCAGCCTTCGTGGAGCTTATAGGAAGACACCCGACAATTTTTCGACCCTTCGTTAGCCAGCTGCAAAAGTTGATCCTGCCGATTATAGCATCTTCGACCGCTACTTGCCCTTTGTCTTCGAAAGCCTTTCATCTATCGCAAGAGCTCTATGTCGCATTACATCATTGTGCGCCCAAGAATACTTCAGGCGAACAATGGGCGAGCGCCTGCAAGAATACTATGACCTCCATTCATCAGGCCGCGGATCATGTCTTTCGAAGTGTGACAGAACAATGGGAGTCCTCTGATCCGAGCTATAAGCATGGAAAAATGCCGAGGGTCATGAGCGATACGCCAGAATTTACTGAATCAGATGCCTTGGGTCTCCCTTCATGGCATGGTTTACCTGCAGGAGCCGCCAGGCTGGCAGCATTACTAAACTTGTTGTCCAAGTTCATCTCGATACGCACAGCGTCAGCAATCAACATTCCACTTGGAGCTATAATTGATCTGGTATCGCGCTTGACATCAGTTACTGTTCCAAAAGCGAATGAAGATGTCGTTCAATCTAATTCAGAATTCAGTCGTGAAGAAAGGAATGGTTTATATATGGAACTGCCTATGATTCATACTGCATGCATTGATGTCTTTCGTGCAATTGTAAGCACATTACAGACGGGGGTGACACCCCTTCTCCATACTATATTCGAACAGACTCTTTGGGTTCTGGAGGCAGAGAACTTCAACAATGGCCTTCGGGAATCTTCGTACCTACTTATGAGCGAACTTTTGCCTTTGGTAGGACGATCATTTGCCAAAGCCAACGTATTCTCGATGAGCGCTCTCATCCAGCAATGTTGTCGTGACCTCGTACCGGGTGATAGCAATCGCGCAACTCAAGAGAAACAAACTACTTCGAAAGGCAACTCCAAGAACACGCAAGTCAATATGAATGTGGATGCCCTTCTCAATCCAACGCTCAAAGAATCAAATTCCATTAAAGAAAGCATATCTGAGAGACAGAACTTGGCAGCGATGACCTTGCTCCCTTTGCTTTACAATTATCTGCCTACTGAATATTTACCATTGCCGGTCCGGACAGAAATGGAACGGGCTGCAATATTGACAGCCAACCGATCAGCTATGGTTGCAAGTGTCATGAATCCAATGCCTCCTATCAAAGGACGTAGACCAATTCCAAGCATTCTGCCGTTCCTCACGAGGAGGTATGCCGAACACTTGGAGGTTGAATGCTTAGTTCGTCCTCGAATGCCAGTTCTTCTTGGAAACAGCAGTGAACATTTCGATGCTGAAGATTACGAAGAAAATGAAGATCTTGCGCAGGCTGAAGTAGTGGTTGCTCCTAGCGCTGGCATCCAAGATCTATCTTCAAATATGGCAAACCGCATCCAACCCAAGGACATGTTCATCGCTCCACCAGCAACAACACAAAACAAGAGGATACTAACAACGGAATCCGAGGCTGACGACCAAATGGGATCAAATTCCTCCCAGAAAGATTCAGAGCAGTCACTTCCCCAGGCCAAAAAGGCTCGTTTGGGGAACAATGACGTTGTCCCTGCGGTGTCCGCATCTGTGCCTGTAACACTTTCAGAGGTGTCAGCTTCACCTGCTGCTGTACCACAAGCTGCATCATCAACGCCATTCATCTCTTCGGTTAAAGAGTCTGAAGTGTCTGGCTTGAACTCTGTTGCAGTCACCCAATCTTCAGGCGCACTGAATTTTACTAGCTCGGGTACTGCAAACAATGTCGATGATAGTGATGATGAGATGCCAACATTGAATATCGAGCCTGATACCGACGATGATGATGACGACGAGTGAGACGATGTTAAACGTCTCCTTGGCTGGAATCGGAAAATTCTTGTATATATGTACACCGATTATGAACAATTTCATAGCCGCTCATGATGCATACATACGTACTTATATATTCAAAATTGCAAAAACCATTGGCAGCAAATAGTTTTCTCCAATGATTCAGTATATTTATGTAAATCGTATCCCGCTGTGCCACCAGGTATCACCGGACCACCGCTCAAACCACGATCCTCTCCAACAGAACCACCGATCTTCTTCAACGCCCAATCTCAAACCCCCACGCAGTGGACTGATAGGCAGAGGCTCAAACATCCATATACCCGATCGCGAGAAATCGTCCGCAATCAAGGGGCCAGTGAAATAAAACCACGAAATAACAAGACCCAGATTCGTGGTCCTGATAAGCCATCGAGGAGGAGGTGACGAAGAAATTAACGGCATTACTTTCGGAATCACAGTTATTTCGAAGAAACTCTGTATTAGCACTCCTAGCCCCTGGATGAAAAAGAATAGGAAGGCATTCCAGGGCCGAGAATCTGCAAAGGTAGTATAGCTGCCCATGGCGTGCACTAGTCCACTTAGCGAGAATGCGAGCATGACCTGAAGTATGCGTCGAGCGGACTTGTAGAATGACGTGTGATTTTTGTCGTTATCGTCGTTGTTGTTATTGTCTCCCTGCTTTTGATTACATGGCAGCAATAGCAAGTCCGATATAAACCGGCTGCATTCTGAAAACCCGAACCGAAACAACTGGTGCCACCATGTATTCCATGTACCAATTAACCCGTGATCCAGCACAGCAGCAGCGGATCCAAATGACTCAGGGTACAACCACGCTTCATCGAGAGGCTGGTGGGTGATACTCCTTGAAAAACTGGGGAAAGCAAGAGAGAGCCCCAAGAAGAAAATCGGATTCAGCGACGTAATGATATCAAGTGCGAAGAGAACAGCTGCCAGACTAGCTGTAAGTCGATATGCGCGGACCAGGGCTGGTGAAAAGGCCAGGATGCTAAAGGGCCATGGCGGTGGTAATGGGTTGTCTACAAAGCCCCAGAAATATGGATCACGCATCAACAAGAGTTTGAGGAAGTCCAAAGCTATATAATCTCGCAAGAAGGCACGAAATGCATACTGCAGTCTCACAGAGGGCTTGCAGTCTGTTAATCTCGTTCCCCTTTGCTTTGAAGACCGTGCCTGGTCTTCTGTGTCTCTGATCACGGCTTCTGGTAAAGGTGGCAATGACCTTAGGCGCCAGTTCCAATTGGGACCTCTGAAGTTGAAAATGAGATCGCAAACCCAATCAACACGATGGGACAATTGCTGCGGATAGGGCTGCCATCGATAGACTTTTAGCACTACTTGTCCAGAATGACTAGGTGTCCTACATTGATTGACTGCCTCTGGCGGGTCACTCTGCTTAGACACGTCATTTTCACGAGTATTCTTTGTTACCTCCTCGGGTTCCTTCTCGATCCTCTTGAAATCCCTTTGAACATTATTGGCAATAAGCATCGTAGAACTCCATATATAAAACCATGTCGTTATTAGACCGACAGCGTAGCCATTTGCAGGACCAAGGAACCTAACCTCGCGGATTGTATACAGACTGAGGACTGTAATTATGGCATGGAACCCGTAGCGCAGAAGCCGCGAATGGTAAAAGTTTCTGTGGCGAATGACAAGCGGTATGATCAAGAGAGCAAAGGTTGCGAAGACGTGCTGTAGGAGTAAAGGCGAGAAGGCGCCCGTGCGGAATAGTCCGTTGAACTCCTTTTCTCGCTCGCTAATCAGATGGAAGTGAGTATCATAGCGTGAGCTTGTCATCACTCGAGATTGCATGCTAGAATTTATCTGCAATAATTAGCAAGCAGGTAAGCAAATCTCGGCTTCTGGAAGGACTCACTGATCTTGTGAAGGGTTCTCATCGGCTCCCCAAATAACTACCGAGTGCTTTAACGCTTGAAACAAAGCAGAAGTATCGAAGCCTCTCGATCGGGCCATCTAGAACAAGAAAAGTCGCCGTACAATGCAATGATGCAGCTAGCTTACCGAGCTGTCGGGATGCACATCTGCTCAGGCACTCAGTATTAGAAGGAAACATTCCCGACTCCTTACGGAGTTTGGAGACGGAAGATGTTGCTCCTGCAAGATGACGTCATTTTCGAGTGCCAAAAGAAAGTCGGGTCGTCACCGCCTCGGAAGTCTTCAAGTTCTCCGTCCTGACGTATCATATTCATTCGGAGTGCATATTATGGTAGAGTCAGGCACAACTTAACCTGATGCATCGTCGGTTTGTTTACGCAAAACGCGTCAAGTGGGGCAGCAGAATAGATTCAAATTCAAAAGAATAGGGGCAAAACTACGTGCGTACTAGCTTGACAGTGTAATGAAATTACAGGTACGATGGATATACTCTATGCAGTCTAATATATATGGAGAGTTTCGTAAAAGTCGGACAGGAAAGAGCAGGACTCAGGCTCATCTCGATATTGCGTTGGCATGTGCTTCCAGGCGCTGCCCTGAGGGCATCCGGATGCAGCTTCGCATATCTGGTTGGGAGAATGATAGTGTCATCATCGTCCTGAAGAAAAAAAAAAAAGAACAAGGAGGGACCTAAACCTAATCTACATAGAGAGAGCTTGTTGTATCAAGGAGGAAAGAATAATGCAAGTCGCTTTTATACCGCTAAGCCTCGCTGGAGCCTACAAGGTTGCTCTAGGCAGACAATCGTCCTCGAGAAGGGAGAGCTTAGGTTTCGTAGCGAAGCCAATGCAGTGAAGTGTGTTCATTATTTTTCTGTTTCTGCCACATTCTTAGGGATCAAAATCATGTATATTTCGAAAGCTTTACAATACCGCTTTCCCCAAAGTGGTTAGAAGCTCTTCTCCACTCAATAATGTTCAGTAACTTACGTATCTTACTATTTGCGTACTAAGCACTTATCGATAACGTTTCCTCGCAAATCCCCCCTCTCATTTCCAAAATCCGGTGATATTTTTACCTGTTTGAAGGATTGGACGTTCTTCTGGTTAGCGACTCTAAGCTGGCTGGCCAAGATGGTTGGCCGCAGCAACAAACGTCGCGTTGATGTGGTCGATCTGACACAAAATGACCAAGAGAACGCGTCTCGCCCGTCTAAGCTTATGCGCAATGATCGAATGAACGCTGCGCTGGCGAATGTGAGCAATGGCCAGCGTTTTGGGGAATCCACAGCGTATATTTCATTCAGTCAACGCGACGATGACGAGACTGGTGTCGATGACCTGGTTCAGTCGAGTCAAAGTGTCAGTGATTTAGATATCAGCGCGTTTCAAATCTACGGTATTTGGCAGCTTCTACTTCATAGTCAATGTCAAAGAGCGTCTAGTTGACAATAGCTAGGCTGTATAAATACTAGGATCGTGGGAGTGCGTTTTTATAGTGGCTATGCTAGCGCTGGTGAACGTGTCTTTCTTAGGAGAGAGCCCACCAACAAATACGACCCAAACGCTATTAAGGTAGAAAATGTCATGGGTGCTCAGATAGGCCACATTCCCCGAAATGTGGCTGCTGACTTGGCAAAATACATGGTAGAGTCAAGATATCTGAAGGAGTTGGGCGGCTAGCCACTAACGATATCCAGGATGATAAAAGTCTGGTGATGGAAGGAATGCTTACGGGCTCAATCGGGGCCTATGACTGCCCCATTGCCATCACTCTTTTTGGCCCTACAAATCCTGTCCTAAGAGATCGAACAAAGAACCGCATGCTAGCCGATCGACTACCCATCACTGAACTCATTCGAACCGAGCAAGACAAGGCCAGAAATGAATGGCAACGCAAACGAGCACTTCAAGAAGCCGAGAATAAGAAGCGAGTTTCTATGAACGGCCAGAGCAGTGGCTTGTATCCTAATCTTAGCACCCCTAAAGGAATAGTCGACCCTACGAATTTAGAGGACCTTCTTCAACAGAGCAGTTCTATCAATATCAACAGAATGAGTCAGGCGGTAGAGAAGTTCGGTATCACAGAGTCTGACCTAGCCAATATGCCAATGGCTGAGATACCAATCGCTATGAACACCCAGCTTCTTTCGTACCAGCGGCAAGGGCTGGCATGGATGCTTGAAAAAGAGTCTCCCAAACTGCCTGAGGCTGGGGCTGACCACAACGTGCAATTGTGGAAAAAAGAAGGCGGTAGGTATAGAAATCTTGCTACAAACTATGCTACGAGTCAACCTCCACCTCTTGCAAGTGGTGGTATACTTGCAGATGACATGGGCCTTGGCAAGACAATACAATTTATCTCCTTGATAATGGCCAATTCGAAAGCCAACGATAATGGGATTTCTGCGCCGACTCTCATAATCAGCCCTGTCGGTGTCATGAGTAACTGGAAGCAGCAGATCGAAGCACATGTGAAGCCAGAGTATCTGCCAAAAATCCACATTTATCATGGCACAGTAAAGAAGGAAACCTCAAAAAATCTGAGTCAGTTTGGGGTAGTCATCACTACTTACGGGACAGTAATCTCAGAGTATGACCCCAATAAAAAGGCAGCCAAAACCACTCGGAATGGTCTCTACTCCATTCAGTGGCGTCGTGTAGTCCTCGACGAGGGACACACAATCCGAAACCCGCACACGAAGGGTGCCCTCGCAGCCTGTCATTTCAAAGCCAACTCTCGCTGGACATTGACTGGTACTCCTATTATCAATTCGCTCAAAGACCTTTACTCACAGATCCGGTTCCTCCGACTTTCAGGCGGCTTGGAAGAATTATCTATGTTCAATGCTGTCCTTATTCGTCCACTAAGCTCTGGAAATCCTGCTGGTGCCACCCTTTTGCAGGCTTTGATGAAAGCAATTTGCTTAAGACGTCGTAAGGACATGTCTTTCGTCAATCTGCGCCTGCCGCCTATGAAGATGCATGTCTTGCGCGTTAAATTTCATCCCCACGAGCAGGAAAAATATGATATGTTCAGGTATGTTCTTTCTCGCTATCAACCTCAATGCTCATTCCGAACAGAATGCCAATGAAATATACAGTGCCGAAGCCCAAGGCACGTTTGATAAGTATCGTTCTAGTGGGCCAAACGGCCGCACGACATACTCGCATGTCCTTGAAGTTCTCCTACGGATGCGCCAGGTGTGCAACCATTGGGCTCTTTGCAAGAACCGTGTGGACAAATTGATGGCTATGCTTGAGAAGGACAAGGTCGTTGAGTTGACACCGGAGAATATCAAGGCTCTCCAGGATATGCTCCAAGTCCAAATTGAAAGCCAAGAGACTTGCGCCATCTGTCTTGACTCCTTAAGCGAACCCGTCATCACAGCCTGCGCGCATGCCTTTGACAAAGCTTGCATTACGCAAGTCATTGAGAGACAGCATAAGTGCCCCTTGTGCCGAGCTGAAATCAAGGAGGCCAACTCTCTTGTTTCACCTGCAACAGAATTGGGCGAGGATGCCGGGGCAGTCGAGGTGGATGCTAGTGCACCAAGCAGTAAGATCGAAGCTCTGGTCAAGATTCTGGCTGCTAAAGGGCAAACGAAAGGAACAAAGACGGTAGTTTTTAGCCAGTGGACTTCCTTCCTTGACGTCGTCGAGCCACACCTGACTCAGAACGGCATACGCTTCACACGTATCGACGGCAAACTAAACTCCAATAACCGGGACCAGGCTATCGCCGAATTCACCACCGACCCCAGCTGCACAGTCTTGCTAGCAAGTCTGAATGTGTGCAGCGTCGGTCTGAATCTGGTTGCTGCAAACCAGGTGGTTCTGTGTGACAGCTGGTGGGCCCCAGCAATCGAAGACCAAGCTATTGACCGTGTCTATCGACTTGGCCAAACCCGTGAGACTACAGTCTGGCGCTTGGTTATGGATGGTTCGGTTGAGGATCAGGTACTGGAGATTCAAGAGAACAAGCGTGCTCTATCGTCGACAGCACTCAGCGAGGCAGGTCACAAGAAAGGCGAAAGCACGAACTCGAGGCTGGCAGACCTGGAAAAGCTGCTCCGCAAGAAAGACTCTTAGATGGTTGACATAGGATTGCTCAGCATGGCTTATACTACCGGGGTCTATTTCATTGTATCATACTTGACACTCTTTTTTTAGATTTCTGTACTTACACCCTTCCCGTTCTTTGTATTTCCTTTCGGGTTTTTCTTTTATTTTTCTTTTTCTTCTTCCTCCTCTTCAATTCCATATCTTTCTAGTTTGAGTTTTGGATGCTTTCTTGGGCGTCGAAGACGATCTTGACTTCATTTCGGGCGATAGAAACCAATTTCAACTGAAAAAGATCCAAATAATACTTATTCGATTGTCCATATGAAGTAGATTGACTGAGAAAATGTTCAATGCCTCTATATAAAGGAGCTTCTTTTCACTTGCAATTTACTTCGCAACAATAGAAACAACATCTTCATCGGCCACCATATGCCCTAATCCCACGCGCTGTGGCACGTGTCGAGCGCTTGCTCCCCATACAAGAGCGTACTTGAATGTGTCTTTAAGGGTACGGTGCACAGCATCACATACGTCTTCTATACTCGAGTTGCTGCGCACGATAAGTGCCTCGTTGAAATCAGGTTCGACGCCCTTTCTGTTGGTAACAAAGATACAGAGTTAGATTTCCCAAGAACTTTATTCTTCTAAAGCTTGAAGGGAAAGAGGGAACGAATTGCTTACCGTTTGGTATAGATTCGCATTAATCGAAGTTCTTTCCATACCCTTTCAACGACGTCTTGTACACCTAAATCGAGCTCACAACTCATGACCGCCGTGTTGGGCTCACGAGCGAGCTTGTCCAAGAAATCGAGACTGACACTATCGATCTTATTGTATACATATAGACTAGTTTGATATGCTAGTTAGCATAAGTCTTTCGCTATTTTCAATCACGTAAAAAAAAAGGATTCTGACCATCGGATGTATGTTCTATGATCCTTCATGATCACATCGATTAAATCGTCAACAGTCGCTGCAAAAAAAAAGTTAGAAATAGTCCATTCACCTGTTGTGCGGTTGCTTCTAGTCACATACCGTACTCATCCCGCACCAAAACTTCACAATTAAGCATCTTGTAGTCTCTCAGGATATTATAGACCATCTTCTCATCCAGGTTCTTCGGGGGGTTCTGGAATGAGATTTTCATGCCGCCCGTCTTCTTCGCTTTCAGGTAAATGTTCCTGTGGTGCTACAAGGTCAGTGAACATGACATTAAAGAATTTCGCAACAACAAAACACATTCGACTCACGGCGGCTCGCGATTAAGTCTGATTCCCACAGCTTCCAATTCCGCCTCCAACAAAGCTCGTTGCTCGGCCCGTTTGGTAGCATCAAGGACCATGAGAATAAGATCACTCGTCTTAGCTGCAGATATGACCTGACGACCTCTACCTTTACCCTCCGCGGCACCTTCGATGATACCAGGCAAATCCAGGATCTGAATTTCGGCCCCACCATATTCTAGGACACCCGGAATAGCCGTTAACGTAGTGAAAGAATAAGCAGCTACTTCACTACGGGTCTTGGTGATTTTGGACAAGAATGTCGATTTTCCGACAGATGGAAATCCGACGAGAGCCACACGAGCATCACCACTCTTGCTGACATCAAATCCAGCTCCTCCACCAGAGCCTGAACCTCCAGTTGGCTCAAGAAGCTGTGCCCTGAGGCGGGCAAGTTTTCTGTGAGGGAAGTGAGTTTACTGTCATCCCACACTATTCGGTTAAACTCGGGCTTTGCCTACCCTTTTAATAGACCCAAATGATATTCTATATTACGTATTAGTATTGGAGCTGCAAAATATACGTTTTAGCATGGTTTAGCTTACCCGTAGCCTTATTCTCTGTTAGGTGCGGAAAGGAACAGCGTCAATATTGATACAAAAAGCCCCATGCCATGGGGTCTGATGCGGGCATATGACAAGTCACTACACCATTGACAAGCAAACTTACTCTGCGTCCTTCGCATCTCATCTTCAATTCTACAATGAATTGATTAGCTTCAGGCGCCCATAGTTTTGTGGGGATAGTCGGCCCTTTACTCTTTGATTTTATCTGTGATGTTCACCATCTTGACGGCTTGGAGGCTTCCCCGCAATCAGATTTACTGAGAAAAGTACCGAGTGATTGGAATGGTGGATGCAAACAAGTATTCGTGGATTATCGTAGTCGTATGTGTCAGAATAAAAGTCACGGAAAGGAAAAAAAGCGAATTAAGAATCATAGCAAATCAACAGGCTAAAATCGTCCAGTCAACTTTTTTTGATATCCAAATATCAAAGGCGGCGGCGAATGGCAGAATAGATTACATAAGCACAACTATCATCAATTTCCGCCGCGACTCCGATAAAGCTTTAACTTTAGACCCCAACGACACCCACAAAAGCGCAATAGCAATATGGCGGATACGAAAACCCCAGAACCGCTGGAAGGGTCGGCAGATGTAGAGACCGCGCTTGCGCAGCCCTCATCTACTACAGACCATGACGGTGCCCTCGTGGCTACGGCCGACAGCGAAGCTCCTCAGAAGAAGACCAAGAAGATCATCAGACGGAAGAAACGACCAGCGAGGCCACAGGTTGATCCGTCAACAGTCAAGTCTGAGCCTCCTCCACAGACAGGAACTACGTTTAACATATGGTACAATAAAGTATGTCAATAATTGGTCCGCATTCAATTGTATATATTCAATGCTAACTTACTATGCGAAAAGTGGTCCGGCGGGTAAGCTTAAGTTTATACTCGAATTCGTTTTGTCCATGTTTCTAATTTCCAATTAAGAGATCGTGAAGACAAATATTCTTCACAAACTGCTGCGCCTGGCCGATGCAACGTTGCCAAAGATAGTGGCTACACTCGCGCCGACAAAGTAGCCGGCTCATACTTCTGTCTCTTCTTTGCACGTGGCGTTTGGTAAGTTTATATCTTTCTTTCGATAGATTAACTATACTTGCTAACAAAAACCCAGCCCCAAAGGCCAGGAATGCGAATACCTTCATCGCCTACCAACAATACACGACATTTTCAATCCAAACGTTGACTGTTTCGGTCGGGACAAATTCAGTGATTATAGAGATGATATGGGCGGAGTTGGTTCGTTCACGAGACAAAATAGGACATTATATGTTGGCAAAATTCATGTTAGTGATGACATTGAAGAGATTGTTGCTCGCCATTTCCAAGAATGGGGCCAGGTCGAGCGAATCCGTGTTCTGACCTCGCGCGGTGTTGGATTCGTCACTTACTCGAATGAAGTATGTATTTCTATGTTCGCCTTTGGTCACAACCATCTCTAATTGCGCGATGGATATACTGACACGTTTATGCTTAGGCCAACGCTCAATTCGCAAAGGAAGCTATGGCACATCAAAGTCAGCCTTTGACCACTTCCCTCGTTTATAAATCAGTTGGCTAATCTTTAATGACCAGGCTTGGATCATAATGAAATCTTGAACGTCCGATGGGCAACAGTTGACCCCAACCCGCTAGCTCAGAAACGAGAGGCACAGCGCCTTGAAGAGCAAGCCGCGGAGGCCATCCGCAGGGCGCTTCCTGCCGAGTTTGTTGCAGAAATCGAAGGCCGCGACCCGGAAGCGAGAAAGAGGAAGAAAATTGAAGGGACCTTTGGTCTAGACGGTTACGAACCCTCGGATGAGATCTGGTATGCGCGAACAAAAGAAATTGAAAGCTCAGCTGGAGGAAATCTCGCACAGCTTGAATTTTCTGGACAACCGCGCCTCATTGAAAATGCTCCGACACCTTCAGCGGACATACAAGATAGTGCCAATCAAGTGCAAAGTGGTATTTTGTCAAGTTCGACTTTGGCTGCTCTCAAAGGATTCGTGCCGGCAGCACAACCTGCTACGCCAAGTTCCAACGGGCCTTTGGTCGGTTATGGAAGTGACGATGATAGCGACTGATAGGTTGATTTAATCGAATATTTTCTGTATATTAATTGGTGTTTGGGAAATTAAAGGGACCAAAGGTATAATCGAATGAAAGACGTGACGAATTCCTTTTTTCTCATTTCATTTCATTTTTATGTGAACTTAAGATATACACCCAACCTGCTTAATAGGGGGTTAAATTCAGTGTCGTAACCGGATTTACATTTTTTTTTCTTCGTTATTTTCACGCTGAACGGCCCAAGTCATAATATATACACGCTCCAGTGCGGAAATTATAGATGAAGGCATTATGCGAGCCGTGCTCCTTACCTCCGCCTGGTGCATACTCAGTAGCAAGGTCCTGAAGCAGCTCGTGAACCTGCGCAAGGTATTTCCGCTCTGTGAGAGGGGCGTTTTGAATAACTGTACGCCAGCTGTCAGGGTCACTTAAACGCGTATCCCGAATGGCATCTAGTAGATCATCCCTCGTATCAATAGCAGCAATGGGCCCATTGAGGGCTTTTTCTACAAGTTCACGAGAACGTAGAAGAGCTGAAAACGTTAGATAATACTGATTTGCTGATAAAACTGCCTTGAACTTACCTGAGTCAATAATATTTCGTCGGTTCGTTTTCTTGTTCCTGTGCTGTGCGACTAGAATACGCACGTCATTCGCTCGATCTCCGCTTGGCCCGCCGGTATCTGGCTGATTGGGATTTCGCAGCAGTTTAGGAATGTCGACTACATTTTCACGCTGATTTCGAGACCGTATCTCTGTGCGCAGCCAAGGAACCAGATCAGACGTTCTCACATCATATTCCTCTTTCTTGACCAGACTCCTGATTTTGAGTCCGCGCTCGTTGCTATCGGCTTTGACTATCACGACCCATGTATGGCTATCCTCTTTGTAGTGAGACATCAGCCCTTCGAATGAGGACGCATCTACTGCAAGCTCAGATATTATGTCATGCGACCAAAGCTCTTGCACAATTCGCACTCCCAATGTGCGGAGTACAGTTGGATCGAAACTTGCAACGAGGACATCGCACTACATTCAAAGTCAGCATTAAGAATAACTGTACACAAGAGGAGGTAGAATGAGAACATACCCGTCGAGATCGCCAAAAGCTTTCGATTTCGTTTTCATTGTGCTTCGTGAAAACCCTCGTAGAATTCTTTATGAGTTCGACCATTGACGAACTCAGCCGGTCCCAGCTAAGATTAAAGCCTACTGCATGTGCCTGAGCGCGACTATAAAGCAGTTTGGGCCTGAATTCTTGAATCAGTCGGTCATATCTTCCTCCAGCGGCGAAAACATCCCGTCGTTTCCCATCAAATATGCATTGAAAGAGAATGCTGCCTCGGAAAAATTTGTCATTCAAGCTTGCCAGTGGGTTGATATAGACCTTGCGCTTAACATCAAACCCATGGATATAGGAAACTAGAGCCTTGATACGAGCAAAAATAGGCGGCAGCCTATCAGCAAATTCGGTGCCCTCCATGATTACTTGTAATTTCTGCTGAACTCTTTCAGGAGTATCTGCAAAAAGAGCATTAATAATTCCATCTTGGGTCATGACGCGAGTAGATAGATCACTTGCCTCGGAAATCAAACCTAGCCAAATCGTCTAAGGAGGTCGAGGCTACTCCAATGGTAGGAGATCGAAGCTCACTTCTAATCTTCTGCATTGTCCACTTGCCAACATTTAGCCTGCTGAGTACCTCCTTTGTGACCGGCATTTGAGCCTGAGTAATTCGACAAAATTCCATAATTATTTGAAGTAAATCGGAGTGGTTGATGTGGAAACACATTGGGACAGATCTTAGAACTGGAAATGTTTCGATAATTTCATCAAGGACTTTGATGACTTCTGCCTCCTTAAGAGCAAGATCCAATGTGTTGTAAGAAACTATATCAAAATCAGCTTCGCGGTGGGATTTAGGTTCGCCGCCATGTGGTGACTCTCTATAAACTTTCCCAAAAGAAAATGTTTTCTCCAATGACGGATCTTGTCGAGGAATTGCCCGAGCATTGGGTAGCGTGAGGTCGAATGGAAGTTGTAGCATGTTCCCAGAAGCATCCAATAAACGTACAACCCCATTTTGGTAATGACCTGATCGGGGAAAAACATTTTGTCTTGCACTCTCCACAGCTCCATGTCGACGAAAAATCTGTATGAGCTTCTCTTTGACAAGTCCCCGAATGAGCATTTCATTCGCTTCTGGATTCCCACGGGAGTCCATATCCCACGTGAGATCTTCAACCTTCCTCGGGGACTGAGAAAATATGGCCGATAATATCTTCTTGTAGTCAGGGGAATTGGGATCTGATAGGAGGCCAATTATGGCCCTTCTGAATGTCTCCTCTTCAACCTGCAGAGGTATTTTGCCGCTCTGGAGGAGCTCCGAGGCAGATGGTCGTTCACTAGGACGATGACTAAGTAGGGACTCGATGATCTCTCCCTGAATTGCTTTTTCTGCTTGCTGAAATATTGGGGGTAAGACGTGATTTTTCTCGCGCAAAGCTCGTAGGGTATGATCTCGTTCCATGCCCGTTCGTAGTGGATAATTCATCTCAAAGAAGATAACGCCAAGAGAATACATCTGTCGACAGTTAGCGGGCTTGCGAAAGTGTGTTCACGATAGTAATACTAACATCGACCTTCTCATTATATTGAGTAGTAGATGTTGATTTGATTTCGGGTGCAACGTAGTATGTTGTACCGATACTGCGGGTAAAATATCCTGCGATTTCCGTTGCTCCAGAAGAACGCACTTCTGTTGTAAAATGCCCGCTCATTGCTAAACCAAAGTCCCCAATACGAGGGTTATTGGCCACATCTATAAAGATGTTATCCGGCTTCAAATCCCTATGGATGATGCCATTGCTATGGATGTGGCTTATGCCATCCAGAATCTGACGAAAAAGACGCCAACAACGGTCGATATCATCGTAGAGGCCATCATGGATCAGATCTCGCAAAGTCTTAGAATTGTCAGAATAAGCTTAGCACATGAGCGAGCATATTTCCATCCAGGCAAAACTTACATGTTTCTCACAATATTCCATCTGAATGTAGAGGGTGTTCGTCACAGGTCGGCCCTGTGACCCTGACCGCACCCGATTGATTTCGCCACCGGTATCTGTGTTGCTAATAATCAATCCCTTTGATTCAACCTGTTCTTGATCTAAAGACGCGGTGTCTTCTTCATTTCCACTGTCGTAACCAAACTCGACCTTGGGATATCCGCTGGAACTGATAAAATCCAAGCCGCTAGTACTTGCGCCTAAATCACGATCCCCGATTGAATCATCTTCAGTTGATGACAAAACATCAGAGTCAATTGCATCATGGTCCTCTTCAAGCCATGCTGTATAGTATCGGACTACGTAAGGATGGTTTAGCCTCGACAGCAACATGATTTCAGAAAGTGTGTCTTTTAATGCACTCGCGGAATTTTGAGATATTTTCTTGATAGCGTAGAAGCGGCCATCCAATTTATTTCGTGCTTTGACTACCTGGCCAAACCCGCCTCTCCCTAGCCGACCAGCTTCATCAAAGTCGTGAGCATAACGCGAGAAACTGGGCAACCCAATTTGGGAGTCCATGCGAGGTCGTTTCATGTAAGAATTGGAGTGATAAGTTGGGGAATTCTCAAGTAAAGGAGCGTCAACTCGAAAGAATTCTGACGGTTGAAGTTGAAATGCGGTTGGGCGTTTCTTTGGATCTGGTTTAAAAACCTCCCGCAGAAGATCGTGCAGAGGCATTGAAAGATCAAGACTGTTCATGACGGCATTGGCAGATGTAAAACGCTGCAGTACATCTTTGCCAAATCCCATCTGCAGTAGTACAATACCGAGATCCCAAACATCAGTTTTGGCTGTCGAGTGCGCGTCGTTCTGTGTCAGTTCCGGAGGCAACCAGAATGGAGATCTTGAAGTCGCCAGTGTCTGTTGACGGTCACCACCTTGCGGTAGAGCCGCTTCGATATTCCCTTGAAGTTTAACAGTAGTGCTCCCCGTGGCATGGCGAAAAAGCATGACACGGCCGCAATGAATATCACCGTGCACAACGCCATTTCGGTGGTAAAAGTCAAGCGCTTCGAGCAACTGAATCATCCAAGAGCGAATTGAATCTACCCCAATGGCGCCTACCATGTCCAATAGTTCAGATAATGAGCCTTTATTTGCGTATTCAAAAAGTACACAAATTTGCCAACTGCAGCTTGATGTGTCCTGTGCTTGTAACGGACGGCATATTTTGAAGCCGATCAGATCAACTATATTTGCATGGCGTAGCTTCTTCAGAAGTTCGAGTTTGTCTTCACTCGTTCGCATTTGCTGCCGAAATGCTAGAGAGTCCAGACACTTCTCCTCAACATAAACTTCCTTTAACACCACAAGCGGAATACGAGACCGATTTTCAGATACAAGGGGCCTTGCTGTAAACGTCTCTGTATTCTGAGAGGACTGAATCAGCGTCTTGCTAGAAACCGCTTGAAAAGTGAGCTGTCGGTTGTCGATATCATTCATGACCAACGGGGGATCAAATGCAATGTAGCCGGAGTTGTCATCGGGAATTTCAGCTACATCCAATGCCGCAGACCGGCTCTTTCGTCGAGAATCTCGGGCCTTTATACGCTCGCGCTGTCTGATCTTATCTTGCAACAGCCTTTGTAGTGTTCGTTCTTCTTCAGCCGTAGCCGCTTCTTGTTTACGAAGCTCCTCTTTCCTGTGCTGTTCTGCCTGCTGAATGGCCGCGGCTTCCTGTTCGATACGCTCCTCTTCCAAGCTGGGCATATCTTTATCCTCTGCCCGTGCAACTGCGGCATCCTCAAGGACTTCTTGAATGTTCACCGCTAGCTCATATATCATCTCCGAGCCGAGTAATTCTTTCGGCTTATTTCTTATAACCATTTCAATTCTTGATTTCGGGCCTTGGCGAAGGTCATCCGATTCTTCGATAACCAGGTTGGGCACGGTCTTCGGGTATGTTGTTGGTAACTCGACGAACAATAAGACGCTGACGTTAGGATCCGAAGACGCTCTGAGGCGCAGCTTAAACGCCACTTCAGATGATTTCTTGAAGCAACTGTGAGATACTGATTCACCATTGAATAATCATACAAGGGCTGCTTCGGAGCGCATACCTGCCAAGCTGCTTGTCTAAGCTCTACATCTTGAAAATCTTCGCCGTAAATTGATCTCAGCGCTTCGGCTTCATCTTGATGGATCTCTCTGTAGTTTGTGGAGGCTAGAACCGGACCTTTGACGGGTGATGAGTCAAAGACAGACGTCTTTGCCTCCCCTTTGGGAGAGCCATTTTGAAGAGCATTGGTTGGTTTTTTCTGTTTCTTGTGAGGCATAGCGGGGCTGTGAGCGAGAGATCTATCATATGGAGTCTGGGATAGAGACAGGTCGCCCTTGTCACAACGGGAAGTGACAAAGAATGCAGCCGAAGCCGCAGCCCTCTATTTTTCAAAGAAACGCATTTTAAGCTGGGGTGAGTAAGTAGCAGACGTGGATTGGGATGACAGAAAAAGAGAAGATCGAGTCATCTACCACGGAATCTTTCTACGTCTTAAATGGCGGTATCGATAAGGATCCACCGCGCCTTACCCAAAGCGGGCTGGGTTCGCTGGCAGCTGTTGGGCCCGTGCCAGCTCAAGACGGGCAGGCGGTGACCCACCACGAGCTGCCCGTGGACGACCTGTAAACAAAACACAGCAAACCACGTCAACGGCCAGCAACGCCTCCATCATTGGACTAGCATGTCCATATCTTTGTTGTTTTTGTTCCGATGCTACGTTAGCTGTGAAACAGAAGGAAGTGCCAACAAGCCCCACGATGCTAGGCTGGATTACAGGGCAAACCGACGACCAGAGCCGGGCCCCTGGTAGGTTTCGTATCTGAAGCCTGCTACGCGATTTGCATACTGACACATCTCGAGACAACCCAGGCGCAATGGATCCGCCTGAAACCCCTGCTCCGGTGTTCGCTATGCGGGCATTCAGGAGTGTCATCTTCGGGACCCCTGCTGGTGAAGACAACGACAATAATGAGCGCCCAGCTACTATGAAAAACAGCGAAACGCCATTGATACGCAAGAAGGACGCGGTTCATCCGACCATCGAAATGGCCACAATTCAACAACAACAACAAGAACCGAAAGAGAAATCGAGCTCAGATGCGACAAATCAACTCAGCGTGTCTCCGACGAAAAGCATTCTCGTCACGCCAGGGACTATATCAAATAGGCGCAAGACCGTATCATTTGGAGACACGGCTGTTCATGGGGATTCGGAACGGGATCGGCCTCAGTCAAGAAGTAGCAGTTTCGCACCCTCATCCGCGGGTTCGGTAACCAGCCAATGGATGTCAAGCCAATCTGATGGAAAGTCGAGACCTCGAAGCAGGTTGACACAGAGCCTAATCGACGCCAAAGAGCTTCATACAGAAGAGCCTCCTAAAACGATTGAACCTGCGCGCAATGAGTCGTTCTCTACCAAAGACATATCAAATGATATCGCCAATGCGGTCGTAACCGAGGACCGCGACGAAACTGTTGATCTCAATGATCCACGCTCACAGTCAGGTCAATACTGGAAAACGGAATTTGAAAACTACCGCAAACGGACCAATTTTGAGATCAGGAGGCTTATTGAATACCGTGCAGTGGCAAAATCATATGCGCGAAAGAAAGATACAGAGGCCATGCGTTTGGCAGAAAAGTTGCAAAAAGAGGAAGAAAAAGTCGCGGAGATGGAGCGTCGTGTGGCTGGGCTTGCTTCGGATATGATGAGCAAGGATGTTGACGCTGACCGAGAAGACTTGGTTCAAAAACTTGCAAAACAAACCGCTCTAACACTTCAATTCAAACATAAAGTCGAGAATCTACGGAAGACACTTGAACAACATGGAGTAGTTGGCAGTCCAGATGCACAGACAGACTCGGAGGAATTATGTAAAGATGATCGAGCTGAAATTATTAGGCTACAACAAGCCCTTGACGAAGCGAATAAGAATCTTGAAGAGAAGGTACAAGATGACGAATTAGAAAAGCTTCGAAATTTAGCAAAGTCTTCCGAAAACAAGGTGTCTGAACTTGAGAAGGAAAATGCTTTGTTGAAAAAGACCATAGCAAGGGTGAAAGGAGAAATGGGAAAATACGAAGAACGGCGTTCTGAGAAGGAGACCAAGTTGAAACAGCGTGCGGCTAAATATGAGGCACGATGTCAGGAATATAAGGAGAAAATGAGAGAGTATCGGGTGTCAGTCCACGAAGAACGGCAAATGTATTCGCAGCAAATTCAGCGCTTGAAAGAAGAAGTCGCCGCTCTGAGTCTTTCCAACAGGAAACTTTCCGTAAACGATGCTCAGCGGAGTCTCGAAGAGAAGTCACATGCGGGAGTACAAGTTCACGATTTTGGTGACCAGGGTTTACATCTTCCAGTGGACAATAATGAGGAAATGTTGCAGGTAGGTAATCTGCCTTGAAGAGTCCGCAGATCAATTACCTTATGATTCACAGCATTGTCTTGCAGATAATCGAAGGAATCGAGGACCGGGATTTGATGGAAGCAATATATTGATTCGATTGGCTGGGTCTCCCGAAAAGGGTATACACGGCACTTCTCCCACCGAAAACAACAATACTGTCAAGCTACCATCCTCTCCGCCGATGTCATCTGAACCAGTCGTAAATACTCACTGGCAACATTCAGCCCTATCAACTGCTACTGCACGAGAAACCCGGACTCTGAAACGTACAAAGGCCATTCAACCACGGCAGAAAGGCGGGGGCCAACTTGAAGAGGAAAAAGAAAATGTTCGCTACATTGTAATTTGATTGATACCCATTTCGTCTTGTTTGAAAGTGATAGTTTGCCTTACGCAGGTACTCCTCGATTCTGTCGTCTTTTACTTTACACCGATATAGAATCGAGTTCTCCAATCTATTCATTCGTTCTTTTACTTCAATCTGTGCATCACAGCTTGTTTAGATTCGTTTTCAGTCATATTCTTTTCGTCCGTCTATATCTTAAATGTATCTTCTATTCACTTCCACCGACCTTGGAACATGTCTCTCCTTCCTCAATATCTTAACAAAACATATAAGATCCATTCATTCATTTCTTCCCGTCACAAAACGACACCACAGCCCATTTACCACTCCAGGCCCATTTTCTAGCACCGGAGTCGCCACCTCCACCCGGCAATTGGCGTAGACGCTCATCTTCACCGGGCTGAAGACCAACAACGACATCAGCTTTGCAGGTTCGGAAGGACAGGATACGGACCCCGGACTTGGGGCCTAAGGGTCCTATGGCTTCGGTGAATGTGGTTGTAGGGTCCCAAGCAGCCTGTATATATATCACGTGGATTGGTTCGGTGTTAAAATGGTGGTACTTCGAGGATTCCATAGACATACGTAAATTATAGAGGTGGGGGGAGCAAAAACTTACGTCGCTTGTCAACTTGCGGTAGTTGAGATCACCCTTGAAAAGGACGAGTTCAGAAGCCTGCAGGTCCTCGTGAAGATCAGACGCAGTCTTCGGCAGACGCCAATAAGATCCTGCAGCTGTCCAAAATCGATGCGGGCGCAGGACCAGTTTTCCTTCCGCATGGAACGTACTCCATTGACTGAACAGAAAGTCGATATTCTTCAATTCCTCGTCAGAAAGAGGAGGATGCTTGCAGTCAGAGTCTGATTCGTCGGCCGCAGTGTAAAATGCCTGAGGAATGGCAAGCGCATTCAACAAATCCGCAAAGTCCTTGGGAATAACATCTGAGACAAACCAGGGAACCACTTTGGGACGCAGAACGACAGTCGTGGCCAAGCCCGAAGAGAGCAGGTATCCGGCAAGGATTAGGTCGACGAAAAGCTCAAAGCCTGCATTGTCGAGGACAATGTCTACTCTTCGTTCTTCGCCGGCCTTCTTGGTCTTGCGCGCATCTCGCAGAACGTCATACGCAGCCTTCATGTCGTTGACGAGTATGTTCTTTTCCGAGGCCTTACGGGCTTCGGAACCTTGCAGTTTTTGGATGTCTTCGTAGGTAAGAGAAGTGAGCAGGGAGAGGTCAGTTGCATTCCCCCATAGGCAAATCTCGCACATTTCAGCGAAGATGAGTTGTTCGGCCTCTTCGATCTGCTCTCCAGAGAGTCCTTCTTTTGATTCTTTCTCGGCCTCCAGGGCTAGAGCTCTGTATCTACCGGCCAATTCGAGGACAGCTGGACGCGATGATTTGAAAGTAGACATTTTCTGACGCGAAAAGACATCATAGCCTTTCCAGTATTTGGACCGGTTGAAGAGAGTCGCAAGTCTTCGATCTACGGAAACAGGTCAGCATGTGTACGCTCATACATAATCAACCGAAACACAAAAAAGGCGTACATAGATAACATTCAGAATAAAGCCATGGGACGTTATACCAAGTTGGGTTTCCGCGTTTCTCCAATTCCTCGTTATATTCGGCAATATCAGGCTCGCCATCCTCGAGTAGTGGTCTATCATTTTTTTCGCCGGCGAATCGATTAGTACTGGTACTAGAGCAATGGCAAAAGAAATAGACTCACGTCAATTGCCGGTTATGCTGCAATTCGTATTTCAATTTAGCCAATTCTTCAATAATAGTCTTTCCCTCCGCTCGCTTTTCAGTTTCCGTGGTAGGGACGTCGCCAACTGTCCGGTGAAGGTCGTCAATTGCGCCAGTCTGGTACCCTTCACGTCAGCAATTCAGAACTAGGCAGAAAGAGAGAAGAAAAGGATTCTGGCAATAGCACGTAGCTCTAGCTTACAAGGATAACTGGCCATCGGTCTCGAGCCGAAACAGAGGCGAAGCTCGTCTCGTCCGACGTCAAGTATTGGGCTGTTGTTTCGTGTCAACGCAATTCAAGTGGTTGGCAGCTAAGGAACGCTCACGGGTCTTTGGATCGTACTCCATATCTTCTTCTACCGTAGAGCACGAGATAAAATTGGAGAAAAGAAGCACCGATCTTAAAAAAAGGTTGTATAGAGGGACTCCTTGCGGCGGGGGGCTGCGGGGCTCGCAGCATAGTACGTATGTAATCAGGCGGGTCAACTAATGCTCCCCGCATATAACTAGGGCTTACTTATTTTTGTATATAATAACGATCATTTCTTCATTTCGACCAACTCAGAACAATAAAGGCAAATAATCAAAAACAGATCAAATACCCAAAGCCCCGCCTAATGCTCTTTATCTAACCGACTCGACTCCTTATGCAAGAACGCTCCACACGTAGCGCTCGCCGTATGCGTTTATATCTCAAGCTCAAAAGGGGGTACATATGGTAACGGAATCGTGATCTAGTATCGTTTTTTCATTCCAAACATGATTCAGGCATCTGTCGTGTTAAAACCGAACATAATATTTCGGACATTCCCTAGGTTATGTGTTGATTCCACCATAACTCGTCTACATCATTGACATGAGAGAATTTTGAGCATAGGCCTATAAGGATGGAACGTTAGTGGTTGGTTGGCTTTGTTTTTTGACAGAGTGGAAGAAAACATACCATTGGCTTGATGTCCGGATGAGGCACCGCATCGAATACATGGTATTCAAGCTTGAGTTCCGGTCCAACATTGATATAGGCACCCTTGTTCTCAGTGGCATCGCAGTACTTCGGAGCAGAGAAGACAGTAATGCATCGTCCGTCATGCTCAATTTCGTACCCACCCATCCTCACTTCGTGAGAGCGAATAATGGCCTCCAGACCATTCTTCTCGCAGAAGCGCTTGGTGACATCCGGGCCAAACTGAAGGCCCACACCACGCTTGCTAGGGCCACGGCCGTCCTCGGGTTGAGGATCGGTCCATAGCATTTCCATCATAAGACCAGATTGGCCGGGTTGACGCTGGTTATGCCTATTGAGTTTGCGGATGTCATCGAGTGTAGTATTGTCGTCGGAGAACAGACCACCATGTAGGACAAAGTATTTGCTGCCCACAAGAGTGGCCAGAGGTAGAGCGGAGAAGGATTCAGAGAAGACCTTAAAGACATGTTCGTTATACTTGGCTTTGCACTCTCCCTCAAAGCCGTATACCTTGTTCATGTCGTCTGTCTCGTGGTTTCCGCGGTTGAGGAAGAATTTGTCAGGTCGCAGCCACTTGTATGCATACAGGAGAAGGGCAATCTCTGTCGACCAGGAACCACGGTCGACGAAATCTCCGTTAAACAGATAAGCATGGGTATCAGATGGGAAACCATTCAGTCGGAAAATCTCCAGAAGATCAAAATATTGGCCTGTTTGAAAAAATATTAGCCATCAGTATCTCTGCGTGTAGCAAAAAGAAAAAATCGTGTAGTTGCACTAACCATGTGTGTCACCACAGATTGTGAGTTTGGTACCCTTTTCGACCCCTATTTCGACCATAGTCGGCTCTGCTTTGACGATGTCTAGCACGTTCTTCACAATCTTGAACGCATATTTCCGGTGAATCTTCTTGCCATTCTTGAACCGCTCAATCATGTCATCAATGAATTCCTGTGTCATCGCTTCATCGAGCCGCACTCCATCGTAGCTGTCTTCGACAGCAATCGCATCGATATCGAGATCTTCAAAAGCAGATGCTGGTTCGGACACCTCGATCGCCTTCTCAAAATCCATGCGCCGAACCAGTTTCTCACATTCCGTAAGCTTCAGTTTCGCATCGCGATTGCTTGGTTCGCGCTTGACGACTGACTTGAAGTCCTTGAGCGCAGCGCGAGGGTTTAGGATAGCGGTGTTGGCCAATGCGCGTCGCCAATATGCCTATTTATATTCCGCATTAGTATGAGTAGCAAATAAAAGAAAAGATCACAGCGCGAATGATATATTACTACCTTCACGTAGGACGGATCAAGCTCCAGGGCCTTTGTCGCATCGGCAATAGCATATCCATAAGCCTCCAGTTTGATATGAGCCTGCGCTCTATTGCAGAAGAACGACGGCTCTTTGTCATACTTGTCAATGGCCTGGGTGTAGAAATCAATCGCAGTCGGCCAATCATGCTGGGCGAAAGCCTTATTGCCTTGCTGCTTCAACGCAGTGGCAGCCTCGGCGGCGGAGGAAGTCATTTAGTTAGTTATAAAAGAAAGAAACGCAATATCAATATGTTGTTCGAGCGTCCCCCTAGATAGCAATCCCAAGCATCAAGAAGCGAATAAAAGAGAACGGTTATCAAGGCACACGAACACCGAGCGTAGGGCCGCAAAATGGCACAAGACCTGGAACGAAGCGGTGGCGAGGGATTCAGGTAAGGAGCGAACAAGGTTTCGAAGAAACGAAAAGAGCAGAATCAAATATAAATAGGAAATAAATGAAAATAAAATACTCAAAAGATGGCCAGCGATGCACCCTGTGAGAGGAAACTTTGAGCTTTTCCCCAGTCGTTCGGTTTATTTTCGAGTTCTGCGGCGGGAGCCCGCTTATCGCTTTTTTTGGCGTTCCAGAAACATCGACCGAAGGCTTCGTTCCTTCCTGCCAACTAACTAGCTCTAGGGCTAAGCTTACTATTATACGAACCACTCACTTACTTTGGAGCGTCAAGACAGAGACACACACACACAAAGAGAAAAGAAGTACAAGATCTATTCCAGGAACAAACAGACAGACAGACAGACACAATGACTTCCTTCGTCGTCCCTCCAGGACAAGTACGCACCCTTCGCGCATGCATGGTTTGCTCAGTCGTCATGCCACAAAGCGTGAGTTTCCGCCTTTTCCCTCACCTCGTCAAGTGAGTCAGTCAGATATTCTAACTCTCAATGGTTGTGACAAAACAGAAATTCGCCCGAGAAGGCTGCCCAAATTGCGATCACGTCCTCCAACTGCGCGGCAACAACGACGCCATTCAAGAATGCACATCACAGGTCTTCGAAGGCCTAATATCTATCATCGATGAGCGCCAGAGCTGGGTCGCGCGCTGGCAGCGATTGGAAGGTTATGTGCCGGGGACCTATGCTATCAAGGTCACTGGGACTTTGCCGACGGAGACTGTTGCATCGTTGGAAGATGCTGGGATTAAATACATTCCGTAAGCGAGCCTTTGTTTTCTCGCTTTTCAAATCTTCCAAATTCTGCGTAAATTGTCCTTTGTGTCGAGCTTTCCTGACCTATGCATGACTTTCTAGGCGAGATGGAAGTGCGAACGAAGAAGAATCGTGATTCGGGTGATACGATACGGCTTTTGCTTTGCTTTGGGAACGGTGTTTAGGTCTGATTCATCCAATATCCATTTTGGATATATATAAATAAATAGCATGGCGTTCATTGCAACTAGCATATACTTTTAGTTGAGACACTTCTTTTTCATCTACTATTGAAATTCGACAACATGATATCCCGAATCCAAACAATCATATTTTTTGCCTTGAACCTCCTATATAATATAAGAACCGAACCACCTGTGGTATTAAAAGAAAACATAAAAACGAAATCCATGATATCATAATACAGTTACTGTATATAAGAAAATTACGCGCTGATTAGTGTTTCGAGTTTCTCAAGAAGCAGGTCGGCTGTGGAAAAGTTAGCATATGCTACAGCAACAAAGAGAAAGAGAGGGGGAAAAACGTACCATGGTGCTTCTGGAAGATCAACATTGGCCGCAGACGAACAGCACTGACTCCGCTTCCGCCAATGTTAACACCAACAGTCTTGGCCTTGGCAAGGAATTCGTCACGGTTAGGCGAATCCCAGGCGATGAAGGTTCCCTGTCCCTTGCCACGGAGATTCTGGATGGCCTGGGGATATTTCTTAGCAAGGGTCTCAAGCCCGTTGTACAGATAGTCGCCGGTCAACGCGGTGTTTTCGACCAGGTTCTTGCTCTGAATTTCCTCGTAGATAGCGCGGAACAGGATGGCACGGGCTGGGTCACCTAGCCAGGTGTTGAACTGACGGTATGGCTTATTGGGTCGCAGAGCGGGGTTATTGTAGTAGTAACCAGCAGCTTGGGCCTTCTTGGAAAATGTAACCATATCGGGAGGAGTGCTTAGATTCCAGTGGTCGTGAGCCCATAATTTTCCGGTGGCACCAACGCCAGTTTGGACCTCGTCAACAATGAACAGCACGTTGTTGCGCTTGGTGATGTCTCGGAGACCTTGGAAGAAAGCGGGTGAGGCATGGTTGTCGCCACCCTCAGATTGAATAGGCTCGACTACCACAGCAGCAACGGGGTTGTGGAACTCCTTGATAATACGCTCAGTCTCCTGCAAACAACGTTGCTCTTCCTCGGCATTTTCTTTGGCATGCTCTTCAAGAGGATACTTGAGGGATGGGAAGGGAGCAGCGGGCCAGTCGAATGCTGGGATATCGAGCTTATGAATTGGCTTGCTTCGCGTAGTAGACAGACTGCCAAAGAGACGACCGTGGAATCCCGACTTGAACGACAGCACGGACATTTGAGGTGAACCAGGACCCTGGTTCACCATGACTGATTGCATTTCCTCCTCGGTGAAATCAACTTCTGATCCACCACGTTCCTGCTGGCGACGGTACATGAAGGCAGCCTTGTAGGCAGTCTCATTGGCATCGGATCCCGCCAGTGCGGTGAACACTTGGTTCATTCCCTTGGGAGCAGCTTTCAGAAGGCCGGTTCGAAGAATATGAGACCAGTCCGCGGAAGGGAAGTTTCCGAGGGCAGGTCTGTCAATGAGAGCGCGCACCATCTCCGGTGAGGTAGCAGCAGCGGCAAGATGAGGGTTGTTGTAACCCACGGGAATGGAAGCAATTTGTGCGTAACTGCCCAGCGCAATGCAATATTAGATCAAGCTCCTATCAACAAATAAAAGTGCTTATATTGCATGTATAACTCACACATCAAGATAAGTATTACCATCCAGGTCAACAATACTAGCAAGATAGGTGTTAGGTTAGTGGTCTGTGCTCTCCAAGAGATAAGGAAGGTTGATTCCATACTAGTTTCCAATGGATTTCTCATAATCAGCGAGAAGGTTCAAGCTGCGAATGTCAAAGACTTCAAGGAGGTCCTTGGCTGCAGCTTGGTTTTTAGGGCCAGGAATAGCGGTTTGCACCGAGGGAGCGCTGGGCTCCTGTGCAAAGAAGGGCTGTGCCGCACGGCGAGTAGCAGCCGTACTGAAGAGACGAGACGCATTGATGCGTGCTACGGGCCTCATGTTGAGGCTGGATCGGAGTGCAGAGGTCATATTCTTTTCACTTCAGTTAGCAAAAGCCCAATGTGTGTGCAATTGCAAGTAGTTCCCAATCAATGTGCCGTCAAGTCACAATATGCGTGCAGTATTGGCAAGGGATAGGAGCAAGACGAGAAAAGCACAATGCCCAAATTGCAGAGGGGATCTAGAAATCAACAATAGAGGTGGAGGCACGTACAGATTATACGAGAGGAATTGAGTGTGGAAGCGATTGACACACAGAAAAAGAGGACGCCGCAGCTGTTATGTACCGCGAGCCTTGGACTGATGATAACGCCCGCCCCGCAACAGCTTGACCGCCAAGCGGCGATAAGTGCTGCGACTCGGCGGCGGCAGCCAATCGCAGGTCCCGTAGCTGCCGACGCCAAGCCGGCGAGTCCGTCATCAGCGCTAATCTAAAAGCAGAATGTATAAGCTTCTTATCGATAAGCGCTATCGCTATCGTTATCGCATGTCCCTCACCCAAATGACTTCATGTAACTGTAGTCTAATACTTTCAGGCCAGGATAAACTCTGTGGAATGCCGTTAAGAAACATTCCTGTAATGAAACTGCATGGTATTGATTGGTACCCTTCTTCTTGGATTATGCGTGAGGTTGGTTTCATACAAGTTTCAGGAAGAAAGAGCACACTCAGAGAACAACCTTTGACCTCTCTATGAACAAATTGCATATCCTTCAGCCTGAACCAAGAACTGGCTTTTATAAGTCAAGCTTCCATATTAATATGTACAAGTATCATCATTTTAGAGGTTCACTGCCTTCTCACACTGTGTCATTCAATTCATGAGGTGCTTAGTCATGAAAACGTTGATGTCCAGGGCATGCCAAAGGTCATTGTTGTCCTTACAAAGAATTGTTGCCTGCAGATTATCCAAGACCATACCTAGGTAATGTGGAAATGTCCAGCTATTTCATTCTTTGTTAAGAAAATACATATATTGGGCCCCGGCTGCTTCTGATTCACGCTCGCCCTTTTTTTCCCTTCTTCTCCAATTCATATTTGCCAACAAGATTCTTGCTCAATCATCCAGCAAAAGCCCACTACTATTGACTTAGTCCTACGCTTCAAAATCCAAACCAGTTCTGTTGGCTTGAGCGGTTGGTCTATATTCGCTACATCGGGCAGACTACTGCCTGCCTCGTCCACCACCATCTCAGTGATCCTCACGCGCTAATAACTTGCTGCGCAACTCGATTCCTAAATACCACGAGATACATTTTTGCTGAAATATTTCATGGGGACCTCATCGAAAATTTTACTGGCCGACTATCTGCGAGTCGGTACCCCAAGAAGTAGTCGTTGCGTGAACAAATACTCATCGCGCTTTTCTGGAATGGGCTAAATCTGAATTAGTAAGTCCTTGAATGATCCATCCCGCTTCACTTTATAAGTTGTTTGTCTGCTGTAGTCAAGATGTGGCTGACTATAACAGAAGTGCAGCCACGCCCCGCCAAGAGACTTCAACAGTTACAGAGTCTGTTGGAAAGACCGCTTAAATCCTAGGGCATTTAGGATGACTCCGATATCTGTAAGGAGGAAATTTGCAAAAGAGACAATAAAATTGCCCTCAGGGAAGAGCTACTTTGCTTCTGCATATGCTATGCATCAGGTGATTGTGCGGACTCTAAATCTTCTGTGCTGTTTTCTCTCATAAGAGACTGAAGATGATCCGAGCATGCTTGAGGATAAAACCGCCATGTTCCACGCATAGAAAGATCTTTACAATTGGATAATGCTTAAGATGTGTGGCCCCTCTCAGGAAGTTTGGATTTGACAGAGGTTTCCAGCCTCGCACGGATAGACATCACCGAAGATGCTACAGAGGACCTTGATGATCAGCACTACAAGGTATTCACGGCTGGTAGTGTTGATATCCGGGATGAATCAGGCACCACCCTTGTATTAGAGGTTGATATGCCGTCTTCCAAGCTTCGCGCTGCTACGATCCCAGCTCATCCGCTCGCTGTCAATGTCCGAGCCAGGATACGAGGTACGAGACCCTCAATCAAGACATCGCAATGCTCCTATTTCTTCTCCAAGTCACTACGGCCTCCATTTCGAGAAGGGACCCCTTCAGGAGACCAAGAAGATATGGCATGATCAGGATTCTTGCCGACAGCTCACGATAGAGAGTATTTGAGCAACTTTGGGAGAAGAAGACAGACAGAAAGCTTGACCACGCGATAGACCCTCAAAGTGCACCAATAGTCAGCAGTTGAAGGACAACATCAAGTTTTTTCCCAAATCTTTCTTCGAGAACGGGAGACAGGATCCGATGCCTTACATCTCCTATACGATTAGAAAGAAACATAGAAACGCAGTTCTCGAATCTTCCTGTGAATCCAGGGAACGAACTTTGGCTCTTTAATCAGTTCTTTTCTGCGTATTATTCAAACGGCGAGATCATCGACAGCACAAGTAAGGTATTGGAGGTTTCTATCTGGCCCAAACTCCGGGCATTTACAAATTTTGCGAAATGCATCCATCATCCACATCTCCATACAGCTCGAGCACTTGCAGAGAGTGGCTTTTCTGAACGAGAAAACGACCAGAATCATGCAACCAGTCAATTGCACTTTGCAATCTTTGCCCTCTTTGTATCCTACGATGACCAGAAAAGGACATATAGTGGGAAGCACCTACCGAGAGGTAGCTCAAGCAAGATATTTACACTGAAGAGACGGAGGTTCAACGCATCTGCGCAAGTATCTATCCCTGAGCTTGTGCCTTTGGTTATTGAGGACGCGCAAGGCTTGGCAAGCTGAGAAGTGAAACGATACAGAAAGTGAAGCAGCACAGCGCTTCCCATAAGGAGTAGGCTGTTTATACTATTTTAGTTCCAAAATTTTAAAGCTACTATACGCTATGTAATGAATACCATGAAATTTGTATATTTATGTGGTACGTTTTCGCGCTTATCCCGCTTTAGCCTAGCGCTAAGATCTTTCGAGCCATCATAACTCAGATCAGCCAGACTCAAAAGAATAGAAAACAACAGACCGAGGAAATACATCATGGACAATCAAGACGTCAATCTGAAAACCACCGAAAATAGAACCGATAAGGAAACCAGCATCACTAACACAAAGTCTCTTCCTGCACCACTGCAACAAGTCATATCCCGCAATCCGCCATGGACATATTTCAAACTACACCTGTAAGTCCATCCATCCTAGTATATCCACATAATACCTCTACTTGCTTTTTGAAATAATAATATTTCCCCCCTCTTATTTGGACAAATCACATTCTAACCCACGTAGAATCTCCCAATCAACACGTCCCATCAGAAATCTAACCATCGACGCACTCACGGCACGCACATATCTCACTGCCGCCCTATCCCAATTCCTCGGATTGATGGGCACAAGTATATCGATAGACATACTCAAGATTGAGCAGAATACTGCTTCTGATCCTCCCGAGGTATGGATCCGAGTTCCGCGCGATGATGCTGCGGCTGTGTTCGCCGCGTTGAGTTCGTGGGTGGGCGCGTTACCTGCTGCTGCTGTGGCTTCTTCTTCCTCTCCTCCGTCATCTTCTTATGGAGGAGCTGCTGCTTCTGTTGCTGATAGTGGGGTGGCGTGGAGGGTTTGCGCAAAAGGGAACTATTTAGCTGCTATTGTGCATGGGTCTGGAGATGATGCTTTTCAGCCATAGGGAGCATATTTGCTTACCTGGTCTTCTTCTTCTTTTTTCTTTCTATTCTTGTCTTTAGAGCTTAGTAGCACCTGATTATATGCATGGATGGCGTTTGAAATTGGAAACTTTGAAATACTGCAAAGTTTAATGGGACTTGGATGTTGGCATGACAGTATGTACTATGTAGTGTCATCAAGATAAGAGGGGAAGATAAGGTAAATGCCTCCGAAAGAAAAAACCCAAAAAAGAAATAGAGCGATGCTCAGCTTTTGAAAAAATCCACGCCGTGACACCTCTACTGACTCTTTCGCTGATAAAAGACTGAAGTTTCTTGAAAACAAAAATATAAAACACGAAAGAAAAGGGACAAAATTGTCTCCATAAGCGACTGCAAGCGAACGTTATAACGTGCTAAATTAATGTTTCACAGTTTCTGATATTGAGGTTGTCGACGCCGTTGTGATTGACCCCTCGGCACCTGCAAAGTCAGCAAACTTCTTCTGAGCAGTGACTTTTGCCTTTAAGGCACCACGGATATCCTCCATGCTGCGATCCATCCATTTGTCGTACCCATCCAGACTCAGCGGATATAGAACGACGTTGTCCCCACTGGTCATGATATTTACCATCTTCGGGGCCGGCGTGGCGGTAATAATGTCGATTTCCGTGGCAACTTGTTTGCAGTATGAATCAAGAGGAAGGTCATTGACGTCGTCCCCAAATGGGTTTTCAAGCTCCCTGCCAATTGCAACAAAACTTAGGATGATATATGCGGCGACTAGAGTGGACGTATCATATTAGCAAAGAAATTTTAGATCCTCAAAGGGTCACGAGAGAAGAAAGAATAAATACTGACCGACAGTTCCCGGAATCGCTATCCAGTTCATTAACGATACTAGTTGGAAGGGGAGTACTAATATGTAGATCCAGGATATCTGGGATATAGCAATGCAATACGCTTCCGGTAACGGCGTATCACGTACCCTCTCAGCACCAGTCAAGACTTCGTTGAATGAGGCTATACCAGAGACTAAGAGGAGAGAAATGTCAGTTTGTTTAACCAAGCAAAGGGCAGAGAAAATCTCAACATACTGAGCTGTCCTTGGTGTAATGCTGATGGAAGGAGTTTTTCCTGCTCGCAATGATCGATATAGGCAGACAGATGATTCAAAATCTCAAGTGACAAATGTCCTAGAGGTTTCTTGGCCCTTTTTATCATTTTCCGCGGGTTTGACTCTGCAAATGAAACACCAAGATACTCTCCCAATGCTTTCCAAGCGGTCTTTGGATGAGGTTTCAAGAGCTCAGGGTCATGGGCTTCCTTGGCAAATGTGTCTAGGTGACCAACCAAGCCAATCAGATCCTTGTAAGCAATGGCGGGTTCGAAGCGGAGGTTGTGTTTGAGCGCAATTGCAAAAGCTAAGATCAGGTTCATCGCCGTTCTAGCCATATACCCGTCAGTTCAACGTATATAAAGCAGAGGCGGAAAAAGGTCGTACATTTTCCCTAGAAGATCTTTCTTTCCGTCATCGCCTTCTCGCTCCTTCACATGCACCCATATCGTGCGAGCCATGTTTCGAGATGTTTGAATCAATTCAGCCCAGTATTTCCGGCCGTCAGCATAACTATTCACCCTGTTAGTCTTATTCTGTCTTTCTGTTCCCATTCATGTGTTATCTCCATACCGTTCGTATGCAGTGGTGCTTCGAAATGATAATGCCAAGCCGACAACGAAACCGAGGACCGTAAGGAGAATATCTGATACATTCACTGTAAAACAGAAAATTAGCAAGCTGTTGGGTGAAAAAAATAATGATAAAAGCTGAAATCTTTAGGCAATCAGACTAACAAGGATGTACTAGTAGCGATATGCAAGTAATCGCAGTCGACCAACCGGCCATAAAAACCAAGGGAAGGATCAATCTCGGTAGAATACTACCGTCCATCCGCAAGAACGTGGGCCATTTTGTGTGTCTGCTGATATCGCGAGGACCAGTCTGTTAATGTTAATCGTTGATAGTTAGTTATGTTCGCTACTTAGAATGCATGTGACTAAATCCTCACAAAATAATGTTCCAGGTCCGATATTCCATGTTCAATTGGAGATAGAAAATTCTTGCGAGCTTCGTGTAAATCATTTAGCGAAATTGGCCGTGACTTTGGTCGGGGGGAGTCCTGCTCCCGATGATGATGGTGGTGAAGAATAAAAGTCGGCTGGTGATGTGTGTGATCGGTGTTGTGGTGGTCATGGCCATGGCTATGTACTGGTGCAGCTCCATCGCCGTCCGGACCTGAATGGGATGTTGAAGAGGCTACGTTGGCGTCGCCTCCTTCCATGGTGTGATTTATACACGATAGTATTAAAGATATATGCTAAAGTTGATAACTGAAGAGAAAGAAGACGTGTAACTGATTGAAAGAAAGAATGATGAAGACATGAAGAGAAGCAATGAGTGGCACAGGTGTGTGGTTTTAAAGAAAGTTAACGAATCACTCTCCAGAAAATATCAGCCCGTTCCATTTCACTACACACTGGCGTTTGTAAGCTGGTGGACTAGTGGCGACGCTACTCGTCCTTATTAGCTGGGAGGGCAAAAATTGCACTGAATTTAATACAGTTGTGTATAATGGACTCGGGAGAGTGAAAAACAAAAAAAAGAAAAACAAAAAACTACAATCTAGAACAATTCGAGGGAGTCATTCGAAGTACATCTAAAAAGATCGTCAATTCGGGGAATAAGTGGGCCACCACGGGCAGCGAATAATACTAAAAATAACCGGTACGGGACGGTTGACAGATTGATACCAGCTCGTTCTGGTAAAAATGACTGCCCATCACTTGCGCCGTGTTTCAAAGGGTGGCCTGCAGGCGAATCAGCGGCTGCCATTCTGTCGTACGGGGCGGGAGCGGCCCGTTATAAATACAGACAATACGGCCTCCGTACGGAGTCCTGAATACGACCATATGCCAGGGGAAAACTTTAAAAGTGTCAGGGGGCGAGAATAGCCATACACAGCCTCAGCCTGGAAGGCGACGGCCTAGAACCATGACTGCACTTCGTGTACCGAGTACGGAGCACTCCGCATTCATCTGGAAATACTATGCATATTGCCAATCCAAAAGAAACGGCATATTACATTGTGCCATTGAGTCCCTAGCCAACGCGAGTGAAATTTATTTCTAGCAAGGAGTACGAAGTACTCCAACTCTTCATAAAACATTTGCGCGGAAGACTCGCCGAGGCGTCTAGCCGTGTAAAAACACGCAATACGGAGTAATCGAGTGGTGTAATGTGACCGTCGTGGGTCGCACGTACGATGCGTGCGAAATACGACGCGAAATATTACACGCAATGCTGTCATCCCACAAGGGCCGTTTCAGGTTGATGTATCATTTTCGAAAAACGGGCCTCGAGCCTAGGTTTTGGTTATTTGACCGTCATCCCGCTATGCCAAGGTTGTAAATAACCACGTAGTCATCATCATTATTATATTAGGCTTGCGTCTTTTGCTCTGGCCCAGATTGTACCTCTACATATACTTGTTGTAGATTAATAACGTGGAGATGTTAACAGAATGTGACATACCTTTCCCTGGAGCATGAATTGATTTTCAACAGGGATCCCAAAATTAAAGGTGTAAGGAGGTGTTCAGCTAGCGTGTCAGGCTGCTTCGTCGAACCGAACTGTGGAGCAAGATCCTAATACAGTATAGTTTTTATTCTTATGAAGGAAGGCGGTCGACATGTGACAGAATGTCGACATCCGCTCCTTTTAGGCTTAGCACCCGAGGGGTGATTGATTCAAGTAAACATTGTCACAGTTGTGCCGGCAGGAATATGACACAACGTCATCTCAAAACAAAAATGAGGAGAAAAATAAAATCACTATGTATACCAAAAAAAAAAGCCCCGACCGCGATTCGAACGCGGAATCTCCGGATCTGCAATCCATTGCCTTACCGTTTGGCCATCGAGGCTATTTGATTGGCCACACTGACTAATAAGCTAATAGAATCATAGATTCTACGCAACAAGTGGGATTTGAAAAGTTGAAACTGCTCGGGAAAAAAAAAAGGAAAAAAGAAAAAAAAAGGGAAGAGGAAAAAAGGTACGTATAGCCCCGACCGCGATTCGAACGCGGAATCTCCGGATCTGCAATCCATTGCCTTACCGTTTGGCCATCGAGGCTATGGACATTGTCCTGCCACTACTAACCACCTAATAGATTCTAATTATTATATCCACTAAATATGCGGATTGAAAACCATTCAAAATTAGTTCGTAATACTAAATCATTTCTCGAAATCAATGGCTATTACTGTGATCAAGAGACCTTTCGGGCAATATCATAAAACTCGGCTATATATTGTTGAAAGCCTGAACGATCTAGCACCCTTCAAGGCCGGAGAAACGGCCAACGTATGGCTTTACATGAATATAGGGACCTTCATCCTACCTTTAAAGAATCAAGTGAGAGACTTGTTTCAGGCAGATCTCATGGGAAACGTTAGTAGACAGTTTGTATGATAACTAGCAGCAAAAGCCATCAGAATGCAATCAGTTAGACACAGCTTGTTACCTTTGATCCAGCATTGCCATTTCCTCTTACTCCAATCCGCTGAGAACTAGTTTAGTTTTTTCAAAAACATACAAAGCACGACAAAATAATCACTTACGCTAGGTAAAATATATATACTTCCTCAGAGAGGCGATGACGGACAAATGCTAACTCAATGAAACCCGAATTAGTGAAGAGCGTGCCAAACATCATCCTACCCACAATAGGCCTTGTTAGAACCTCAGGCTGACGGTGAGTTGATTGGAGTCACGCGACTGGCATATTTCAAGCAATTGGGAAAGAGGTAGCCCATCTTTTCCCCTCCCAAAAAAAAAACACCGACTGTTTAGTAATCTGGTTTTGCGGGATTTCTAACAGTTAGAACTAGACGTCTAGTCATCATCCATGCTTATGACGGAATAGCAACCTTTTACATTCATGAGTCGTTATATAGCAATTTAAAGCCGCAGTAGAAACGATTAGGTCAGGTCAGCTATAAGTTACATGACTGCATTCAGTGTCATTTCAAGTTACGCTACGTTTGCAATGTCTACTCTATAAATGTGGCAGAGCCGACAGTTGCCATCTGTCTACCGTACGCAGTCCCCACTGTTAAAACAGCCACAATCCTAGCAGAACAACGATAAAATGCACTCGACCACGTTGATATGCGCTGACGAAGCGGTGCGTAGCCTTCGTCAGGTCCACACTGCAGGCCTGCTTAGTAGGGGGCGGGCGCGGACAGGACAAATGCAGTGCAGGAGTAGGCCAGCCGCGAAAGAGGTCAATTTGGCCTTGGGCCATGGCCGAGATCGTACGTCACCAAGCAATCAGCGAACTCATGTTCAGGCAGTTTGATTTCTGGATTGTGCCTGTTTATTCCTTTTGCAAATAGCACCCTGGCATAGAGGGGATTGAATACGAATGTTGTTTCGCCAGTCACAGAGTTTTTGATTTCTGCAGTAGCCAGAATCTCATTTATAGAGATGTAATCCCCTGGGTTTGGCAAACTTGCTCTCTCTATTTGTTCCTTTATATGTCTTGCAGTTCCACTATCGAACCGGGTATCGATAAAATATAAAGTCCTTGGTCCCGCCGCAGCTACATATGGAGTTTCTGGCGCCACAACCTGGAGGCCGTGCCATGCTTCGATAACGTTCGGCACGTAGCTTCCCCAATACTCCTCTTGGAAGGTTGGCGCACCGTCGAATGGTCGGAACGGGTTCAGAAGCATAGTGATCAATAGCGCTGAGCGTTGCAAGCTGCTCATGAACTCTGTTTTGTATCTCTGTGCGCGCGCTTCGATGTGCTTGCCTTTTTCATAGCATGCCAAGCAATTGGTAGTCAGAGGCTGATCGCTTTTTCATTCAAGTAGGTAGGTGCGTAGTTCGTGAACTTTCAACAGGCGTCAGGTGTAGCCTTGCAGGTGCCTAGTCTCAGACGTACGATGTAGATTGTCAATAGCGCCATCCCTTATCGGGGTAGGCACTAATCAGGATAGGGATAGACTGCCGGTCCCTGAGCGATAACTTAGCGACAACTTAAGCGTATAAAATGCGCTGAACTGATCGTCTCCATTGCATTACTATCTAGTATCAACTACCGATACCTATTAACCCCTGCTCCCCAAATCAGTCATCGGCCCCTAGTTCCAAAGAAAACATGAGATCATTGAATACATCGGCCTCGGGAAGAAGACAAAGTCGTCAGATGATGGAAGAAAAGAAAAAAATTACAACAAATTATTGGCATTAAAAGGGAATGCGCAACAAGGCGACCCGCCAAATTTCATAAAAGAAGAAAAGAAAAAGAAATGAACGAGCAGTTTCCTGCATAGTCCAATCATCGGACAAACTGCTAAATAGCAGAGGCTTCCTGCAGTCATAGGAGGACTGATCCCACAATAGCCAACACCCGATTATCACACTGTCTCGGTGTGATATTCTTCTGCGGTGACTACTTCTGCTCCATTCTTTCTACCTGGCAAAGCGGATGTGCTGCGACTCAAGTTGGAGTCAAATCCTTCCTTGTAAAGCTCAGGACAAACCGCATCCTTGCGGAGAAAGATGTACCGTCTGATCCACCACGGCAAAACGGTAAATAACTGGTACGATGCGTGACGACGGGTAGTCACCGCAAAAACATAGTCCAGCTCTTCAAGAGAACGCTGCTTGGTCTCCGGGACAAAAAGGAATATCAGTACGAAAGCGACAAGGTTGAGTGCCGCATAGAAACCGATGGCGCCTTGCGGCGTAAACGCGGTGAGCATGTATGGGAAAGTGATGGATAGGACTGCCCCCCAAAAATTGTTGGTTGCTACTGCCCAAGCCATACCGACTTCACGATGGGATAGCGGAAATACCTCAGCGGAATAAGTGAAGGGCACAGGTCCTTCACCTGGAGAGTAAAACATGCAGAAAACGTAAACGAAAAAGGCAACCAGTCCAAGATGAGCCTTGCTCTCGGAGGGAATCCAGAAACAAAATCCGGCTGCTAGCAACGACCAGCACATATTTGGAAATGTGAAAAGCAATAAGGCTCGTCGTCCAAAAGTATCGATTGTCCAAACAGCGGGCCAGGCAAAGAGAAAGTTGAGGGCCCCGAATCCAAAGGAAGCGAGGAGAGCTCCAATGTTGCTAGCTCCTGCTTGGGAAAATATGGTCGAAGAGTAGAAGGAGATAATGTTGACTAAGACAAGGTAAGCATTGATTTGAAATGACTGTGAAACTGAAAGGCATTGGGACTTACTGCCACACATTTGCTGGGCAATCATAACAATACCAGAAGCCTGGGCGGCACGGCGATTTCGTGGAATAGTTGCCAACTCAAGAAAACGTGTGAAGAAATTGGCTGATTTTGACAACCCGGCTTCTTCCAACAATAAATTCTCTTGCACAAGTTGCGCATGTATGAAGTACAAGTCTCGTGCCGCCTGAAGGGGAGAGTTTCGCAGTCGCAACAGAGATTCATAAGCTTTGTCGTACCTTTTCTTCGTCATGAGCCACCGGGGAGATTCTGGACAAAACCAGATTCCGAGTACCAGCGGGATAGCAGGGATGAAGGCAGATCCTAGTTGCAACCGCCAGGTAATATCTCCCACATGAATGACGACCAAGTTGGCGGCGACGCCGCAAAATATACCAAATGCAGTCCACATCTGCCAGGACATAACCAAAGCTCCACGAATGGAGGTAGGAGAATTCTCAGCCGAAAAGACAGGAACAGTGACTTCCTTCATCCCCATGCCAACTCCAAGAAGGGCACGGCAAGCAATCAATTGACCCCATGTTTGCGCAGTAGCGGATCCGATAGGTGCCAAAAGACTAAATATGGCACCAATAAAGATGACGCCACGACGGCCCATCCAATGATTCAACGGGTCAGCAATCCAACCAACCCTATTCAACAGCAGTCAGCACATAAGATAAAGGAAAGGCCCGGCAGAAAATACATACAGCAATGCAATAGTTATGTATGGCATCGCATTGATGACGCCAACCAGCCAGGTATTTCTCTCGCAGGTACCAGTTTCGTCACATATTCCAGGGCTAGCGTTTGGGATGCCCAAGCTTTCCTGGAAAGACAAGTTTGCACCATTGGAGCCTAAGTTCAATCAGTACATCAAGTACGCAAGCTGGGAGTGCTCAAAAGCATACATACCTTCCTGGTCCCAGCCTTGAATGGCTGCACCGATGGAGTTGAGGACAATCGTGTAGTAAAGAGTCTTTGGATGCTTCCAACGATGGGTGACTTCCTCACGCAAGGCTTGACGCTCATCTTCATCGAGTTCCTCGATGTTCTCAAAGTTGTGGGGGCGCTGAGCCACTAGAGCTCCCTTCATCAAGAGCGGATAGATGTCAGTGAGCTTGTACTCAAGGGCAAAAGTCCCGACATCTGCTACCAGCTTCTCCTTGGAGATGCCCACAAGAGGATTTTTGATTCTACGGCTTGTCAGAACTGGCATATGAAAGCAGGAATCAGGAAACCTACTCTCCAGTGACATTCTCAGTGCGCTCTTGGATACGCTTCTTACGCAACTCCTCGTTTGCAGAGACAGACGGATGAAGAGTTCCATGATCAGCTGCAATAGCTAGCATACCCGAGTGACTGTCGTTCCAAGTTGGTCTTTCTCAGCACCACAATATGATCATCTCATGGGAAGAGCTCTGGAAGATACTCACGTTTCCACGACCTCGTCTTTAGTCATTGTGACTGAAGCGAGGGTTGGCACAGTATCTATCGCGAGTGTCCCAGAGGCCCCAATCTGAATGGAAAGAGCTGACGAACGAACGGGGAGAATACAAGAAGAAGGGCAAGGAGGGAAAGGACAGAGAGAGAGAAAGGCGCGGGTTGAAAAAAGCGAGAGAAAAAGCGTGCCGGGGGCTTCGAGGACAGCGTCCTGCCAGGAAAGGAAGGTACGGCAACAAAGAGACGAAGGTCTTGTGACCTCAGCCAGCCTCCTTTCCTCCCAACCGCTCTTTGCCCTTCCATATCGTTCATTCGCATTACTACATGACCAATAGAGCCGACACTCGGCTCTAGCCAAGGGACGCCTTTCCGGGAAGGGGACCGCCTTGTCTGGTCTGTTACATAAGATACAGCTCCCTGGTCTCCGTAGGAGCTTCAATACACAGAGGCGTACGGATAATGGCATGATATATTCTTGTCTGCTACCGTTTTCTGTTTCATTTCTTTCCTTGCCTCATACGGGCATCTGAGCAGGGCCTCTCCCAAAATGGGCTTGGCTATATGTAGCCTTGGACTGGGATCGAAAGGCGAACATATCTAATGTTTCTCTCCAAAGATGCCCCCGCATGCTGTGATGAATGCTCTGTTCATAGACGAGACTACACGACCAGAAGCCAGAGATATGCCTCAGTAAAAGACTTGTCATAAAAAGTGAATGTGAATGGTGGAGACAGGAAGCAGAACAAAGAACTTAATAAGCCACGCGAGACTCACCCGACGAGGATGTCCTGGCTAAAAAGTAGTTTGGGGTGTCTGCAAAAATACGGAGAATCCCGTACTTTTATTAATGCTCGTTAAGATGCCAAACGCAGAGTGCAAAGAACATTTCTTCTCGGCGCTAATAACCAATGGTATTGCCTCTGGCTACATCCTGAACCAAATATTGAATCTTCTATTGCCTTAGCTGCCATTGACTTGCCGCTACCAACACAATATATTCGCCTTCTGCTCCGGTGCGGTAGTCTCAATACCACCGGGCCAACAGAACGTGGTGCCGTTTGCAGCTCAATGGGTGTTTGACTTTGTTCCTCCAGGCTGTGACTTTTACGTTTTCTTACACGCCACGAAATTCAATGAAAACGATCAGCTAAAGTTTCAAGGCTGTGATGCCTAACGCTACAAGGTAAAGGAAAAGCCATTTACGGTGCTACGCAGATACGATGCATACCTTGGTAATGGCTTGATACAGGCAAGGCGGGTAACTATATCTGTTATAAGTAGTAACTAGTGGCTTCTACGTAAGACCAAGGAGGGCACGCTATGTCTCGAGGAGACAGGGCTCTACGGAAACATGCCGGGTTGAATATTGTTAGGTTTAACAAGCCTGGGTAAAATGCTGACATACGCTATACGTCTTTTGTCCAAGACCGATAACCGGATGTCTCTTGCTTTCCTTGATTCAATGTTTGCCTGTCGTGACCCGAGAAGACGAAGTCTGTAAACTTATATATGCGGATATAAGCAGGTGTTTCCCGCAAAATGTCGGAGTCCAGATATGGGCGAAGCTTTGGTCTCTACAAGACAAGGCTGGGGAGCTGATAACTTGATAATAACCGATGTTTTGAGCTCTCTCAACTTCAGACTTACTTTCCTAGCCATGAACTAATTATTTTAGAGCAGATACATCGCGAATGATGGAGACTTTCCCCGGAATCTGCCAGGGGTGCAGAGGGCCGCCTTTGTAACACACTCTCCTTTTCTCTTAGGATAGAATGGTGTCGAGTCAGCTCTGGCAGACGCCTCTCAAATGAATATTGAGGAAAGCGTGGAAGCCACAGCCGAGCATTCCATGAATTTGGTATAAATTATGTACATGGCGTCCATGAGTTGCACGAAGTACGGAGCACAAATGTGAAGCATGGGGAAACATGCAAGCTAAACCTAAAAAGGAAGCTACTAACGCAGATCGGCCAATCCTGCGTCGATATTAGCGTTGCGCTCTGATTGGATAATGCATACGGCTGTATAAAACAAAATCAATATAAAAGCCGTATGAGCCAGTAGTCACAGTTACACGAAAGGAGTAGAAATGGGAGATTTTCTGCTTCGGTTCCCCAAAACGGAGTATAGGAATTTTTTTTCACCGTATTCTTCAGAAAAGCCATACAAACTGCGCCGCCGGTGGGCGCAATGGGTCAAAATACTACTTGACTTGGTAGCTGTCTCGACAACAGATATTATTAGTATTGTTCATGTTTTTTGCCCATATCCAGCTATTCTAGCTATGACAGACACCCTCACCGAGGCCTTGATAAATTATGCATAGAGGCCTTTATAGGCTATATTCACATAATAATCACTGGATGGGGAAGAGGGAGAGCCTTGCGTAGAGCGAATATAAGATTTCCTAAAGACTAACACCCTTTTATTATATAATAGGGGAAGCCGTTGGCCTATAAAGCTGTATTTGGATTAACATTCCTATAGTACCCTCCTACTCAATTAGACTACTTCTAGAGGCCTTCAGTAGTGCACTGCCAACTACACCACCAACGGGCTCGACAACAGGTACTCTCTAGACGGAAAATAATTATTGGTACCGACGAGGAGACAAAGAAAATGCAAATATTGAGGAGAAATATTGATTAAAAAAGACATTCATATGCTAAGCGCTTGGGGCAGTAGTGAAAGAAAACCCGTGACTGCCTCAAGACCTAACTGCGCCAGTTCAACTGTCAGTTTCAGTCTCAAGACCCAGAATTGAGTGCCTTGAAAGAAACTGGGGAGTCAATTTCTTTATTGATTGAAGGTGGCATGGCCTGCGGGTCTTGATGCCATGAAACGGTAAGGGTATTGGGTTTCCCCAACCTGAGGGTCACTTTCTTCAGCCAAGACTACGTAGCACGGAGCCTGCACGTCTAGCCTGTGAAGGACTTTCTCTATTTCTCAAGGTAATCAAAAACACGAAGCGAAGATTCTAAGCTCAGTATAAAATGACACTGTCTAAAGACGAGAATCCAGCTGCAACTCCGCCTTCATTGCTCTCCTTGCCCTTCGTTCGCATCAACCATCCACCTTCCTCATTATGCAGTATCTCGCCATTTGATTTCCATAGAATAGTACCAAATATACCCAGCTCTCCAACGACGTTCCCACTGACAACCTCCCCATCACTGCGAAGGACCACATTACTAGCCTCCGTTGGCGGCTGGATCAGCTCCATCAACACCCATCCTTTCCAGTCACTTTCCGGCATCGATCGGAGGAAAGCTGGTATGGCGTCCTTATAGATATTATTGCCACCACCTTCCCTTTGTGGCTTGAGGACGTGAAGTGCGGCCCTTTCGGGGTTGAGGGCAAGTTCTCTCCCGCGGCTATTAGATGAGAGATCGTATTGTGGTGCAAATGTTCGACGCAGTTGTTCTTGGGTCTCTTCTGTAGGCACGAATCTCGAGAGGTGGTCTGGTCGGTTGGGATCGGCAAGAACTTGCTGGATCTTCTTGCAGCCGGATAGCTGATTGAGTACCGTAGGGCATTTAATCGCCGCAGACAGCTCGAGCTGGAGCCTGGCGCTCCAATCGCGGTCACTTTTGTAGTCAGTTGGCGCGTAGAAACTCCTCAAGTAAACTGTTGTCACTTCGAATGGACTATTCTCTGCGTGGGGTGGATTATATATCAATGGCCTGAGCGGATTGTTCTCTGCGATAGATGTTCGGTCCAAAATTTCACTTGTGATCAGCCGAAATACCGAGATTTTGTGAAAACTTGATAATCTTGTAGATAATGCCAATTGGTCGAAAATATTACGTTCGCCTTCTTGGACGACGAACAAAATACAGAGAGGAAGCGGCGGTGTCGATTTTGACGGCCCATATGCTTGATGTGCTGCGGCTAATCCTGCGCTTAGGGTTTCGACAGCCGTATTCTCAGGAGGCACTCTTCCGTCAAATAATGGATGTGCCGGATAACTTAGAGAATGCCCAGGTGGTGACGTGAGGAGTTCTGAGTGTAAGGCTGCCACACGAGAAGACAGTCCACCGAACGAGGATGAAATGGTATTAAATTCGACCTGTTTCAGGGATGAGGTCTGCGAGCCAGAAAGCGTATGTGGCATATAATCCGACCGGAAAAGTCCCAGAGACAAATCTTGCACATAGCCTTGTTTCTGCACAGCAAGATGGACTTTCCAGAGCTCGGCAACGAAGTCGTCGACATCGATCAGCCTACGACGCGGTCAACTACTGCTTATAGATATAGGTCTATGAGCCATCTCCTTTTTCTAATTTTCTTCCTTCTTTTCGTCTTCTTCTTTGCTCTACTTCAAAGGCTTGGGGAAATCTCACTCTTCAATAACCTCACCAAGCCACTTCTCATCCATCGTTATACGCGCATATAGCTCGTTATACACCTTCTGCGCTGCCCTGGCTTCTTCAAAGCATGCCTTGGGGAACGGGCTGGGAAATAGCGTGACGGGAGCATTAGTTGCTAGCACACCTTTTGACACTGCCTCTTGAGAGACAAATGTTACTGGCGGTCTGACAGTCAGGCCATGCTCGATTGTCCAGTCTTTGATTGTCGAAACAAGAAACTGCTCTTGCGCAGGACTCAACTTCGGAGGATAAGTGCTATGAACCGAGTCGGCGGCCATCTCTAAAAGACTGATTTGTGTAGAATTGTCCACCCTAGCATTCCCCTTGGGCAGTTAGTCTTTGGAGAACAAGAATTGCTGTGTCAGACCCTCAACATGGCGTGAGAGAACATCAAAAATAGCCCATTTCTAAGCTGCGGGGCTCTTCCTCAACCCACCTTCCCGATTTGCCTAATCGTAGAGCCGCCTAATGCACCGCCTTCATTCTGCCATGCAAAAAGACGCCTCGGCCCGATTTATTTTTACAAAGGCGAAGCGCGCGACGAGACACGTCCAAGTTTCAAGTCGTTTGCGTCTTCCGACTGTGCGCGCATTTGCTTGTCGCTCGTCAGAGTTGAGGTGCAAGGCTTCTCGTTATCTTCACATATTTTAACCCAACTTGGTGACTCTCGTTATAATCCCTTTATCCGGTCGACTCGCTGCGAACCCCGAGCTGCGGGTTTCAAACTGAGGTTTATCCAAGGCGGAGATACCTTGGTGATTTGTCTCACTTTCGATGCCTTGGAAACTAACGTGGAACCGTTTGACACGACACAACAGGCCAATGTTAAGGAAATTCCGACGACCAGATCTCAGTCATGGATCAAGATCAGGATGATCCGTTCGACTGGTCTGTCGATCAGGTTGTGCAATATCTTTGTCGCAATGGATCTACTCCGTGGTCCGTTTCGAAGAGTCCGAGCCCTCTACCAGACCGAAAGCCTCTCGAGGCTGCGCTTCGCGAACACGGAATCACAGGAGAGGTACTACTCAATGCGCGTCTTGAAGATTTCCTTAGAAATAGTCTGAAACTCAAGGAGGGTCCCTATTACACGGTCAGTAAGGCGATTCAATATGCTCAGCGTCTCTCTGCAAAATATCAAGCTCTACAAAATCAGGAACGGTCGCAGTTTGCCTCTACAATGCTTCCTATGATGAACAACGATCAAGCTTGGGCACATCCTTTCAACCCTGCTCGGATATACAATTATACACCTGCCACCTTCCATTTTTCTCAATCCACATTTTGGGGGAATCCTTCTATAGCGGGAAATGAGGGGGACAGGTTACCAAATGAGCAGCTCCTTGCTAACTTGCAGGCTACACAAATCCCATCATCGCCTCGAATAGCCGAGGTCGATGATGTCGAGTTACGTGATGCCCGCGTCGAGAATGGTGATGGAAATACAGGTCAGGCAGCCTCGCCCATATTGCGTTCGAATGAAGCTATCCACATTGATGAACACGGTCGAAAGCGGAGAAGACTAAATCTCACTTCAAATGAACCGCATCCCTCAAAAACACCAGCATCACAAGAAAGACGGACAGAGATATCAGCGCATACTTCTCCTGAGTCTTGGTATATGGGACCTGATAAGATGGATACTGCAGATATTTTCTACCCAATCCAAGCCGATTCAAAAAGTGACGATTGGTCCTTTTCCTTTTCTAAACGCTCTCTTGGTCAAAGACTTTTTGTGAAAAGAAAGCTGTTACGTTTTTTTCGCAAGCAAGCCGTATACTTGCCATCACAGAAAGGGACTCGTCGTTTCGCTGTGTTTCCTTATGATGAAGATGAAGCAAACCGTGGCAAGCCCAGATACTATACAATGTACACATCACACAAAGGTACCACGAAAGTCAACATGAAGTCCACCGCTGATCCTGATCACGAAGTCGAGGATCAGAGCTCGCATGTCCAGACGGCAAGTCCTTACGATTACCTTCTCCAAAAGTATCCAGTTAAAGAGGATGGGGATATATATCCTGTGTTTGGTGATTCTGGCTCAGAAGGCGAATATGACTCTGATACGTGGCGCGAAATAGAAGATGAAAGAGAACAGGCGACAGTTCGAGGTCCAAGATTTCTGTCGATGCAGCAGGTAGATTCTATAATCGATCAATGCATCAAAAACTACGAGGAGCAATGGAGGACCAAGAACTTGCCTAAGCTGGAACTCGAAGCCCACAGATTATGGGTAGATGCTCTTCGGAACCGGTGTCGTAATGCCCGCATTAAGATCATGTTGGATGGCATCGAACGCCTAAATTTACGGCTGAGAAAAATTAGAAAAGAACTTCATGGTCATGAATGGATGCAGCGTGTCCATCTGGAAAACCAGTGCGAAAGCATGGAGCGAACAGTCTTCGAGCTCGAAGATCAGAAGCGGCGAATTGCTATTTTGGAGTTACCGCGATGCCCTCCCAAGCCTTCTTTGGAACATCGTATAGCTGCAAAGCCAAGAAAGAGAATTGTTCGGACTCCCCCAGAGGAAGAATCACTGGGATCTGACTCCGATGATGAATCGTTAGGAGACTTTATTGAGGATAATATGGATCTCGATATTGATAGTGGCCCCAGCACGGATGCAGCACCGAATGGTGAGCACAACGCTGATACTCAAGCAGCGGTCGACATTCCCAGTACTACTACAGATTCTCACATCCTCAGTGACTCTAATAGTCCTCATGCTCGGCGGAAATCTGCTCGAGCGGACATTACCAACAAAGAATTCATTAATGAAAACAACCATGATAGCGAGTATGCAGGTGCCCAGCGTCGATTAGGCTTCTACTATTCATCTGGTAGCGACTCAGACGAGTACTCGCCGCAGCCAACTATTAATGTGGCTGGTCACGATGTCGAAGTCATTGATCTGACCATGAGCCCCAAATCGAAATCGGATGTGCCTTTGAATATTGTACGACCACTAAAGACGAAAAGCCGGACTTCAGGAATTGACAACAATGTGTCGGTGGTTGTTCCCTCTTCGCAGAAATCAAATATTTTTTCAGAATCCGATGTCAAAGAAGATCCTGAATCAAAACACGCCCGTTCGGGAGAATATAAGGACAAAAAGAAAGGTGATTTTCCTTCAGGTCGCCGTCCGAGCCGAATAGAACTTCTGGAAATGATGATACAGGGGCTCCCCGAGAAAACTCGCTCAGCAATGATCGATCGCCTTCCCACATATTCGGAGAGAAGGCTCAAGCATGTAGTTAAAGGAGCATTGAGAGCCCTTGACAAGGACAAGCGCCATGTACCAGGAATGAATGATGACGATAGTGACTTGGTGATGCGAGCTACAGTTTTATATATTGCATGGGTCAATTTGCGGCAATTCAACACATCCGGTATTGCTAAAACATCAATCAAGAAGACTATCGACAACATTGAGAACCCTGAAGGTGACAGTAGCGTTAATTTCGCTGAATACGTTTCACAGCTTTTTCAGTTACTTGATCAATACAATCCGAAGCCCACCAGCCCTAGCACAGGTGACTCCGATGAGGAGGAGCTGGTTTCTTCTTCTCGGTCGCCACATAAGAGAAAGAGACACCTGAAAGAAGACCAGGCAGTGAAAAGTGGGCAGGTCGCTGCTAAGCAGCGTGTCGAGCACCAAGAACAGCAGCGGAAAATGTTGGAACAACGTCTGGAACGAGTTGGAGTTAGCAACAGTGATCCAGAGCACCAGGCCGTGAGCTTTGAACAGCCAACAATATTTCTTCACCCTCATATTGGGCGACGCGTTAAGCCACACCAACTCTCTGGCATTCAATTTATGTGGCGTGAGCTGATACAGAACGAGAAGCGGGATGGCTGTCTCCTGGCGCACACCATGGGTCTAGGGAAGACCATGCAAGTGTAAGTAGCACAAACACCCCATATGTTTACTTCACAAACTGACACTCGTTGTACTAGAATCTCTCTACTGGTTACTATTGCTGCCGCTGCAAATTCTCCAGACCGTGCGATTCGCAATCAAGTACCGGATTTTTTCCATCGTTCTCAGACGCTTATATTATGCCCCCCCTCATTAATTGACAATTGGTATGAGGAATTTTTGATGTGGACACCAAAGGAACACGCCTTGGGCCCAATACGGAAAATTGCTCCCTCAGATCACCCTAGCACCAGGATTTCCACGGTCGAACAATGGCATACGGAGGGAGGTATCTTAATTTTGAGTTACCACCTGTTCCGTAACTGGGTCGAACAGAAAACAAGGAAAAATCAGAAATATGCACCGGAAGCACAGGTTCTGCCACAAGTGAGAGAATACTTATTGAAGGATCCCAGAATAATTGTTGCCGATGAGGCGCACCAAATGAAAAACAAGGACTCCGTATTAGCTCAGGCAGCATCCCTGCTACAATCGAAGAGTCGTATCGCACTTACTGGTTCTCCTCTGGCAAATAATCTCATTGATTATTATGCGATGGTTAACTGGATTTCTCCAAAGTACTTGGATAAGATTGACGTCTTTCGTGCCAGGTATCTTGAGCCAATTGAACAAGGGCTGTTTGCCGACAGCACATATTTTGAACAGCGCAAGTCGCTCAAAAAATTGCAGATCCTGAAGGAGATTCTGAATCCCAAGATAAACCGAGCAGATATCTCCGTTTTGGAAGGCAGTTTGCCAATGAAGGTTGAATTTGTGATCACTGTGCCCCTTACCGAAGTTCAGAAGAAAGCCTACAATCAATATGCAACTTCACTTTTGGATGCGAAATCAGGGGCATCATCGGTCTTGAGCACTACTCTCCTCTCTTGGTTGGCTGTCTTAGGACTATGCTGCAATCATCCTTCCTGTTTCTATGACAAACTGGCCAAGAGAGCTGAAGAACTGGCCCCTAAAAATATAAGTGAAGAACTTGCCGATCAGGAAGCATTCCCAGGCGAAGTGCCGTTGAGCTCGCTTGGTTTTAACGAAGCTATGTGGGCACCTCAAAAGGAGCTTTTATCAACTGTCCCTGATCTCGACCACCCGAGACATTCCTATCGAGCAGAGATATTTAGAAGAATCGTCGAGGAATCTGTGCGCGTTGGTGACAAAATTCTTTGCTTCTCGCAAAGCATTCCAACACTAAATTACCTTGAGAGGCTTTTGCAGTCATATAGCATTAAGTTTAACCGATTAGATGGTAGTACTGCAGTCCGCACTCGCCAGGCAGCTATCAAGGAATTCAACAACCGGGAAGATATCAAAGTCTACCTCATATCCACACGTGCAGGTGGGCTTGGGTTGAATATCACTGGCGCAAATCGTGTGATCATTTTCGATTTCGGCTTCAATCCTACCTGGGAAGAGCAAGCTGTTGGTCGAGCATATCGCCTAGGACAGAAAAAACCGGTCTACATATATCGCTTTCTGTCAGCGGGGACTTTTGAAGAAATCATACACAACAAATCAATCTTCAAAACTCAATTAGCAATGCGTGTGGTTGACAAAAAGAATGTCCAACGCTCCGCTTCAAAGTCCCTTGGAGAATATTTGTTCCCTGTGAAGGACTCACAGAAAGAAGATATTTCCGATTTCATTGGCAGAGATCGTGATGTTTTAGACAAGATTCTCTTAGCCAATGACCAATCTTCCACCAGCATCTTGAAAATTGAGCTGACAGAGACATTTCGTCGGGAGCACAATGAGATGCTTACAGAGGATGAGAAAAAGGAGATGGAACAAGAGCTTGAAATGGAATTGCTAAGAATGTCTGACCCAGCTGCGTACGAGCGAAAAATGTTGGAGGCAACGATGGTCTATCCTAGTCCAAACGCTGGCGCTGTCAACAACTATAACATCGCATATGACAGGCCTATGGCGACACCTCCTTCCACGCAACCTGACAGAGCCTTTTTCAGGCCTCCGCCATGGGCTGATACGAATCCACCTTCAGCCCGGTCAGCTAACCCAACGCCTTCGCCATTTGTTTCAGGAAGTAACATCTCTACTCCATTACCGTTCAGCCAGCCCTCTTTCAGAATACCAGCTCCCGGACCAATGTCTATGCCTATGCATCAAAATATAATTTCCACGCCGACAAACAATAAAGGAAACAACCCTCAAGACCCGGAAAGCATCGCCGAAGCGTATTTGAAATCGATCAGCGCCCCGAGAGCCATCAACAATAAAAGCCACAGTCCTAGTCTTCCTCCTCGTTCTCGTCCCCCTTCTTCGGAGATTAGACAGCCATCGAGCTCTTTTACCACACCGACAGTTAGCAATACTCCCAATCCCACCTCCCTCCTCACCCTCCTCCATCAGAAGCTGCAATAGCACACGGTTTACCACGTCCTGTCTCTGCGGAAGCGTTGACTGCTCATCTCGATGCCAATGTGTGAACTTATCAAAGGGGCCTCTCAGATCCTAACGACGTTATGAAAATTTCCTGTACTCTTTACGATTAACTAACCTTATGATACCTATTCTTTCCATAGAAGAAATAATACACAAATGTAATATGAGAGATTAAACTATATAAATCTAAAATGCTTACATAAAATTCTAAATCAAAAAAATATAGATATTTTTGATAGAAATAAAAACTTCTGTTTAACATTATGAAAATACTTAAAAGATAATGTTTGATGACCTCTAAATACTTATTCAATCAGCTTCTAGAGTTGGCTTCTGTCGCTACGACCAACACGTTGGAGTTCCTTAAAGTCGTCAAAGGCCAGAACTGAGCGATCGAGTTCGATCATCCTTGCACAATCACCGTATACAGAAACCGCCTCAATGTGCGTATGGATATCCTATCAGATAGACTATTCTGATTATGCCAAGATCGCCACTGCTACTATTTACCATTTGAGAGGGCTTCCTTCAAGAGGCGACTTCACATACACCTAGTTTAGCCTCGGGAGCATCATATGCAGTGGTCATCGCAAATTAGCAGTGTCGGCAACTCATTGGCCAAAAGGCTATCCGTCTTGTATTGCTGTTCGAGGTCAATCACGGAGTTTCGTGGTTGTATTAGTTCGATGTCTTTTTGGAGGTCACCCGTGAAGGCTTGAACATGGATATTCCTGCACTTTTGCTTCCAAAGGGACACAGCATTGTCATCGAAATTCGCTTGATACAGTAGTCTTTTGAGATCTTGAGTAGTGTCGTTTGAGGGAAGAATATTATCGACATTCGTATCGTCTGGAGTGTCTGCCGAATCTTCTGGGCTGCTGCAGGGACATCTATATCTTTGATCTCCTTTGCTATCAGAGGGGGCAAGGCAGGGAGCAAGGTCTAGAGCCACGTGCTCGTCGCTATTTGAGTGTCTTGCGATTCCTATATGTCTAGATTATGATTTAACAACAAAATATCAACCAGTAAGCCATCAGAAAGGGACCCCTTAATGGGGCTTCTGGTAATGCTTATTTTATGTGTAAATAATGTCATATATTTCGTTTTCATGATTGTAGCAAAGCTTGCAACCAAGTAGTCAAGGAATAAAGATAAGAAACAGGATGAGGGATAGAGGGGAGTCAGGCGTATTGATATTCCTTTGTTGATGCCTTGACGTATACAATGATAATATCCTGGGCGCCGATTACGGAGAGGCCATCTATTCTGCCAGCAACTCTTCGCATTGGATGAAGTATTGAAAGAAGGAATTAGAAGCAATGACCTATCGGCTCTGTGCGCAATAGTTGGGATTTCTTCTAGATATATCTGGATTGTTACTCACAAACTTTCTTGGCAATATGAATCAACCTCTTTTTACCTAATTTCAAGACTCTATATGACAGCGCTAGTTTATTGCACACACCAACCGTTACCCCTGCCATTCCACTATCTTTCAGATAGATTTCCCCCTCAACCCTTCCAAATTATTTAGCAAGGCTCTTTACTGTAGCAATATCTAGTTAAAAAACCCTATTGAAGTTCTTTCTAGTTCTTTATTATCAGATAGCCACCTGATCGTATTTCCCATAGAATCTTTCAGAGTTTTAGTCACAAGACCTTTATTCGTTTTTGTGATGTTGAATGCTTCAATGGTACTAGAAGTCCCTCGCTATCTCCGCCCTCAGGGAGCGCCCTCGTGGTGAGTTTTGGTTAGATCTTGTTATTGTCCGGAGTATCTCGCCGTTTGGAGATGTCTGATTGGCAGTTGATTTTGACGAATCATGATGTGTTCCCCGGACCCACACTACGGCAGCCTATAGGTACGTTAAGCTTGGAGGACAAGTTGATGGAGCTTAATTTGACCTCAGGCCTTTTTCACTGTCTCACATTAATACACAGAAAATGAAACAAAGAACAACATATATAACTGCCCCGGAAGCAGCATTCGATCCAACAAAACAAGCTATCTTCAGCAAAGACACTCTATCGATCCGAGGTCTGGACGCGGCCAAAGAAGAGCGCTTTACTTTCACCTCCAAAGAGCTGCCTACCGAGGTAAGTGTATACATTTCTTTATTTTTCTCCTATGGGTATCGGGAAATAGATTCAACATATTAGGAGGTTGAAGCTAACAGTTATTTGTGCCATTTGTGGAAAGTAGCTCATAGAATTTCTACACACAACACGTGGACTTCATATACGATGGAGCACTGAACGTAACTACGATTCCGTGGCGCCGTTTCTTGCCCGCACATCTCCGGGCTTACATGTTTATTACACGCCGTCAGATAATGAGGAGCATACGTGCGTGCGATGATTTTGGCCTCTGCAATATACCCTATGCTTACCCTCCCGTGTGAATGTTTGCAGAGATCGAATATGCCCGTTACTAAAAAGGTTGTTTGGAACCATTATTAAATGCAAATCGCAAGAAGAATCATTCTCTGAAGCCCCGGTTTTGACGGAAACCCCCTCGTCGAATCCGTCCCTCCAGTTCCACCATGTCTTGCCCTCAATCGACCAGTTCGTGGGATATCTTCGGCATATGGTGTGCGACCTGAATGATAGTGAATGTGCCGACTATCTTTTATTGGCTGATTTTGTCGCTATTGACTATGATCCTACAACACAAGCAACCTCAATATCCGCGTTCTGGTCGCAACCGCTTTTGGGAACTACAGGCTGGACGGAAGATATAACAAGAAAACATGGATCTGCCGAGAAGGTAGAAGTAGGTCTACTTTCGAATGAAAGGGCCGTTGATCCTGAAGATATCTCACTGGGAGGGTTCTTGACAGTAGTCGGCCAGGATAACAAGCTAAGTATGCAACTACCAGCCTCTCATATGCAAGCTTGGATTTTTTGGGCTAATTCTGAATATACAGAACCTACATTGTTCTCTTTTCCTTCGCGACATCACACACTTCCAGGCGATGCTACTTATTTCGTAGCCTTTGAAACGCCGACGGGGTTACATCCTACGTTAAAGATTTCAATGCCCCCGTCAGCTCTTACTCGCCCGCCTGCCCCCGAAGATACGACTTGTACTCTCCATACGTATCTGACACTTCCTTCTACTATATTTGCGGACAAGTATCAATTATCTACAAAAGATCACTTGTTTCTAACTTCACATAACCTGGTAGGTCTACGAGCTGTTTCTGGCGAGACAGATCTCGAGGCCCCCGACTGGGTACTTCCAAGCTGGGGATCTAATCTACTTCTCGAAATCGCTACACCTTCTGAAGGTCAGGATATAGGAGGCAGTAGTGGTAGCTGGGACGTAACCATTCCTTTACATCTTCGATACCTGAAGCCATCTGAAAGCGGGCATCAGTTGGCATCAATACCATGGCCGATTGTCTTCTGGGCTTGCAGTGCCGAAGACAGCACAGAGATGGGTAAAAACCCCTTTGACCTTGTTGATCTTGGCTACGATGCTCTTTTTACTCCGAGGACGTTCTTCTTTCACCTTCACCCAGAAAGCAATGACCCTTCTAAGTTGTCTTCTGGGCGGGCACTGATGCAAGAAATTAGTGTCCCAGTGCTGAAGGCCGCCACGGATAGCGAGCGACCATATGGGGAGGCAGCATCTCGAGTAGAGCTGGGCACGGTAGTTGCTATTACCATAGGATTCATATGGGTCTTGTGGAAACTGATATCCATTTTCATATTTCGTGGAATTGAAGACTCACCTCGCAGCTCACCAGAGTCGACAAGAAAGGCAGACAAAAAGAAGAAATAAATTAATACCAGATGAATAACAACGCATGCTAGTTGAGCTGGAGCTAATGCTGACCGTTTTAAACAGCTTATTGAATGTGAGACTTGTCCTCTATAGAATAGTGGTTATGCACATGTGTCAACTGCCATAATACCTTGCATTTTTGCATTCCGAACAACATCATTTTATCCAAGCAGTAAAAGCGTGTCCACACAAATACATTCAGTGATTGACTAGTGCTTCTGGGTGCGAAATTACTGAAGTAAGCCCTTCAAGTATGCGAAAGCCTCTCAAATAGCCCCCAACGAATATCTCCCCATATGAAGAATGTCCATAGCTACCAGCATGACTATGAGATGCTTATTTATATGTTGGAATTGCTCATGCATAGGAACCTAAGACCAAGTCACGACCAATAAGTCTTGATGCTAGTAGTTCAGGTTCTCTGCCGCTTGCATGGACCGAGTCAGGTTTGTAGACAAAATACATTTCGTGTAAGTAGATGAGACTCAGTAATTTCCGATAAGAACTGAGAGATGCAATGAAATCGACGAAAGTGAATGTAGGATGATTCCTAGATGACCGATGAAATCTAGGCGACAAAGGTTCTGTTAAACGTGAAGTCAGGTGTTGTTTCCAATTGTTCTTCGGCGAAAGACTCAAGGTTATAAAACGTGAGGTATCAAAGCCCACGTAATCTCGCGACATGTTTATATATATAGTAGCAATAAAGCCAGCTTTATAGCCCTAGAACTTTTATGCATACAGTCCCCATAGTAATAATTACTAGTATTATATAAGATTTTTTTGACAGCAGAACAATTCTTACTTGTACGAGTAATCTGACCCCCATATAACCGCTAGATATCCATGACCTATTCCGAGAAGCAAACACTCGTAATACAAATCATCACTCACAATAAAGGTAGTTTTGAACAAATCATCGTCAACGACAAAGGAAGCATTACTTTGAAAAAATGCAGCTTAGATGCATCGCCCTTGTCTTTGCCTATATCCTGTTTAATGGCCTGATGGCCTCTCCCTTGGCATTGCGAGTCTCGAATTAAAGACATATTCCCAAAGACTATATCGAACTATTTTGCGAACCTACCAAAACATTTAGCGGTAAGCTTGTTTACCACGACTCTTCGAACAGCACTGCTTTTGAAAAGCGCTCTGCAACACCCGAGTGCCACAGTAACCACGAAGCCCGTAACGACCCTTGCGACGAGCTAGTGATCGAGCTTCAAGACGATGGACATGTTTCGGTTCCTCAGTCCCCTCGCCAGATTTGTTATGAAGGTGCTTCCGGACACGATCAATACTGTTGTGTCTCTTGGCACAATAAAGTGCCCGACCTTAAAAAGCTTGAATTGTACCACCATGCCTATAGCAGTAGGTTCAGCTTTTACTTTCGTTCTTCCCGCAGTGCCTAAAATAAGCTATTGAGTATTCCTTGTTGCTTGTAGGTTTATATGCTGACCTCTCCTAGTCATGACAAAGTGTACCTCCAATGGTATTTCTGGCAGAGTCAACAATGTTAAGGTCCACCAGACTTGTACTAATTGTTTGCTTGTCAAATAGTGAAACTAGCCGCTAGGTGAAAGATTTCGTGTGCATAAAACATGGGGCAATCTCGTCGGACCAATGTATTTTATATCGTGATATGTTGTCAAGAAGGATTGGGTTCTGTTTTTCATTGCACAACTTTAAAGCCTATTTGACTATTCATTTCTCGAGTTGCATTGTTTCACTGACAATTAGATAACAATAGCAAGTTTGACAGAACTTTGTAGTGCTTCCTCATTTCGTACATATCCTAGGTATGCATCGGAATCGTATTCTCTGGATTTCCAGGGCTAGGGCCAAAGAATTATATTGCGTTCTTGTTCATATGATGTACGTAATCTTGTAATTTGTTCACTGGTATTAGCTGCATCGCATTAAATCCTGAAGCTTGCATGGAGAAGATGCTAGGATGCTGTTCCGCTACATAGTATTGCAGCTCTTTTCAGGGCTTATATCACATTTCTGATAATGCTGACAATGACGGTGATCCTTGCTGATACCACTTTTATGGATATTCATCGAACTATGGTCATATGTAATTACCTGCATGGTGACCTTCTATGACTTAGGTAGGGTTAGTGGTTGATTCGACGTCTTGTCGCTCTATATAAGGACAAGGCTTGGAAGCCAAAATAACTACGTGGTCTTCACCATCGATGTATCGTAACGTCTAATTCATATTGACAGGGATTAGCAGAGTTATTCCTGATTTACTCTCGAGCGACTCAGCGCGTGCTACCCGAATCGGTCTAGTTCCTTTCCAGATATTTTACATCTCGCGCCCTCCCCAGACGACCATCTTTGTTCAATATTCTTGCCATTTTTTCATCCTAGCCGTGACGCGTGTGTTGCTATTCTGCACCGACGAAGCGGCCAAGCCTGCAAGTCTAACCCACAGCACATATCAGCACAGAAAAACTGATTAGAGTTTGTAGGTCGCTCGTGAGGTTTTGAACTTCAAGTATGGACCTCCACCAAATATATGCACACAGTATTATCTCGTCGAATCGATTTGCCAGAAGACCGATCCATATTCAAGACAGAGCTTCAAGATGGTGACTCTTTTGAGAGCGATTTCATCGGTGCATCGCTCCAAGACTGCCAGGCGTGGGCCCTATAGAAGCAATTCCAGGTCAACTATATCGAACAGTATATCATTGGCATCATGGACGCGCGCAGCGCTCAAGATAAAACAATCCTGATGTCGTGCTATATTTTCCCTCAACTGTGTGAACCTCCTTTGCTGGAATTTCCACTTTTCGGCACTCTTCCAAAGCCACAGACCGCAAATACCTGGATCGACTATAGAATCGAGTATTCCGATGCCCCCTACGCTCCAAACTTTCTGGAGCTATGGTGACCCAGATGTCGTCTACCCTGCTTACCCGGGGAGCAAAGAGAGCTTTACGGATGAGCGAGGCGTTTTCAACGTGGCTATGGCTGAGGAGTTCTGCATTACATACAATCCTGATGATTATTATGCGGGCCCATCCAGGCTCTGATATGTTTTTCAATGTCATCACTAGTGGGAGGATCAAGGGAGAGTTCAAACAAGGAGTGATGGATCAAATGTGCTGCAAAGCAAGCACCTGTAGGATAACAGTCGTCGCATGATGAATCTCGAAGACTCGTCTTTGGCTATTTCTTTTTGTCTGCCCCCGCAGCTTTCGACCATGGTAAACACTAAGCTAAACCTGACCGCCAAAGCGAGCATTTTAGGGCTTGCAACGCTGGGAGTGAGTCACTCCTAAATCGGCGAGCGGAAGCGGGCCCGACAGTAATCGTGCGCCGTTGATTGGCTGCCGTACGTCAGAGCGGTGAGGACTTCGGCCGCAGTGAAAAACTTCTTCTTTCTCTCTCCATCCTCTTCTTCCTTCTCCATCCATCCACCCAACAACAACAACACGCTTTTCGACCAGACCACGTCAATTGCACAGAGGACTATTTCTTCTGTCCCACCCTCAATTTCTAACCAAGTCATCTCCCACCCCCGCCAGTTACTGGTGAGACTTCAGCAACCGCGCTTATGCGTGTAATCGTCTCCATCTTCACTTCTCAGGTAAGTCCCTATTCGACTGGACTGAAAAGTCGTCGTCGAAAGGTTTCGATATGCTAATTCGTATCTCCTTTCAGGACTATATTTCGGGTATGGTGCATCTTGGATATCCAACTTCGTCTTGGATCATGTCGGAAGTGCTTGCCACTAACCATCAAACAGATCACCTTTGGAAAGCCCGCATTAATTAATTTGCGTCGTCCCCTCTATCTATAAATCTCTTTGAATCCTTCTCCATCATCATGTTTGCTCAACTCTTCCGGACGACCACCATCCGTGCCACTCCTGTGGCTTCGGCAAAGGCGGCCTTTCCTCAGGCCCGGTTTCTGGCCACCGTCGACCGCCGCTTTGTCTCTACCCGGCGCTTCGAGCCAGCCACCTTCACGATCCGAAATGGTCCTGTATTCCATGGCAAATCCTTCGGTGCCAACATGAACATTTCTGGCGAAGCTGTTTTCACCACTTCATTAGTCGGATACCCCGAATCCCTGACTGACCCTTCCTACCGTGGCCAAATCTTGGTCTTTACCCAGCCATTGATCGGCAACTATGGTGTACCCTCAGCAGAGAAAGACCCAAATGGCTTGTTGAAGTATTTTGAATCTCCCAACTTGCAGGCTGCTGGCGTTGTCGTCGCCGATGTCGCTGAACAGTACAGTCACTGGACTGCCGTTGAGAGCTTGGGTGAGTGGTGCGCTCGCGAAGGCGTTCCCGCCATTTCGGGAGTTGATACCCGTGCCATCGTAACTTTCCTGCGTGAGCAAGGTTCTTCTCTTGCTCGTATCACAGTTGGTGAAGAGTATGACGCCGACGAAGACGAGGCCTTTGTCGATCCTGAACAGATCAACCTGGTCCGTCAGGTCAGCACCAAGGCCCCGTTCCACGTCAGTGCTGCCAACCCTGAATGCCATGTTGCTTTGATCGACTGCGGTGTCAAGGAGAACATCCTCCGTAGCCTTGTGGGTCGTGGTGCCAGTGTCACTGTCTTCCCGTTCGATTACCCCATCCACAAAGTCGCCCACCACTTTGACGGAGTTTTCATCTCTAATGGACCCGGTGACCCAACCCACTGCCAAGATACCGTCTATTATCTGCGCAAGCTGATGGAGACCTCGCAAGTGCCCATTATGGGTATCTGCTTGGGCCATCAATTACTCGCTCTGGCCGCGGGTGCTCGCACTATCAAGCTTAAGTACGGTAACCGTGCTCACAACATTCCTGCGCTGGACCTCACCACAGGCCGCTGCCACATCACCAGTCAGAACCACGGCTATGCTGTTGACGCTTCCACTTTGTCTAGCGACTGGAAGCCTTACTTTGTGAACCTGAACGACTCCAGCAACGAGGGTGAGTCACCTTTCAAATTTTTTTCCCTTTCTGTTCCTTTTTACTGACTATTCTCAGGTATGATCCACAAATCTCGCCCCATCTTCAGCACCCAATTCCACCCTGAAGCCAAGGGAGGCCCATTGGATTCTTCTTACCTGTTCGACATCTACCTTGACAGTGTGTCCAAGTACAAGAAGAACCAGAGCGTTTTCCAGCCCATGCGCGAGAGCCGCCCAAGCCCCTTGTTGGTTGACCTTCTTCCCAAGGAACGTGTTGGTGTAACGCCTACAACGGGACATATCAACACTCTATCTGCCCCAGCACCTGTTTCTGAGCAGGCACCTGCTGCTGCCACCGCTGCTGCTTAAACGGATTATTTAGTGTGCTGTTCATTGGGTAGGGAGGGAGTTCATGGTTTCTGTTTCGTTTTGTGAATTACTTAGGATTGGTCTTTCGTTAGCAAGTAAATAATAGGCTTAACAATTGAATATAGTGTTACGAGTTTTTATTGCGAGGTTTTATACAACATTAATAGAATCCTACAATTGTAAGGGTTGGACCTGAACGAAAAGAAAGACTTGCCATAGACTGGTTCAAGAAAAAATGTATCCACGGATGCATTCGATGGTAGATGTATATAGTCCGCCGTCAGAGAGAATAATTGACATATGTTAGACTCAGTTACAAAACAATCGATTTCTCAAATGCAATGGAACTGCCCTTGCGATCTTCTCACGTTGACTTGAGTGACTCTGGCCGCCACCGTTTTGCAGTTTCTTAAGGGCGTGTTCTTGATTGTAGAGTCATTGTGGGAGCATAGATATAGTACTCGACCGAGCATTGCCCTAAATATCTAGCGGATATATTATACTGATCTGCCAATCTGTATGTCTTTGTACCTTATGGCTAGCACACTTGGATATAGCTATATATATACTTACATCAACATCTATATTATTATGGACTATCTTTTTGATTTTGAAATCTCTGAGCAAGCGTCCGTTGCTTAAAAATGTGGTTTTGATGACGCCTTGAAGACTGGGCGTCCTTCCCTGCAACGATCTTCTTTGGCTGTCTATTGTCGTTACTGATAAGTCGTTGGTAGTCCCAGAACTAGTTATATCATATTCTTATCAGATACGGGGCTGATCTATTCATTTGCTTGTAAGATTGCGACGATCCTTATCCTCGGTTGATCTTTTCAGTTTTCAGGACGAAAATACCATCCAGTCTCTCTAAAGTGTTTTCAAAAGCTTGTCAAGTACCCGAAAATAAGAAAGGCTTATCTCTCAAAATACGACCGGTCTTTGTGCCAGTGAAATGAAACCCGCGGAAATGCTCAGTCATGGTCAACAACAGCCTTTTTGTCTGGCTCGAGCTATATTACAGAAGGGAAGCATTATTGCCACGGACGAACCAAACAGCAAGCGAGTCTTGGATTTATATTAGCGTTTTGTCATAATTATTACTCTGTTGACTTTTCTTTCAGCGTTGACAACGAAACAGATGCTCTCATGCATGAAAGTATTCGAACGGAATGTACAGATTAGACCGTATTCTGTGTCGCACACAAATTGGCCCATATGCTATACTTCGACAAAGCTATTGTGTTACAAGACGGTAGGGTTATTGAGATTGGAGCGCCGACGGCCTTGATGAAGCAATCTCGGTCTGCTTTTCGAGATCTGGGGGCAAGCTCACACAAGAGCAACAACTAACTTAGTATAGAAAGGATGGGAGATCTTATATAAGCCTTGCATAATTACTATGTTTCTTGGATTGTGTGTCAGATAGATCTTCAGTTTTGATTTTGTCCATTGGAACATTCTACACGTATCTATTGAATAGTACTGAGTTAGTCCTAGAGACATCAAATTACCCCATTTTGACACGACGGATACTTTAATAGCAGTTGTGTTCGCTTAATTGAAGCTAACTAGTAATCTGTTAATGATTAAATGTGTGATAACTTGCATATAATTGCTACATAAACAGAAGTATCGCTCACTCAAACGCCATCCACATACCAAACGCCTAATGATGCAATAACAATGACAATGCCAACCAGTAAACACAAAATAGAACCATAATTCAGACATCATCCATCCATTCAATCATTTCAATCATCTCTCCTCGGCTTTTAATTGACTGCTCAAGGCAAAACATCCCTCAAAACATCCTTCTGTGTACTCGTCAAACTTTCGGGGAACTTGACATTTACTCTCACCACCAAATCGCCCCTCTCCGTTGGCTTTTTCGAGAGTGGCATGCCCCAGCCCGGGAAGCGTTCTTCGTGGCCTGGTTGTGTGGGCCCTGGTCTGGAGACGCGGATCGATCTGCCATCGATGGTCTTGACGATGCGTTCCCAGCCGGTTAGGGCTTCTTTGAGGGTGAGGTCGACTGTGGAGATGAGGTGGTCGCCGCTGCGTTTGAAGTTGGGATGCTCTTTCTAGTAATTGTTAATATTACCTTTCAAATAAAAAGAAAGGAGGAATATCAACTTACCTCCGTTACTATTAGGTGTACGTCCTGTCGGCCCCCTTCCTCCTGGTCGCCAACACCTTTATATTTGAGCTTTGATCCTGAGCGCAGTCCGGGCTTAATTTTCGCTTCGAGGGTAACATCCTGCACACTCCGTTTGCCGCTAGAGTCAAATGTCTTGCTCTTCGTTGTAACCTTCTTGGTAACACCGCTGAATATCTCCTCCAACGTGAGCAGCAATGGCTTCTCAACCACCTGAGGCTCAGGGGTGGGATCACGCCGTTGATTAAAAGCGCCCGCACTAGGGCCACCAGAAGTTCTCACCCTGGGGCCACCGCCGCCTAGTCCGGCACTATTGAATATACTGGCGAAGATGTCATCATCGTCACCAAAGGGCATTCCGCCAGCGCCGCTCTTCGCAAAATTTCGGAATGTGTCTTCGGGATTGCTGAAGCTGAATGTTCCTGCTCCTCCGGGCCCAGTGGAGAAGCGGAATGTGCGAGTACCTCCGCCAGGACCACCGCCCATGTTGGTGAAATTAAATCCGCCGGGCATGCCATCGAAGCCTGTCGGTCCTCCGCCTCCACCTGCGGATGGAGGAGGTCCGCCGCGGAGGAGATATTCGAGGCCGAATTGGTCGTATGTTTTGCGTTTTTCAGGGTCGGAGAGGACTTCGTAGGCTTGTGAGACTTCTGTAGAGGACGTTAGTTTATATACAAATAAAATGGCTAGACAAGCTTGTGGGCGAAGTGCATACCTTTGAATTTCTCAGCAGCCTTAGGGTTGTCTTTGTTTTTGTCCGGGTGGTGCTTCAATGCAGCCTTTCTGTAAGCCTTCTTGATATCGTCTTGAGAAACATCAGGTTTGATGCCTAGGGCATCGTAGAGTTTCGTTTCGGCAACCATCTTATATTATCGTTGACGTTATCGCCAAGATTATCCTCCGTTTTGTGAACGGTGCGTGAAGTGAGACCAGACTGTCGCTATCGAAGTTGAGACGAATTGCAAGCAGTCCTAGAATCTTGGATATATAGTTGTGTCGTTGGGCGCAACCACCCCACACGCCTTGTGTGGACTATTTTGACTTCGAAGACAGTAGCAGATTCGGCGGTTCTGATTGGGAGGAATGACTTGAGTTATTAAAGCTGGCTCGAATGTATTTATAGTGATAGAAACAATGGTGGAGAAGTTGGAGGAGTGAAGAGAGGAACAAGACTGAGCCTGAAGGTTCATTCACTCGACGACGTCAACGTCATGAGAGCCTAAACAATGACTTCACGTGCATCGAAAGTTCTCGAAGTTTCGACGCTTTGTGGTATGTGCGGCTTGCGCTATTCCAAAAGCAGACTAGCTTGTATTGCTACCATGAATATTACTATCTTTAACATGTCTGTGAGATGAAGAAATCACTATCGATATCATCTTGCTGAGATGCATGCAGTGCTAGGAAGTGCTAGGAACCCCTCCTTTGGATCGAGTGAGCAGAGTTTTGAATATCGGGATAGAGATGGCTTGCGCAGCCTTTCTCTCAATATGTTTATATGATAGATACAAATAGCCACTACCCGACCACAATCTCGAGACCCTAGAAGAAAGACTCGAAAAATGCTTTCCTCGTCGAATGCTATATTGGCTTCCAAAGGGAAGAGCCACTGGGAACGCCTTGGTTAATGCATGAGCCCCTTTAAGTAGGCGAAGAATGACAATGATAGTCATCCGTCACTGTTAGTAATATTTATCTAAAATTTTCATTCCCGGCTCTTGCAGTGGGGTTGGCGGTATGAGGGAAAACCGAACGGGTAGAGCTAGACCTAGGTCTAGATGTAGGGCCAGAGCAGTACTAGATTCATCATTCTGCTGAATCTCTTGTGGTCAGCTGCAGTAAGAGCAGTCAGGGATGTACATGGAAAATGTGCATGTGTACTTTATAAGCAACTAGCCAAAGGGTGTTGGTGTAGTACGTAAGGTGAAGTCTTCCAGTGGTTTTCGGTAAATTGGTACATCGCCAAATGGCCCGTCACTACGGCCCGGTGTGTCTACAGCTTACATAGGCATAGGCATAGAAAACTGGGTTTCAATGAAGTTTCATTCATTGACTGACTGGTATCACCACATCCATTTCGCTCTCCCGCCACACCGCTCCAAGCGTCCCCGAGCGCACGCAGGCCAATGGCAAAATAATAGGAAACAAAATTTCTTGCTTTTTATTCCATGATAATAATGCATGCGCCTAGTTCCGCAAAAGTATGTATCCTAATAATCGTCGGTGAGATCCCTTTTTCTTCTGAGTCTTTTCTTTTTAATAGAACTCCGGTACCATCACCGTTGACCGTTATTGCAACATAAACAAAATTAAGAAAACCGTAAAAGACATTCAACAAATCCACTCTTTTTTTCGTATTTCTTTAAGCAGACTTGCTCTTAACGGCCTCACGACCCTTGGCGATTCGCTGGAGGATCTGTTCACGGTCTTTGTCGAGCTTGAGCTGGGTGATGACGACATTGGAGGGGTGGATGGGGATAGGGACGCTCTGGCCGTTGGTCTTCTCGCGGACGACACGCTCGATGTGGACAGCCCACTTCAGACGGTAAACGGAGGTGATCTTGCCTTCCCGACCTTTGTTGCTTCCCCGAACGACGGTGACCTGGTCATCCTTGCGAATAGGAATGGAGCGGACCTATTTTTCAGTTCGAGAAAACCTAGCATTAGAAACCGCGCTTTTTCTTTCTCTCGCCTCGGTAGAAATTCCTCGAACGTACATTGTATTTCTGCTGGAGCTCGCTGCTGAGATGAGCGCTGAGAATGACACGGCGCTCGCTGGAGGGAGCGCTGAAGTGTGCCTTGCGCGACTTCCGTCGGGAGGAGGCGAGTTCTGCACGGAGAAACGGGGGATCAGTACAAATCAAACAATTTGAATTTCAGTCGACGATGGACGCACCGTGGTTCCTGACAGCCATCGTGATAGAGCCTCCTGGGGGTATCGTGAACTGTTGTCGTCAGGGTTGGTCGGGATGCGTCTAAAACTAAAAGATTCTTTTGTGGCCGAAAATGTGTGTTGTGCGTCACATGACATGGCCGCTAACTTCGAAGGGAGCTAGCCTTAGCTAGGGCTAGGGTCTTCGTTGTGATTGGCTGATGCCTTTTCCACCCGGGACTAGAGCCGGCTTATCTAATATCGCGAGGATTGAGACTTTTGGACTTCAAAGAATTCTGGTCTGGTTGTAGGACGTTGTCTGTCCCAGCTCGATGAGATACCCTAGAAATTTGACTAATCACTCCACAAGACTTTGTCTCGATTAGCAGCTTGCTCAATACCATAGCCCTGGTGGGAATACTTGCCTGTTCTGATCCATTCTAATAGAAATAATTTCATCGATACCGATCTGTGAAATGGCACCCCTGTTTTCTTGTTCCCTGTTCTGCTACTTGCATAGCTTACTTGACATGGCACATGCAGCACGCTTCTCGACCGAATTCGAACGGTTCTCTCACCGAGCATGAAAGGAGACCTCGATAATACTATAGTTATCTGCCAACCACATTACATACAACTATGGCAGATTCAAGATTCAGTGCTTTTCAAAATTTTATAGTCCTCTTATCTCGTATGCCATAAAGCAACTACTTGACCCAAGGATGAAACACTATATTCGTACACGTATCCCGTGTCTATGCCTAAAAAAGTACATGGTGAAAAGAAAGAAAAATAGACGCTATCAAAGCAATAATAATGCGAGTGTGGATACCAATGCTCAAAAATGACCCTTAACTAATGACCCAATGAACTGAATAGATAGCGCGCACAAAATGAGTCATACGGTCAAACTCCGTCATAGCCAAATGACCATGTATAGATAGCAGATGTTTGCTACATCGGGAATGAAAATCCCCCGGATCGGAGGAGGAGTGGACTCGCTCCCACCGCGACCGGAGAAAAGAACTTGAAATATCTGTCCTCAGGTGATAGTATGATAGATAAAAACAACCAAATATGGATGGGGTTTTCACGCAGACTGAATCAAAGAAGCTGAAATGACAAAGTCAAGGACGGCTATGCCGAGACTCAGCACCCTCATATGTCCGTTGTTAACAGCTCAACAAAGGATGAGCGGATGAAGACATGTCATGATTGATCCGACGTAGACTTGGGTCTAGCCAGCCTTTTTTGACTTAACTAAAGGATTGATCAGTAATTTAGAAAGACGTTTTCATCATGAATGTGATGTCTATTGAAAATAGCGGTATTTGAGAAAGCACATAACAAACAGCGAACTCAAAAAGGCTTCAAGAAGTAGAACCGAAGTGGAAAAAGTCGAAACTTACCCATTCTTTCTTACAGTCACGGTAAGCTCTATATACCCAGACATCAGTCATGCAACCACTGATAAACGGCTTTCAAGGCACGCGGAATCATAACAAGAATATAGCAAACCAAAGCAAAGCTTGACATAGAGCATACTCGCATTGCTTGTGCATATGCAGGAGAAAGACAAGAGAAAACGTATTGAAAACAGAGCGTATACTCACTGGAAATAGTCATGGCACATGTCTCGGTCGCCTGCATTGCGGCGCATGCATTTGATACTCCGGTCTGCGAACTCCTGGCACGGGTCATAAAATTCACTTGCACTTTTACTGCAAGAACAAAAAAGAGTCAAGTCAGTAACAAAGTCCTTGGCATGTGATCAATAGAACAGAGCTTTTGTAGCTGCATTGACTAATTCAGCCGTGTTCATTGGGGATTGGACGCCTCCTTCGGACGGTAGAGTAATAGTGTGTTCCTCCTGGTGGGCGGCAAAAGAGGATGCACCGACCAGGGAAAGAAAAAGTACAATACCAAATCCAACTTAATTGGGGGGTAAATGGGAATGAAAAAAATGGAATTTGTAAAGAATATACATGTAGTTGTTGTTGTTGCATGGGGAAGGCCAGAACTCACCTTTCGAACTTCCTCTCGGCCTTTGCCCATGTAGTGCCATCGTCCCCTTCCTTGGTGGTTGAGGAGGACATATTGTATCTCTCCTTTAGACTTGTGGGACAGTCGGTCAATCGATCAATCAATTGACAGAAGCCGGGGTAGAAGCAAGCAACGGCGAGCAATCGAGAAGCAGCCAGAGCGAGACAGTGGGTCGGTCGATGTGCTTGCACGTGATGCTGCCAGGCGGCTAACTGCATCGGTGCTTGGCCAATCAGAGAGGCGGCCTCAGGCAAAAGCAGAAATCATGTGCAATGCGGCACTGTGATTGGCCACTGATAAAAATATACTGTCGAATCAAAGAGATCGACTATCAGAATCCAACTTACAACTAGAGATAAGATGTGGTTAGTTGGGAATACGTATATTCTTTCGCTTGTTTTATGTTCCGTACTATGTGGTTCATTGTTTTGCTGCCTTGTGCATTATGTATGGCGTAGATCTAGATCGCCGTGGCCGTTACTACGTAGTAAGTAGTACGTAGTAAATACAGCGTATGCATGCAACGGAATCTTTTCAATTACTCTTCGCAATTTATTGCAGGATCACTAAATTGTTAAGATAGTCTTATACGAAGGCTTCCCGACTGGACCATCAACAACCCCGCTCCAGCCTCAAACTAAACATCTCCGTTCTGGGGATAATCCAATATCGTTTGACTTTATTTTGATTCACACGATGATTCTACTTTGTATTTTATAGTGTCTTGCTGCGGTAGCTGTCTGTGTTACCGGCATACTTCCATGTAACTGCGCGCCCGCATGCTGTGCTACCACGGGAAACCGAAAACAACAAATTTCCGGACCATATATCCTGGTTAGATATAGTTAGTAGATCCACAGAAAGAGTCAAATGTGAAGATTTGTACTGTCGCCTTCAGAAAGCCCATCGTTGCAAGCAAGCAGAAATATAAAGAGATACGTTGTTGATAGGAGCCAACGGGGAAAAGCCGATAACGGATGATAGCAGTGAGTAGTCGTACTGCCTAATACTTGAATTTTTTAGGCACTAGAAAAGTTGATAATAAAGTTGGCTAGTTAGTTAGCGAGTACGTTGTACTTAGCGGTGCTGATAATGGTCCGCTAACGCCCGCTTTGACGATCCAGATCCCATATCCCAAAACGAGTCAAAAAGTCCATCCCAAAACCCACTAGGCGTAACCGTTGCTTGCTCTGCCCCTCCACACCTCGCGTGGATCTGGCTCAGTGCGCTTTTCTTCTTTTTAGCAGGATGTCGATCCAATCTCCTATCAGAGGATCGTGATTTGTCGTCCTTCTCTGCACTAGTTAGTTACCAAGGTAAGTTCCCTTCCTCCTCTGCTATACTGGGTTGTCATCGACTCCGATAACGAAAGAACCCTCACGGAGCCGATTGGACCGTACTTCCCAACTGATAGCTATAGATCATAGGCTATATATCATAATGATACGTGCGTAGTATCGTTCTGATTCAGTCATTCAATCTGTCTCCACCGCTAGACCAGACAAACTTTGGCATCAAGGCGGCCGGTGCCAAACCAAACACAGGAACAATTTCCATAGTGACAAGGGCGTAAGCCAGAAAGTGGATTTGCCACATAGTTCCGCTATACTTTGATGTTTTCGATGTGTCATAGGCATCGAATGAAAACAACCCGGATCACGGCCATGAGCTCTCCCGGCGACCTTGACATAACAATCACGGCTGGCATTTGCAGGCTCGAACTTGGGACAAGGAACACGCATGTGAACCGAGAGTGTCCTTGTGCACGTCAAAATTTTGTTTTTGGACGCCACCGGGTCGTCGTAACCAACACGGTATAGTGTAATGTAGGATGGCGGGTCGAGGTCTGGATCAACGCCAGCCAACAGTGCAGTGATTATTATGCTCGTAGACTGTTCCACGATAGGTTGCAGAAAAAGAGGGAGAAGTCATGCCCAGGTCGTCTGGTAAGGATGGCATCTGATGGACCAGTATAAAAACCGCACATTCTTCTAGTCACCCCCGGATACTGCCACTCCTTTCATGAGCACATTTCTTGGTTGAGAACAATCGATAGTGAAATCTGATAGCTATTTGCTATCGTGTTAATCAGTCTTTGTTATCAACATTGCGGGCTAACCGGAGATCTGTTTCCCTGTGAGTGCCGGATTCCTCCTTTCTTCTTCTCCTACCTTCTTCTTTGTTTCGTCATTTCCAACCATATATCTCGTCTGTATTAGATATGAACTGACATCTTGCCAGCACCATGGCTGCCCCAAACATCATAAGCGCTCCTCTGCTTCCGGCAACTCCTTTAATGAATGAATATTGCGCCCCTCAAGAGAATTCCCAGAAAGCCCCGCAAGAAGTCATCTCAGAAGTGACTCATGAAGTTCCTCAAGAACAGTCCAAAACAGAGACTCCTATAACGGATGTTCTAGAGAGCCCACAAGATGTTTCTCAAGAAGTCACCTCTGAAATGACCCAGGAAGGCCCCCAAGAAAAGTCCGAAACAGAAACTCCTACCGAGACTGTTATCGAGACTCCTCAAGGTGAAATGGGTCAGGAAATTCCTGAGGAAAAATTCCAAGAGATCAAACAGGAGTCTCCTGTCGAAGCCGTTCTAGAGATCCCTCAAGAGCCTCAAGAAGCTGCACAAGGAATACATTCAGAAGCCATTCAAGATGCCCCTTCTGAGCAGGAGCCGAACGTGGTTGAAGAAGCCCCGTTGCCATCACCAACTAACAAAAATAAGCCCATCATCCCTGTTAGGGAGAGCCTGCCTCCCTCTGAGCGGGTAGCTTTCGACCCAGCCAAGCATATCAAGTTCACTCCGCCTTCGAAAGTGTGGACAATGCAAGAGCTTGATTATCCTGAGGGCAAAGGAATTTCTCCCGTGGGTGTTTCGGAGCCCTTCCCTCTCTTCAGTGAGGACGCAATCAAGCAAATGCGAGCAGAGATTTTCAGTGAAGAAGTCTGGGACAAGTACCAATACTCCAGCAATCTGTCCCATTGCCAACTGCGTGGCTATGCTCCAGAGTAAGTTATGCGGGCAGCCTTTCATATTTGCACTGTACTTATTAATGTTTCTTTTTAGATGTGCACCGTTCATATACGATGCATGGAGAAGCCCAGAGGTGCTGGAGATCATCTCTAAGGTTGCAGGTATTGATTTGGTTCCTGTAATGGACTGGGAGATTGCCCACATCAACATTGCCGTGCAGAGCGAAGAAGAGAAGTCGAAAGAGCTCGAAATAGCACACCGCAACGCTGATGAGGGCGTTGCCGGATGTCCCTTGGAAGACGATCACCCGGTAGTGGGCTGGCACACTGACAGTTACCCTTTTGTTTGTGTGACCATGCTCTCTGACTGCACCGACATGGTTGGCGGCGAGACGATGTTGCGTAAAGGCAATGGCGCCACTGTCAAAGTGCGCGGACCCCAGATAGTAAGATGACCATTCCTTTCATCACTGACACATGTACTCGATGGACATGCTAACCACCTCATAGGGATCTGCTGTCATTCTCCAGGGCCGGTACATTGAGCATCAAGCCCTTCGTGCGTTGGGCGCAGCCGAGCGCATCACCTCAGTGACATCCTTCCGTCCACGCTCATCTGCCGTCAAGGACGAGACGGTGCTCACCACCGTGCGACCCATTTCAGACCTCAAAGAGCTGTACCATCAATACGCCGAATATCGCTTCGAAATCCTGCAAGATCGCCTGCGCGACATGGAACGGAAGATGCGCGACCTCAAGCGGGCAAACCGGCCGTTTGATACGGAGGGGACAAAAGCCTTTATCCGGGAACAGATTCAGTTCTTCGAGACAATGGACCAACAGATGGTTAGCGACCAATACGTGCAGAAGGGATACATTGGCGATGACCATCTCGTTTCTGATGAGACTCGAGAGAACTTCAAAAAGAGGGGCATTTACGTGGAGGCCGCTGCTGCATGATCGATGACAAGTTGACGAATTTCCTTTTTTTATATTTTCTTTCTTTCTCTCTTCCACGATATACTATGATTTTGGATAGTCGCATTGGATTTTGCTGCAACGCGTTCATTTCGGAGAATTGTTTTTTCCTCCTTCTCTCTTGTGTGCATACGGGCTGTCGCTTGGGCTGATGTTGCTCTGGGCCGACTGCGCATCTCGTGCTTATTTTATTCCAGCGATGTTTCGGACATGGCAGTTTTCTTTTATTTCTCTTTAATAAACATTGATGCAAGGGCGTGCCAATTTGACAAGCGTCAGACGCTTGGGTAAAATGGCAGAATTGTGTTTCTTTTTTTCTTTTTTCGATTTGCAAGCGACCAAGATTGAATGTAGGAAATTCTGAATAATTGTGTATTTTTTAAAATAAAAAAATGCGTCTGTGAACTGAGAGAGCTCGACTTGTCAGTAATATCGCATGATGATGCGTGCTCAAAGCCAAAAATCCCAATCCGATCCAGCCCATTTACCTTTTTTTCACAAAGTGAGTAACTTGGAATGGTGAGTGAAGGTTTACAAAAGACAAAAGAAATGAACGGAGAAAAAAAATATCCACGAAACACAAAGAATGTGTATTGTTACCGTATTGAAGGCTGTAAAGTCGTAAGTTATTACGTTTCCATAATAGGCAATTTTTTGCATGGGTACTGCATCGACACCCAATTCTACCTGCATGGCTGTGGCAGGGATTACTAGCGTATTGCTATGCACAATGAACATTTATATTCACTATTATGTATTATTATGTATGTATCCATCACAACTCGCTGATAATAGCTAGTTAACCATCGCCAAGTATGTCAAAACCCCCATGTAACTTCCTGCAGGCCCATCCGTTTCTTACCTCTCCAGAGTCTCTACTAAACTGAGCACCCTTTTTGAAGAAGCACGAATCTCTATTTACAGCAGGAGCTTGTATGCTCTCATTTCAACTAGAAATTGCTACTAGGAAATAGGTCTTTCGAGGTTGGAAGTTTGGAAGAAATTGTTTTAAATTCTAAACTGTTTTCAATACCAGCTCGAAAGTCATCGGATTAATACTTCCAACTGCCGACGAATTCTGCAAAGCGCTAACTACGTAGTTCATTAGTTAAACACCCTCACAGTGAGGACTTGTTCTGCTCCAAGTATGCTTTCCAGGATGTTGTTTGGTAACCAGCTTTTTTCAGCAGATCATGGCTTTCATTCAGGCTTCGGCCCGCATAGTAGCCAGGGCTCTCGATGAAGAGGTGATTCTCAAGCATTTCTTCACCTATCGGTCCAGGCTTGAAGCTCTTGTATGTTTCCGAGTCCACCTGCACAAACCGAGTCTTCTTTCTAGTGACCTCCTCAAGCTCGGCCAGAAGGCGTGTTGGCGTGTAGTAGTCTGTCGCAGCCAACACTTGGGCGCCGAGAGCCTCTGAACGATTCTTCAAGATAGCTGCGACGAATTTACCTAGCAACTCCATTAGACTTGCTTCACATTCTTCTTGCATATCACGTACCTAAATCATTCGTGATGTCGATGAGTGGGAATCGGGTGTCCTTGCTCACAGGGCAGGTCAAGGTGTAGACGCCGTCGTCACCCTTACGCAGCATCCCAAATTGAGTGTAGTTACTCATGAAATAACCAGGCAAGACAAAGGTAGCAGCACACCGAGCGACCGGATATACTGCTCGACCTGCGCCTTCTGGTCGAAGTATGGGACATGCTTGAGCCGGCCACCGAATTCCTTGGTGATATTGAGCAAGGAGGAGAAAATGAAATGCTGTACGCCAGTCTCCTTTACAACATCGGCAACATTCTTCCCATGCACCAGCTCTGCATCTGAGCCCTCGATACCCCACGCTGGAGTGGTCACGAGGAATACAGAATCACTTCCTGCAATGACCTTTGTCAACGACTCCTTCGAGTTCAGATCGGCCTCGAATGCTGTTAGTATTACTTTGTATCATCGACTGGTTCCCTACAGTCTTACCGAGACCAGCTCCACGCCTTGTCTTATGAGAGTCTGGGCCGGTGGCTTTGACGTATCGCGACTGACTCCTCGAGTCTTGAATTCCTTGGATAGGGTTTCATCCTGCAGAATAGCATGGATCACAGAACCACCTTGTTGTCCGGTAGCTCCGAAGACAGTCACAAGCCGGGGCATGACTGACACTAGATAGTAGTTACTAAATAGATAAAGGTGGGATAAATGACTTGCAGTATGTCCGCTAGCAAGAGCGTAAGTAACCTTACTTCTACACTAACATGACGTGTTAAAGTGCCACCGGAGCTCCAATTCCTAGCCTTGTGTCAGAACCTTATTCTCGGCCTTGATATTGATACCGAATGAAGGCGAGATTTGTCAGGAATAAATGAACCAACTGATACAATTAAAACTATGCAAAATCACTACTCTTGGCTTTGCCACCATCCATCACGGTGTCTTTTTTCAGATTGGGGGCCTATAGAAGAAACAATTGATCTCCAGTTGAGACTGAAAAATCTTTCGCCATGCCAGCCGGAAAGCTACGCGACAACGTCTCGCGGGTCAACGAAGCATCCCCGCCGGAAAATCTGTCTTCGTGGGTCTCCGTGCTGCAAATGTGCTCTGGCAATACAGCTTGCTCTATTGAAGTTGTGGCATTCGTTTGATTGAAAATCTCTGCGGCTATGCTCTGCATTCTTCGCTGGTCCTCAGTCCTCTGACTCTCGCCCACCTACAGCCCTACTATGGGCTGGTTGTTCTTTTGTCATTGGGGAGTAGTCTCAAGCAAATCATTCACATCATATTCGTCTCTGAGCAGGCAATGGTTATCGCTTCTGGTACTACAACCGCCGCCTTTAATACCATTTTCAACACGGTCAACACCGTCCTGTCTCTCTGAATGGTGAGCTCCCCCGTTGCATCGGGCCTTGATTCAACAAGCTCACTCCATACTTTGACTGCTCCTCTGGTTGCCGTCGGAATGGCTGCCTGCACCGTTGGTATATTGGTTGAGACGTTGTCAGAGTTCCAAAGCAAGGCGTTTAAGCAGGATCCCAATAATAAAGGAAAGCCGTTCGGCGGGGGGCTTTTCTCACTCACCACCAATATCAATTACGGTGTCTACACTGTCTGGCAAGCTGCATATGCCCTGACTGGCGGCGGTCTCGTCTGGGGCATAACGACCTTCAGGTTCTTCTTTTATGATTTTGCCGCCCGTGGAGTGCCGGTTATGGACGAGTACATGTCTCAACGAGTGATTCTTGCCGGTCAAGATGTCTGATATAATTTGTAACTACTGACGAAAATGCGCCAACAGTACGGTGATACGTATCGGCAGATCAAATCTCGTGTTCGATACTCTCTGATCCCGGGCATCTACTAAAGACAGTATAGCTTGGTAGATTTCACAGTCTTGAATATGTCACTAATTTACATTTGTTTGTGTTTTTAATGGTCATTAAAATTTTGCAGAATTCAAATTGTTATTAGCTGGATATTATTTTACATGCCAATAATAGCTAGATCGAATTTAGGCGACTCTCAATATATTTATTCTGTTAGAACAGGAAATTGGTCCAAGATGATACCCCAGCTTTCTTTTGCAGAAAAACAACGCAATTAAAGCTCCGCTCCCATCGTCTCTCATATGTACTAGAACCTACATTATTGGCATTACCAGCTCTCACAAAAAGGTCGGATGTCAATCTCCCACGAGAAAGCCGACCTTGGTTGAGTGTGTAGATACCAATAGGCGCTGGCGATCTTGATATGGGTCAGTAGGATGGTCACATTGTGTAGGATTTATTTAATTAACTTACAGCTTCCGGTGCAATCATGGTGGCAGGGTCAGCCTCTTTCATCGAATCCAGGGTAGAAGGTATTCCGATAACACCGTCGATGATGGCGTGAGAAACATGAACCCCCTTTGGCCCAAACTCTTTTGCAAGGCTCTGAGATAGAGATCGAAGAGCCCATTTTCCGTTGGAAAAGGATGCAAATTGGGCAGAGCTTTTGACAGATGCAGTGGCACCAGTAAAGATAAGAGTTGGCGGATATGATGATGATGATGATGATGATGATGATGATGATGATTGAGCAACGGATTTCAGTAGGCGTGGAAGGGTGAATTGGGAGAAGAGGAATGCACCACGGCCCAGGACCTCGTAGCCGCCCACGTATTCAGCTTCTGTCAGCTCTAGAAATGGCTTACGAACTGGCCTCGTACTGGCGTTGAAGACCGCGGCCTATAAAATAATTAAATCGCTGCACTCGATGACTCAGGGAGTATAAAAAAAAAAAAAAGGAAACTGACTGCCAGGCCATATCCCACTCCGAATTCCTTCTCAATCTGATTGAAAGCACCTTTGACACTGTCGGCGCTGGCCAGATCTGTCCTAATACCTATCGCCTTGCCCCCAGAAGCATTAACTTTCCCGACTGTCTCGTTATAATTGTCAGCATTACGTGCAAGACACACAACAGGGTACTTGGACGCAAATTTCAATGCAATGGCTGTGCCCGTGCCTCGGCCGACACCTGCTATAACAACAAGAGGAGACGACATCATTAAGATTTTTCTCGGATTCGGTAACAATTACATGCGAGCGATCAAGAACTGCTTTCGGCCTGCTTTAAATAGACTCGTCATGCTCCTTGGACTAGACTCGATCGGGAACGATTTCCAAGTTGTCTTTTTTTTTAGGCATAGTAGTTGTTCCACTTTACAGCCCCTTAAGGATAGAAGATCAGTAAGAAGCTCTTTGGATCTAACTAGCTTTAGATACATAGTATATTGAATATATAGTTGAGTTAGAGTATGTCCATCTCATCTTGCTATTACCAATTAGGGTATCCCCTAGCCCTAAAGGCGGTGAGAAACTTCATGCCGGCGGATAGACTCACTTATACTGTCGAGGACCCACTTCTGAATAAAAGGAGAAACATTTGGAGAAGAATAAAAAGAAAACACGACGAAAAAATATATACGAAGTACATGAGATGTGAATCTATTGAGATAGTGCGGACGAATTCGAATAAAATGACTAATTTTGCTTCTCATTGGAGACATTTTGGAGGCGTTGATGACAAAATTTGCCGTCGCGAAGCCTCGGAGTTGAGATCAATCCCGGTATCCTCAAATGACGGCATCGATTACCAATCTTTATATCTGCACTGATGTATATAACTTTGTGTGCTAACGTGCGCTCTTTTCGCATAAGTCACGAACATACAAGATGCCAAAGTACCTTCTTATTACAGGAGCCACCGGCAAACAGGGAGGAGGCGTGATTGACGCGCTCATTCGTGAAGATGCCGATTTCGAAATCCTCGCAGTCACTCGTGATACCTCGTCCAGTAGAGCACAGAAGCTCAAGCAAAAGTCTGCGAGCATCCAACTCATTGAAGGTGACCTAGACCAGCCTGATGAGATCTTTACCAATGCAGAAAAAGTCATATCTCAGCCTATTTGGGGTGTGTTTAGCGTACAGGTAACTATGACCACTCAACTTACACAATGGCTGCAACTAATCCGAGAAATAGGTGCCAGTCCCGAGTGGCTTGAAGCACGATTCTGAAGAGCGACAAGGCAAGGGGCTGATTGATGCAGCTCTCCAAAAAAATGTCAAGTGTTTCGTCTACACGTCTGTGGACCGGGGCGGCGAGGCCTCATTTGACAATCCGACCCCTATTCCTCACTTTTCCAGCAAACATTATATCGAGCACCACCTCGTCAAAAAGGCCAAAGGCACTGATATGGCTTGGACAATTTTGCGGCCTACTGCATTCCTCGAGAACTTTACTCCGAATTTCTTTGGTAAAGTCTTCGCGACTTGCTGGAAAATTTCTGTCAAATAGAAGCCGTTACAGCTCATTTCAGTGAGCGATATTGGCTTTTTCGGTGCACAGGCCTTCCTGCACCCAAACCAATACCAAAACAAATGTATCTCGCTGGCAGGCGACGAGCTCTCATATAGTGAAATGGCCATGATCTTCCATGCTAAATGTGGACGAGATGTCCCTTTGACATTCGACTTCGTGGGCCGGATCTTGATGTGGATGATGAAAGATTTGGGTTATATGTTTCAGTGGTTCTACGATTCAGGGTACAAAGCAGATATTCCAGCTCTGAAAAAGATAAAGCCCGACCTGAAAGACTTCAAGACTGGTTTGAAAATGACAGCGGTTTTGTGAACAAGTAGTCTTTGCTCCTAAGGAATGAGTCTTGTCATTCCGCGAAGACAAATCTGTGAAAATATCATCATGGCCATGGAGATTCAAAGATTTGCCCTGACGGTGCGAATATGTATTTCATGAGGCTATTCCGTTTTGTACATAATTTCCCCTTCCACTAATTTTTGGTATATCGCGACTTTACAAATATCATGTCCTAGCCGAAGTTGGAGATGGGGCATAGGTCTTGTGATATAGGAAGATGCTCTTAGATATAAAACAATGATAGAAATCTAATACAGGCACACGTAATATTAAATTGCGCATCTCAAAATAGGAAAGTTTTTCAAATACATCACCCACAAGCAGGACTTATAGTGTAAACGGATTGATATGCATAGAGCGAGTAGGGGAGTAGCTCATTTACCTGGCAGAAGCATTATATGCACGGACACAGGGCTCAAAACTGCAACTGATAAGCGCTGGCAAGCTGGCATTGCTTCGTTGACCAATCGGAGCGACGTCTCCAGTGTCCAATAGAATTGCTTGGTGCCGGACAAGTTCGTTGTTTCATTGGGCCAATCATGGAGCATTGAACATCGCATTAATGTACACTATAGTTTGTGCAACCGGCACATATCTCGTATTGTTATGAGCATTCAGCAATGTCACGGAGCTTTTGCCGCCGGTCTACGAGCGGTGTTTCTCAATGCATTTACTATATAGTAGACGCTGGAGCTAAACTGACAGCCCAGTGACACATTACTGAGTGTTTGGGATTCACGTGATTGGCACGCAAGGGCTGACCTCACGTGACTCTGCTCGGGGCGTTTAGGTTAGGCAAGATCGGGCGGTAAAGTTATAATCTGCGGAGCTGTCGACGAGCACGAGTCAACACAGAAGCGTTGGTCGTTGATCAACTCACGCCTTTTCATCGGACCTCATCCTCAACTTGTGCACGTCCACGCCAGTCTCTGTCGAGTTTGTCGCTGCAACTTCGACGCAAGCAAGCCCTTGAACGTCAGCTGAGAGCCGCATACTTAAAACGACCATGAGTTGAATCGGTCTCTCTTTCCGCTGCCTTCTTCATTATATTTTTTTCCCTTGGTTGTCCTGAGGACCCTTTGTGCACGGTTCAGCAAGGTAGAATCGGTATTGTGTGTCGCAGCCACAGTTTTTTAGCCAGTCCAACGGATATTCGCCGCAATATATTACTAGCCAGGGTTGATTAACCTGCCCATTTGCCCGCAGAGAACGTTTCGAAGATCTTCACTATCGACCCCCCTACCATATTATGGCCGTCCTCGAACAGAAGAAAGTCAAAATGGGTTCTGTATCGGCTAGTGCGCGAGAGAGTTCTGTAGTGGCGGATGCGTCAGGGGTACGTTTTTATTCTTCCCCCCCTATTTGTTTTGGTCGAATTCTGCTAACTATCCAGTAGCTTTTGCAAACGCTCCAAGGACATGTCGAGGATATTCGTGCGCTTTTACAATGCGGTATCTGTGTTCGTCCGCTTTACGAGCCATACACTTTGGCATGTGGACATACTTTCTGCTATGGGGTGAGTTGTTTTGTTCCGTTCGACAGCTTTCGCAACGTACAACACTTACTGATACGATTAAAAAGTGTCTCACATCATGGTTTACGAGCGGGAGATCGCACAAGACTTGTCCAGATTGCAGAGCTCAGGTAAAAATTCAACCAGCGCCAGCCTACTTGGTAAGCTCCTTTCAGACCTAAACAGATATAAGTTCATGTCTTACTCGACACAGGTCAGGACTATCGTTCAACTATTTACTAGTCACGCGGAGCTTCTGGAAAAGGACGAAACGACCGCAGAACATTCAAAGAATCAACGCGAAGAAGCAGAAAAGCTCGAAGCAGACAAGTCAAACGAAGACCCTAATACGGGCGGCCTGTTTCAGGGATTTTTCAAACCAAAGCCTCACCCTGCAGGTCCTATTTTTGATACAGAAGACGGGGTAGCAAGGTGTCCGAATTGTGCCTGGGAGTTAGAAGAGGATTCCTGCATGAACTGTGGATATCACGTTGAAGATGGCACCATGAGTTCGATGAGCGACTACTCTGATGACTTGTCGGATATGACGGACGAGGATGAAAATGATGATGATGATGATGATAACGACGACGACGACGACGAGAATGACGAGGAGGAAATGGGAGATGCCGATGCTGATGCGTTTGCAGATTATGACGGCGCATGGGTAGATGAATATCCGCATGCGATGCCTTTCAGTTTCCGAGAAATCCTTAATGCTGCTCAACAATTCGCTCCTCACCAACACCACCATCACCACACACATCCTTATCATCCATTTCTGGGGCCTCCGGTGCATAGGAGGCCTCCTTATAATTTTGACGGTGAACCGAATTCTTCTATAACCCACACCAGTGAGAGTGAATCAGAAGAAGACGAAGACGAGGACATGGACTCTTTCATCGATGACGATGAGCCAGGTATTGACGATAGTGAAGAGGGATCGCATACCGATCATTCTACTGTTGTTGGCGATCACGATTATATGGGATATGATATCGGAACAGATACATCCAGTATACATGAGAGCCTAGAAAGCGAATCAGCCGAGGATGACGACGGCGATGACGATGATGATGAGGATGAGGACGATCAACCAATTCGATCGGCGCCCATCCGAAGAACGGGCCAGTCTTCGCTTTTTCAAAATAACCATAATCGACCCATAGGCAGGGGAAGGCACCCCCAACCCTCATTCGGTCTTCAACGTAACTCTGCCGCCGGGACCTCAGCAAGCAACGCTATTAATGTTGATGATGACTCGGAAGATGAAATGCCAATTTCGGCGGCAGCAAGGAGATCAAGGCCAAACAGGCGTTGAGAACCAAATAGTACTACCATCTATCTATTTATTTGCTCATCATAGCCGTGCTCAGGAAAACATCGCGTGCCAACCAGTATCACCATTTTTATGTATACACTCAGTATGCATCAGTGATAGAGATATTCGTTTGGATGAAAGGTATTTATACACCACCTTTATCAATCCTATAAGATACCTCACTACGAATCATTAAGATGGTATCATGGATACTACTACACTCACATCATGTCACATTAGCATTAGCCGGGAATTCCATCATATTATTGATTTTTCTTTCGGGTGAAAGGGTCTTGATAAGAATTGTCTTGACCTTTTTTTTTACCATCTCCTTCTTCCTCCTCTCTCCACTTTTTGGTCTTACGATCACTAACCAAGAAATCTCTTTTCACTTCTACCTTTGCGACCTCACAACCCTGTTACCCATCATCCGCATATTTGTCCCTTAAGATACCTTTTTTCCCCCGAACACTATCCTATCGTAATTGCAAGTGAATGTGATTGCATCTTATCCACCATCGCGTTAGCTATTCGAGTTAGCTATTCGAGTTAGAGGCGTGGGGCGTTTTGTTTTGTTGGGTTAGAGAGAGAACAAATCCATTATGACTACCTAATTAACTTGATTACTTACCTACTGACCAGTAGGTCAATGGATCTTTATTAATTAGGTCTTGCTTTATTAGTTGCTTACAGATATTAGGTAATTCTTGCTTGGAATAAACAAAAACTTTTTTATTTTACCCAGTCATCTATGCCGCTATATACAGGTATGAAAATAAGTAGAATGTAAAATGTGTTTGGCACCACAGACAACGCTAGGTAGATACCTTGCTTGGTCTTCTTTCAAATCAACAAACCAATACCAAGCCGTGCCGTCTCGTTGACAATTATCGATATATTTCCAAAAACATGCACAGAAAGAAACCTTCTTATGCAGACAACGCCGCTTCAGCCTCTATCCGGTCATGATCAACATTATCAAAAAACGGAACCTCGAAAACGACAGCGCCATTACGACCCTGGGCACTGGGACCGGCGAAATAGTTATTCGCGAAGCATTTCATTCGACTCAGTCGGTGCTCCTTGCCAAGTGCCGCGACGATGCATAACCCGCGAGCAGTCTCTACTTGTTGTTGTTCTTTGCCGGATGACTTTTTGGGTTTGATGGTTCTGGCTGTTTCGGGACGGCGTTCAAACACTGCAATGCTGTTCACGACGCCTTTGAGAAGCGGTTCTTCTTCGGATTGTCCTTTTGGTGTATCATTGTTCTCCTGATGGGCAACTTCGGTGGATTCATCGCCATTTGTCGTAAAGAATGTGTGTTTGGGTTGTGATTGCCTCACTGGGCCTATGGGACCGAGAGGAATGAGCAACTTCTTATCGTCTGATACTCGCCAGGCGCGAATGTAGCCATCCCAACTCCCACTGAGAACGATATCAGTACCAGGTACGGTGGTCAAAGCTGTAATCCATCGAGGCATAGGGCGCATAAATCGCGCATTGCGAGCGGCGGTTTCAGCATCTACCTCAGACGATGCTACTTCAGGGGGGGGTATGGGGTCGAAACCATGCGCGAGTTGGATAGTATGAAGAGGCTTTTTCTTGTGGATTGACCATAGGGAGAGAGAGCCGGAATCAGAGCCGGTCACGAAGTGAGTTGGTGGTATAACAGCTACACAGTCAATGTTGTTGTTTTGGTACTCTTCTTTCTTGGAGGATTCGCCGCGGAACACGAGTTGGGTTTCGTCGATGACTTTCCATAGACGTGCTGTTCGGTCCCGGGCACCAACGCTCACGCACTGGTCTGTCATCATCGAGGCAACTGAGACCACGTTGTCTTGGTGTCCAAATAGAGTCTCCACGTATGCATGGCCTCCGGCACTGAGGGACCATGTTTTGATTGTACGATCAAAAGACCCTGAAAATAATTGTTCTCCTGAGCTATGCGTAGAAATATGTCGTGTGAAGGACAGGCCACTGACAGCGTCCCGGTGTTGAGTAAAAGTTTTCATGGGGGCAAGTGTTTCGGCGTCCCAGATTATTAATTTTTTATCCTCCCCACCTGTTGCAATATATTTGCCAGATGGTGATATGGCAAGAGTTAAGATATTCCCAGTATGTCCTTGAAGTTCTCGGCTCCCGCGAACTTTTCGAAGACCTTTCACAAACTTCAATCGTTTCGGCTTTTTCCTCCCTGGGTGCTCTGGCCGTTTCTGATCACCATTTGCTTGGGCAGTAGTTTTCGCCAATTTCGGTGATACCAATTCCCATTTAATAAGTGTTCGATCTTTGGAGACGGTGTATGCAAACGGAGGGTGTATGGCTACGGCAGTGGTTGCATGGGTATCTGCTCGGAAGAAAGAATGTGAAGCGCCTGAGAAATCGAGCTGAGAAGCTATTTTCCGAAATATGCGACCCTTGGCTTCATCCTGTATAAGATAAGTTAGATCTTTGGCCACTAGAACGCTGCGTTAGATGGCAGGCAGAACATACCACATCCTCTTTCAATCGCTCAGCGATCAAGTCACGATCTATCTCAGCAGCATCAAACCCAGCCTCATCAACTACCTCTTCACGGATATTTTCTAGATATCGCTCTGCCAGTTTCAATCTCCGCTCCGCGGCTGTTTCGCCTTCGTCCGAGTCCGAAGTTGTCGCATCTTCTGAGAGGCCTGAGTCCGAGGCATCCTCGTCTTCTTCAATATCGCTTCCTGATATGGATTCGTCCCGGTCTTGTCTATGTCGTGAGGAGTTTTCGCGAGTCTCTCCATTTGCTGCAATTCCCCGCTTCTTTGATCCAGGTGCAGCCACTCGATCGTCTCTCTTCCGCTTGCGCTGAGACGCTGGAATTGTGAAAAAGGACGACATGGTAACCTTGTCCGGAGGCCAATATTAAAAGTAAATCTTCCGGAGGAATAACAAACCGAAGTATACCACACAGATAACCTCAATGTATGCTGGAAATGCCGTTTTGCCGTGGTTATTTTTTTTTTTTTTTTCTCTTCTAGACATTCCATTCCGCATACAACTTTTTTTTTTGGTCCGTGTCGGGAAGTCTTGGCGCCGCTGTAGGCCGGCCGCCGGACAAACAGTAACGCCTAAATCAAGGTCCCGGTTTGCTCTGTTTGCCAGCCGCAGCTCCAAACGTAGCTTAGGCGTCAAGCTCACTCGCGACGTCCCGTTCTGTCAGCTCTCCTCCCTTCCACGCCCCGACTCTATCATCAAATATCTCTTGCCCAGCAGACAATTTGAATTTTTTCGTACTGTCACCTGAGGTTTAGACGACTTAGACCAGTTTTGAAAGTGAGGTGTTGATTAAATACCGTCCAGAACTCATTTCCCATCACAATGTAAGGAGCAGCGTCATTCCTTTCGATGACCATTGTGGTTACTAATAGCCACCTTCATTAGGGAGGTTCTACTTGGAATTACCGGGAAGGACTTTGTCATTATAGCAGCTTCCAAGGCTGCTATGAGAGGCCCAACTGTCCTCAAAGCTACAGATGACAAAACCCGAAATCTCAATGAACACACTCTGATGGCTTTCTCGGGCGAGCCTGGCGACGGAGGTACGATTATCCTGAAGATATAATTGATGAAACATTTGCTGATCGGATGGGTTTGTGCAGTGCAATTCGCCGAATACGTCCAAGCCAACGTACAGCTATATTCAATGCGTAACGACACAGAACTCAGCCCAGCCGCCGTCGGCAACTTCGTTCGAGGAGAGCTTGCAAAGGCCTTGCGTTCCAGGAACCCGTATACTGTCAATTTGCTGCTTGGTGGTGTTGATTCTATCACCAGCACCCCGAGCCTTTACTGGGTGGACTATTTAGCGTCTCTTGCCCAAGTGCCCTATGCAGCACATGGATATGCACAGTATGTCAAGCTTCTAACAATTTAGAGGGAAACCCCTTCATCCTACGCTTGGGATGAAAATCCATCGTTGATAGTAACTGATTACTCTCGAAATCCACCAGATATTATTGCTTGTCGATCCTTGATAAGCACCACCATCCAGATATCGAGTTGGAGCAGGGCTTGAAGCTTCTAAACCTTTGCACAGACGAATTGAAACGACGATTACCTATCGACTTCAAAGGAGTATGTACCTTACTAACACATCGGGATTATTAGTCATGGTCTGGTATAAGCTAACAGCTCCCTAGGTGCTTGTGAAGGTAGTTACGAAGGATGGTATCCAGGAAATCGATTACGATAACGAAAGGAAGGTTTTCATTGCATGATGTCCTCAATTCTGCCTGGTGCGGCGTTGTATCATAACATTACACTGTTAGGAAACAAAGGTCTTCTAGATAAGAAAGATAATTTCTTAGTTATTATTGCGCAATACTCAAAGCCTTCAAAATCACCAGCTTGCAATATCCCTACGCCAGCAGCTTTTGTAGATATTTGAAATTACGAGCCATGTTTAAGAAAGACTTGATGTTTGCATTGTTTGCACTTACGGGAGCTCTGCCTGACTCAGCAGGACTTTTTGTCTCCACCACTTCGGAGCGCATGCGTGCTGCTTCGATTTGTTACTTTGCTTAACCACATAACTGTGTCGGAGAGGAATAATCTCGAAATAAGCAGAAATGGCCAAACGACAAGCCGATTCCGAACTCGAAGAAGGTCTGAGAAGCTCTCCTGCTTCAAAGAAGCCGCGATTTGATGACGCTGATTCCCGCAATGGCCATTTCAATGGTCGCGAGTGGGAGCAAGACGAACGCAATGGGCAGAACATTCTTGCTGCCGCTGATTTGGAAGGCGCTGAACTACAGGAAGCTGAACCGAGCCGACCAGATTCTCCCGATTACGATGAAGCGCTACCAGTAACTCAAAAACGTCAATCAGAACCGATGGAAGGCTACGGTGACTTGTACCTGGATACCATCAATCGCGCCGTACTGGATTTCGATTTCGAGAAGCTGTGCTCAGTGTCCTTGTCAAATATAAATGTCTATGCTTGCTTGGTGTGTGGGAAATATTTCCAAGGGCGAGGCAACAAATCTCATGCATATTTTCACGCTCTGGATATTGGCCACCACGTCTTCGTGAATATGGAGACGAAAAAGGTTTATGTTCTTCCTGAGGGATACGAGGTGAAGAGCAAAAGTTTGGATGATATCAAGTATGTGGTGGATCCAACCTTCACAAAAAGCGACGTCGTGAGGCTGGACAAAGAGATTAGAGATGCATGGGATTTACTTGGCAAAAAATATCGACCTGGTAAGGAACCATTGCAGTTGTAAGCGAACATCCGGTTGCTAATCTATTCTTATAGGATATGTCGGAATGAATAATATCAAAGCAAACGACTATCTGAATGTTGTCGTCCAAGTTCTTGCGCATGTCACACCGATTCGCAATTTCTTCCTGCTCCAAAATTTTCCTGTCCCAGGATCCCCTCAGCTATCTGTCAGGTTCAGCACTCTAGTCAGGAAGCTATGGAACCCCAAAGCATTCAAATCTCACGTATCACCACATGAACTGCTCCAAGAAATTGCTCTGCGTTCCTCAAAACGCTTCACACTTACTCAGCAGTCCGATCCTGTTGAGTTTCTTTCCTGGTTTTTGAACAACCTCCACCTTAGCCTTGGAGGATCAAAAAAACCATCCAAAACACCTACGAGTGTTATCCAGCAGGCATTTCAAGGCCATTTACGGATTGAAAGCCAGGCGATCACAGCGCATTCCGATACTACGAATTCTCGACTAGTTTTCACCGAATCAAGTCAAACAAATACTCAAACGTCACCTTTCCTAATCTTAACTCTCGACCTCCCTCCCACTCCATTGTTTCAATCTGCAAACAGGGAATCCATCATTCCACAGGTACCATTGACAACCCTCTTAAACAAGTACAATGGCATCACAGCATCCGAGAAACTTTCTCACCGCGTACGCCATCGACTATTACACCCCCTACCTCCTTACCTACTCTTTCATATAAAACGCTTCAGCAAAAACAAATTCGTTGCCGAGCGAAACCCCACTATTGTCACTTTCCCATCACCGCGTTCGCTGGACATGTCTCCCTACGTTGAGCCAAACCCAGAAATTTATCCTCCCGGTGAGCCTATCATATACGATCTCGTGTCGAATATTATCCTCGACGCAGATGCCCCAACACCGGGAGCCGGAGAAGATACCGCTGCAGCAGACAAGGGCCTAACAGCAGCCGGTGGACCAGCATCTTCAACCGCAACAGGCGCCGGTGCTGGCAGCGAGAAAGTATCGTGGCTAGTACAGCTACACGATAAAGCCATGGCGGCGGAAAATGTGAAGCAACAGCAGCAGCAGCAGCGGGGGCCTGAATGGCTTGAAATTCAAGATTTATATGTGCAACGAACGGAGAGTGAGACTCTGTTCACAAGGGAGTCTTACTTGATGGTCTGGGAAAGGCGGAAAACTTTAGGGATGCAGAAGGGCAAAGGGTCGGCCCACAAATGAACAAAAGAAAATAAGAAAAGTTTGATGGGAAAATGATTCTGTGTAGTCAATATGTGAAGTGTTGAGAAGCTTACACTTGTTTTGTATTGTAAATGACATCGATTTTGACTCATATGTAGAATTGAGTGACCAGGTGATAATATACAATAGAGAGAAAGTAAAGATACTGCACCTTATTTTCTATTTCTACCTAGGTATCTAAGCAAGTACGTAATTCAAAGTCTAGGATATGTTTATTATGAATTTATTATACATAGCTGCAAACCTTCCATACCTTGATGTACTTCAGTACCCATGTTTGCCCAAAAAAAACTCCTCAGTGAATGTTTTTCTGGTATCTCTCAGTTATGATCGCTTCCGGATTCATCTCCCTATTATTACAATCTCCCCCAATCAAACAAACTCTTGCCAATCCCAATAGCGGTTGCAGAGCATACACCAATAATAGAGCCGCTGACACCAACTTGAATACCGAGTATCATAGCAAGCTTGCCCATGTAAGCAACCATATCCCGTCTACTTCCACCGCCCGCAAATGCATTGAGAACGCGAATATCGGATGGTGTAGCAAGGCTGGTTGCGCCATATAGCAAAGCAGTGTGTGAAGACAGATAAGCTCTAGCTAGAGAGCGGTAAAAGAATGATTCGAACGGTATAAAAAGGACGCTGCTGATCACAGACGCCAGGTGAAGCGCAATAGCATCCGCAGGGTATGAAGAGAGAACCGTGATTCGCTGCTTATATAGGTCAGAGTGGTGCTGACTACGGGATCTCGGGGGTAGCGAGTGAGGTTGTCTAAGACCCGACTGTTCTGTGCCAGCTTCTGATACTTGGTCCATGCCGGTAGGGTTCATGGGACTAGGCATTGGCTCCTCCACTACATGTGGTAGGACCGCTGGCTGTGCGACGTCCGCTAAGACGGTACTCCCATTAAGAACTTCCCACATAAGATCCGGCTCTGCTGAATTTAACATGTCTAATCGTCCGGCATCGCTAACAGCAGGGGGCTGTTCTAGAATACCATCAGGTATATTCTGATTCACCTCATTGGGGCCTAATTCAAAAACACCGAGCTCTGGCCAGTTGCTTAACGCTGTGTCACCACGATCGTTTTCGGAGATAGGATCTGAGTTTCCTTGTACATTCGGATTCCGACTGCTTTGAAGCGAAAGTTCCATGGTAGTCGTAAAAGAATTTTGATGAGTCAAGGAAGCACGGATACGGGGAGAAGCAAGAGGGGACTCTGGACTTGCCGGCCGCGAAAACAGTGTATCAGACCGGGAATCTGGATCAGGATTCCAGGAGTCACCTGGTACATCAGGTTGCAGAAGTCCGTCGGTTTCCGTGTGTTGTGTCGGACGAGTCTCGTTAGGGGAATTTGGACTGATCTCGCTTGGTGATTGAGTGAATTGTCCATTTGTCAAAGCCTGGTTTGAGATGAAAGAAGCTTCCAACTGAGGGCTAGGTGCGACATTACCGAGTGTAATGGGCGTGTCATCTATATGGTTTCGAGCTGTTACATCTTGAATTGTATTTTCGCGAATAGTATCGGGATCATTATGACTGAGACTGTCGCTTATTCTGTCATCCGAAAGACCATCATTTTTATAGCCAAGCCTGCGAGATAGCCATTTTTGTAAAACCCAAAACTCTTCTTTAATATCTTGAAATAAAGTTAGGTTGCTTCGGTGAATTTCATATTCTGTATGTCGTCCAGCTGTTGGCAGCGTCCATTCCAGAAGGTCATTGTCCATAGCAACTTGGATTGAGATTGCATCAGGCCTTTCTGGTTTTGGTAAATGTCTCCGAATCATTCGATAAATCCTGTCTTCAACGAACGGCCGAATCAGGATATAAGCAAAAGCGAAGGCAAATGGAGTTGCCGCAAGTTCTGATGCAAAACGTCCCAATGAAGTCAGGGTGAAATCAGATGGAAACGATGGACTCTGAATCAGAGAGGACTTGGTAAATGGCAATAGCATAGAGGGCCTGAGGAAAGCGGAGTGGGGAATGAGGTGGAGAGTTTGAAGAATGCAAAACATATGAATTTGCTCAAAAATTATAAACGAAACGACCCGTGTTCTGCAAAATTGTCAGTACATGCTATGGCCCATTAGTATTGAGTCTGAAATACACACGAGTAACGAATTATCGAGAACGCTTTCTCAACTAGTCGAGTATAGGAATTGTCAAGCCACGATATTAGATTATTCTGAACGAACCCAAGAAGAGGCTCGAGTATCTGAGTTCGACATATGGGCAATGCCACTCTAGCTGCCCAAAGAGGCATACCCGCAAAGAGTTCAGCTGCCCACCCAATCCTTTGACATTCAGACCGAAACAAGCGAATAAGTGGCACGTGGGTGTAACTTTTGAAAGTCTAATGTCATGGTTAGATATAAGGCGGAAATAGCACATGAAAGCAAAAATGGTATCACCGATACTTACTTGAATACGACGGCTCAGTGACCTAACCCACCAAAACCCAATAAAATGCAGAACATGGTCAAACGCTACGATGACCAGGCCATAATCATTTTCAGCGGTGGTATCCACAATACTCTTCTTGTCTTTCAAAATACCTGGGCGGCCGTTCTCACCACTGACCACAACTCCCATGGTAGACAAGACATCATTCTTCGCACGTCGAAGCTCGCGAGCAAGATCCTTGGATTCGGGAAATATAGGATGGCCTCTTTCGTTATACTGTTGGACATATCCATCTAGGTTGTGAGCATGGTTGCGGCCTGAGGATGTATGGTTTCGCGACGCATTTGTGTTTTCCGGTGGCTCATATGGAGAACGGCCCTATAAGTACATCAGGAATCAATTCTCATTTATGCGGTGCGCATAATAGAATGTAGAAGAATGACAGGACAGATACGTCGCTCGTTAAATGGCTCGTAGGCCAGACACGAAGCTCATAATTGGGAATCGGATGGTCATACCAAAGCAAGCCGAATTATATATGGTTGCCGTCCCATCACCGGCCTGACATATGTGAGAATGCTGACAAAGAAAGAGTATAGCTGGCCATGTAATGGGCTGTTTTTTGGATCTCAGAGACTCCTCTGTGCCGTTCAAGCATCAAGAAAGCAGATGTAGCTAGTGCTCCGGAAAGCGCAAGAACGAAGGCGCCGTGCACGGTCCGCACCTTATTTTGACCCCCCGCAAAAAACAAACGCCGCAAACTATGCAAACAGAACAAACTCTTTTTCCAAAAGAAAAAAGTTGTCGGCAGCTATCACGAATAGGTTGCCATCGTTTTCGAGCTCGGAATCTAAGACTTGATCGATTGACCGGCCTTAGTCGATCATCTTTGCCAGTCTATGATACTGTCAGGGAGAAAGGGGCAATGCGAAAGTAATCGAGCGGAATTCGACCTGTCAGAGAACTGACCATCAATATGTCGAAAATCAATGCCAAAACCACATTCGAGGCGTCGCGCACACTGCACCCTATATATACTGGCGGGAGCACCTCGTTAGACGCCAGCGGCCGCATTCTTGCAACATGTGTCGGGGAAGATGCGCTTATTGTGGATCTCACCACGGGCGATCAGTTGGCCAGTATTGAAGGTGTAAGATACTTGGATCCAGTCCTCTCGCGAAGAACAATAGACTTACAAATTCTCATATAGGATGGAGAGATTATTACTAGCTTAGCAAGTATGATGACTTCTCGGATACAGTTCAAGTCGGTTGGCTAATCCATTTACCTTTTCAACCTCTAGTCACGCCGTCGGCATCCCACGTTGTTGTTTGTTCACGATCTATGTCCATGCGCTTTTACTCATTGACGCCTTTCGATATTCACGAAAAGAAAAGCATTGACACTACTTTTATAAGAAGCGTCAAAGCTCATACTTCTCCTGTTGTCACCACAGCCGTCGATTCTACTGGCACCCTCTTGGCTACTGGCGGCGCCGACGGATCGATCAAGATCTGGGATATCAGGGGTGGATATATCACACATACATTCCACGGGCATGGAGGTGTCATATCTGCTCTTTGTTTCTTCGAGGCTATTACAAACGTGAATGATGGGGCCAGGTCCCAGCGAAGGGATAAGAAGCCAGAGAATTCTGAAACATCGAGGACGATTCGCTTAGCATCAGGTGATGAAGAGGGTAAAGTACGAGTTTGGGACTTGCACAAAAAGAAGTCAATTGCTTCTTTGGAATCACACGTTTCAGTGGTGCGAAGTTTGTCGTATTCTCCTGTTGAAAACGTGCTTCTTTCGGCTTCCCGGGATAAAACAGTAATTATCTGGGATTCTCGCACGTGGAAAACGCGCCGCATAATTCCAATTCTAGAAAGTATAGAGTCTGCAGGGTTTATTTCCGATACTAGTCTCTGCTTCACTGGTGGAGAGAGAGGTGTATTGCGCATCTGGGATACGAACAGAGGCGGGGAAATTATTCAGGAACAAGAAGAAGGTTCCGACACTGACGCTATTGTCGCGACACAATATTCTTCAGATTTACCGTTCGTGGTTACTGTCCATGCTGATCAGACATTGCGGCTACACTCCATCGATGCTCTGAACGACTACAAGCCAGGGTCCTCATTAGAGCCCCTGCCAGTGATAAGGCGAATCTCGGGGAATGACGATGAAGTCATCGACTTGGCTTATATTGGCCCAGAGAGATCACTGCTGGCGATGGCAACGAATACAGAAAGCATCCGTGTCGTGTCTATCGCAGCTCCTAAACAAGGCAGCCAAGGCGACGGAGAGAACGATGGCTTTTTTGGTGCAGACGTTACTTATCTAGAGGGACACGATGATATTATTATCTGCCTAGATGTTGACTGGTCTGGCTACTGGCTTGCAACTGGTGCAAAAGATAACACAGCTCGTCTTTGGCGCCTTGACCCTGAAACCTCGTCATACACCTGTGCGGCTATTTTGACTGGCCATGCTGAATCATTGGGAGCAATTGCTCTTCCAAGAGCTCCTCCCCCAGTTGGATCAAAGGCATACAACGACCCATCAAACCATCCTCCGGCGTTTCTCTTCACGGGTTCTCAGGACCGAACTATCAAAAAATGGGACACTGCTAAATTGGGGTCGCAATCGTCCTCCGTAAAAGCAGCATATACCAGAAAAGCCCACGAAAAAGATATAAATTCATTGGACGTGAACTACACAGCGACCCTTTTTGCTTCAGCTTCTCAAGACCGCACTGTGAAGATTTGGTCCGCAGAAGATGGATCAGTAGTTGGTATTCTTCGCGGCCATAAACGAGGCGTATGGTCTGTCAGGTTTTCGCCTCGCGACATGCCTATTATAAGTTCCAATGCTGGGACGAGCACGAGTCGTGGATTGGTCGCAACAGGCTCAGGTGACAAGACTGTCAAAATCTGGAACTTGGCAGACTTTAGTTGCCTTTTCACATTTGAGGGCCACACAAACAGCGTTCTCAAAGTGATTTGGCTACCTCCTTCACAGTTGTCGTCTGATAATGATACAGACGATGCTGATGCCAAAACTGTAACGCGTCCACTCCTTGCCTCTTCCGCTGCTGATGGCCTAGTAAAGATTTGGTCTCCTTATAGCGGCGAATCCGAGGCCACATTGGACAATCACACAGACCGAGTTTGGGCTCTTGCTTGTCCCACACCTTCGGGTTCACGATCAGATGTCAAGTCCCCATCAATCTCACCATTCTCTCTAGTTTCAGGGGCTGCCGATTCGACCGTTACTTTCTGGACTGACACAACCTCGGCCACACTTACTGCAGCAGTGTCGGCTAATTCCGCCCGCATTGAGCAAGACCAACAGCTCCAGAATTATATCCGTACCGGTGCTTACAGAGAAGCTATCACACTTGCCCTTCAGCTCAATCATCCCGCTCGATTACTATCGTTATTCACCGCCGCTATCGAAGAGGTCGATGGAAACTCGGCCAAAAAAGAAGACGGCGACAACATCAGCAGCCCAACGTTAACTGGAAATAGCTCCGTGGACACAGTTCTGCAGTCGCTAGACAAAGATAACCTATACATGTTACTTCTTCGTCTCCGTGACTGGAACACAAATGCACGCACAGCAAAGGTCGCTCAACGCATTCTATACACTCTAGTCCGGTCATACCCAGCTTCAACATTCATTGAACTGGCCAATCGCCCTCCTCCAGCAGCTGCTGCGCAGGGCAAACGAGGCCAGAAAGATGCTAGCAAGATCTCTCTAAAAGAAGTTTTCAGTGCTCTGTCGTCATACACTGATCGACATTATCGGCGCGTTGAAGAGCTGGTTGATGAGAGTTACCTTGTTGAATGGATTCTTGATGAAATGGAAGGTGGTATGGGTCTAGTTTCGGGCTTGTCTGGTGACAAAAAAGATGTTACTGGTGATGGGCATGAAGAAGATGTTACTATGCTGGGGGCATGAAAACACAAAAGTACACTTGGCGTTGTCTGAATCTTGAGATGGAGTTCTTCTATGTATAAATACAGGTCTTTAGTATTTGCATTCAGTGACTATATATTGTGTTCATAACATACCTAGGTATCTATCAAGGCTGCATTGGGCTTTTTTTTTTCCTCCGTGGGTCTATATACATGATATTGATGGAGTCTAATTCTCTGTATAGATTAGTTCCCGGACTGTATGTAACCAACTGGAAATGGGTATCTCGAATAACCTCTTGGATTTTGAATTCCTTCATGAGCCACTGAAACAATGTCATCTGTGAATAATCACACTATTTATAAGCCCTATGCCCACCCTTATCTCTATCTCTGTCCGAGCGCACACGATCAGAATCAAGATGTCTGTCTCGAGTCCGATGATAATCCTTATCGCGCTTCGAATGGGTTTGATCCCGATGACTTCGATCTCTAGAAATTGGCCTTCTGTGATCGCCATCGTCCCTATCACGGTAACGGCGAGTATCTCGCGAAGATCTCTCCCTATCATCATCATCGTACCGATAGCTTCGACGGTCATGAGCTCCAGAAGATCGACTCCGCTCTCTACGTGAAGAATATGATTTCCTGTATTTCCTACTGCGCTCTCGATCGGTATCACTTTCGTCGTCATAGCGATGCGAACGATGATCTCTATCTCTCTCTCTGCCATTGGTGATGGAACGATGAGACGAGCGTTCGCCATCCAGCTTCTCCCTTGCTTTCCCTTCGCTGGCCTCTTTTTGAAGAATCTTAAATTCCTCTTCGGTCAGGTGCTCACCTGTCGTCTTACTTTTCATGACGATAGGCATGTAGACTCCCGCTGCGCTGCCGCTGCCATCACCAGCTTTCCTCGATCCCTTGCGCATAGCAGCCTTTCCCCACGCGCCGATTTCTACTTCTGCGCCTTTCCCGCCAGAAATATCTTTGGCGCCAATCCCTAGAAAACCTGGACGACGTTGGGGTATGCGAACTTGATTTGCTGCGCTCGTGTTCCCATAATTTCCACGGCCGATTGCTTGTCCGTCTTTCCATCCCATGCCTCGCAGTAAAGCAGCGCCAAACTCCTCGACGGGAACTGCATCGTATGCGTCCAAGCTCGCTGGATCCGGACGTGTTGCGACGTCTGCACGGAACGAACTCGTTTCGTCGTACCTCGCCTCCGGGTTGACAGACTCTATGACCAGGTCAGGTCGCCTTTCCTTATCGCCACCCTCGCTCTCACGTATGAGTGCCTGCAGCGCGATCTCATCTTGCGTCAGAGGTTCTCGAGATTGGGGAGCGGAAACAGCATCGACCATAGATACATCCGCTTCCTTCCCTTGAATAATATCATTCGACGGAGCAAGACTAAGACCGTACGATATACTTGGTGTTTCGGTCTCCACAACCGCTTCTTTTCCAGCCGCTTGCACTTCTTGTGGGAGTAAGTTCTTGCCTCTACGGTTTGTCCCTGGTCGATCACGCCAATTATTTTTGCTTTCCACATGTATGACGAGAGGACCTTTGTCCTTTGAAACTGCATCCTTGCTGATTGCGCCGCCTGCACTAGTATCGAACCCAGTTACTTCTTCGTGAACGGGGTCTGTGTCTTCTTCCTCGGATCCATCATCATGGTGTGTTAAATGTCGCGGTCGTTGCCGCAGTGATGAGTGAGGCCTCGAATTCTGCGGGATATTTGATGCCCTTTTGGGCGCAGTGGAAAACGACACCGAAAACGGTTTCCCTTTTCCTGGCGTTCCAGAATCATCTTCCTTCCGCGGGACCATAATGTCAGATGAGGTCCGGGAAGCGAGGGACTTGGGAATATAATAATATAGTAACAGCCACGAAGGTATATGTGCAAGTGTGTTGTTCTCGATAGCCGCGAATTTTTCGTTTCGGTGGCAAGAATCTCAATTACCACGATCTGCAGATATTGAAAAGACCACCTTAAGCTTCCAACGATTAGTGCTTTGATTCTCTGTAGAACTATGAGCAAAATGAAGGCTTCGCATATGCGCAAAGTAGAAGAAATCTCGTGAAGTGCGGATTTATTGTCAGCACGTAAAGTCGCGGCTGGCCGATTATGAATAAACTCAGCCAATCCTTATCTTATCGCAAGTCACGAGACACGGCGGGAATGATGTCAACTTCCTGCAATCTGGCTAGGTAGGCCCCTAAGCATCCCTGGAGCAACGCCCCGGCGGGCCCTAAAAATTAATATTCTAAGCCTTACATTAGGCAGTGCTTTCCCCCCCGAAGTCTCCCTACAAAGCCCGAGAACAGCCCCTAGCCCATGCAAACACTCGACAACCCGACAGGGCATCTCCATTCTTAAGATAAATTTTACGAGACGCTCCATGTGTGATTACTCATTGATCTTCGACACAGGCCCAGACAACCAGTATCCGCTGCCCGAAACTTGTATCTGGTGGTATTTGTGAAGCTGTTGACCCCTTCTGTCGAAAGTCTTCATGGAAAGATCATGGGATTAAAGGCGCCATGCTGATTCCGCTTGCTATCCAGTTTGATGAAGCGGCAGGTCGGTGAAGGATGGAGGCAACTCGATCAGGTGATAGCCAACCACATATTGCGGTGCTTCACCACTTCTCTTTCATCGTATCTATGAGCAGCTGGAAGCATTGAAGAATAATGTTTAGGAACGTATGTATATGTACATTTATGTGCATGTTTGCAAACTACCTAGTCAACTAAAGTATCCAAAATCAGTTACCACTAACACGCGGAACAACGTGTTTCTCAAAGTATTCCTCCTCGACCATCTTGACCGCAACAGCTGTACGCTCATCTAGATCCTCCTGTGGCAAACCCAAGACTACATTGTCATCGCGTGGGTGCAGACACGGTCCATCAGGGTAAAACATGCGGGAGTACAGCATCAAGCCAAAACCTGATCGGTTTCCAGACTGGAGCATTTGCTGACCAACAGCGAACCGCTCCTTGACCGGCTGGTTGGTGATCGTCCAGTCATCTCGAGTTGTGCCGGTGACTCTCAAAACAGATTCAAAAATCTCCTGCTGGTTGAGTTTGAAAGATGAGATATAGACAAAGTCATTCTTGAACTGTGACAGGTGCGGGCTCTTGTCATTCTCATCGTCCGGAAGCACCTTGAGCGCGAGCAGATTTGCTACACCCCGAGCCGTCTGTAGCCAGGTACTAGTGTTGAGTCGCTGTGTGCCGTCGTCATAGAATGTAACAGCGCGATTCTTGATGTCGAATCCATACGACCATGGGCCGGCCGACAAACTATATTCATACCAGAAACCGCACGCTATACCAATCCACGAGCTGACTCCCAAGCCCTCAATATGCTGCCGGAGCTTGGTCTTGGCAAGTCCAAGGGGAACGTCCTTGTTGACCTCGGGGTTATTGCTGTTACTTCCAAACTCATTCGGCAAGATCCACTTCACTCCAGCGTCAGCAGCGGCCTGTTGGAGGATCTCGGCTTCATTGGTTGCTGTCACGGCGAGGGTGTAGACCAGCACATCTTGACCCTTGAGAGCCTCGACGATGGTGCTGGGGTTGGCGTAGTCAATCTTCTTAATGCTCACTCCGTCAGGAATGACATTCTTGCTCCCTTCACGGGTGAGCGCGGTGATTTTGTGTTTGCCATTTGCCAGGAGGGCCTCAACGACGAATTTGCCGACTTGACCTCCAGCCTACACGCGACGTTAGTATAGGTACATCTTGCTGGATGATCTTGATTCACTTACACCGACAACGGCAATGTTTTCAACGTAATTCTTAGACCCTGCCGGCTGATCTTTGGCGAAACCCGTAGCCATTGTGGAAGGTGTTTAGGGCAGTATATATGTATTCTTTCTCCGTGAAGTGGTCGAACGGTTATACAGTTTTATGGGTTGTGTGTCTAGTACTTACAGCCTAGATGGGAATCACAGGCCCCTTTATATACCTGGGTTCTGAAGGTACTGCACGACCCGATCCTCCGTCGATATCGCCTAGGTAGTAGCAAAGTCCACATTATAGTAACATGGTGCGTAATCCAAATACGAATATCTATACGCTCGGGCTCAAACTGAAGAAATCAACCATCACCGAAATCCGTTCGAGGAACCCCGCCTCGAGGCAACGCCTCCCGTGCATTCTGGAACCTATTCCATCTGCTTTGCTACATAAGCGTATGCCTAACACACCAACAACTTCCGTGATTTGCTGGACAACCTCGCGATGGACACATGGATTTCGGACAATTGGCGGAGATAAGTGGTAAATTGTGGGACAGCATTCCATAAATCCGAATATCGTCACTTTGTAACGAGAAGCGTCAGACGGAGTCGGACTTCGGTACTTGTGTTTGTTTGAAGTCGGTTTTGGTGGCGACCTTGTCCTTTTTCTCCGGTCTATAACGTATACATCTGAGATCGCTGTTGGACAATGAGATGTCGTCGTGACTGCAGACTCTGTGCCGCGCTAGTGCCGAATGGGGATCAGCGCCAAATCGAATAATGATTTCTGGTCTCTACTAAGTTTTAGGAAATCTTAGAGGCATCCTAGCACCCTTCCATTTTATAATAAGTAACCCGTTGGGAAAGACCTATTACCATCTATAAAGTTTCATTAAAACAGACTTTCCTTAGTACCCTCCTCGTTAGCAGCATCTTTTTTGCCCGAACCGTCCTCTATTCTTGACCAAATTGAGCCCCCTACTCAATCACATTCCTCCCAGAGGCCTTCAGCGGTGCACTGCCAACTACACCACCAGCAGGCCATAAAACTTCATGTATCTATTCATGTATAATACAGGTACAAAACATATGGATTCTGAAATTTCCATAAAACTCACGAGAATGGGGTAGAACCGTTGGTAGGAATAAAAGCCATTTATCCAGCTATCTATTTAGAATCAAAGTCAAGAATTATGCTCTCGCAGGGGGACTTGATTGTATCAATTGGTCCCACTTCAATCGAATCAATAGAAAAGGTATATCGACTCAAACTAATCGTACAAATTAAACAAGCCTCCCTTGTAATAGAAGAAAGGTAAAAGAAAACCCCCGATATTGGAAACAAGACCAACCCAGGAAATGCGCCCACTAAAGCAAAACAGAAGGGTAAAAAAGCATAACAAAAACGCCAATCCATGGTCAAGAGACCGACATATCTAGCCTGAGGCACAACGAGATGTGTAAGGCAGAGAAAGGTATAAAAACTAGAAACGAAATTAATTCTTGATCTTTTTTGATCAAGGAGGAAGGAGAAAGATAAAAAAAAAAGCATCACGAGTCGTAGGTGACATAAATCGTGCAACAGGGTAAGGGGATCGGTTCAATCTGGGAATTGGCATGCGAGAGTATATACATGAGTCATCCCGTGGATTGAATGAATGAAAAGCGGTAGGAAGGGGAGTAAGGGGGCTCAGTTACTACTGGCCATTTGTGCTGCTGGAGGGTGAGGGCTTTTATTTGTGCCTGGGACAGATGCTGCTGCTGTCTGTTGGACACTTCCACTGCGTTGAGCTTGCGGCGTAGCGCTTCGGCTTTGTTGCGGGAGAACGCTTCCATTCAGCGACGGTGAACTTCCAACGGGTACGCGGTTCTGTTGGTTGGGTTGAGCGACTCTCATCATTGGCGAGAACTGGGTCTGCTGAGAGTTCTGTATCCCTACATTACCGCTGGCTTGAGGAGAACTTTGAAAATTGGAATCCTGGGGAATCTGGAAATTGGATTGTATAGCACCGCCAGCACTGCCAACAGCGGCATTCATTGCAGCCTGCGTCATGCGTTGCTGCTGTTGTTGATATAGATGAAGGCGATCGGTTGCGAGTTTGGCGACCTGCTCGGGAGACAAGTTCGGGTGGCTTCTTTGAATTTGGTTTTGGATATTGGTTATTGTCGGAACGACACCACTTGAAAGGTGATTTGGTTGAGCCATCCGAGGAGAAGCCGATGTCACACCTTGAACATTGCTATTATGAAACGACGGGTTGGTTATCCCAGTTGCAGCTTGCATTGCTGCAAGTATGGCTGCACTAGTCGCATTGCCTTGGTTCCCATTGAGTCCTTGAACGTTGACATTAGGCGAGTGAGCGCCTTGTTGACCAAATTGCTGAGGACTATGGAATTGCTGTTGCCCTGCCTGCTGGACCTGCTGCCCTTGTTGTTGCTGTCGGGATTGCAAAAGACGTTGTTGTTCTTGAAGCCGATTGGCCTCGCGAATCACTCTGGCATTGTCGGGGGATCCTTGAATAGGTATTCCTGGCCGGCCTGCCATTTGCTGTTGCATGCCTTGCTGTGGCACCATCTTCACACCCATTGCGTTAGGTGGTAGAGGGCTCCCCATAGGTCTACCATTCGACAAACCTTGCATAGGCATGACATTTCCGTGGTTCAGGTTTGCGTTTGGGGGCATGCCATTGGCGACAGCATTCTGCGCCGATGCAGGAAGAGGTTGGGCGCCAGCAGGTTGGACACCATTGGGTGTTCTACCAACAACACCACCCAAAGCAGCTGCTTGTTGATTTGGAAGGGCTCGTTGCGCAGCCAGAGTAGCCTGTAGGAAGGAAAGTTAGATTCAAACACCAAGCGTTTACAAAACTATTGATCCCTTACTCTTTGCTGTGCAATCATCTGTTGACGGTATTGTTCCTGCCTCTCCTGGAGCTTTTGTTCACGTTCGTATTTCAATTTGCTAAAATCAGCCGGATTCGTGATAGGAGGTTTCGGTTGATTTGCTTCATTCACTTTCCGCAGAGAAGCGAGATGGGTAGCTTGAATCATGTTAGTTTTGAATGAATAAATTTCAACACAGTCTCTAATCTCACCTTGCTGTTGCTTCTGAAGCATCGTTTCCCGTTTCTTAGCCAATTTCCGCATGGCATCTAACAGTGCAAGATGGCGAGAAGCTCGTCGGCGGTCAACACGAACAGGTTGCGTTGTCCTTCGACGAATCACAGGTTGGACGGAACCTGGATTGCCCTGTTGCGCCTGTTGCTGCTGCTGTTGCGCAGCTTGCTGTTGTGCAAGTACAGTACGTTGAGCAGCTTCCAGACGCTGATGGTAAGCACGGAAATACTGAGTCTTGGACATATCTGCAGGCAAGCCTTCAAGACCAATCCACCGTTCGAAACATTCCCATGGGGTTCTACGCTCGGCACCAGACGAAAACATGGACGGCGATGAAAGACAGCTGGAAATTAGCGACCAATTGTACGAATAATCCTTCACGAGACGACGGAGTTCGTCATCCTCAGAGAGCGTCCATTGTGAAGACTGTCTAGACTCAAAGAACCCAACGGATGGCATGGGATATTCGGTTGGCGGCCGAAAAGAATGACCAGGGTGGATACGATCTCGTATATGCTTATTCTCCGGACGGAAAAGAGCAACGTCTGTTTGCTCGGGGTTTATGTCGATGATAGGTGTCTCGTATTGGTCATCATGAAGAGTGTAGTCGTACCTACTCTTCTTTCTCGCAGGTTCGTCGTCACGGAAACTGATTCGGCCTGAAGAGTATTTTGAGACCTGAAGAACTTCTGTTTTCCAATCCGTATCAGGCTGATACTTGAAAACAGGCATATGTGTTTCTGGCGATAACCCAATGGGAGCATAAATAGGTAACTCTCCCAACAATTTTTCTGAAACCGGTGTAAAATCAATAGAAAAGTTAAACTCTTCTGATCCTAGTGAGAAAATAGCTGCTGGAGCAACAGTGTCTCTCAAATCGGACCGCGGCTCGTCTGCGAAGCCTTCGCTGACTGATTCTTCTTCTGCAGAAGGTACTAAGTCTGGAGTGGGCTGAGAAACAGGGCCCATATCATCCACGGCATTTTCAACTACCATCGAATCGCTGGTAACTCCATCCATCTTAGAATCTTCAACCCATCTCTTTTGCCGAGTCTTCGTATGCACGCGGAGCTGGCTTCGTTGTGCGGGTTCACTTTGAACATATTCAGCGCACCACTCAGCGCAACTTTTCGCAGCTGCAATTTTCCATTTGCGCTCTTCCTTGAAATCCGTGCGCATCCATTTCATATGATCCAGAAGAACATCCCAATGAGTGCCTTGTCGATGGGGCTCCGCAGATCGTTCCAACTGACGCAGCGGCCATCTATTGGCATTTTGCAGGGCATAAATGCGACGAAGCGTACGGCAATCCATTTGTTCCTGATATTCAAGAAGATGATTTGAGGTACTCAATGTCTTATGGGCAGTGGCCAGGAGAGTTGAGATATTCGAACTGCGAGGGGGTGAATAAGCCTTATTCTGAAACAGTGTAAACAGATAGTCTTGTTGTTCATTTAATCCAGCCACCAAATCGCCCGATTTCTGACGGACCAAACCGAAAGCATCATTCTTATCCAATTGCTTCTTGAGAAAAACTACGGTAGAAAGTTTCGTGCGCTCTTTCTCTCGGTCTTTCCTTTGCCTGATACGTGATGCGGAATCTGGACTTCCTTGAGAAACAGGAGATTTCATAGCGGCAGGTTCGCGAGAAACATTTGTCTGCTGAGCAGTCTTTGGAGTCTCTCCAAGGATTTCAGAAACTGATTTATGCCGAATAGCCCCCGAGGATACTCGAGTAGTCATTCTCTCGGGTACTGGCTGTACTGCGACATTGTTTGCAGGCGACGGTCGCTTGTTCATGGATGCGGTCTCCAGTGTCGGTTGTTCTACTAACGGTTCTGTAGGAGCAGAGACAGGAATGCCACGGTTCGCATGAGCTTCTGGAATGCCGGAAGATGCCGGCGAAATGGCTGCGTCCTGGAAACTCTCGAAGGTGCGTCCACCTGATACCTTTTGATCTTCGCTAGATAATGGTTTCGGTTGCGCGCCTTCTTTGACTAGTTGTTTCGAGAGTGAGCTAATCTCAGGCTTGCCGAGATCTCCAGGTGCTCTACTAGTAGGTAAAGTTTGTGTATTTTGCAAGAGAGACTGCGCTTCCTCAAGCCGTAATTGTTCGTCTGGAGTCGAAGGTATAACCGGCGTTGGTTTCCCTTGCACCTGTGCTGATATATGATCTTGTGTATCAACAACTGGCTTCGCTGAGATGGCATCATGGTCCTCGGGTTCTCCGGATTCTGGAGATGTATCCGAAGATGCAGCTGGAGGTATAGGAGTATTATTGGAGAATGGTTCGATAGAGGAAGCAGGAGAAAGCGGTTGATCTAATCGAGTAGCTGTCCCTAATGGTAAAGATGGCCTGCGGTCTTGTTTATATTGAAGATTGGTATCCGTCCTTTGCGATATTGTTGAAACACCGTGTTCCAAAACAGATGGCTCAGTAGCTTTGTCTCTAAGGCTCGGGCGGGTATGAGAAGGAGAAGTGAAGCTGCCTGGCACAGCATGTTCATGTGTGCTTACTGGTGTCCCAGGCTCCGTAAATTGAGGCTTGGTGCTAACAGTCGGGGTCGGCTGCGCAGCTACATCAGTCCTTTGCGCAGTAGACGGTTGGGGAGAAGCTGTTTCAACAGTAGGATGCTTGATATCTGTTCTTGAGGACAAGGCATCTTGATCAAGCTGTATCTTGTCATCAGTCGCCGTTTCTGGAACATTTCGAATCCTGCCACCGGCACAAGGCTGTCCTGGAGAGAGAGGCTTTGTTTGATGAATCTGCTCCTTCGTTGATCTCTCTAATGCAGTAGCCTCGCTGGAGGTAGGGCGAGCATGCACCTGTAATTGCGCAACGATGTCCGCATAGTCGGGGAAAGAAGGAAGAGTGGATTCATTAAAAAATCGACCCCTACCCGTTTGCGCATTAGTAAAATAGATAAATAAAAAAAAAATAAAATAAACATAGACTCTAGTGGTATTTCCCGAGGGCAAAGTTATGGCAAAAATAGAACTTACTTGGCGAGGTCGTTGGCATCGAGGAACGCTTGTTTCTTTTGCTCATAAAGGGTGTCCGCGGTGGCCCTGTCGGTCGCGCCTAAGCATCCGACCGTCGCAAAATAGAGCTCACTCAGTTTTCGCTTTCGTGACTGCAAACATCGTCTAAAATTCACGGTAAGCGATAGATGAACGTCGCATAGTGTATGTTTTCAGAAAAATCGCTCAGAAAAATTTTTAACTTACGAGATCTCGTCGTTCTTGGAGCGAAGCAGCTCGTCGCGGAGCATCGGGTCTATCTCGACCACGCGTCATCCGATTAACGCGTGGTAAAAAAATAAAGTACGAAGAGCGATGTCATTCAGACCGAAAAAATCGCTCAGAATTGATAAAATCGAGGGATTTGGAGGGTGCTTTGATGGTGACTTTTACAGACGCGAGAATTTCGCCTGGCAGTTGCTTGGGGGGGGGCGGCAGGCGGATGACTGGATTCGACAAGGACAAATTGGCTTCCTCAGGCTTTGCTATTTAGGGGTTGCATGCCAAGCGGGAAACTGCGGTGCACGCTGAAAGCAGACGGCTGATGCCTCGCAATCCAGGCACTTGCGCGATGCCTTTTTGGCTGCGGAAAGTGTATTTTTCCGCGTGCCGGCGGTGGCAGGCGGCAGTATGTGAAAGGACGGAAAAAAGTTGATGTTGATAGCAGCACATGCATCAAGCCTCTCTGCGCTTTTCTTCCCACTCCCATTGCCCGCAAGTTGCTCATCATGGCCAAGCGAAAGAGGGTAGATGCCGCCTCCAACGGCCAAGCTGGTCAGGAGCAACCGCGCAAGGCCGCCAAGGCTGCAGGGACCTCGGAATTGTCCAAGAATGACCCCGGCGCTGTAACAATTCAGATTGTCACAGGATCTTACGAGAGAGTTCTACATGGTTTCACTGCAACTCTGTCTGCTAATCCCCCCGGCAAAGATGCAGCTCAGAAGAGACAAAGTGATTTATCGTCCACAGTGCATTTTGCAGACACATTTCTCTTTCAGGCGCATACATCTGCAATTCGATCACTTGCCTTATCGCCGCCAACCACTGCCGATTCCTCTCAACCACAAACAGTCATCTTAGCCAGTGGTGGCTCAGACGATCGAATTAATCTCTACTCCCTATCTATGTCTCCGCCAGTCGTCAGCGAGCGATTCCCATCTATTTCGACATTGGCAGGGAACAAAATTCTGGAAAACCCATCGAACCGAGAACTAGGAACTCTTCTTCATCATACGTCCAGTATCACGAGTCTTTACTTTCCTTCTAAGTCTAAGCTTCTATCTGCAGCCGAGGACAACACAATATCTGTCACAAGGATTCGCGATTGGAATGTGGTCTCTACAGTTAAGGCGCCGCAGCCCAAAACACAAGGCAGACCCAGCGGAGATACAGCTCCTCCAGGAAGCGTACCCTGTGGGATCAATGACTTCGCCGTTCACCCAAGTATGAAATTGATGATCAGTGTCGGCCGTGGAGAAAGGTGTATGAGACTTTGGAACTTGATGACAGGAAAGAAGGCTGGTGTGTTGAATTTTGACAGGGAAATCTTGCAGAGCGTTAAGGAGACTAAACGGTCTACTGGAGAGGGACGTGGAATAGTTTGGAACTCTACAGGGGAGGAATTTGCAATAACTTTCGAATGGGGAGTTGTTGTCTTTGGAGTTGTAAGCAGACCCCTCTCGGCTGGTACTATTGACAAGCAACTAACCCTTCTTCTCAGGACTCGACGCCCAAGTGCAAAGCCCTTCCATCCCCGTCAACCAAAGTTCAGCAGGTGAAGTTTTTTGACTTCAGTCGGAACAAGGATGGCTCAAAGGAGCTTCTTGTGGTGTCCACAGACGACGGTAGGGCGATTTTCTATTCCACCGGGGAGTCTTCCTCGCCTACTGATGCGTCTTCAATTCCCGATGCCAAAGTCATCGGTCAATTAGGCGGCAAGTCCAGTGGCCTTACAGGACGTGTTAAAGACTTTGAGGTCCTCAACTTGTCTAATGTTGGTAATTGGAAAAAACTTTTCTTGCTCGTGACTTCGAGTAGTGACGGAGTGGTCCGCCTATGGTCACTCAATTTCCAAGCGACTACTAAAGATGCAGCACAAAAAGGCAGTGAGGGCGATGAACTGTCCTCTCAATTGCTAGACTCATATGAAACCGGCAACCGAATCACTTGTATGGTGGCATTTGCCATGCAGAAACCTCGGGAGTTCGAGGCAATAGACGAGTCTGATTTTGGCTCGGATAGTCAAGACGAAGAAGAAGAAGAAGAATCCGGTAGCGATAGTGATCGGGACTGATCGTCTATTGTATAATAGCATATACCAAAATCGTTTCCAATGAATATAAAATTTACGAGTTCACGAGACTTTGAAACAGAGACTCATCCTTGCCGTTCACACGAGTTAGTTATGTCATTTGCATGCCTGGATGAACAAAGGAGGTTCGCACGATCATCATTCGATGCTCTCGACTCCTGAGACACGTATTAATTCCGTAAATAATCCAGAAAGCCGTATCGATCAGAGGTTGGAATGGAAAAGAGTCATCCTCTGGTGCTGCCAAATCCGGACTAGCTCGGTAACTGCCCGCAATGCCAATTATCGCCCATTCCCCACTACACAATTTTATCATAGCAAGTAAATTGCCGCTGCTGCTCAGACCACACCCAAGAGCAGAGAATCCAACTTGCACGTTCCAAGATCTCCGAAGTGCAGAAAACTATCGCCACTACCCCCAGAGATCATTCTTGACGAACGGCTTTTGCCATCAGCAACATGGCTACCAACGGCGATTTCTCCGACGAGGACTCCCAACCGGGTTCGCCCCTCTTGGGCAACGAGCACGAAGACGACATTGAAGAGCAAGAGCCTCTCGACCAGGAGGAGGATACTCAAGGGAAGCCTTTGAAGTCCGCCTTGAAAAATAAGGATGCAGAACCACTAGTCCCGCAAATCAAGCGCCCAGAGCTCCCTGAGCAGCCCGATCCGAACACGGTTGACTTCAGCACATTCACACCTCTTACCCCCGAGATTATTGCCCGTCAGGCTACCATCAATATTGGAACCATCGGTCACGTCGCTCACGGTAAATCGACTGTGGTCAAGGCTATCTCAGAAGTGCACACAATTCGTTTCAAGAACGAGCAGGAACGAAACATTACCATTAAGCTGGGTTATGCCAACGCAAAGATTTACAAGTGTGACAACCCTGAGTGCCCCAGACCTACCTGCTACAAGAGCTACAAGAGTGAAAAAGAGGTAGACCCACCGTGTGAGCGAGATGGCTGCAGTGGCACGTATCGCTTGATGCGACATGTTTCGTAAGTTTTTTTTTTTTTTTCTTCCAACCCTGTTGAGATAGTAAGGCCTGAACTAACGGGATGCCAACAGCTTCGTTGATTGCCCCGGTCACGATATTCTCATGAGTACTATGTTATCGGGTGCCGCCGTCATGGACGCAGCTCTTCTTCTCATTGCCGGAAACGAAACATGCCCCCAGCCTCAGACTTCAGAGCATTTGGCTGCCATTGAAATCATGAAACTGAGTCACATCATTATCCTTCAAAACAAGGTTGATTTGATGCGTGAGGAAGGTGCTTTATCACACTACCAGTCGATTCTGAAGTTCATTCGAGGCACAGTAGCCGACGGATCACCAATCATCCCGATCTCAGCTCAGCTGAAATACAACATTGATGCCGTCAACGAGCATCTTGTGTCTCACATTCCAGTTCCAGTTCGTGACTTTACTGCCGCGCCTCACATGATTATCATCCGTTCCTTTGATGTCAACAAGCCCGGTGCTGGAATTGATGATCTCAAGGGTGGTGTTGCCGGTGGCTCAATCTTGACCGGTGTTCTCAAGGTGGATGATGAAATTGAAATCAGACCTGGTATTGTTACCAGGGACGAGAATGGAAAGGTTCAGTGCCGTCCCATTTTCTCCAAGGTCGTTTCTCTTTTTGCAGAACACAACGACCTGAAATTCGCCGTCCCTGGTGGTCTGATTGGTGTTGGAACTCGCGTGGACCCTACACTTTGCCGTGCTGATCGTTTGCTCGGTTTTGTCCTGGGTCTGCGCGGCCGGTTGCCTGCTATCTACACTGAAATTGAAGTCAACTACTTCTTGCTTCGCCGTCTGCTTGGTGTCAAGTCAGCCGACGGCAAGCAAGCGAAGGTTGCTAAGCTCTCCAAGAACGAAGTCCTCATGGTCAACATCGGATCCACAGCCACAGGTGCCAAGGTCATGGGTGTCAAAGCCGATGCTGCCAAGCTTGTCCTTACGAATCCCGCTTGTACCGAAATTGGTGAGAAGATTGCTATCAGTCGTCGTATCGAAAAGCATTGGCGATTGATCGGTTGGGCCAATATTGTTGCGTAAGTTTTCTATTTTTCCTATAACATACATTTGGTCTTACATACTAATTGATTTTCAGTGGAAATACCTTGGAGCCAGTCCAGGATTAAACATACCATTACATGTCGATTTGGGTATACTTCCCACAACCCAACACATATTCAACCGAGCATGTGGACTGGATAATTCATAAACGCAAAACGAATCAGACCAGTATACGCCTGCTTCAAATTTGCATTTATTGTTTATGAAGAGACCTGAGAACACAGTTGGCTGAAAACAAATGACTTGGCCACGTGTTGATTTCTTCTTCCCGATATCCTGTAGCATTTCTTCTTCTCTTTCTTCCTCTTTTTTTTTTTTCTTGCATGCTCCCATCTGGGAAATGCTGCCTCGGGGATTGGCAAGTTACGAAGCTAGTTTCATTGGTATAGAAGCATGGTATGACGGTTCGTGGGTGTTAAGAGATGATGATGACAATGATACAATATTAAAAAGTTGTTTATTCTTTAATTCTTGTTCGTCTCGCAATGAGAAGTGTTCATGAATCAAGTCTTTTGTCCGTATAGGTCAACATCTAGGAAAGTCACACTGTAACTACCGACATCATTGACGAAACATTAACTACAAGGACAGTCGTGTTCTCAAATCCTAGAGATACTGAAAATAACAAGATTCCCATCATGAAAAGGGCGATTCTATGCCTAGAAATACATTGCCCATGCTTCTCCATGAGTAACTTGCAACTTGCTTCATAATAGTTTATCACGTATATATTACAAAAAGAAAAAAAGGGAGAAAAGTTTCCCCCCTAGTAACAGCCTCCTACCCTCCCCCTTTTTCTGTTCTTTTCTCTAGTGAAGATAGAAAACGCAAAAGAAAGAGATTTTCACCAACTCAAATCCTTCCTCCCCCTAAGCCTCCGTCTCTTCAAAATCAAACGTCCTGTTCGAGTCTTCAATCTAGCCAGAAACCCATGTCGACGCTTCTGCACTCTTCTAGAAGGATTGTATGTAGCTCTCTTACCGGCGAGTGATGCAGAAGCAGAGAAAGATCGTATCTGGTCAATCGTCGTGAGAGGAGTTGCGATGTTGTTGTTGTTGTTGTTGCTGCCGTTGAATAATGTGCTAGATAATGTGGGTCGGGCCGTGGGGATTGAAGAGAAAAGAGTCTTGTGGTGATAATGTTTTTGTTGTGAGAAGTAGGTTCGAGCGTAAAATGAGGATAACGTTGTTGTTGCTGGTGCTGAGCGTATTTGTGGTCTGTGTGGTTTTGCAGATTATCAAAGGTCAGCCAATGTCCGCGACTACAAGTTCTTTGGTATTTCCTCGACTCGTATATAATGATTTCCAAATAATTCAGCAAAATCTTACCGTAGAGTTAGCGCAGCGCGTGAAGTCAAGGTGGGCACAGCCATCTTCGAGGACTGAAAGGCCTGCATGATGGCTGGCAGTGCAGCAGGACACGGAAACGAGATAAAACTAGATGCAGCAGTCGCAAGTCAGAGATGAAATCTCATATGACAATTTAGAAGAATGAAGCATACCGAAGAAATAAGCCAGCCAGCGCCGCAAATGAGTTTTGTTTAGGGATCAGCGCAATGGGAATTATATTCGGGCTTGCTCTGTCCGCCGCGGGAGAGAAATGATTGGCCTTTGGGCAAATAATAACGTCGAGATCTCTCCGTCGCCGCCCGCGGGATCTGGCAGAAAAAAGTTTCAAGCTATGAACTTCTGGATCTAGACAAAAAGAAAGTCCAATTGGCTTATCACAATCTTTATAAAAAAAATTTGATTACCGGTCGAGCAGAGGATATTTCGAAGGAAAACAGAGAAAGAGAAAAAAAAAAAGAAAAGAAAAATCCTCCACCACGGGCAGACTCGTGTGCAAATCTCATCGGAAGCACCATCCGTCGCATTAGCAACAACACAAGAGAAAGCGCAAAGAAAAGACACCCAACGCAAGTGTGTCTACCTTCAAAAGGGAAAAATAAAAGAGTCAAAATGTCTCACTCCGGCCCCAATCCCTTACCTCCAACGCAAATACTCACATCACGATCTACCTCGCAATCCGCCGCTCTCGACTTCCTCAAAGCCTACCTTGTCCGAGCCGTCAATGACCCTTCTCTACAACCCAGTGCGATGATCACCGAACACGGACCCATCTCGCGCACAACAGCTGCTGCTCCTAACCTGACGCTGCACAATCTCAAGCGAGTCCAGGCGGGTCTCGCAGGTGAGATATTGGGTCGCGACCTGACGTTGAATACAACAAGTTCTAGTGCTGCACAGTCCCGCGGAACGAAGACGGCAAATGGTGAAACAAATGCTGCTGATGGCAATAATAATAATAAGGACGAGCAATGGGAGGACAGAGAGAAATGGGAATTGGAACAAGCGGGCACCGTTACGGGCGGGGATGGGACTGAGGAATTACTTAACAATGCCGCGGGAGAGGAAATTGAAGTTGATGAGAATGGGATGCCGATTTCTGGGGTCATTGATAAAGAAGAGCGCAAGCGGAGAAAGAAGGAGAGGAGACAGGCCGAGAGAAAGGCTAGAAAAGAACAGGCAAAAGAAGCAGGCGAGGAAGAAATGGAGATGAGTGAATAGAAAAGAAAAGTCTGGGTGGCCTTGTATTTATTTTTCTCTATTTGCGTTAGCCTGGGTTTGGCGTTGGGGATTTCTTTCCGGGGACATTATGTTAAACAATTAGTTTTTTCGTGTCAATGTTCGCATTTTATGGAAACAGAAGCATTGCTCAAGCGAAGCAATAATTTCTAGACGATTTAGAAAGAGGCAAGCATAAAGTCAATAAAGTTACAATTCCCTGTCGGCAGCCTTAACAGGCTTCTCACTGTCCTCCGCCTTCTCGGCTCCTTGACTCTTCCATCCCAGAGCAGCCAAACGCTCGGTGAGGATAGGATGCGAGTAGTGGTAGCTGGCATACATCCAATCGGCATCCATTGTACTTAGATTTTGTATCTGGAGCTTCAAGAGAGATTGTGCAAGGAGCTTCGACTGACCAAGGTCTGCCGCGAAACCATCTAAAAGAGAAAAGAAATTAGCACAATTATCAATAATAAACGCTAGCTTTGGTGTAACAAACCTGCTTCGAATTCAAACTTGCGGCTAAGGATGTTCATCAACAGCTTCACAACGGCATCCATAGGCGCCAAAGCGTCGGAAAAGAGCAAAAAGCCGATCATAATAGGCTGCTCGTTATAGAATCCGAATGATTGGAACAATGACTTGTTGTTAATGAACGCCGTAAACAATGCGAATATATAAAGCATATGGGCCTATTTGTACATTAGTTGCGTGTTCCCTGGTCACCTATCTGTTTGGACGGAAGTCTTACCTGGGCGATTCCAAACAATTTGGTCGTGTGGCCAAGCTTCCAATGACCCAATTCGTGACTCAAAACAGCAACTACTTCCTCAGGCTCACTTTTCTCGATTAGGGTGTCATAGATCACAATGTGCTTTTTCCAAGGGAACCCGAAGAAATAAGCATTGCTATGGGCGCTTCTTTTACTGCCATCAATGGAGAAAATGTCATGAAGGGGGAACTTCAACTTCTGCGCAAGCTCTTCAACACCAGTTTTGATGGGGCCAGGTTCCAGAGGAGACAACTTGTTGAACATAGGCAAGATAACAATTGGATAGATGGTGATGGTGAAGACCTGAACGAAGATGCTGAAGATCCAGAGATAGTAGAAAAATTGACCACCAGTCTTCTGAATAATTTTGAGTACGGCCGCCATAAGTGGACCACCGAGAGCAATGCCGAGAGCCTGACCCTTTAGCATATCTGTGACCCAAAGCCCTAGCGTCTGCTTGTTGAAACCGAACTTTTCTTCGAGAACGAATGTGTTGTAGTACGAGATCGGAAGGGACAAGATGGTGGTCAGGATATTGAAGGCAAAGAAGAAGAGAAGCGTATGTCCAATTTCACCCTGTGACCATGTCGGAAAGTAACTAGCAAGTGCCACGCCAGTTACACCCCATATTTTAGGCAAGAAGTCGTAGTAGATGAAAACCAAGTTCTGGAGCTGACCGTAGAGGGAGGAAATGAAACCGAATTTTGCTTTTGCACGACCGTATGTCTAATAATGGAAAGCAATATCTTAGTATACACGAAGATGTATGTTCAAGAAGATTTACTACCTGACTGTCTTCAAAGACCTTCGTCGTGACTTCCCCTTCCAGAACCTTTGGAGGCTTGGTCTGCTGAAGCACGCGGTATTGCCGGAGCGAAAGGAAGCTCTCAAGGGCATATTGGCCCAAGGAGAAACCAACTAACACCGTCTTCCATGGGAAGAGAGGGCGGTCGAGAAACTGGGCGAGAGCCTGGTATCACTAGTCCATGAGTGAAACCGTTTCTCATAAACAAGGAATCGGGACTGACGATAGAGTGCAATGTACATACCTGGAGTATATTATTGATCATTTTTAGGACTCCAAAGCTCCGAGATTGCTTATGATGTGAAGAAGATTCCGTGTCAACAAGAAGTTAAGAACGATCTGGCATGCGGGCAGGTGCCACACTGCCATGCAAACCATGCAAACATCTAGCTTCTCCACGTGATTCTGATATTCTTTTAACCAGCGTTTCTTAAGTTCAACTTCATGACTAGAGATCTAGTTCTTTCACGCGAATCTTGCGCTGTCGAATTTTTTCAAGTCCAAAGAACACTAAGGCCAATCTATCTATCTATCCTTCGGGCTGCTTTGCCTGTCGACTTTCTCCTTGTTGGTTGATTGTTCTTTGAAGAAGGATGGCTATTTGTCAAAATATGTAGCAGTCTTGAGGACAAACTATTGGCTATCTAGATGAATTGAATCATTCGCCATCCTCTTCCTCACTTTCTGATTCGTCCTCATCCTCGTCCTCTTCGTCCTCTTCGTCGTCTTCCTCGCCATCAACTCTTAGACCGTAATCATCCTCAAATTCGTTCAAAGTCTTAACCGCAGGTTTGTAGCCAAAAGATACAAAACCATTGTTGATCGTCTGTAAATGCAGGCAGATGTTAGTATCTAGCTTTTAAATATAGGTTGGGACTGCCCAAACTCACCTCTTCCAGCACCGGTGCACATGTTACCACAAGATTCGAGGAATCAGGGTTAAAAAGTGGCAATATGATATCTTTCAGCGCGAGTTTGACATCATCAACTGTCGTCTCCCTGACTTTCTTCAAGATCTTTTCCTTGTAGTCGCTTGGTAGAAGGCGGACCACCTGGCGAATGAAACTGCCTTGGGCAGCGCTCGCCATGGTTGCTTGCTCATTTGCGAAACTGACCACTATGCTACTAATTGCACCTTCAAGCATCAAGGGATCAAACTCAACGGCACCTGTGAGGTGATCTTCAACGATCTTCTTGCTGGAGCTAAACGCTTTATGGGCGTTGGGAGAACGGTAAACATCAAAGTTGACCGATCCGAGATCGATATTATACCCGAAGTTGGTGCCATATGCAAGTCCGGTACCGCGGACGGCAACCCAAAGAGGGCCCTCAACAGCATTCATATAGGCTATGGCAACTAATAAGGAAGGCAGCGTTGGGTGGTCGTATGAGTCTAGCCCCTTCGCAGTAGCGTAAGCAAACGATGAATCAATCGTTGACATGGGAACCACATCGCACAGCTGGCCAATATTCTTTCCAGCCTCGCTAAGTTGAGCCCGTCTACTTGTAATAGGCTGTAAATTTTGCTTGGAATCAAGTCCCTCAACGAATGATTTCCACGAAGAAACCGGCGCATGCAGTTTCTTCAGGTCGGCGATAACAAGAACCCGAAAGTTGGAAAATTGAAACATACATTTTCGGATTTCTTCCATCTGAGAAATCACTATCTCTGGTTTGGTTGCCAGAAGCCGTTTGATACGCTTCAAATAACGAGCCTTTACAAGCGTACTGCGCGCTCGTACGATAGACTCCGGGGCATAATGAGTCATAACAAATACTGCAGCAAGCATATCATCGCCACTACGTTTTGCATCCGGAACGTCTGCAAGTAGTCGCGTGGTAATAGCTTTGAGCCTCTCAGCATCAAATACAGAGTTCCAGGTAAGTTCTTTCAACCACGTAATTGCAGTAGCATATTTTTCGACCTCGACTTGGAAAATGACCCGAAGCATCTCTGAATTTCCTAAATCCCGTGCTCCTTCCATCGAATACCCAACTGTATCTCTTTCAAGCTCAACGATAACCTGCTCAAAAGAAATCGTCTCCCCGTTCCTCTGAATAGGACTATTGAAGTAGGCTTCAGTGTATACTGCCAACAAAGGACGGAGCTGGACGGGCACCTTCCCTGCGGAAATGAGAAGAGACAACTGGACAAAATTGCTTTCAATGTGTTCAAAATGGATGAAAAGGGGTGCTTCCATTTTATCGGCATCGATCAAGGATTGTAGTTCATTATCGGGCCTGCCAGCTTTTAGTGCAGATCCAGACCTTGCCGTCGTTGTCGTGACGAAGTGTATTGAGTCTGTTGCCGGAACTTTAAACTGAGTCAAAAGTTCTGATGGAATGGGCTTATCATTCTCTGCCATAGAAGATTCCAGCTTTTCCTGCAGCACCTTGAGACCTTTCTCGCCAAGCTCTTCTCGTCGTGCTGCAACTCTTGCTTTTTCATCAGCTTTTAGCTTTTTTGAAAGTTTGCTTGATGGGACACCCAGAATGGATACGTGGTGAGCATCAGCAATCCACTTCTTGATGAAATCCTTCCACTGCTCTTCGGTCCACTTCTCCAACTCCTCGTACTCATTCAAAGTGGCGATATCAAGGAGTGTTGACCCATCTTTTTTACCGTACAGGAAATCAGAAATAACGTATTCGGCAAAGGATATAGCAGAACCCTCTGTTGAGAATTTCCAGCTTCGTTTCTGACGCTGAATACATTCAGATATGTATTTCATGTCAAGAGGCTGTTCCACAGCTTCGTGCAATATCTCAAAGAATCGCTTCTCAACTTCTTCCAGTTTTTCCGTTGCCACACTAGTTAGGGTGAAACGAATCTCGATATCTGGCCGATCATCAGTGGCAAAATATACTGCGCTTGCAACTTGCTCCTTCTCGACCAACGTGTTCTCCAGGATAGTAGCCGATGAGCCAGCCAGATATAAAAGTACGACGTTTAGCGCACCGCCTGGAAAAAGTAAGCAAAGATACTTGACAACTGAGCTTTCGTAATGCTTACCTTGGATTGAGTCTGTGCAATCTGGACCCAACAACCTAATCTCTATCTCCCCAGACGATTCATCTTCCTCGGGAAATTCTATCTTTTGCACAATGGACTCTTTGAGCGGTGGAGTTCGCTGGGACTCGACCCATGGACGCTTGAACGGGGCTTCCGGGCTTGGAATAATATCAAGGATTGTGCTCTCAAACGTATCTAGTTTTTCCAGCAAATCGCCGTGGTCTACCTCTCCAGTAATGATCAAGCAGAGGTTCTTTGGCTGATACATCTCACGATGGAAGGCCCGTATCCTATCTGCGGTGAGTGATCGAAGTTGTTCCATCATACCTCCGGTCTCATATCGAAATCCGACACCTTCTGGATAGAGCAAGCGTCGTGCTTTGAGGTCGATCAACTCGGTCTGGCTGTTCTGAAGACCTTGCATCTCCGAATACACGACACCTGCATCATTTCCTGTTCCGTCAATATGATGCACTTCTGTGTAGCAGCCAGCATCAGTCAGAGTCGGGGCAATGACATGCTCGAGGTAAATCGGGAGTATCTGCGAAAATCCCGCCCATCCAGCTGTATCAAGCGTATAGGCAGTGTGGTCCGTAGCTGTCCAGGCATTGGTATGGGAGTAGAACCTTGTAGCCAGTTTGTCGAGGAACCCCTTGTAGCGATAGTTGCGAGAGCCCATAAAGCACAGGTGCTCTAAGGTGTGTGGTGCGCCTGAATCGTCGTGGATCTCGGTTGCAAGGACAAAATAGCCAGCTACCTTAGGTCCTTTATGGTCAATGACCACGACTCTCATCCCTGTCCTTTGTGACTCATATTGGGTAAATTCATTGACGGAATACTCGGGCTTGAACTTTTGAAGCTGGCGAAAGTAGCCTTTTCCTGATGCCACCATATTGAGGGGAAGCTGCCAAGGTAGCGGTAAGGTTTGAAGGTAGCTCAGAAATAACAGAAGCTTGGGATTAAACCTTCTGTTGACTTAGTCAGTGATGATTACTTCGTGGCAGTGACGCATACATCAAGGATGATTTCAATGGGCTTGAAAGTGAGATCTTTGTGACTTGGCAGGGCAGTCTCCAGCAACATCTAGAACCACCCGATACCAGCTAGTACAATGCAAGAGCACACAAGTCAACTTTTGGTGAGAGAAGTTTAACGGTAACACAGTTGTAAGATATATGTACATATTCTTACGTGCAAAAGGGTATATTGATATATTGAAGCACCGCAGGGTCAAGAGGAGGGGTAACCAGTGTAGAAAATAATCACTAGGGCGATTTACTTACCGAGGAAGCAGAGAGATCAATCGATGGATGTTGAAGTAAGGCAGGCTTTGAATGGTGCTTTTTCAACAGGCAAAACATGCAACTCGTTGATCGGTGAAAGCGAAAGTAGGTTGAGCTCAGTCGCGGCTGGCGAGGAAGATACAAAATATAACTATGTAAAGTCAGTCTATGTCAGCACTCCCTCTGCGCCAATCCAATGAATTGCCGGAGAAAAGAGCCCAGCAACTCAGTGTACACAACAAGAAGGCCCTTACGAGAGAAAGAACTCCTTTTCTCTCCTTTAAGTCCAGAACTGACGTGGCAGGAGGTTTGTTGCGATGTTCGCACGGGTCTTTGACAATTTTGTGGGGGAGCCAAACGCCGCAGTGACGCCAAGTCACATGGCAAAGCCGCATCAATTCACTAGAGAGCTGTCCAAGCTGTCATCTTCACCGCTATCTTCGTCTCCCACAGCTTCAATTGGCTTCGCAATGACCACAAAATCTCCATAGTCGAATGTGCATCGCTCGTCTTCTCGTTGGAAAATCACTTGGCAGTTCATTCCCTCGATGCTGGTTTCGTCCTCTCTTTCGTCTCGGTGACGCCGTACACAATGCCCTCCGCAGTGACCAAGGACGATGTTGGCAGATCCCTGCTTGCATTCGTGGCTGATGGCAAGTACCCGGACTCCGAAGATGTTGTATCTACGGATTTCGCTCCTCATTTCCTTCCAAAAGGATTGCAAGATATTTCTCAGGCTCGCGCACTGGTAGAGGCAAGTCATCGCTGTACCCCGCGCTGACTATAACTAATGGTGATTGTGTTTGAAGGAAGAAATCAACGCTTTGAGTCAAGGCACAGCTTCGGATGTTGATGGGTGGATATCCCAAGCTCGCCAGCTACGTGCGGACATCGAGCGATCTCGAGAGACCGCACGAGATATTGTCGCCCAACACGAACGGACCCAACCACTGCAAGACAAAGTCAAGGATGCCTCGGCCAAGGTGCAGCTTATCACCAACGAACTTGCCTTCAATGAAGCGGTTACCGATGTTCTCGGAGAAGTCCAGAAGTTCTCTTCGCATATATTCAATAGTCACAAAGCTGTTGAAGAGGAGGACATTGATAATTCCATCACATCTCTTGAAGCCGCCGAAAGACTCTTAGAAAGCCACAATCTGATGAGATATACCAGCATTTCAAGTATTCTACGTGAAAGGGTCTCTTCTCTGCGCACGTCTATTGTCGATTTACTGCTGTCGTGCTGGGCGCGTCAGGTACGATTAAGCAAAAACGAATTTGAGGTTATCATCAACGATGAGTCTAGTAAGAAAATACAACACGCCCTCCCCCTGATAAAATTGCGATAGCTAGTCTTAACGATATTGTCAGAGCAACCTACATTATCAACTCTGGTCACATCATTATCTCGTCTCGGCATACTTGATTCCGTGAAAAGTTCGTTTCAGCATGGTGTATTGGAGAATATTATTCAACCGGTCCTCATGCCACGCACCCCCGGGAAAAGCCGTGAAATTTCAGTTGGAGACCATGGCATTCGGGTAGGGGAGCCATTACCTTCATCGATACCTGAAGTTCTCACCCGCCTGGTTTCCATCCTACGTTATTTGCGAGAGAAACTACCAGGCTCCGTTGTGGAGTCTGCAGCAGAGGCTATCATACCGCAAATATCGGTTATATTCAGTGAGTCATGGTTAACCCCAACGATTCCGCTGAATTTGGACAGTATACGGGATTTCGAGGACACATTGGTGCGTGTAAACGAGTTCTCTAAGACAATAGAAACATTTGGGTGGCATGGCCAAGAGCAACTTGTTTCATGGGTTAATCATTTCCCTCGGCTGTGGCTTACTCGCCGCAGAGTAGACTCTTTGGATCAAGTCCGTGGAATCCTTGTCCAGAGTCAAGGCAGTACGAAGGAAGTCGAGAGGGTCGAGAAAGAGGTTGTGACAAATAAAGATGATGTCCTCCTAGAGACCGGTATAACGGAGGACTGGGATGCTAATTGGGGCAATGAAAGTGAAGAGGAGGAATCCACCAAAACCAGTGCTCCTCAAGAATCTAAAGGAGATGACTTCGATGCTTGGGGGCTCGAAGAGGAGCTGGATGATGCAGAAAAAGCAGCTGATGAGGATGAGAATGACGATGATGCTTGGGGTTGGGGCGAGGAGGCTGATGAAGAGTGTACTCCTGACAAGCCGGAAGCTTTTAGCGAAGTTAAAAGTCAGGGAAAAGACCTTCCAGCAGAGAAGGGTTTGGCAGCCAGGGAAATCACATTGACAGAGCGCTACACGATTACAGATATTCCGGACTCAGTCACTGCTCTGCTCGCACAGCAGATTTCAGATTCTGAATCCTTATCAAAGCCAGAGTAAGCCCTTCCGCAAAGGTCTTACGGTACTCCTGACTAACCCTGTGAAGATTTTCCGCTAGTCGCGTTGCCGCCTCAGGAAACGGCCTGTTAGCGCTCCCGACCTTAATTATAGCCATGTTTAAAGCAATAGCTCCATCCTTCTACTCGTTGAAATTGAATGCCGGGAACATTTACTTATACAACGATAGCCTTTACCTTGCTGAGAAGGTCCGCAGCCTAGTGGAAGAGCATCAACTCACAAGACTGGCAGCGGACATCGAAGGCTTGGAACGATTCGGCAAACTATCTTATAGCAAGGAAATGCAAACACAACGAATTATTATCACGGACTTGCTTGATGGAAGCCAAGGCTTCGCTCGTTGCTCGGAGCAGCCATTTCTGAGAGAATGCGAGAATGCGGTGGATGCAACAGTTGACAGGATTCGTAGCGTCTTCAAAGAGTGGCAGCCGATCCTATCGCACTCGGCGCTTCTCCAAGCAATGGGATCTCTCATGTCTTCGGTTATCAACAAAGTGATTGTTGACATTGAAGACCTATCCGACATATCAGAGGCAGAATCTCAAACATTAATTGCTCTTTGCAATAGACTCTCCACGCTGGAAGACATATTCATTCCCAAAACGGACGTTGGCGCGACTTCTATGGCAGCCGTCTACGTTCGAAGCTGGTTGAAGTTCCAGTATTTGATAAACATACTCGAGAGCTCGTTAGCGGACATCAGGTTCCTATGGACAGAAGGAGAATTGCGCCTGGAGTTCTCCGCTGAGGAAGTAATAGAGTTGATCACAGCTCTTTTTGCAGAGTCTGACCATCGGCGGAAGACGATATCTGAGATCAGGCGAACACGTTAGTGAATATTATATGAGAGTGTATATAATGAAGTCGCAGCCACAAAATATATAAAAAGCAGCAAGCCATGTACAGTAAATGATCCCATCCAAGAAGCGGGCACATGTGGGGCTATGCGCAAAGTGCCGTTTCGGTTGCCGTAATTTTTTTGATTCTTGCCTCAAGCGTTTGAAGGCTCAGTTCCGCTCAATCTGATATCCAGTGCTTTTCACTTTTGCAGAAACATGGATGTAGAAGCTGCTTCGTCGTCGCAGGCAAGCCAACGACAGGTGCGCTTGCATCTTACTACCAGGGACGGTGATATCGCTCTACCTGATGGCACTGGCCCAATCCTTGTGCCTACTGGTAAGTATTTATGCCTGACATTTTTTTCTTCTTTTTAAAATATAAAATGGCGTTACGTCGTAGGTTTCTGCTGTGTTTTTACTGACTTCTTTCTCTGTGTTCATCAGGCCTGCGAAGATATGCGCTGTCTACTTTGGTGAACAACCTACTTAGCAATGAGAAACCGATTCCCCTCGAGTTCTTGGTCAACGGGACATATCTACGAACCTCAATTGACGAGTACCTGACCGCAAACGGTATATCCGCGGAGACGACACTTGAAGTTGAATATGTGCGAGCCCTGATACCGCCATTACATATTGCATCCTTTTTGCATGATGATTGGGTGAGCTCGGTTGACGTTCTGTCGGCGACGTCTCTTACAGGTGGAGCGAGCGTGTCGGCTGGACAGGAAAGGATTTTGTCTGGCAGCTATGATGGTATTTTAAGGATGTGGAACATGTCATCCCAGACTATTGCTGTCTCGCCAGATGCTTCTGAAGGTGGCCATACGGCTTCTATCAAAGCATCAAAAATAATTTCCCCTACGCAACTTGCCTCAGCGGGGCTTGATAGAACGGTTCGACTATGGAAATACACCGAAGATGAGGACGGGTCTGCAGGCCGCATTACCCCCCAACTTGAACTGTATGGACATAAGTCGGGCGTGGATTCTCTTTCTGTACATGCGCCTTCAAATCGAATGCTATCTGCATCAGCAGATCACACTGTCGGGTTTTGGTCGACTCGGAAATCAGATGCGCCTACTGCCCCCGCAGAACTATTACCCTCAAATGCATCAAGGAGTTCAAAACGGCGCAAATTAAACTCTTCCGTTACCGTACCTCAACGCGGTCCACTTGCACTTTTGTCCTCTCACACTGGCCCTGTTTCCGCGGCGATTTTCGATGCAAAGGACTCCACAGTTGGGTATTCCACGTCTTGGGACCATTCACTTCGTACTTGGGATCTAGTCACATCAGCTCTCGTTGACACTCGCACTACTTCGCATTCACTCCTATCCCTTGAACATCTTCCTGAACTACACCTTTTGGCGGCTGGTACATCCGCCCGGCATATCACACTCATAGACCCGCGAGCCTCTGCGACGTCCGTCTCTGTCATGACCCTACGCGGACATACCAATGCTGTCGTTACCCTCGCCCGTGATCCGCATAGTACATATGGACTCATTAGTGGCAGTCATGATGGCACATGCCGCATTTGGGATGTCAGGTCTACAAAGACGGATACGGATGGCATTGTTGGCAGAGACATATATTGCATACCACGCAAAAGCCTAGAGGAATCCGGTAAGGAGGGCTCAAAGCGAATAGGTGGAGACGGAATTAAGGTGTTTGGGGTATGCTGGGATAATTCCGTGGGCATTGTGAGCGCCGGTGAAGACAAGAGAATACAAATCAATCGTGGAGAAGGCGTTTTACAAGCGGAGCCGCCAAAAACCAATTAGTATGGCGGTTCGGGACCTGAAATTTTGAACATATAGAAAGAAAAGTTATGGATGGTTGGCGTCTTTTTCTATCTTCAAGCTTTACGTTTTCATCAAACAAGAAATCATTCTTCTCTTCTAGTAGGTATTTTACAATCAATACATGATTACTGTACAAATCTCATTTCAACTGAAAATAAATAACGCCCTTTTCCCGTGCTTTATAAATGGATAGAGTGTCGCCAAAGTATATGTGATGCGGAGAAAAGACATGCGAGAGAGATAAGGGCATCAAAGTCTCCTTTCTGCCGAATTGAGTTTGTATGCCGTTTTAATCTTACAAGCCACAAGTCAGTTTGAGAAGAGACAAAATCAATAGAAAAAGTCGACGTACCTGGTTGCGAGTATTCTGTCCTCTCACAGGCAAACCTAATGCATGCCTCCTTCCACGATAAGTACCCGTATCCCTCAACCGCTTAATATCATCAAGGACCTGGCGACGCAGGTCATTTTCAATCTTCATTTCGGACAACGCAGCTGTAATATCGAGGACCTGCGGGTTTGCCAAATCGCCGATTTTCGCTGTCGGGTGGATGTGGTAGCGGGCCATGAGGCGGGAGGAGACATTGGGACCGATGCCAAAGAAAGTCTCGAGAGATTTCTAGAACGTTGTCAGAACTGCTTATATGTCCTGAGTATCGTGGATAGAGGGAGGGAGGGAGTGTGTATATCGGCTTGCCTTGACGAGATTCCGCTCAGGAAAATTTACTCCCAGGATGAAAACCTATAGATTGTTAGCCAGACATAACTTGGAATGCTCTTTTCCCGACAAAGATAGTGTATGTGTGACTCACCATTATGCTGTAGCAAGAAGAATGCGTGCTGTTTTCCGTGTGCAACAGCGACCGTCATCATATAATTCACCTGGAAAGATGATCTCGCGCAAGACGGAACAAAGTATTTCCGACGCAGTGTGAAATGCGGCCAATCAGGGCTGTCCAATTGCGGCTTGGCGGGTCTCTCCGCATGTAAGCTGGCCTTTAAAACGACCTCACTACTTCCCGTATTAAGGAGAAGGTAGTCGAGACTCCAACTCCAATTATACAGATCCTATTTCCTAGCAAACATGCATTTCAAAAGCTTACTTTTCTCTTTTCTTCTGGTCTTGACACTCGGCTTCGGCCTCCTCTCACAGGCCAAGGAAGCTACACCCCGCGGGCCAAAGATCACGAACAAGGTGCGAAACAACGATTGAGCATTAGCATTTGCGTCGCCTGTTATAAATGCTGACTTGATCCGATGGTAATAGGTTTACTTCGATATCGAGCAGGATGGACAACCACTAGGCCGTATTGTCTTTGGTCTGTACGGAAAGACTGTTCCCAAGGTGAGTACTAGACATAGTTAACTAGCTGTCTTCCATTATCAATGAATAACGGAGCCCATGCTTACTTAACTTTTGATATAGACTGCTGAGAACTTCCGGTATGTGTACTTTTGATCGATCTCTCTTGAGTATTACGGCGTTTTGTCTTACTGAGGAATCGACATTTCAGCGCTCTTGCTACTGGCGAGCAGGGGTTTGGCTACGAAGGCTCAACTTTCCACCGTGTCATCAAAAACTTTATGATTCAGGGTGGTGACTTCACCAATCATGATGGTAAGGGCTCTAGGGCGAACACCAGGGTCATCATCTGTTACAGGCAGTAGTGCTCAATTCTTGCAGGTACCGGTGGCAAGTCCATCTACGGTCAAAAGTTCGCCGATGAGAACTTCAAGCTTCGTCACACAAAGAAGGGTCTCCTGAGTAAGATGCTACTGTTTCCGCCGGTCTTTGCTGTGTATCAAGGAAGCTGATATGTAAGTCTTTTAGGCATGGCCAACGCCGGAAAGGACACCAACGGATCCCAGTTTTTCATCACTACCGTTGTCACAAGGTTCGCATGGCACATCTCATTGCCTTGATTACCTATAGCTAATTACAGTTTCCTTACGCAGCTGGCTCGACGGCCGTCATGTTGTCTTCGGCGAGGTCTTGGAGGGCTACGATGTTGTGGAGAAAATTGAAAACACCCCTACCAAGAAGGGCATCGACCGACCTCTACAGGAAGTCCGCATCGCCAAGAGCGGAGAGCTAGCGGTGGAACCGGAACCTGCTGAAGGTAGCCATGAAGAGCTCTAAAAATCAATCCCTTTCAGAGATATTGTCTTTTATTCGTTTTACTGAGGTTGCTGCATTGGAATCGCTGATTTCTTGCTCGTCTTTTCTTATAAGATATAACGCAACCGGCCGTTGAAGAAGGTGCCGACGCCAATCTGCCGACAGAATCGTTGAAATCAACCGATCACTCACCAATAACACCTCAACAGCTCCTCGTTCAACAATTAGACAAGAGTAGATCGATTTCAGCTTTTTCGTGGATTGTGATTGTTGTGATTGTTCTTTTTGTCGTGTACATGTCTCGGAGAAGAAGATCTGACAAAGTGGACGAGAAATATGGCGCGTAGTTACACTGCAGCTTAGAAATCAAGGCAGATGAGTATGTCTATCATCACGTTGGTGCCCGCCTTCCTTAGCAAGTATTACAGCCCTTTCTTTGGGGGCTGCTTTGTTCTCTTATCACCTCTAAAGCGGCTAAGTGAAGAAAAAAATAACTACAACTTGGCCGAAGGGTAGGTAGATCGGGTTCGCTGTCGCAAATAGTAAAATTATACGGGGGAGGTGGACTGACACTCTTGTTAAGCTTAATGCCACTTTTCCTGGGTCAGCATTATCTTATTCCTTGGAAGTTGTCGACTGCCGAAAAAAGAATAACCTAGAGAATCTAGTTACAGGGGGGTGGGGGTTTTCCTTCACTTTCAAAGTGAAGCAAAAAGTATACGACAAGGGCAAGATTCGAACTTGCGCACCCGAAGGTACTAGATTAGCTATTCTAGTCTAGCGCATTAGACCACTCTGCCACCTTGCCTATATTCTGGTTTAATGAATAATACTCTATGTGCAATAGAAGCGAGCTAGAGCCGGCCCGAAGCTTACGTAATGGGTTCGGTCTATATGTTAACGTAATCCACCCCCGAACCGCCACCACCACCGACCCACCACTTCCGCTGAAAAACGCGCTCTATATTAATTTTAACCCGAAATTTCAACCTGAAATAATAATTATATATAAAAAGTTAATTACTAGTACAATTAGGGCATTGAGGTCTTCTATGTCTGAAAATTCCACACTCACTACATTGAAATTGGCGGCGTATATGTGGTTAAGAGGCTAGAAGCTCTGGCTCAGCTAGAGTAGTAGTAGTAACTTAAAATACTTCAACTAGTTAATTTATAAGCGTCTAGACTTCCTCTCTAGTAATTTTTTACTCATAAGTTATTTATTTTATAAATTTTTAATGCTTTTGCTTTTCTTTCTTATTTATAGCTTATAAATTGTGAACTTCCTTCTATATAATAAGAAGCTTATTAATACTAGTCTTATAAGCTTTTAATATATAGCTAATTATTTTATTAATAACCTCAGATAAGCTCCATATATACTAATTGATTCGCCACTTAATTGTACTTAATTGCTGTTTAAATTAATATAGGTTTTAAGACATTTAAAGGCAAGAGGATTAGGAATCACTAGATAGATAAGAAGATAGTATTAAGATCTTTAATTAGATAATAAGTTGTTAATAAACTTAATCTAGATCTAATAGCACTAATCTAGTTGCTTTAAAGCTATTCCAAATAGTCTTAGCTTTATATGTCATTATATAGGTCTTTGGAAATACAGTAAGAAAGTTGATTTTATTAATATAATTAAAGCCAAGTCTCATCCGCTACTTAATAAGCTTTTCATATTATTGCTTTAGAACTGCAAAATAGCTAACATCAAAAGGCTATAAGAGATGTAAAGAATATGAAGGCATATAGATTAGATGTCGGAAACTTCGGTTAATTACCGTCGAGTATAGCTAGGATAGCTATTAACGGGCGAAGTTAATAGGCTTCTAAGGTCGAAAGGTCTCGGTAGACGAAAGAAATAAGAATAAGACTATGAATATCCTGATCAATAGAAGATCGTATACTTAAGTTATCACAGTTAATTCAAGACAATAGAAGAAAACTAAATACATGGTAAATAAGCGTCCTTATATAGCTTTCCTCCATCATAGCCTTTATAGAAATCCTCTGATTCCTCTGATCCGTAGATCATAGCCATCATAGAAATCCTCTAATTCCTCTGATCCATAGATTATAGCCATTATAGAAATCCTCTGATTCCTCTAATGCCCTAACCCTAAGGCTTTGCGGGTAATCCTTTGTTCCAGTATGCATTAGTCCCATAGTGACTAACCTGATCCATTGGCTATAATGTTCTGATTCTCTGACAATCCCCTCCTCTGAAGGCTGGCGTCTCAACAGCTCAATAAATAGCTTATATCCTCTAAAGTGTAGATAACTAATCCTAACTCCCTAAATATTCCAAATGTGCGATCTTGTGGCTTCGCACTAATCATATCTTTAAAAAAAACAATCTCAAAGAACTCTCTTCTTTCGTGTATTAAACAATTTGGCGTCATTTATTATTTCCTATATAACCAGTATAGTAACTTAAGAAAAACTTGCATCAAAGCGGAGTTCTTTAAACGTTATAACGAGTGTATTCGTGCAAATAATTGTTGTTATGTCGACATGCCTGTGTCTAAGGTGGCATAGAAGTACCTTTCCAAAGCCCAGGAGTGTCTTCAAGAGGAAGAAGAGTAAGCCTTGGTTAAAATTCTTCATTTGCGGAAACAGCAAAAATTATTAAAAAAACAGGCTGGTGAATTCCTCTAAAAGGATATAAAGGACGTCAAAGAGTTGGAAAGATTAGAGAAAGCGGAAGAAGAGGCAAAAATAAAACAAGTGAAAAAACAACAAGAGACTAACGAGCTTCTGGCTGCTATTTTTACTTTATAAAACAACAACCTTGTCCTCAATACTAACTTTGATCCTTCTATCTTTCTCGACCATACTTCTGTCTCCATTCCTGAATCTTCTCGGGGCAATTCAAGTGCCTAACAGATTTCCATGTATCTTCTTCAGGTCTGTATCCCTTCCATCTCATAAGGTAGTAGATGTGTCCTTTTTCTAACTTGCGCTGCAGTATTCTTTTGACTTTGTATTCTTCGTCATCTGCTGCTTTATCTTCGTTCATTGAGTTGATTATTAGTTCTAATAATAAGATATGAAATACCAGATATATTCACATTCTTGTTGGTAGCTGGAGTTTATAATTATCATTGGCGAGTTTTTCTTTAATAATGAACGGTCCAAATTTAACTATGTCAAATTTATCACTTAGTCTTGTGCTTTTGACGTTAAAACCTTTCAATCCTAGCATTTATTATAGAAGGTAAACTCTCTCCTCTTTTTTGAGTGCTAACACATCCTCACGCTTCTTATCGTAATATTTCTTCATTCTCATTTCTGCCCATTTAATATCTTTTAATAGATTGCTATACATCAATTACATATGTGTTGCTTAGATGTTTACTTTATTTAATGCTCCTTCTCATTTAATGTTTTTCTAACTTATCCTTAGAATTCTTCCTAGGTTAGCGAAATGCGGTACTTGTCCTGTTAATATATTTATAGCATTGTTCATTGCAAACTAAGCAATTAATAGCAATTCTATCCAATTATCTTAGTTCCAATCCAAGTAATGTCTTAGATATTATTCAACTACTTAAATCATTCATTCAGTCTAGCCATCAGTCTATTAATAATATGCGGTTAATAGATTGTATTCTATTCCACAATTTTTTATAATTGTCTGCTAAAATTTAAACGTGAATAACTTATCTCTGTTAGATATGATTTTACTTAGTAATCCGAATATTATAAACATTTCTTGTAACATCAGTGTTGCGCATTATTATGCCATTAAATTCTTTGATGTTGGCTTTAGGATAACATATTTTGTAAGCTTATCCATAATAACAATAGCTTCAGTGTACGTGATTCCTGAAATAGGATCTTTCGACTCTGGTAAGCCTTGTATAAAATCCATTGTGATCTTCTGCCATGCTTTCATTGATGTTTCTGGAATCTGTATTTTTCCATAGGGTCAATGGTTGATTGGTTTATTGCGATTGCAACTATTGCATTTCTTGATATAATCTTCAACCAATTTTCTCATTCTTAGAAAGTAATATGTTCGTTATATCTTTTCTACTGTTCGGTTGATTCCATGATGTCCTTCGATTGGCAAGTCATGGTTTATTTGAATGACTTCTGTAATCATTGAAAATGGTACCAATATTAATCCTCTCCAAATGGCTAATCTGTTCTCAATTACTACTTCATCATTGTGTAGTGCTGTCTGCAGTATTTTATTGTTCCTAGTAGCTTCTACCATCTTTTTATGAAAACCTTTGCTTTCTATCATAATGGTTGTCGCTAGTATTGCCTTGTCATTATAGCAGATTCTATCTTCATCTTCCACTAGTATATTTGTTCATAGCTGTTGTATTCTAATTATATAATCTGCTCTTCTGCTTAATGTGTTAGCAATAATATTTTCTTTTTCTTTGATATACTCAATTCAAAACTTGAACCTTGATAGGTACTCTAACCATTTAACTTGTCTGCTGATAAGCTCTTTTATTATTATAAAGTACTTCAGATTATGATGATTGCTTTTTACAACTATTTCTTCTTTAACTCCTTACAAGTAGTGTCTCCATTACTTAAATACTTCAACTACTACAAATAGTTCTCTATTATGAACATCATAGTTCCTTTCTGTAATAGTAAATTGCCTAGAGTAGAAGGCGATGGATCTTAATTTTCCATTATCTCCTAATTGTTCCAAAACAATTCCTAATACATATCCTAATGCATCTGGTCAAATCATATTCAGTTTTTCCAGATTATGAAGCATAAGAATTGGTGCTTCTCTAACTAATTCCTTGACTTTCTCAAATGCTTGCTATTGTCATTCTGTCCAATTGAATTCTTGATCTTTTCTTAATAATTCTGTGATTGGTCGTGTTGTTTCTGCGTAATTCTTCAAGTATCTTCGGACATATCCTGTTGCGCCTAGAAACTGCTGTATTTCGTTGACGTTTGTTGGGATAGGCCAGTCGAGTATTGCGTCTTTCTTTTCTGGTTGGATCTTCAATCCTTCTGGCGTATAAACCATT